GGTCGCAGCTTTGGCAATCGTGGCTGAGCAACTGCTTGTACATGTAAACGCAAGAGAAAGGAGCTAAACAGTCTGGCAGTACCAGACGCTCTCACACGCACTCGCCCGCCGGCACCTGCCTCCACGCTCTCTACTACGCGCAACCTTGGTGACGGCACAAGGCTGTAGCACCGCCCTCTCACCTCTGCCGCGACGCTCATAACCCGCATCTTCTATGTGCATGAGGACTCCTTGACAACTTATTCACCTCACCGGAAGTGCACGACTGACATTGCTACGCTTACGTCCATCGCTCGTCTGCCTGTCTGCACAGCCTACCACCGTCAGCCTCGCATCGCAGCCTCGAGGCCTCCTAGGCTCCCACCATGGCGACCAACGACGCCAACAACGGTCCTTCAAGACCACGGGCACCGACTATCACCATCGACACATCTGCTACCAACGACCCTGCCATGGGCGACTCAGTGCCTCTAGGAGAAATCCAAGATAATAGCAGACCAGCGGCATCTTTAAACAACGACAATGTCTCGCCTACGCACTCAAGGCAGCAATCACAGGAGCTGCGTAACGCGCACTCGTTCGATAGCAAAGAGAGCCGACCAACGAGCCCGCATAACATCAGCTCGCCGGTGACGGGATGGAACAGTAACGCCGGTCTGCTCAACGTACCCGGTGCGCGATCCCGGGGCAACTCGGTCGACTCGGCCACTGAGAATGGGGAATCTACTAGCACTGGAACATATGTTGCATCCTCACAAGGCGATACCTTGAAGGGCGACTTGGGCCCAACGGAAATACTAAATGATAAAGATGCTTTGAAGCCGGATCCGGGCACCGAGGCTGACTTTGAGGTCGAGAACAACAAGTTCGCCTTCTCTCCCGGACAACTAGGAAAGCTCTACAACCCCAAGAGTGTAAGTTTCCGCGTCTTCAGCGCATCCATGCACCATCTAACATGAATATGCAGTTATCAGCATTCCACGCGCTCGGTGGCCTAGACGGCATAGAAAAAGGTCTTAGAACCGACCGAAAGGCTGGTCTGAGCATGGACGAACAGCATCTTGATGGCGTCGTTACATTCGATGAGGCTACAACTCCGAGCAGAACAGAGTCTCCCCAAAAGTCGGCGCCAAACGGGGTTGCGCACACGGACAGCGCGCCCGCTGGCTCTAAAGAAAACGCCTTTGCCGACAGGAAGCGCGTCTTCAGCGACAACCGACTTCCCGTTCGGAAACCAAAGAACATCTTCCAGCTAGCATGGATGGCCTACAACGACAAGGTTCTGATCTTGTTGACATGTGCTGCTGTCATTTCCTTGGCTCTTGGATTATACCAGACTTTCGGTGTAAAGCACAAGCCCGGCGAGCCTGCAGTCGAATGGATCGAAGGCGTTGCCATTATTGTTGCCATCGTCATCGTCGTGGTTGTAGGCGCCGCAAACGATTGGCAAAAGGAACGTCAATTTGTCAAGCTCAACCGCAAGAAGGAAGACAGAACCATCAAGGTAATTCGTTCAGGCACGACTCGTGAAATCTCCGTCTACGACATTTTCGTTGGCGACGTTGTCAATCTGGAGCCCGGTGACATGATCCCTGTGGATGGCATTCTCATCCAAGGTCACGGCATCAAATGCGACGAGTCTTCGGCTACTGGAGAGTCTGATCTGCTCAAGAAGATGTCTGGAGACGAGGCTTTCAAGGCTATCGAGAGGCATGATAACTTGAAGAAGGTCGACCCGTTCATCCTTTCGGGCGCCAAAGTCTCGGAAGGTGTTGGTTCTTTCATGGTCACTGCGACTGGTGTTCATTCCAGCTACGGAAAAACGATGATGTCTCTACGCGAAGATAGCGAAGTCACCCCACTCCAGAACAAGTTAAACGTACTCGCAACGTACATCGCAAAACTGGGTGGAGCGGCTGCCTTGTTGCTCTTTGTTGTACTCTTCATCGAGTTCCTCGTCGGCCTCAAGGGAAGCGATGCTACCCCTGCCGAAAAGGGCCAGAACTTCCTCAACATTCTCATTGTCGCCATTACCGTCATCGTAGTCGCCGTGCCGGAGGGTCTGCCTCTAGCTGTTACTCTTGCCTTAGCCTTCGCCACCACCCGCATGCTGAAAGACAACAACCTGGTTCGCCTGCTCCGATCTTGCGAAACCATGGGCAACGCAACCACCATCTGCTCCGACAAAACAGGCACATTGACACAAAACAAGATGACGGTCGTCGCTGGTTCGCTGGGCACTGCGCTCCGGTTTGGCGACCACAAACTCAAGGCACCATCTGTGGAACCCGTTGATGACGGCAGCAAGGGCAAGGATGTGGTTGAGTCGCCCGTAGAGAACCCCAACGATGTCTCGGCTCCCGAATTCGTTGCGACCCTGAACAAAGATGTCAAGGATGTTCTGTTACAGTCCATCATTCAGAACACGACTGCCTTCGAGGGCGAGACTGGTGGCCCTGATCCTTTCATTGGCTCCAAGACCGAAACCGCTCTACTTGGATTCGCACGCGACTTTCTAGGCATGGGCAACGTCGCTCAAGAGCGCTCTAACGCCAACATTGCTCAGGTTATACCTTTCGATTCCGCTATCAAGTGCTCCGGAGCCGTCCAGAAGCTCGACGACGGTCGCTACCGAATGTACGTCAAGGGTGCTTCAGAGATTCTGCTTGGCATGTGCGACAAGATTGTCACCGATGCCAACAAAGAACTTGTTGAGACCTCTATGACTGGAGATAACCGCGAGACTCTGGAACAAGTCATCACTACCTACGCTTCTCGGTCTCTTCGAACCATCGGTCTTATCTATCGTGACTTCGAGAGCTGGCCGCCCGCTGAGTCCTCCAAGCACGAGGATGACCCAAGTCAAGCAGTGTTCAAAGATATTTCAAACAAGATGACTTTCCTGGCCGTTGTTGGTATCCAAGATCCTCTGCGAGAGAGCGTCCGCGAAGCTGTCAAAGACTGTCAGCACGCAGGTGTCTACGTACGCATGGTCACTGGTGACAACGTTCTCACTGCCAAGGCTATTGCTGAAGACTGCGGCATCCTTGTTCCTGGCGGAGTCGTCATGGAAGGGCCCACCTTCCGCAAGCTATCAAAGCGAGACATGGACGCCGTCATCCCCAAGCTATGCGTCCTTGCTCGTTCGAGTCCAGAGGATAAGCGTAGGCTCGTCAAACGCCTCAAAGAGCTCGGTGAAACTGTTGCTGTTACTGGTGACGGAACCAACGACGCGCCGGCTCTCAAGACTGCTGATGTCGGTTTCTCCATGGGTATCGCTGGTACCGAAGTCGCAAAGGAAGCATCCGCTATCATTCTCATGGACGACAACTTTGCTTCTATTGTCAAGGCACTTCTATGGGGTCGCGCGGTCAATGACGCGGTCAAGAAGTTCTTGCAATTCCAGATCACCGTTAACATCACCGCCGTCCTGCTTACCTTCGTCTCAGCCGTATCTAGCAACGACCAAACCTCTGTATTAACTGCTGTTCAACTGCTTTGGGTCAACCTCATCATGGACACCTTCGCCGCCCTGGCTCTCGCGACTGATCCTCCCACGCGCAGCCTTCTCGACCGAAAGCCGGATCCGAAATCTGCTCCTTTGATCACGCTGAGAATGTGGAAGATGATCATTGGTCAAGCAATCTACCAGTTGGTTGTGACATTTATCCTCTACTTCGCCGGCGAATCTATTCTTAGCTACGAAAGTGATCACGAGAGAGAACAACTCCCAGCACTGGTCTTCAACACCTTCGTCTGGATGCAGATCTTCAACGCGTTGAACAACCGCCGACTTGACAACCGCTTCAACGTTTTCGAAGGCATCACGCACAACTGGTTCTTCATCATCATTTTGGCAATCATGATTGGTGGTCAGACCATGATCATCTTCGTTGGTGGTGTCGCCTTCAAGGTTACCAGGCTCAACGGTGCTCAGTGGGGTTATTCAATAGTCTTGGGTTTCCTTTCGCTACCCGTAGGTGTGATCGTTCGATTGATACCCGACGAACTTATTCGCAAGTGTATCCCGGACTTCTTCAGACGCAAACAAACCCCCGAACTTGTCGTTTCGGACGATGATTACCATTGGAACCAGGGCTTACTGGAGATCCGTGACGAGCTTGCTTTCCTCCGCAAAGTCCGAGGTGGGCGTCTTAGCGCCATGAAGTTCAAGGTGCAACATCCCAAGGAGATGTTCACAAAGTCCCGCTCTAGCCATTCGCTGCCTGGCACCCCGAACAACGGTCCTCAAGATGATGGTTCTCCTGCACCTCCTACCCCGAACAGCCGCCGTCGCACCAGGTCCCGCTCCAATTCCGCTTTCGGCCCAGCTACTGTGATGGCTGGTATTGTCGCTGGTAGTGTCGCTGGTTGGTCGCCAATTGACCGCGGTCATGGTGACAACGACTCAATCAAGTTCAGCCGCGATGCGACCAAGCAAGACCTTGAGGCTCAGGACGGTATCGAAGTGCATCCTGATACCAAGTCGACTGATCCTATTCTGGCGCCCGATGCCAGCGAGTACCGTGGTCCTCCCAGCCAAAATATGGACACCACGCCCGAGTTCGTGGTAGGACCGTTCTCCGGCCATTCCGGCGACCACTCCAAGTCGACTGGACCTGGAACATGAGATCTTCTTTCCCTTTGCCCTATAATCCGTAAACGCCGTGTCTTCTAATTTCCTTTTGTTATCAACTTTACATTGTAATGCATGCTTCACGGTGTTCAGGAGTCTTTTACCCGAGTATGAGCCATACTGTACATACCCCTTGCTCTCTCGATGTTTCTTCCTCCAAGCGCTCCGCGGCCACCGTCTCGCTCACTGTATTACTGAAACGTATCTCTCTTATTGCCGCATCAGAGTGTCCAGAATTAGCTCTGCGCAACGATCTTGTTTCTTCTTCACTTCTACGAGCGTGGCAGTTCCGGGGTAGCTTTGAACATCAGGCAGCGATACCAATCAATGAAATTGAAAAGACAGAAAACGTGTTCCTCTATGACTGTGATTGAACGTTGGAAGTACTCTGTTGCGAGCAGGAACACGAATGTGTGAGCAAGAGGTGGGATGGCGCAATGCGCATGGAGCTTACTCGGCACATATTCGGAAACATGTCGCTTACGACGTCATCTTGGAAGATGCGTAAGTGCTGACAACATGACGCTTGATCGGTTCTCGGCTGCTTCCAACATCCACTTTTCTTTCAGGTAGACATTCTATATCATTTACTGCACTCCGCTATAACCATTTTGCCCACTGTCCTTTAATCTTGCAGTAAACATGGCCCACCACGTCCTCCTCATCGGCGGTCACGGCAAAGTTGCCCAAATTCTTACACCGCTCCTGCTGGCCAAATCATGGAACGTGACCAGCATGATACGCACTGCCTGTCAACAACCGGCGATTGAAAAGCTGGGACAGGATCAGCCCGGGAAATTAGATGTACTGGTCCATAGTGTTGCGGATGTAAAGAGCGAGGCCGATGCGAAGAGCGTCTTGGAACGGGTGAAACCGGATTGGGTTGTCTGGAGCGCTGGTAAGCACTTTCTAGGGCTGGTGTATCATGGACCTTCAGCGTATGCTCACAACGTATAGGAGCTGGTGGCAAGGGCGGCGCCGAGATGACGTTTGCAGTCGACCGCGATGCAGCCATAGCGTTCACAAAAGCCAGCATTCACACACCTTCCATCAAGAAATTTTTAACAGTATCTTACCTTTCTTCTCGCAGTGGCCGCGCGCCTTGGTGGAACGTGGAAGACTGGAAAGCGGCACAGAAAGTGAACACGGAAATCTTGCCAAACTACTTCAAAGCCAAGGTTGCAGCTGATGAGGTCCTTACAATACTTTCCCAAGACCGAGTGACCCAGGAAGAGAAAGATGGTGCGCCCGCTGATCAGCGCTTCTGTGGTATCAGCCTACGGCCTGGCACGCTGACTGAGGAGCCGGCTGGAAAGGTGAAGATGGGCAAAATTGGGGCAAGCGGTAAGACGAGCCGTGCGACGGTCGCAGAGAGCGTGGTTGGTGTTTTGGAAGCCGATGGCGTGAGGGGCTGGGTCGATGTCATTGACGGTGACGAGGAAATCGTAGAAGCTGTGAAGAGATACGTCAAGGAGGGGCAGGATGCCATTGAAGGAGAGGATCTGGCTGAGATGAGGGATAGGGTCAATAAGTTCTAGGGAAAGTCGCTACGCAGTTCTATACGTCGCGATGATGGTCTTAGGTGAACCTAGTTGTCTGGCAAATATCTTGCTCTTTATCATGTCTGCAAACTCGCGATGAAGCACCTGAAGTGCATCGAGATCGATCGACATAAATTATAAGTGCACTTTCTGTTCACTTGTCAAAATGCTCATTATACTAGAGGGACCAATATACATCTACTCTATCCTGAACTATCCGTAGCCCTCTTTCCATTTGCACATCGCGGACAACAGAAGCTTTAGACTTGTCTTTAGATTGATGCATGGTGAGTCTATTCTCAGCCTCTATGAATCGTCCCTCTTCTCACTGTCTACTGCGCCGAACGCCCGTATGGAAATAGCACAAGGTCCGAGGATCAAAGCACGACTACATGCATGTACAGTGGATCTTTTGTGTCGCTTATACTCCGGCTCCAGCACTTCCCTGACTATTCTGCCGCCTGGGTGCTCTATCCATGCCGTCAACCACACTTCCTCTCTTCCCCATATTATACATGCTTCCCTCGCTGCCCTGCCTGCGACCAGCTATGCCACTAGGTCCTCCAAACGTACTACTTAGCGTCCAGCCTCCTGCCGCCGGACTGGCATCCCTAATACTGATTGCAGGTGGCAGCCCCAAGCTTGGTATCTTGTCCTCTCCTACAGGCAATATTCGTGGAGAAGGAGACGGCGCGTGGCGGAAAGCATCGGCGTAAAAGTGGGAGAGGAGTGAGGCGTTGGAGCAAAAGGCTTCTACTTCATCTTTGACTTGCTCAGGAGAAAGGGATATGTTAGATGCAGATGCTGGAGTAGTCGCTGCTGATGATTTCGGATCGTGAAATGTGAGCGCGGTGTGGAGGAGACTGGCGTCTTGGACTGGCCGTGCCAAAGGACTTGCAAAAGGACTACGATGCGGGTTTCCACGCTCTACCGCGGGCGTCGAGGGTAGACGGCTGCTTTGACTTCCGTCTGTCGTGGCTTTCTTGTGTTCATACGGATCTACAGGCCGTATCCGACCGTTGTCTTTGGCACGATTGTGCGCAAGCCTGTTGGCTAGCAGAAGGAAGTTCCCATCGTCAGTGATCTGAGCGAGCAAGCCACCACTCTTGTGTATGAACTGCGTGTACTTGTAGTCGGGTGTGCCCCAAGAGTAAGTGACTTCAACGTCGGACGGAAAGGCATTCGCGGCTTCCATGTCAAGAACAAAATTCAGCCTCCGCAGTAGGAGCTTGTGATAAGCAAACTTATCAACCTTGGGGTACTGAGGGGAAAAGCTCGTTGAGTCCCACACTGCCTCAGGCTGAACCTGGGGAGGCTGCAATGCAAGTTTGACTGCATAGGGCGAACGGAAAGGATGATGGTCGACAATATCCGCTACCTCCGCGATGGGTACCTCTACCAGCTTCAAGCCGTACTTCTCCACACTCGTGGCCCAAGTGACGATAGCATCCTCAATGAGCTTCGCCGTGACGTTCATCCAGTCAATGCGAATATGATAACAATTGTCGGGATTGTGCAATCGGTCGTAGTGCAGGGAAATTATCTCAGGCCGATACGAACGCTTTCTGGGATCGACATCATAGCGCATGACGCGTGACATGATGACTTTTCGCTTATGCGGTTCACCGCGCGTTGGGGTCTTTTCACCCTCTTTGAGCGAACCAGAGCTGTTGGACGAAGAGTCGGCAGTACTGGGACGGGACTTGATATTTTTAGATATCAGGGGCGAAGTCCGAGGCGCCTCCGCAAGTGGGGTGGAAGGAACGGATTTGTCTGTCTTCCGCATACCAAACCACCCTGTTCGAGATTCGGCTCGGGGTGCCCTATACTCTGCCGCAATCTGGAAGAAGAAGTTGCCGTCTCGGAATTGATGCCGCCCCTGTACATGCTGGAACAGACCTTTCCTCATCAGCTCATTACCAAATTCTACCGCCTCATCTCGGGTTTCGATATCCTTGAAGTTCGAAAGCAGCCAGTTGGTGAGGTCAAACCCCAAGAAACAATTGTAGTGCAACTTCAGATGCCACCGACGATCAAGCATTTGAATCCCCTTTTCGCCCTGGAGATCTTCCGCAAGTTTCTTGAGGTCTATACTAGATGTGTGATACTTTTCCGCATCAGAAAAGATAGAAGTCTGGAATTCGCTGTCGGTATCATTCAGTAACGAGTGGTCTGGACCGGCCGCGACAACCGCCGAAGGATCGCGTGTGTGATACTCAATCGCAAGCGGATTTGGGTCCTTTTGCTTCACGATAGATGCTGGCTGGAAGAAGCGCTCTTCTGGGGGAATATAGCGAAACTTTTGCCATAGCTGGGTAAGCTTGCGAATGCCTTCAAGCCGTATCTCTTCGGGCGAGTCTTGCACCGGCAATGGCCTCCGATGCATAGCTGGTATGTCAACTGGAATCAGCACGAAACGAGCTCTCCAGAAGCGCAGGACTTCGGAAAACTCATCGTGATAGCCAGCCAAGAAAGTATCAATGATATTCCAGTTGTATTCCCTCCTTGGTGGACGCAGCACGATTTCTCGAGGGTCATAGGTATCCTCGAACGCAGTGCGGATGAAGGGCTTGTATGGAAAGGGCGTATCAATACCAGCAGTCGACTCCAGGGCCGTGGTAGGTTTCCTATTATATCTCCTTACCTCGACTTCTCCTCCGGCTACACATACTAGCTGGTGGATATTGTTTCCGACGCTCATGAAAACGGTGTCTCCGTCACTAGACATGTATTCTGGATCGAGAATGCTAGCGAGAGATTTCTCTTGTCGCCCAGAAAACTCAGCCACGGAAGAGCCGACAATGATTTGGAATCCGTGCGAGAGGCGAAAGGCAATCAACTCTTTGATGAGAGACTCTCGGCTCTTTGGTGCTTCCAGAATGTCGTCATCTTCATTCTGCGTAATCTTGTATGGGCTTTCGTTGTATTGCGTTGCTATCTGATCAACAGAAGGAAACCACTCGTGGGTCAAAGGTACTGCAGCAGGTGAACACAACGATCTCCACTTCACAGTACCTGTCCTCAACGTTCTGGGGAATACGTGGTGCCAACGCCGATATTGATTTTTGGAACTAATGACGTTTTTCTTCGGGTTGCAGGGATTGACTAGGACGGCCCAAGGAGCGATCGCACTTGTCGGAGACAGAGTCCGGGGGGCATCTCTAGCGCCTACACTAGAGGACAAGTCCGGCTTAAGTCCAACGTGCTCGCCTGCTCCTCGCGCTCCTGCAAGTAGGAACGTAGATCCGGGATCTCTCACAACTGAACCAGGTTGCGAAGGGACGTTGGATCGGTCGGATTGCGCACCCCTAACGGTCTCGATCGAACGGCTTGCGCGGTTGGAGGCGAGTGACTCAGCCGATGTGGGACCTGCACGCGATGCAGGTTTAATTGCAATCGGCTGTGATGGCTTACCTGCGGAAGTATGTCGAGTGCTTGCCAGTCTTTCAGCGATGGCACCCTTTTGGTTCTTCTCAACAGTCAGCATTGCCGGCTTCACTTTGCCCTGACTGATATCGATGGTGGCATCCCCAAGAGTCGGTTTAGCTGGCGTAGCTTTTCCACCAAAGCTCATCTGCCTTAGAAACCAATTTGAAGGTCTGCTCTTCAGTTCCGGTTGGGTTGTCGCAGCCGTCCCAGCATTAGTCACAGGCAACAGTCCGGCTCGCTTTGGAGGAGATGACCGCCTACTCGGAGCTGGCGAATCGCCCGCCTTCAGGTGCATAGCTTGACGGTGGTCGCGGGAATCTCCAGAGCCACTTCTCTTATGCGCCGCCGGGCGATCAGTTCCAACGACGCCTCTGGTCATGTTATTCTGCCGCCGCAAGATATCAGCTCGTGGCAAGCCATCTCCTTTAAGATCAGGCATACGGTATGTACTTCCTCGAGGAGATTGGCTTTCAAGGTCTTTAGATTTCTCATGCATAAGTTGCGGAAAACTTGTTTCTGGGGGAGGCCGAGCTGACTGTCCAAGTGACGGGGCAGTACTGCGGAAAGAAGAAGACAGACGCAGACTTCGCGACAGCTCCGGAGATCCACTTGTGATGTCGTCGCTTAGCCTTCGCTTCTGAAGCTGCAGCTGGTTCAACGTAGAGTGTCTTTCCATAAGAGGGGAAAAGACCCCGCCGTCGTATGCCTCCATCCAGGCCTTCTGGGCAGCTCTTGTCTCGTCCAGCTGATCGTCGGTGTATTCTTTGTCACCCCGCGAAGAATATGAGCCCGTTGCAGCTGCGGACGGCTTTACTGTTCGCGCAATTCGCACGCCCTCTTCGTTGGTCTCGAACAATTCGCGCAGATGATGCGGGTACATTGGATCTTCTTCTAAGTAGGGAATTGCAATGTCGCCAAGCTCGTTCTCCATGACGCCCATCATTTGCAGCTCATACAAACGACAACGTAGAGAAAAGATACGGCCCTTCTTGCGCGACTTTTTCACGATCTTGTCAGCCTTTCGTGGCTTTGTGAGTTCCAATATCTCTTCGGATGTTCCAGACCAAAAGGAGACATCCACCCAATACGGCATTGCGAACCTCCATCCGTCTGATGAGTCAATGGAGTTATCTGTCGCTATGCGTCGGACGGTAGATGCGCGTGACATGGAACCGAAATCTGGTTGGCTTTGGCGCGGAGTTTTGTCCTCTTCTGTGCGCGACATTCTCACGGCCGCGTGTTGCTCTTTGTCGTGCTCAGCCTTCACATCGGACACTGAGCGAGGTGTTTGGTACTTGAACAAGGGTACGGAATGGAGAGGCATCGGCGAGAGACACACGAGGTCAATGCCGATACCTGATCCGATGAGAGTATCCGTAGTAAGCTTGAGCATGTTGTAGTCGACTTCGAAGACCCCAGTACCTGGAGTAACAACGATGACCGAAATACCCGTTCGAACAAGGTCTCGGTCGATGTAATCCTTAGCGAATTGGGCTGCAGCCAGATTGATGGCTTCCAGGATGTTGCCTTGGCTTGCGGAAGAAGGTCGACCAGCTATGACAATATCAGTAGCCGTGTCCTCAGAGCTTGACTCCTTATCATCAGAAACTGGCTTTACTGGCTTACGGACCAGAGACACTTCTCGGAGAAACATCCTGAACTCTTTTTTGAGCTGATAGAGGATGTTGATCCAATCACCGCTAGCCATGTCGCTCACAACAACTCTGTAGTAATCTCTAAAAGTACCGGAATGCGAGTCCGAGCACATGTTGCTCGTCGTCCCGTCGGGCTGATCTGCCAAGAGCTCTCCGTCATATTGCATCCTCGTAAACAGGATGATAGTGACCAAGTGTCGCGCATTGATCCTCAACCATCTCTTGAACAGGTCTGGAAGGAACCCACTGACAACCTTGTTGAACATTATCTCGCCAGCGCCTTCGGTATCAAAATCCCACATCTCTCTAGACATTTGGATGAACAATGTGTATCGTGCAGATTCGCTGCGAAAGATGGGCTTCGATTTTGGCGAGAAGTACCCGGAATGGACAGACTGGCCGTTGATATATATGTGTTTGATCGTGGCCTTGATGGTACCCATGAATAGTAGTCGTTGGCCACGGTAGACGGTACGCTTGCTGAGCTCGGCAATGGCCATGCGCCACATATCTGCGCGTGCTAAGTACTCATCACGGAACACGATCTCCACGTGATGAGCTTCGTGAGTATCTTCATCAGCCTCCGTCACTACGACCTGCATCCTGTTGCGGAACCCGAATACCTTCGCGATTCTCTCCGATAAAGAAACCTTCTTGGTATTAGTTGCGCAAAAGATTACTTTGTGTAAATCTTACTTGTAGGTTTAGATACTTTGTCTTCAAGTCTGCAGGCAGCGGTTTGGGGACAAAAACATAGGCTTTTTCCGCATCGATTTCGCGACCACCGGGAATAGTCGAGCCATTCTCATCAATGGTAATCGTTATCGAGTCCCGACGATGCCTTGTCGGATGGTTGTCTATATCGGTACCCTTGCGCAGCGCATCGGCTTTGAAGTGTGTCGCATCTTGCGAGTGACTCTTGGATCCTGTATGAAAGTCCCGAACAGTGTGGTCTGCATGTATAGCCACGATCTGGAGGAGGGCACCAGCACTGGTGGGTAACTCAGGGAACTTCTCTCCATTAAAGATGATCTCATCTCTAGAAAAGTTGTCGTCATGAGTCCACAGAGTGCAAACCTTCTGCACTCGGGCCGAGTGGGGGGTTGAGGCGGGTTTCGACATATCGTTTGTTCCTTCTGCAAAGACGGTTGCTGGCTTCGTGCAGGATCAGGGACATGTTCGGGCTGCTCAGTCGCGTACACGCGGCGATAGTCGCGTCATGTCTGTCGTGCACGGATGATGAAAAGTCTCTATAACACTGTACAAGAGGTTTTCGCGCAATCAGCGGGGTGAATCACACTTGGATGGTCGCGTCGCGAAAGGGACCCTGAATGGCGAGGGCCCTCAAGGTGCAGATGATGCCAAGACGCTAATGGCAGGCTAACCATGGAAGTTAATCACGATCTCAAGAGACTCGCATGAGTTGGTCTTGCTGTGCAATTTTGCCATCCTGCGACGACAGAATAGTAAAAAGCCTTTTAGCAAGATGTGTGAAAATTGCCGTGACAAGATGTGATTTCGAATCGACTAACATATGCTTTATGTGCGACAAGCAGTATTTAATGAGTGTCATACTGTCGAGCTTCACGTACCTCAGACACCCCAGCATCTCGTGCTACCTGTCGAATTTGAAGCAAACACTAGACATAGCACATGTACGACTCTTACGATGATGGTCCCCATGAACACGCACCGCCAACGTCCCAGCTTTCTTTGATTCGCTTGAGGGAAGGATTGAGAAAATGCCATTTCATCCAGGGCTTTCGAACGACATGGCACGCGAGTACCCACCAGAAAGTTCAAGCAGAATAAAAAGTGAGACTCCACGAACATCAACAGACATTGCAACGCCAATACACCCGTGCTAATTTCACTGCGGCCATCTTACCATGACTGGCCAAGCAGAACCGTAAGCCTAAACTGGCTCGCTCATACGAACCTTTTGAGCACCATGAACAACAAAGCAGCCACTAGTCCGTAGATGCAAGTATCGATCCAAGCCAGGTCCGGACTACGTTGGGCGACCTGTTGGAGCGGAGGTGTGGGTCTCGTCCTTGTAGGTCTAACCGTAGGTACAGCAGAAGTGGGTCGCGTTGGGGTGGTGACCGGTACTGAAGCGGTAGATTCTGGTGGCGAGGCAGGTGACGCGGCTTCAGCAGAACTCTCTACTGCCCTTTGCTTGCCCTTATCCACCGTCTTGTCGTCCTGGCCTTCCTTACCCAGCTCGTCGCGATAGGCAAGTCTCAGCTCTTCGGGGACTTGGTCGTCTTTCCTCTTGCCTTCCTTCTCCTCAACCTCCTTGACGAGTTCCTCCCGCTCTTGCATGATGTCAGCATTGCTCTTAGCACAGCCAGCACATTTCCACGTGCCGCTGTCCTTGGCCATGCGCTCGCGTGCTTCCCTGCTGCATTCGATGCCGCCTAGCTGGCCCTTAGCATCTGTGTCCATGAAGCTCCTTATCGCGACAAGAGCTGTGCGCACGCCCCAAGCCGGTTGCCATGTTTCTTCATGATGACCCGATATGCTTAGACAGATTTCGCGGTTGACTTCGAAGCGGCCAGTGGGTGTGAGGAAGCGGAAAGATGGCGGGCGGAGAGGATACGTCGATGGGAGGACTATGCGGCCGTGGTAGATGCCGCCGGCGTACGGTGATGGCTCTGGCGGGCCGCGGATTGTGAAGTGCCATTCGAAGAGGTTGGTTTCTAAAGGTTCGGCGTGGTAGTCTGACGAGGGCGATACCGACAGTTCCGACGCTTCCTTTACTGCGACAATTGTCAGCTACTTTTCACCTGTCACGGCCAATGCTCGCGTACATATGCGCTTGATGGTCGGGTTCTTGGTGTTGAACTGCCCGCGGGTGGACATGGTCGCGGCGGATATGAGCTAGCGAAACTGTTGAGATGAGAGGTTGTGAGTATGACTAGAGGTGAGAGCAGGTTTTAATGTATGTATATCAGCTGCTGTGCGGCGTAAGTGTTTGAGCGCAATCACTCGGAATGCAACGTAGACAACCGTGACGCGCCGAGGCTGCGTCATTGGCAAGTACCGCCGACTGCTCGTAATCGATAGCCAGCCCCACTTAGCGCGTCGCGCCGGACACTTCGCAGAACCGTCGAAGCTGTGCTGTGGGCGGATTATCTTGCTACATGTAGCCTGCACCAAGAACTGCATGAGCGATTCGATAGCAACTCTTCTGTACGGAATGTGACTCGGGACATCACGTGCTCCCGTCGCTGCAGCATAAAGACGTGCCATTGCTACCACTTATACTTATCTCGCCATGTCTTACCATCCCCACGACCTGTTGATTGCGAAGTACTTCCCGGATGAAGACCTTTCCTCCATAGACTACGACTCGGTCCGGTACTCAGCTTTGTACATAGGTGCGCTTGATCAGGAACATATGGGTCTAAAACCTCCTCGCATTCCATGGCCACAGCCCCCTCAGCGCCCGGACGACCATCTCGAAGCCAGCGTGGAGCAATGGCGGAGCCAAGCGCTTCGGGCTATCGACACGCGCGTAGCTATCTTTACATCTCGTCCTGTCCCGCAGCACACAATAGCACTAGAAGCTATAGCGACAGAGTCTATGGCAACAGAGGACCTTGAAGCTCCAGTGACAACAAGTCCATCTGCTCCTACCCACCGCCTCCTCCTTATACCCGAGCTCTTGGAACTCATTCTTCAGCAAGCGACGGCTCAGGTTCAACATACCGCATGGGATGTAAGTCGTCTTTGGCGGTGTACAATTGAACATATCCTTTCAACTCAGTATCGGTCTCACTTTCCATGTCCTCCAGTTGAACAGGGCGGACGTATTGACATGACGATATGTTCGTCGTGGATGCAACCGTCGGACGATGAGATTGCAATTGTCGAGCACCGGACTACGGATGAGGTGCAAAGAGCTCAACACGAGCATGCGTTGGTCTGCTACCCAGCCAGGATTACCCAAGCCAACTCACTTTCCGAAGACGCCTATCTGGCCATCCGAAGGTCTTACGAACGTTTTGGTTGGACGACTGGAGCGTTCACCCCTGTAGCCAAAGATCCACTATGGCTAGACCTCAGCCAGCTCAAGATGAATCCTCACATCATGGAACTGCTTGGTAGCCGCATGGAGCTAAATTTCGGACGATGTGAAATCACCTTGAAGGCAGGTAACGACCAGCCTTGCCTACTTCGAGGATCGCTACCAGGCGGAAGCTTTGCAAACCTGATAGCTGATATGTTCTTGACGGAGCCTGCCTGCAAGACACTTGGCATATACATGCCTCAGTTGCATACGAATCGTCTGCGTTTAATTTCCAGAGTGTCCCATGAAGATGGTATCCGTGTGGGACATTTTCTAGGCGCACTTCAGCGGCATGCTGACAAGCTTCTCTCTACATGGCAAAAACAAGCCAAGATCCTTCGCGAGAAGATTCAAAATACACACTGGGCATCACTAAGCACTGACAAACAGCGGCTTAGCTCATGGATACATCATGCCTCCCCGACCTTCATCGTGTTTTTCGAACCGACCGGTGGATACTCTAAGACTGTAGCGCAACAGGCTTATTATTATGGGGGAGACATTCTCAGTGACTATAGGAACGAATGGCTCTGTAGCGTCACAGATGATCAGCTTAAGCTGGGCTCATCGTTATGATAGACGGCCGAGCTTGCTATCACTGGATACGCATTGGAGTACAGACCTGATGGAGAGGACACCAGCAGCCACTAAAACCTTTCCTACAACACCTCCTCAAGAAATTCCCTTCTGCAACCTCTTGTACATCTCCTCCTCGGCAAGTAAATCGGTCTTGAATTGCTTTGTCTGCTCCGCAACGCGCATGAGATGCTGCCTCTTCAACTTCCCATCATTCGCCTCATCCACCAGCGCTATACCCATGGCTGTCGACACCACATTTCTGATTTGACGGCCATTAAATTGTAGTTTGCGACTATCCTTCTGGACCCATTGCATAAGGTCCTTGTAATCATGAACGAGCTTCTTTCGGTGAAGTTGCTCGAGGAAGGATTCGAAAATAGCTTGTTGCTGGATTGGGTCGAGTTCTTCGTATTTGATGGCAATGTCTAACGTATGTCAGTAAGAGAAGAGCCTTTATGCGAGGTTTTGCTTGGCCAAAGACTTACGGATACGGCTCTGAACAGCAATATCGAAAGATCTCATACGGTTAGTAGTGAGAATTAAAATGCCGTCGTAGTACTCTAAGACGCGCAAGAGCACTGAGACCATGGCATTTCGCCTGAGATCGTTCTCCCCGCGACCGCGCGCTTCAAGGAAGACGTCTGCTTCGTCAAAGAGGAGTACGGCTTCCCACTTCCCTGCAAGGTCGAATACTTTTTGTAAATTTGCTTCAACTTTGTCGCCTTCGATTCCAATGTCAGACACTCCGACGGAAAGTAGGGGCTTGCCGGCCATGAGCGCCACACTCTCAGCCGTTAGAGTCTTTCCAACACCCGGGTGACCTATGTTCAAATTAGTGGCTGAGACATGCTATCTGACACGAACAAAACTCGTACCGTAGAGCATGATAACGAGACCCTTCCCCTTATCCGGCGCAAAGTCTTGCAAGCTCAAGGATTCACCTTTCGTATTGGTCTTCTTACCATACTCATGCGCTTGTACAGACCACCTGACCAGCTCCTTGTGGTCTTCGTCCAGTTGCAATTTGTCGCGGAACACACTTGAGTCTGCATCATTGGGAGGATTGAGCTTTTCCACCAGCAGCTGCGCCCATTTCTTCTGCTTCAGCGCATATCCGAGGACTCTTGGAGGACAATGCATAAGTTGGTCTGGCGACATGGGTTTGTCAGAGGCGTGCCGGTCCCAGTGAGTCTTGTACATATCTCTGTAGATTGGATTGGCGCGTTTCTCAGGCGAGAGATTCTCCAGCTGGCCGCGGAACTGGGGAAGGTCTCCTAGAATTGGAGTGTTGGGGGACAGATATTCGAAGAAAGAGGTAAAATCAACCATTGTGGTGCCGTCCACCTAGAGTCAAGTCAGAAAAGCTGTTCTGTGTAGTCAGAAGTACGCGATAACTCACTTTCTTCTTCTGGACGTATCGGGCCTCGCTGTTTCGTCCGGCGCCGGTGTCGGTAGAAGATGAAGTATCATCATCTGGTCGACGGCGGCCCCCCTCATCATCACCACTACCGATGAAGCTACGCCCTGTGTGAAAGTGTGCATCACCAGAGTATGTAAACATTTGTTTGCCTTTGCCAGGATCGCAGAGTTTGACAAACTTCTCCCCCCGAGCGATAAGCCGTTCCTTGAGGCGAGCAATTGCGTCCTCCGATGAGACGTTTTGCTCATCTGGGCTGCTATAATATTTGAGCGGGTAGAACGGTAATTCCACGATGCTCTTGCGATTAGAGCCCCAGTGACGGATCCTCATTTCAAATGGTACTCTGGTAAACTCTATGCCCGTCCAGTCGAAGCTGAAGCATACCAGGTCGAAAGTATGTTCTTCTCGTATGAAATAGTCGCACGAATCGACAGTAAAGATTTGAGGCTCACCTAGGCAAGGGTGTGAGACGATCAGGGTACCCGGCGGGAATAGCGTCCACAGGGCTGCGTGCGAAATGGTTTTCTCATCAACGAACAAGTTCCTTTCTTTGAAATACTGGTCGAGAGGCAGGATGCCTGAAGATGTGGAGATGATCCGCAGGAGCTCACGGAGATCAATTCGGGCTTGCTTTTCCTCAGGTGCCTCGGTCTCCACAAACCTTTTCGCTTCCTCTTCGGCCTCTGCCCACGTCCAGACTAGACTCGCGAAAGGAGAGCTCAGGCTCTTGACAACTTCATCCGTTCCGAATTTTGACGTTATTGTGCCAACTAGCTTCTGCAGTGGCTCAGACTCGATCTGGGCCTCTGACAGGACCGTTTCGATGTAGTTGAAACGGGGCCGAAACATGGTAGACTTTCGAAAGGTGAACGCTCTGCGGCTTTGAGGTTTGGGCCCAATCTCTTTCTTTTCGTTACTTTTCGTGATCTCGTCATCTTTGTAGTCGCCAGTGTCTGGATCCCACTTGTTCACAATGATGACGTATCGGGGCTCCTCTTCTTCCTCGATATCGGCCTTGTCAGCTGGCGCCTCGGGCTTGCCGTCTTTCTTCTACGCTGCCGTCAACAAGCAGACTTGCAAGCATGAGGTCCAAACGCATACTTGCGAGGCATGATCATCGTCGTTAGGGGTTGGAAGGCGTTCCTCAAGCGAAGCTATCTTCTTCAGAAGTAACTTTATGTACTGATCTTGGACCTGAGTTGTTTCCAAGGTTTTTGCTACGTCCTGTATATCCATCAGAACTGCAGATAGACAAGTGTGGCATGTCCTACAAGGCCTTCGTCTGCCCCAACGGTAGTTTCGTCCATCGCAGACTGCTGTGACATTTTCTGAAAGGAATAGAAAGAGTTGCGTTCGAGCTCACACACAGTGTGGAGAAGATTGTAGCGAGGGCCCTCTTGTGTATTCTTGGTGAACGCCAGATACGCGCCTGCCTTCATGATGCGACACCTCCCGTCGGCAACTGCGAGGCCCGCAAATCCATTGACCGGAAGTGGTCACGGCATTGGGGGCCATGATTGGTAATTCGAGATTACCCAACAAGATGACAGGGTTGTGTGCATCCGACGCGACACGAGAAGGAAGGCCGGATTGTCGAGTAGTAGGCACGGGTACTTCGTCCAATTGGTCTAACAGAGCATTCCTGTCCTTTGAGTGTCCAGGTTGGGTTTGAGCGGTTGGCGCGGGGTTGTCGCTGCAGTCATCTCACATGTGTCAGCCTATACACGAACACTCCTTGGAAGGCGCCACGCACAAGGCTGAGTGCGACGAAGCGCAAAACCTGAACTCTGATTCGTACACCCTCAGCCCCCAAACATGCATCGCGTATTGGAATCCTCAAGCTTGTCGCAACCCTGCATTGTAACCTATGCAAGTGTCAGCCTTACGGTAGTAGTAACAGGAAGGAGCCTTGCATACCCTGCTCTGTCGCTTCCTTGCAGTGTACTCACGCGAAAGTCGGCGCATCTCAGTTACGAACTCGACAATGGACATGATGCAAGATGAAAAACAACGAAGACCAGTGTCGCAATGGTTCCCAGATTCTGAGTGGGCGTGCGTACCCCGAGGGAAAGTCTGTGGATATTATGAGCTCGGCTGACTGCAACAGGAAGCATTTGCCGTTATCACAGTTCGTTGCGGAACATAATGGTTATTTGAGTAGCAAACTCAAGCGGACAGGGCTCGGAATTAAGTCAGAGCTTAGAGGCATTCTCAATTCCGTGCCGGAAAAGAATGAGACCACGTTGACAGAGTCGAAGAAAGAGAGTGATCTGTTGCAGTCGCTAAATGCTATGCCACTCCATGTATTGTCCACCTACGTCCATAAACACGCTGAAGACCTTGGGGCAGCGCATACTGCCCTGGACCGGAAGCGATCTGATGGCGTCCGAAAAACCTGGTCGGAGACGGAGAGGTTCGTCATGCAATTTGATAGATTCCTAAATGCCTATTCTGGCATTCTAGACATCGTCAAAACAGCCGACGCTCAATACGGCGGAGTAGCTGGCGCGACACTCGCGTTGCTTTTCTCGGTAGGTCACCATCACAAAAGCCGTATCGGAGGAGGGCTAACGTGCGCAAGACTGTGAAGTTGAAGATCAAGAACGAAGAAGCCATCGTGTCCGCAATGGAACAGATATCTGATCGTCTCCCAGACCTGGAGGTATACCGGAAGATTTACCCTGAGCCAAAACTAGGCTTGATGCTTGTTGATGCATACAAGGACATCATAATTCTTGCGCGAGCAGCGACAAGTTACTTTCTTGGGTCGACTTGGGGTACATAGCACCATTGTAGCATCCAGAGTTGAGTCCTTTTCACTGACGACTGGATAGGACGCCAAGTGATCAATTTCGGAAACCCACTTAGTTTTGAGGTCCTAGAACAAAACATGCGGGAGAATTTCCGCCGTATCCGGATAAGATGCGACGTCCTCCTAGCGCAACGGGTGGACCAGCTGGCGAACGAGCTAAAAGGTACGCATATTATGAATGATACATGTCGATGTGCTAAGAATCAACAGATAGTTACGAGCGTGAAGATAGGACCAGGGTCGTGTTGTTACGCGATGCACTGAACATTGGAAGTTATCGAACCGGCGATGCCGTTCTCTCGCTGAAGCAGTATCGCAAGGCGCTGGCATCTAGCTTCGATGATGATAGGCATCGATCGAAGCTGTGCAAATCGGATTTGATGACTGAGAGCAAGGCTCGCTTCTGGCAAGAGAGTACGTCCTGTCTTCTCATGCTCTCGGGCTGCAACGAAGAAGGCGTCGGTGAAGTGGCACTGTCCTGGCTATCTCCAGTGGCTGTGGATATCGTGCTTGACCGGCTATCTCAATCGCGACCAGTTGCCTTTGAGATCTGCACCAGATCAAGCACATGGGAGAATGTACTAGCGCGATTGATCTTTCAGCTATTAGAGAAGAATCCGGCAGTGGTTCGAAAAGGCCAGGACTGGTACGAAATCCAGTCGCATATTGCTTGGGACGGTGATTCAGAAGGAAAGACAAAGCATCTCTCAGAAGCCTTACGCAAGATCGTCGATTTACAGACAGAGGAAGTGTACATTGTTATAGACAGACCTGAGCTGAGCGAGGATGATTCCGTAAGAGACTTCGCTTCGGGCATGCTTCATTTGATCGAGCAAACGAGGAATGTTCTGAGAGCAATGATCATTCATCGAGCTGAACTCTGGAATTGGGAGGAGAACAAGAGAAGTGTTCTCGGAAAGGGTATGAGAGGCGACATCTGCCAAGCGCTTCGTATCGATCAATGCCGTTTGGAGAGTAATTAAAGTCAGTGACACAGGAGACGCAGCGGTTGTGTGGTAGCGGTGGCCTTGACATCGAGGTGCAGGAACGGTGGAGGGTCCTTGACACGTGTTAATTGAGCTGAAGCACATGCGTCACATTTGGAGACCAACCTCAGTTGACTTAAAATCTTCGGATCGGTAGTGGAAGGCTTTGGCCGTCTAAAGCTCGATTGATCAACTGGTATATTTATCTTGCAATCCCATACAGCCGTGAACATACATCATCATGCTTATTTTTTCTTGCCGGACGCCTCGGTCGCACTCAGTTCCCTGATGAAGACCTTGGTCACGCCATCAGGTACGTCGTCAACTCCGTCCTCGAAGCCTGGGCTGACTCCAATGGCTACATATTTGCCATCGTTGGAAAAGTCGATCGTCTGTACACTGGCAGGGAACTTCTGGTACTGTCGTATCCTTCTCTTTGCTACTGCGTCCCACAAAGCGACTATGCCATCTCCACCTCCTGTCGCGAAAGTGCCGTGGACTGGGTGGTATGCGAGCGCGTGAACTGGGTAGACGACGTCCTGGCCATCAACTTGTTGTCGGTGGCACTTGAACGCGTACTTGCGCGACTGCGACTCCTCAGATGGGTCGAACCACTCGACTGCTACACGGCCCTCGATGCTCGAGCTGGAGTATCCCGCGTCGTTTGGCATGCAAGATACGGCGCGCGTCATGTACTTCATGGAACTCTCCCGCTGCTGCCACGGCTCCACTCCCACTTCCTCACCGCCGCCTCTCTTGGCAGCCTCTGCCAGCTTATCTAACTCGTAGATGTTGACTGCGCGGCTGGCCATGGCGACGACTAATTTGGTGGGCGAGGCGGAGAGAGAGAAGGGCTTGGAAGGCAGGCGGATGGCAGAGAAGTCGCCAGGTTGCGAGAGGTCGTGGAGGTGCAGTGTCGAGTCCCATGATGAGGAGATGACGAGGTTGTGCGGCGCGGAGTAGAGAACATTGCGAACACCCTGCGAGTGTGTGGACATGATTGTCTGCGCGCCAGTCTCGAGGTCGATTCTCCGTACCTCCCAGTCAAGCCCACAGGAAAAGGCCTCGTTGTCGTCGCGCCCAAAGCAGACATCTAGCACCGGCGCGCGGTGCTCAAACTTCTGGAGCAGCTTGCCGCCGGGCTCAGCGTGCGTATCGTAGAGGTAGACATGGCGGTCCCAGGAAGAGACGAGCAGGCGTGTTGGGTTGTTGGTCGCGAACTTGACCGACGAGATGGGCTCCGTCGGGTTTTGCGCAAGCTCGAATTGGCCTGACTGGGTTAGTCTGGGTCTTGTGTAGCTATAGATTCGCTATGGTGAGGGAAAAGCAGCTTACTTGACATGTTGGCGGTGTGTGTTGCTGCGCGTAGTGGAAGCTGCGCGCTGAAGTGAAGCTCTCGAGGGCGCGGGAGTCCGCAAGCCAAACAATTGGGATCTGCGCTAACGCCCCTCCAAAAGTTCCCCAACTTGTCCCTTGTCACGCTCACACCAACTACGATGCCCTTCGCCCAACTCGTCATAGGCCCGCCGGGCTCGGGCAAGTCGACGTACTGCGATGGCATGCAGCAGTTCATGGGCGCCATCGAGCGCAAGTGCTCCGTCGTCAACCTCGACCCCGCCAACGACCACACGTCGTACCAGCCCGCCGTAGACGTCCGAGACCTCGTCACGATAGACGAGATCATGGAGCAGGAGACCCTGGGCCCAAACGGGGGGATTCTGTTTGCGCTCGAGGAGCTGGAACACAACTTCGACTGGCTGGAAGAGAGCCTGAAGGAACTAGGAGGTCTGCGACAGCACTCGACGCTTCGGGAGTCTACTAACAAGCTTAGATGACTACATCCTCTTCGACTGCCCCGGGCAGGTCGAGCTCTTCACACACCACGGTTCGCTGCGGAACATCTTCTTTCGCCTACAAAAACTTGGGTATCGAGTATTCGCCCACCGCCCATGGCTTGCAACTGGAGGCTAACATGCGCCAGCTCGTCGTTGTACACCTGACCGACTCCATCATACTCTCGCGACCGTCGCTATACGTTTCCTCCCTCCTACTCGCCCTGCGCAGCATGTTGCAGATGGACCTGCCTCACCTCAACGTTCTCACCAAGATCGACAACCTTCGCAACTACCCCAATCTACCCTTCAACCTCGACTACTACACCGAAGTTCAGGATCTCCAATACCTGCTGCCACATCTCAATCGCGAACAGACTTCCGGCATCCCGGGTCCCACAACAGCCGGCGCAAACGAGAACGTAGATCTAGACGATGACGAGCCGACTTCAAAGTTCTCCGCGCTGAACAAAGCCATCGTAGAACTCGTCGAGGACTTTGCGCTAGTGGGGTTTGAGACACTGGCGGTTGAAGATAAGAAGAGCATGATGACGCTGCTGCGGGCCATCGATCGTGCAGGTGGCTTCGCGATGGGTGGAATAGAGGGCGCAAACGACACGGTGTGGCAGATGGCTATGCGTGAGAACGGAGCAACTATGGATGCTCGGGATGTGCAGGAGAGGTGGCTGGACAGGCGGGACGAGCTCGACGAAGAAGAGAGGAAGGCATGGGAGGATGAGACCAAAGACATGCGCGACGCACCACCACAGAACGCTTCCCAAGCACCGCCTGCCGCGAAACCACCTACAAAGCCCAAGGATCAAGATAGTGATGACGACATGGACGATCTTGAAGAGATGCGACGGTTCATGGAGAAGAAAGACTCAGGCATCAATGTAGTCAGGAAGTGAAGTAACGGTGCGCTAGACCATTAGGCAGCGCAACGACCGCATGCCTGTTCAGCGCGCGCGCTCTGACGAAATAGTAGTGATGTTGGCTCTTTATGAGCTTTCATGACAAAGACTGTATGGCTCGAGTATCCTGTCCACACAGAGTGACGATCTAAGCGTCGTGGCGGCTCGCAAGCTTATAGAGAGCTTCCAATGCTAGAGATGGGAGCACTGCTTGAAGTACAGGGAATTGCTTGAGCCGAGGAGTTGCATGCAACCACCATCAAGGAAGGCAAGGCACTTAGTCCAAGTTTGGATCTTGAAACAACGCGTCGCGTGAGCAAACATGCACGCGCCCGCACGGCTCGATAGTCGACTATTGTGTAGAATCTGGCCCTGCACTAGACCCTAATCGATACCGTCTAATCTCATCGTATTGCTCCCTTGGCTGTTTTTGACTGCGCACATGCTTAAACGCAAGCCCTCGCGCGACCTGGTCCCCAGCGGCGGCCCCCACGTCTCCATCTTTAGCGGCGACCCCACGCTTAGTCGTCATAAGCGGAAGCGCTCGCTCTTCCGCTCCCAGCACAACAGGGCGCAGTGGGTGCCCGAGCCAGAGCGCGACATGAGTGAAGTGCTAGAATTCGTCCTGCAACATGAAGACGCCTTCAAGAAGTGAGTCCAGCCTCTATCGGCGGCACCCTGCATTGCTGACTAGCACAGCCAGTACCGCCTTGCATCGCTCTATGCAGACTTTCGGCAACAGCTAGAGATAAACCCGGAAGGCTACCATGCAAACATCGCCGCGTGGACAAAGGCCCTCGTCGACGCCTCACGGGCGGGCGTCATCCCGAGGCAGGGCACCACCCACGATCTCCTGAACATACGAGCAGCCGACGAGCTCGCGCGAGCCTTGCAACATCCGCAATATGGCAAGCCCACGTGTCTACCGGCCGTCTTCCATGAGGCAGTGCAGAAGAAGGAGATGATACCTCTGAACGACTTCATGTCGTCAAAAGAGAGCATATACAAGACATCATGGATACCTTCGCCATGGCAGGTGCTTCAGTGGAGCTTGCGGCAGGTAGGGGTACTGGGGCAGGTACGGGCGCCGGCCAAGATGGAGGTGGGGAACTTCGTCGTCGTCAAGAATGTCGAAGTTGCTGCGGACGAGATACTCAAGAAGATGAAGGAGCACGTATCTACGGCCGATCGGGTACTATCGAAGACGGATTTCTTGAAACGTTTCGCGACTATACTGAATCCAACTGCACCACTCACAACGAACGACCTCAATATTCTCCTCGTCTTCCTCGCCCGAGACAAGCAAGCGATATCTCACAACGATCAGACAATCAAATTCAAGCCAGAACATGAAGCTGTGCCCCTCCCCATCACAGAAGAAGACACCGCTATTGCCAATCTTCGCGACACACTAGCGAATATCAATGCGCAGATACCGCCATTGATGGAGAAGATTGCTTTGGCTGATGCAGCCGCACGGGAAGCCGTAGTTGCGAAGCAAATGGTTCGCGCCAAAGCTGCACTGCGCTCCAAGAAGCTTGCCGAAAACGCTCTCGCTCAACGTTCCGATGTCGCCCTCCAGCTCGAGCAAGTCTACACAGATCTACAACAGGCCGCCGATCAGGTCGAAATTGTCGAGGCCATGCGGGCTGGTGCAGCGGCCCTCAAAGGTCTCAATGAGAAGGTTGGTGGTGCAGAAGGTGTTCAGGGTGTTGTCGATGCCGTAAACGAACAGATGGCGACTACGGAAGAAATCACGAATATCATCAATGAGACCGACCAGCCTCTTGATGAGGGCGAGATTGACGACGAGTTCGAAGCACTTGAGAAGGCGGATCGCGAGAAGCGCGAAAAGGAAGAGGCCGAGAGGACTGCTGCAAGGCTGGCGGAGCTTGAGGCAATGGAGAAGAAGCGCAAGGAGAAGGAAGCTGCAGACAAGGAGCAACGACAGAGGGACGCTGCTGACGCGGGCAGAACGGAGGAACAGGTGGATGAGGCGTCTCAGAGCATGGCGAGGATGTCTTTTCACCAGCCGGATGATGAGATGGAAGATCCTGAGGAGGAGAAGCGCACACTTGCTCATGCTTAGGCATTCTTTGATTGTTCCGCGCTCCATTGGTTTATCTGCATAGCATCGGCGTTCCGGGCTCTTATACCACAGATCAGTTACCTAGGTACTGATGGTACACTACATACTCATCATTCTGAGAGAAATATTACACTTCTTTATATACAGTAACGATACACTTGCCGGATGAAACATGGTCTTTTGGTTGCAATTCAACTTTTGACACCGATCCCTGTGAGCAGTTTGACGTCTTGTTGCTCCTTCGCTCCGGCGCCACTAGCCGCCACCACGCCAAGCAATCGCAAGGAACGCGGAACCTCACCTTGACGTCGACACAGCCAGCACCTGTCTGCACCCATCACAACCCTCTGCCCCTACGCCGGGACCGATCCAACCACATTACGCCTACCTCAGATTCGACCCGCGAGCCTGCAGACCACCATGAACTCCGTCCGCGCCGCGACCAGCGCCTCGCGCACCGCCCTCACCGCTTCGGCTCGCACAGCAGCTCCCCGCCGAGCCTTCTCACAGTCACAAACGACGCGCTCAGGTCACGGACCTAGCTACGATCCCCCATCCGGATGGCTCTTTGGCGTCAAGCCCGGCGAGCAGTATGAGAAGGAGGGGTGGGAGAACGCCATGTACTGGGGCTTTGGAGGAGCGTGTGCGTTTGGCGTTGTTGCCTACGCTTTCAAGCCGGATACTAGGTACGTGCAAATCTCACGTAGAAGGGAGATGGACGGGGATAGTGCGGAATGGGTAAAGAGGTGGATTAGGAGGAAGGAGTCACAAAAGGACAAGGGAATCGAGCTCCAAAGGAGCGGCAGCAAGAGCACAGCTGCGATGGTATGATCGTACAGAAGCTAACACTCCACCAGCATCCAAACCTGGGCCCTAGAGGAGGCGCGACGAAGACTCGAAGCCGAGGGTATTCTCGCAGACCCAGACACCGTCAAGAAGGAGTAGACGACACCTTCAGCAAGTCAAGTGAGACCCAGAACATGGGGCGTAAGTCTTACAGCAATACCACGGACATTGTATATATGCTAGTCGGGACGAGGATGCGGCCTTTTTCTTTTGTGAGCTTGGATCTGGATGGGCTAGACGCTCGATAGACTATGCGATGATGGCTGAGTAGCCGAGGGTAGGCAATTGTATTTTTTGTTACGGATGTTTGTGAATGGTATGTATGAGGTGTGATGTCGACGGTCTTGCGGAATCTTGGTCTATGTGTGGGTAGGTAAGGTTTTTTGCATGAGAAGCTGATCATTCGCCAAATCTTTAAGGCTGCTTAGGTCCGCATACATTACTTCTTCTTACTTTCGCCAGCACGTGAGACTGGTGTCCTTCAATTACCCATAGAGGTTCAACGATTGAGTAAAGCACTCCAGAGCTCCGTCCCTTCCTTAGCAGCACTGCCCTCTTCTGGTTAGATATCGTTATGCCGGCTCCCGAGGTCCTGCCCAAGTGTCTAGGCGGAGTGTTCGTTACAACATGCGCATCTACAAGCCGTACATCACTCCGGTCGTGAAAACTGTTAAGATTCGCTACACAGGTCTCTCCTCTCGATATGTCGCAACCTCAGAGCGCACCATTATGTCTACCTACAGAACTCCGGCATGAGATCTACTCATACCTGCTGCCTACCGAGATCCACGTACGCCTCCAAGATGGCAATCTCTGTGCGTCTGCGTGTGTTCAGCACTGCAAGTTTTTCAGTGTCCATCCATGGGGTTACGAAATTCAATACACTGACATAACTTGGCAAAACCGAGTGAGCACATCCGTGTACGCCCGCCGCCTACAGTCAGTCTGGGGTCTTCACTGATCGTGCGAGGAACACACGTCGTTATCTGAAGGTGCAGAGAATCCCAGTCTCCTCCATGTCTGTAAGAGCGTGTAAGTGTATCGAGATATTTGGTTGGCACGCGCTTATATCACCAGCCGCAATGAATTGTATGATCTCCTTGCTCATACTTCAATTGTCCATGTCTCAGACCTGAACTTGATTGATAATTGGGCGAGAGCATCAGAGATGGCTATTCCATCACCTTCTCAATTCGCGAAGATGCCGGTCGAAAATGTCAGTCGACTAAGTATCACGCTCAGGCTTCCGTTTGGTTTCTTCCAGTCAGTGGAGCAACTCTCAAGCAACGATTCCACATCCTTGGATACAGACTTAGCGACTCAGCAAGCAAGTCTGTGGCAGCGATTGGGCTCCAGTCTCAGCCGGTTCAAAGCTCTTGAGAAGCTCGACTTGTGGCTAGACCACACTGAGCCCCAGTTCTGGGCCGTGGTCAACGAGCGCTCGACCCTCGACCCTCTCCTTACACAACTAAGCGGGCGTCCTGACCTTGACGTTACTGTCACGCTGCCCATGCTTCACCCAAAATTCGAACAGGACGAGCGGCACTACATCGACGAGGAAATTTCACCGAATGTCCGTGTACACAGGGTGCTGAGGCAAAAAAAGGTATGCTGTGGTTGATGCTATTGGGGACGTCAAGATTGTCAAAATGTACGATTTTCCGTTCATGTACGACGAGTATCTGGGACGTAATATGTCTTTGGCTGAGATAGCGAAACGTGAGCGGGAAGAATGGAAACAGGATCGTGATATGGAGAATGAGGCTGCAAGAGCTAGGTTTTTTAGAGGGTTGATATGAATTTGTAGTATCTTTGGACCGCGGGGTCACTAAACATTCATTAGTGGCTTCTAGCATCATTGTGCATACTGTAATAGTTGCGTGAGATTTAAACGTAGCCCGTGCCGTCACCGCTCATACTCGCTCCCGCTTCCTAATCATTCTCATTAACTTCGTTACTTGCCGTCCACAACCGCTTCAAGTGGGACTTAATCCGCCAACTTTACTTCTTGTCACTAAAAAGGACCACCGAGTAGTTCAATCCATGATCCACACCATGGCACTGAAACGCGAAGAGGCAACGCATGCTTGTATCAACGAAAGTGCGCGTAACGGTGTCGTACCTGTAAGCAACGCGTATGTATACTCGTACAGTTTCAGTATACTAAACTAGGATTGTAAAATATCGACGACCTGGCCACCTTCGTTCAAGCTTACAAGCAGCTTCAGAGCGATACCACCCACTTCTGGAACGCGCTCGCAGAGCGCGATCATAAACATGCACAAGCTATCACCCAACTTCGACAGGCTGCAGAACATCAGAGCGCCGACTATGCTGCTACGCTGAAGGTCTTGGACCAAGAGATACACCTACTGCGACAAGAAAGAGTGAGTCTGAAAGAAGGCATCGAAGATATGGAGTTTGAGATCGTCCCAGTCAACGACGATGTTGCCAGGCTGAGAGCAGAGAATGCGAAGCTTCGACGTGCGGCGATTCGAAGAACCCGCGAGATCAAAGGCTTACATGACAAGATCAAGGATTGCAACAAGAGCTTTGGGGGCTACAAGAAGCGAGTGAAGGCTTTGGCGAACGAGCATTAGTAAGTCATGAAACGGCACCCACAAACATCACAGTAGATACGTTCATCATAACGAATGCAGTCAATTTGTCTCTATATGCACACTTCTATATCCACCACAAGTATATACAATTGCGAAGCCAAGCGAGAGGACAGCCGGAAAGAATCCACGAGCTCTTACAGTACCGAGTTCTGGTCCCTTTCCAGCATCTTATCCAACAACCTCATAGAGCGCTTATGCGGGCTGGGCGAAAGTAGAGCCAATGGGGCCAAACTTGATGTTGGAGAAGACGACAGTGGCGCCGGGCGAGTTTGCCTCAACGTCTTCGGGCTTGCCAGAGTCGGTAGCGCAGGTACCACGGGCAGCACCAAGCTTGTCTGGGCTAGCATCGGTGGGGTAGGTAGAGTCGAGCCAAAGCATGTTGACCGCATGGTCGTCCCAGAGGGACATGACGAGGACGTGTCCGCGAGCAAGCGAGGCACCCATTCCGTTGAGGCCACCGAGGGTCTTGAAGGAGTTTGTGTCACCGAAAGTGGTCTTCTGCGCTTCACAGAAAGACTCGGTGATGGAGTTACCAGAGACGCCCTCAATAGCGGAGTCGGAGTTCTTGAAAACCTTTCCGCCCTGGATGTAGAAGCGCTTGATCTCAGAGAGGCTGGAGCCGGAGCCGATGAACTGAGTGACAACGGTCATCTTCTTGGTGGTGTCGAGAGTCATGCCGGGGCCGTAGAAGTCCTTGACGCCCATGCGGTAGCTGTTGAAGTCGCAACCGTCCTTGTCGCAAAGTCCGCCGTAGCGGTTGTCGCCGTCACCGCAGCTGACTGCGTCAGTGCACTCCTGAAGACCAGTGCCCTTGCAGGGATGGGGAGTGTAGGCAGTGGAGATGGAGTTGGCCTCCCAGATGTCCATCTCGGGGCAGCAAGCACCGATCTTGCCTGAGCCAGCGTTGGGGTCGGCGTCGGACGGGTTCCAGCCCTCAACGTTGGCTACACCGTTGATGAACTTGATGTCGTGGGGGCACTGCGAGTCGCAGTATCCGGTTCCGTACTTGGCACCAGCCTTGTTGTTGCCCTTGTTGATGCCACCGTCGGCGGCCATCTCGACAAAGTAGAGAGCACCGTTCAGACCGCAGGGTAGCTTGGAGACATCGACATCGAAGGTGAACTCCTTTCCGATGAGGTTGAACATCTGGTACTTGGTGTCGCTCTCCATGAGGTAGGTGCGAGAACCAATGTTTGCAGAGTAAGAGCCCTTGGTGACGAACTGGAGGCTCAAAGAGTTGCTGCTGGTCTTGATACCGTAAGTGCCTAAGATTGTTAGCCGGAGGCGTTACATGTTGTGTCGTGGATATGGTAACGTACCAGAGTAGTCAGCACCGTCGATAGCGCAGTTCTTGGTGCAAGTGCTGCCGTCAGGGCAAGCGGTCGTGTTCCAGGAGTTGCCGTCGTAGCAGTTGGTGTACCCACTGGTGACATGAGACCATCGCCAGTTGGCATCGAGCACAATGGAACCCTGCTTGGTGGTGCAGCTGTTTCCACCGGTACCAGTGCAAGTCTGCCATGTCATCTTGGGGTGTGTCTCTGTTGTCGATGTGCCAACCTGCTGAGCGCGGGCGGCTCCGAAGAGCGAAAGCGAGGTGAGGGCGAGTGTCCTGTACATTGTGGCTTCCTGAGTGAAAGTCTGTTGTTGGATGTCGAAAATGTTTGAGGGATGTACAGGCCTTCTTATACAGAATTCGTGGGCCGATGGCTACTATCGACGGTACTTTACAGAGGTACCCATATGACTGCTGATTATTGCAAGGTGCGCAAGATCTACACCCTTGACATCTCCTATGCTGTTCTCACCAATGCCGTAAGAGGAACGGAATATCGGGAGCGCGAAAGGGCGCTAGGAGTGCCAGAGTAATGAAGGATAGATGAGGCATGCCCTGTTGCGCCGCATCGTGGGGTAGTCTGGGGTATTGCGGAGATCTGTGCGCCACCACGCCCGGGATCCTTGCCTTAAAGAGATGGTGTTTGAAGTGATGAATGGAGAAGCATATGGAGACGTACTATCGACCGTCGGCTTCACTGATAGCCAAGTTTTAGCTTTCCGTCTCATTCGACAGTGGTTAACCAGCCTCGTATGTAAGAAGGCAAAGCTGCAGATCAGCACTCATAGCCGTGTTCTCGATATTCGCATACCATGTAGTGGCTGGGTCACAAATCACCTCATGTGCACATACAACGCAGAAGCATACATCATGTGGCCTCTTATAGTACAACAAATTAGGAAACAACGTATCCTTCAAGGTGTAGTACGATGGAGGTACATCTGAGAACAAAGTCGCGTTGTTCTGTGCAGACGTACCCGGTGAGCTCAAAACCCGGTAGGAATAGATTGCTCTTTTCAAGATCCATGGGCATATACGAGGGAACCTTCCAGAAAGATTTTCCGAACTTGGTGGATATTTAATCTGCTGCAGAGGTCATGAGGCTCAGATCTTTTCCCGGGTTACGGTATGGCCTGAAATCCAATTAGAAGGAAGAAGACCGAGGTACGCACATCGCTAAGAGCGGCCCAATCCAATGGCACATTTTGGTGGAGACTATTATGACCCTCCTCTTTGCGCTGTTCTGGCATCACTGTTGTAATAGACAACTATGACTGGCGCTGCTCAACAAACCAGTTTACGGATCTAGAGTGTCCGCTCAGCGAGTATGTTTCCCCACGTCGATATGTGTGAGAAGCATTGAGAGAGTTTCATCAGGAGCCCCCTCCCAGTGGAACGCAGGTACCGAATTGAAGCGCCGAACCCTGTAAACAAAACGAAGCTTCCGGAGCGGACGGGACGAGACCCTCATACACAATTGGCTGTGGATCTCAGAGCTTAATCAAGTTGCTCTGAGTCTTAGCAAAGTGGCATCGACCGGATTTCTCGGTCGAAATGCTAGTGCAAAATAGATTGAGGTCCAGGGGTGCCCGCTCGCCAAGACCGGAACATTCCAAGGTTCGCCATGAATTTGTCCGCCTGCTAGGTCGTTGACAAGCAAAGCTTGTGACAAAAGACCATCAACGCGTTTTTTGAATCGTGGCTTGTGACAAGTCTCCAAGGAGTGTTGCACAGCAAAAGATGCAGATGCTGTTTTCCAAGTTGGTTTGTTGTGCATGAGGTCCAAGGTTCAGCCTAATCTTCCAGCAGCGTGCAATATAGGTTCCGGCCACTCGATATGAACTCCGCACCAGTATTCGACAATCACAGGTCCTTGGGGATTGTGACCCAGGTGAGCGGCGGTTTTTCAGGGCTTAGCGAATCAGGTGCGCTGTCATATACTGCGACCGGGTATAACACATTGAGCCGCAATCATCGTGGCAGCGTGACCTCACAACACGGCTCAGGGGCACCAAACGCGCAGTTCAGTGGACATGTTTTGCTGGTACCGAGACTGCATCACTCTGCTTGAAACCGAGAGTGAGATATGTGGCTCCGGAAGCATAGATTGGTCGCATACCTAGGTACACTTCAGAGTCTTCAGAAAGTTCGAAGACTCGGGCGATTCGTATGTTATCACCTACGTACCGTACTCCAACGTGTATCGCAAGTGAGAAGTATCTATCTAGTAAGTAAGGAGACAGATTGCGATGGTGTTTGGAGGTTGGACAACCCCAAAGTCGGCAGAAAGGGGTCCAAACGCCTAGACCTCAAGAAGGCTAGCGTTTCCCCCGCACCTCGAGACATCGAAGTAATCACTTCGAACTATTTTTCTTCTTTGCGAGCCTCTTTCCGTTCAGTTTCTCCTCTGATCAAGATTGTTTCATGGTGTTGGCATGTCGCCTAGTATGTGGTATATTGCCCAACTCCGATATGTCTATATCTAAACCCACGCGTTGTACTTAGTAGGCTCCTGCAATGAAAAGCGGTTGCAGGTACTCAGAAAATTCTAAATAGGCTTGGAAAGTCAGAAGAACGTCTAGACAAGTCCGTGTCCATGACGAGCATCTAACCGAATCAACTCTTCAGCAACATCTCTCGCAACATCTCGTGTGTCTTCAGCGTACTTCCGAGCTACTGCTTCGTTTTCCTCTCGCGTCCGCCAATACCTTGGTCTTGCACTAGACCGTCTGATCTCATCGTGCCCTTCCTCCGAAGTATTCATCCTCATGAATGACCGATAGATGCGAGACTTTGGCGTATCGTTAGTCGCCACGACCCCAGGGTGAGTAGCTTCTTTCATTCCACGGTCCACGTCCGCAGCCTCAAACGCACATCTGACAGTTCCCGCAGGTCGGCTCGTAAGTCTCACGAGACATGTGTTTGCCCCACTGCCCTCAGCACAGCTTCCTACCCCATGCGCTCTCCACCCCGTCTCGAACGGCGTCCTTCCCGTTCCCAGATCCCGCCAACTCTGCACCACCAACCTGACTTGTCCGCCTGTAGCATGCGAGAAGTCTTGACTGGTTACGCTCCAGTCTGTCGCACATGTGGAGCAGTTCTGCGTGAACTGGTACTTCCAACCTCGGCGAATAACATTGTCGATGGCGGCCATGAGACCAGTGTGGCCATTTGGCGTATCACGGTGGCCTGTGACAATATGGGGGAGGAGAGGCCAGAGCGATTTTAAAAGGTTGCGATTACGCGTCGTAAATGCGGGCAGGACAATGGCATAAGAACTGTGCAACAGGAAGCGGCCGTTGACTATCCTGGCGGATACAGTGAGTTTAGTAGGAACAGGTGTTCTGGAGATGCGTGCCATGTCTTTCTTCTCATGAGTAAACGCTGACAGGGGAATGCCGTGTTCGTCCCCCCGCGATGCGCGGTTGATGGCAAGTCGGATGTGGTGAAAGCGTAGTTTGTAGCCGTCCCCAGCGTCCAAGTAGCTGTTGTAGTCGGCACAATCTCTTCTCCTTCTTGAATATTGCTGGTTCTTTGGCCCGTCTTCCGCAGCCCAGGCATGGAATTTGTCACACCAGCCGCAGAACCAATGATCGGGAAAGGCGCGCTCTACTACCGCTTCAATGGTCTTCCTCTTCTCAAATCGGTTCTTGCTTCCCTGGACATGGCGAGACAGGACTTCAGTGCCGAGTGCGTAATAAATGTATCGACCGGATAGACAGAAGGCTGCTGCGGAGGCAGTGTCGAGATAGGTGTTGACTTGTTGGATGAGCTCGAGTGGGAGAGTCAGTACCGGAGCTTTCGGTAACGGCGGAGACGGTTTGATTGTAGCCAGTGAGTCTGTAATCTCGTATTCTTCAAAGGTAGAATCTATGCTCGTTCTAGAGCTTGCGGTATCGGATGCCGAGTCGATGGTCGAAGGACGCGATGAGTATGAGGAGCTAAAGCTCATGGAACGACGAAAGATATTCATGACTTCGTCTTGATCTATCTCTCCACTATCCGTGTGGTCGTTATGAGGCTACCTAATTCTGAGGCTGAGACCAATACATGAGTACCACAAAGGGGCAACAGACGTTATAAGTCAACTCTGCCAAACGTATAATTTAATAACAAGGACTAGTCAACAACACGTCAAGAAAGGTACCGACATAGCCGTTGCAAGCTCGACGCCGTCTCGCGCGCGGCCACTGCATCCCCTTATCAATGCGCCTGCCCTCCGGCCACCAATGCACGACATGTCATCCAGCCGCTGTTTCTAACGGGGCCTGACAGTGGCACGCAACGCCCTTGGCACATCGAGTCCAGGCACATGCCTACCAGTTTGCCGTTGTCAGGGTCCAGCAGACGTATCCGGCGGTGTAGGTGAGACAGCCGTCATTCACCTGATGTGCTTGGGCTAACCGAAGTGGGGCTAGGTGCAACGTGTGTGGTGGGGTGACGCTGCTAAGCGCCCTGACTGAGCCGCCACTCCTGCCTTACAATCTTGGAACGCGTAAGATTTGGTGCCAGATGAGTCAGAGCGTAGGAGCAAGTTTAGCGGGACCATGTTCTTGTTGTTCTTTCTCGTGGTAAAAAGATTGATTTGCGAATAGTAAACGCTATGCTACGCGAAAATAGTGGTAGATCTGACGTGCTTCGCTATCGTGCGATTTTGCCCGTCTGATATACGCCAGAATTATAGATGTATATCGTACACGTGCGCTTCTAGTTCGAGAATGCGCAACCCTAGGTCATGTCATTACAACTTCTGGCTCTGTCATAAGTCATCCCCTCCCCTAGTCCACAAAGCCTGGTAGGCCAAGAATGCACCTCAGACGCGGTCTACTTGGGCAGCTCAGGGTTCAGCTTAAGCTGAGGTACTGGCGGGCCGGTTCCAGCTCTCCGCCTCCGCTCGCGCTCGTTGAAACCAACAGGTTGGTCGAGATGTGCAGTCTTCTTGAATTTGCCACCCAGGCTACGCATCCAGTCCTCGCCCTCGCCGGCATCAGCACCAAGCCAGTACTTGGGCGCACCACTGAGCATGACGCGCCCGAGTTGCCCCTTCCAGCCGCTTCCCTCTTCTTTGCCTTCTGCGAAAGGGTTTTCGGCAAGGTCGTTGGCGGACGTCTGCATGTTGTTCGAGTTGTACCACGCCGCGGAGGAGGCGTTTGCAGCGATGTGTTGGCGGAGGCACTGGCGCGCGAAAGCCAGCATGATGAAGACGAAGTAGACGCGGAGAGCCCAGAAGCCAGAGATCAGCGAGATGCTCATGATGCTTCCGCTCTGGAAGACGGCGTTGCCTAGCCCCGCGCCAGCATCTGCGCCTTGTCCGACTGCTATGGCGTTCTGACCGGATTTCAGGCCGTCGGTGGGCTCCGCGATAATGTCGACCTGTGTGACGTTGTGCTTGGGGCTGGTGAAACCCGCGTTGTCCTTCATGCCCGGCGATAGTCCGGCATTCTCGTCTGGGTGCGCGGCGAGCGTGTAGAACCACGCGATACCGAAGAAGGCTGTGTATAACGCGTTGATGACCGAGTCGAGCGCATACAGGTGCGCCAGCAATACCGACTCAAAGGGACTTTGTAACCGGATGTGCTTGTACAGGAATGTGGTAGCGAGGAGTGCGACGGTCGAGTAAAGGTACATGGACAGCTGGAAGCCATCGATCTTCGCGCCGGTAAGAAGCGCAAGGAGGCCGTAGACCCCCGACGCCTTGTTTATCACTTGTAGGTAAGTAATAATCTCGGCCCCCGTCCGAAGAGACATCTTCTGGAGGAACGTCTGCGCGCCAGTCAGTCCTGTCCATTTTAAAGTTTAGATTGGCCTACTGTGGGACGCGGGATATCGAGGATATTCATCGTGGCTACTATAGGGAGATGACGATGAGAGTTAAAGAGTTTGGGTGACAATGTTCGTTGTTGTAAGGTGCAAGCAACGCGGAAGGCCCGGGAGATTTAGCGCCCCTTTCAATACATGCGAGTCGTGGTCGTGCAATCCCTTCATCCATGAATATACTTTGTACCATGATTCGCGAGACTTCTTCACACTGCATTCTTCACGCTCGCGTTACAATGTCATATCTCCTTTAGACTTCATCGTTGCCGGCGTTGCGCCAGCTATTTCGAGTCTCGCCGAGTCTTGCGCCAGCTATGACGCATCCGCCAAAACATCACGCGGCGCGCCTTCCACGCTCCTATCCCAGCCCCATGTACACACTCCGCCCTCGACATGTTAGGTAGTTGCCATGTTCCGATCTCCAGTCAGCTCACCCATATGCCGCCATGAACCAGATATGTAGATTTTCCTATAGATGGCTTTGGAACTTTCATGATCATGACTTCCTGGGCTATCCTCTGAAGAGACAGGGTGACGAGCCAGCCGATTTTGAATTCCGGCTCCCGTTTGTTAATACAGTTGAGAAGTGAATAAGAGATGCAACTTACCCAGGGTACGACTACAGAGTGGACTTCTTTGTAGGGCTCGTTGTAGCAAGTCCTTAGCTTCTACCTTGGTACGGTGACGTAGCTTGACATTCAGCCCTCACATCTCTTTAGCACGTTCATGTCATACCACGTTGCATATTATCGAAGGCGAACATCCAGAACCGAAACTCTTCCAGACTTACCCTGAATATTTACCTTCATATTTACATACATATCATATAGATCAGTCTTAACATGGCAGACTACCAACCTCCCGCACCCACGCTACAGGAGCAGGATCTCAAAGGCAAAGTTGCCATTGTCACGTAAGGCATCAATTTCTTCAGTGATACCGTCATTTCCAGCCCTAGGAGACCCCCTTCCCTGACACTTCTGATTGTTTCTTATAATGAACCAATGTTACATCACGCACTTCATCGGCTTCCTATGTTAGCATGCTCTACTAGGGCTGGCTACAATTTGTGTCGCATTCTATGAACATGCCTACACTTTATCTAAGTAAATTCCTGCATTGTATCAATCACATTTAGTTGTTGAAGGTGAATACTGTGTATGCAGCAAAAGCGATGCGAATCTTAGCAACTCCTGCTAGCATTTTCCCCCAACCCCCCAACCAACGATCCGGAAATCCTAACAAACCTCAAGGGGCGCATCAAAAGGCATAGGTCGCGCTATAGCCCTATCTCTCGCAACACGCGGCTGTTCCATCCTAGGAACTTATTCGTCCACCCAATCCGCTCATATCTTCGACACTCTCTCAAGCACAGTTCACAACCTCTACGCTGCCACCGAAAGCAAAGGTCCGACTATGCGAGGCGTAGCCGCAGACATAACATCAGTTTCATCTGTCAACACTCTCCTCACAGCCTTAGCCAACCACTTTCCCGGCCAGAAACTCAGCATACTCATCTTCAATGCCTCACACAACACGCGGCCTAGACTGGGCAGCGCAAGCGAAGATGATGTCACCAAATCTTTGACGGGTAACTTGCACTGGCCGATCATGCTCATGGAGAATTTGGTCCGACAAAGCCTCTTCACGACGCATAGCCGCGTCGTAGTCATCTCTTCCGACCGCGTACGGGACCCATCTCCCGGATCTGGACTATTCAATGCAACGCGCACGGCTATGGAATCGCTAGTACGCTCGTGGGCCATCGAGTTGCCGCACAGTTTCCCAGGCACAACGGTAAATGCCGTGTCCGTTGGTCTGACGGATACACCTGGACTGCGCGCCTTTCCTGCCGAAGCCGTGCAGGCGTTGAAGGATCAGAGGGTGCCGAAGGTCAAAGTTGTTGAGGGAGGGAGAATGGGTCAGGCAGAGGATGTGGCGGATGTTGTGGGGTTCCTGGTCAGTGAGAAGAGCAGGTGGGTTACTGGGAGTGTGATTGCGGCGAATGGAGGGGCTGAGTGGATTGGGGGAAGTTCGTAGATGATTGTGGATGGGAGGAGTTTCTTTTTTCTGTTCTGTAGGTAACGCTCAGAGCTAACTTTGTGGATTTATGAGGGAATTTGTATTGTAACTTGAGAAGAATGATGGGTAACAGCACAGATCTTGGTGTATGAGACATAAATCCTGAGAATCGGCCTTCTTCGTGCTGTCGGTCGCCCGTCCAACGAAGCGTGCCTCGAGCCGTGGGTAGTAGTACAAATCTAACTTTCTAACGTTTCGTCGTAAGAGTGCGAGCCAGCCTATACGATGCTCTTGGCTGCTATATTACAGAAAGCATCAGACATCTAGGAGAACACTTACAAATCTAACCCAAATCTACAATACTTGATACATGCATTTACACAACGTTCGTCTAGTTCACGGAGCGTACGGCTTCGCTAGAGTTTGCCGCATACGGTGCTCGGCCTTTAAGAAGATCGTTGACTTCGTCCGAAAGCCTCGCAGTTCGCTCCTCGTGTTCGGCTGCGAGCGAATCCAACTTGGTGACTGGTAACTCAACTGGATATTCGTTTACATCGTCCGTGGTTGCCAGCTCGTCGGAAGCCAATCGCGGATCGGTAAGAATGTCCTTCGCTTCCTCTGGCATGCCCAGCGGTGCAGAAATGTGACGCTTCAAAGCCGCGACCTGGGGACCGTCGACTTCATCGGTATCCTCAGGCTCTGATTTCATCGTTTTTCTTGCTTGTTCTCTAGTAGTCTTCATCCGCTTCCTCGCTTGCTCGATGAATGAGAAGTCGTTTAGCGTTTTCTCGATCTGATCCTCAACAAGTTTCTTTGTGTGATTGGCAAGAGCTCTGGTGGTGAAGACCTTGGGGAACCGGTAACTCAGCCATAAATAGCATACCAGCATCTTGTGTAGTTCCTCCAGTTCGTGGAGATACTTACGCTCAGCAGACGGGGGCTGGTCCATAACGCTGAGTGGCAGAGTGTCAAGATCCAACAGGCTACCAGACTTGCCATCAGCAATACGCTCAGCGAGATCGCGCAGAAATGCTTTTTGGGACGATTGGCGCATGTTGATGGGCGCGGCACAAATCATGATACGGTCTTGAATGCTGAGGTTTTTGACCATGTGGATGACGTCAGCAATCGCCAGCTGGTCTTTTAGTGCACAGAGATGGAATCGAGGGTGTATCTCAGAGATCTCATGTAGACGTAGCATAATGTATCCGAAGGGTGTTCCCGGGGGGAAGTAGTTGGCGAATCGCTCAACAATAAGCGACGGCGGGAAGAGGCCGGCTGTACTGATGTGTTCGGGCTCACGCTTCATGCCCAATTTCAATGCCGAGTGATCGACTTGATCGAGTGTAGTGACCCATCCTATAGTCTTCTCTTCAGGTTTCTTTGCCTCGACAGGATCGGGTTGCTTGTCGTCTAGACCAATGGTGGGGTCGGCGGCGCCGTCAACAATGGAAGCTTGTCCGGAGTCTGTAGTGACTGCTTGATGAGCAGTCTTATAGCGCCCAGCACGGCCGGCGATTTGTTTGATCTCTGAGATCTGCAGGGGCACGTAGTTCAGGCCATTACTCTTGATAGTAGATTCGAAAATGACACGCTTGATAGCACTACACTGGTTAGCATCCAGCTATTGCAAATTGAAATAGGGCACTGCTTACAGGTTGAGACCCATGCCGATGGCATCACTCGCCACGAGAAAGTCGTAGTCATTGTCCGGGTCGTTGAATAAGCGGGCTTGCTGAGCTCTTGTCTCGGGTGGCAGACTTCCGTATACGATGGCGCACTTCTTGCCTGTCTTCTTCTCTACCTCGCGTCGCAGCGCATGGATACCCAGAACGGTGAAAGCAACGATACAATCACCCTTCTCAAGGAGTTTAAGGTTTCCTTGAAGACTTCGAGGCTGGATCTGGAGTGGCGTGAGACGCTCGTACTCGTGTACGTGCACTTTATCGCCAACAAGAGCGCAAAGCTCGCGCATCAGTGGCACTGTCCGCGCTTCTCCGCAGAGATGGATTTCTTTGGCCTGTAGACCCATGAAAGCCTGTGTCCATGCCCAGCCCCGTTCCTGGTGGTTGATCATCTGTATCTCGTCGATGACAGCCACATCGAATCTGGTATTTAGCGGGGCCATTTCTACAGTACAGCTGTACATGTTGGCGTGAATGTCGTCGGGCAAGCGCTGCTCTTCACCGGTAACTAGAGCGCATGGCTTGCCCTTTGCATTCAGGCGTGTGTAAACCTCATGGGCGAGGAGCCGCAGTGGACCGAGGTAGATGCCCGAATTGACTTCCTCCAGACGCTTCAGGGCGTGATATGTCTTGCCAGAGTTGGTCGGCCCAACGTGCATGTGTACTGTCCGTGTAATCTCTCGTGTCGCTGGATACCACTCGGCTGGGTAGCGCAGGTCTGCCACCTCCTTCTGGTTCTCCAACTCGGCCGTCGTGAAGCGTCCGCCACAAGCCTGCGCATAGAACAGGTATCGCAGCCTCTTCTCGAGGGTGTTCTTTTTCCGCTGCGCCTCCTGCACCAACGTGATCAACTCACGCGGGGCTTGCTTGATCCATAGGGTAATGGACCGCTCGAAGGTAAGCCATTCCTTGTCGAAGTCTTCGCGGCTTATTTGGAGTCTGTCGAGAAATTCTGGCGTGGCGAACTCCTTGTGCAGGGTGTCTAGTTTGGCGCGGACTATGCCTATGGGTATGGACGACTTGGTAGATTTGAAATCGGCGAATTTAAGAGAGTCATCCTGCTGGAGAGGATTGAAATGCGAGTTCTTGGAGGGCTTGGATAGTTTGGAACGATGTGCGGCTTGGATTCGGGGAAGAAGGTTTTGGGTTCGCGATCGAGAGCGGGCGGCGAAAGAGCAGATGAGACATAGCGAACTCGGTCGCGCCGGCAGCAGAGGCATGCCAATGGTGGGTATCATGCGGGAAGAGAAAGAAGAAAAGACAGAATCCAAAGCGCCAGGCGCCTGTACAAACGAAGGACGACAGGAATGTTCAAGTCGACGACGTAATGTCGAATAAAAGTTGCCAAGCATCTGCCACAGTAGTACCGTAGGGACCTCCGGCGGCGCCTGCCCGCCGCAAGCTCGCGACTCGACTCTAGCTGAGACGCGCCTTCCACACCACCGCCGCGACAGCCCAGCACCACGTGTGCCTCACCCCGACAGTGCTGGCCAACACACGCCCTCGTCTCCACATCACGCTACAGCTGCCGCTTCCACCGCCTCGCCCTTTTCCAGCGGCGTTCGCTGCGATACCCCGCCAACATGGCTTCGATGATCGATATCCAGCGCGACCGTAAATACACACCTCGATACTCCTGAGGAACACGTGCTGATAGGCCACATAGTCATTCTCAACTCGATTAAGCAGACCACGCGCGGCGACGTATGAAGCTCCCCCCATTGCGCCTGCACTCCGCTAACGGCTACCGCGCAGTGGAAGATACTCATTGTGGACGAGGACAGCCAGAAGCTCATCAACAACGTGGTCAAGGAAGATGACATCCTCAACCTCAACATCACAAGTACGCGACTCTGCATGCTACCCAGACGCCAGATCCTAACCTCGCAGACATCGAGCGCATCGAGGACCGGCGGCAGACGATTCGCGACATGGACGCCGTGTACATCATCACACCCAAGCCACACATTGTCGACTGCATGATGGCCGAGTTCGACCAGCGCAGATACCGCGGCTTCTTTCTGATATGGACAACACTGCTGCCACCACACCTCAAGGAGCGCATAGACCGGTCGCAAATGGCGCGCGAGCAGATTCGGAGCTTCCGCACAGTGCACCTCGACTTCCACCCCCAAGAGTCGCACCTCGTTACCTTCAAAGACCCATGGAGCTTCCCCATCCTCTACCACCCCGAGTGCAACAACCTCGTAGTACGCCACATGGAAGACATTGCAGAAAGAGTGGGTAGTCTACGTCTCCTGGCAAGCTTCTGCTGACCGCTCTAGATCACCGGAATCTGCGTCGCACTCGGCGAATACCCCATCATCCGATACTACCGACCGCGAGCCCCAACCCACGAGGCCAGCGTCTTGTGCTCACACCTCGCCCGCTTCGTCCAAGACAAGCTCGACATGTACGCGCAGTTCAACCAAGACTTCCCCCCGCAATCGAACCGACCCCGCGGTGCCCTCTACATCACCGATCGATCCATGGACCTCATGGCCCCCTTTCTCCACGAGTTCACATACCAAGCAATGGCCATGGATCTGTTGCCTATACAAGACAGCGACAAGGTGACCTACCGCACCATTGTCAACGAAGAGGATCCCGAGGCAGAAGAGAAGGACATGGAGATATCCGACAAGGACAAGATATGGGTTGAAAACCGCCATCGGCACATGAAGGACACTCTCGACAAGTTGATCAGCGACTTCCAAAAGTTCATCGCCGACAACCCCCATTTCACGAACCAAGACGCCCAGAACGCTGCCGGAATGAATGGACTGAATGCAATCAAGGATATGATCGCTGGTTTGCCTCAGTTCCAGGAGATGAAGGAAGCTTACTCGCTACACCTGACCATGGCGCAGAAGTGTATGGAGATCTTCCAGAAGCACAAACTCCCAGATCTTGCTTCAGTGGAACAGGTGAGTCCCATCAAGCTTGCGTCACGGCTGTCGCTAACCTTTTCAGTGCCTTGCTACCGGTCTTGATGAAGACTACCGCAAGCCCAAGAACATGACTGACCAGATTGTGCGCACATTGGACGACGAAGAGATAACGCCAGCTGACCGGCTACGCCTTATCGCGCTCTACGTAATCTTTAAGAACGGAATACTACCAGCCGACCTCCAGAAGCTCCTCTTCCACGCACAACTGCCACCTCCCGACGGCGACGTTATTCGTAACCTTGACCTCCTTGGGGCGCGAGTCGCCAGACAACTGAAAGAGAAAAGAGATGCACAGCCACCACTCTTCCCACCGAAGCCAGCCCCACCTCCAAATACTGAGGACTACGGTCTATCCAGATTCAACCCGGCGCTCCAGGACATGCTAGAGGAACACATCCGCGGCAGCTTACCCCAGGACGTCTTTCCCTTCACTAAGATGTCACCCGATGATGTCGCCAGCATGGCACAAGAGAATACTGCACCCGCTTCCCTTCGCTCCGCAAAACCGACATGGGCCAAATCACGACTTGCGAGTGCGGAGCCCCGTCAACGCGTCATCGTCTTCGTTGCCGGCGGTGCAACCTACTCCGAGGCCCGCGCCTGCTACGATGTCTCGAACAAGACCTCGAGAGACGTTTTCCTCGTCACCTCACACATGATGAAGCCGCAGCTCTTCCTCCGTCAAGTCGGCGATCTCAGTCAAAACCGCCGCAGTCTGCGTTTACCCATCGATCAACCGCAGCCTATAGCCCCGGCACATTTGTTCGAGAAGCCTGAGCCTCCGAAGCCAGCACCGCCGCCTGCTGGCACAAAGCCTCCCATGTCCGGGGGCCTGCCGTCCGGACCCAGAGTCGCTGGCCCGAAACCCCCAACAGCAGCCATGGGTGCCATCAACCTCAATTCCAACCCGCAAAAACACAGTCCTTCGCCGTCGCAGAGCAGTACTACGAAGCCCGGCAAAGAAGAGAAGGAAGGCAAAGAGAAAAAGAAGAAGAAGTTGCACCTGTTTTCTTCAAAGCATTAGTGAGGCTTGTTAACATTTCCTGCTAGGGCGCTGCATACCTTTCTGGCGTTGTTTTGCTTTGTTCATAGCGAGGATTGAATTTGCTTCATTTGCAATATTTGCGAGGTAAGCTGCATGGCATGGCGTTGGATGGCGTATAAGAATCTTGTCTGGCGGTTGCCCGAGGCGTACAGCTGGAGATGAGTACTTGGCGTTTTGCTGTTGGAGTATAGACACGAGGCTGAGTGTCTCTACAATAGAGTGCAAGTTTGGGAAAGAAATACATCGTCGCTGTAGGCTTGCTGTCTTTGTTGGCTCATCAGGAAGTGTCACATCGTTACAAATCACGTACTCTAGTCTCTCTTGCTTTCTCTTGGATAGCTCACATTCGGCCCTCTAGTTCTCATTTCTCCCCCGTCCCTCTTTTCTCTCAGGCTAGTACGCCCACTTAGTCGAGTAGTCCCTCGGACTGACAACAAGACCCTTCCCCTTGCTTGCTCCCCTATACACCGCCTCCAATATATCAATCAACTCTTGCTTGGTGCCAATTGAGAAATTGATCTTGTTGTTATTGCCCGTGCCAAAGTCAACCTGCATGTGCTTGTTCCGCCAGAAGAACATGACGGTGCAGGGATCGTAGATTTCGTACATGGCGTTGAAGTCGGGGACTTGCTGTGGTGGTATAACTGTTAGCTCGGTTTGGAAACGACAGCATAGGTGGAGAGGAAAGGAAAGGTACCTTGTTGTCGACTACGTAGATTACAACCCAGTCTTTGACTGCGTCTACAATCTTGTACAGCATCTCGTCCATCTCCATGCATTCGGGTGTGTAGTCCGCGCCGAAACGGAGGCAGACTATGCGGGCTTCTTCACCGAGCTGGTGGGCGTTAGTTTGGTCGTAACGGAGAGTCACATCTGATAGAGCAGCTACGGTCGAGGTCAGGCGTGAAGGAAACTTACGATGGCTTGGTCAACATGCCATGCTGAGGGCAGATGCTGTAGCATTACTGAACCCATGGTGACGAGATTCAATCGAATACGTTTCTCGGGGACGTATGAGGAAAGCAGGAGGAGAAGTGTTTGGAACAGGCGTTGTGCGAAGCAAGTGAGAGAAGAGTCGAGGAAAGTGCGATCTGATGGACCCGTCACGTGCGCCATCTACCTCCGTTTGCACCTTCCAAACCTCGTTTGCTTGAACCTCCAGTGGTTATCACCTGCCCAAAAAGCTCTTTCCATGGAAAACTACAAATCATTCGCTGAAAATAGGAAACCACGCCCCGCCATAGCTCATTACAAAAAAACGAACTCAACCTCACACCAACAGCCTAATCCCTCACTCCACCCGAATAGTACTCTTCTACACTCCTCTCAGGCGCATAATATCCCGCACCCGTTCGCTGCTCCACATTCCCCGTCCGTTTCGCCACCATCTCCTGCACGAAAGCCTCGTAGCTCTCATATGGCCGTCCACCCTCCTGTGGATGTTTCGCCGCCCAAGCAAGGAACGCGGCCTTTTCTTCTTCGGCGGCCTGTTGCTGTTGTTCCAGCGACAGCTTCTGCTTCCTCGTTTTCTTGCTCGTGACATCAGGCTGTGGACGTCCAGTCACGGGGTTACGACCAGCTGCCTCCCGCGCTTCGGCTAGAAGATCGGCGCTGGTGGGTTCATTTGCGCACTGTGCTTGGCTTCCAGTCACGGGATCACGACCAGCTGCTTGACGTGCTTCAGCTAGGAATTCACTGTCTGGGACCGGGCTCTTAGGAGCGGTGTATCGTTTCTGGTATGGATTTGATTTCCCGCGGAGCTTGTTGATGGGGGAAAGTAGAGCTGATGTGATTGAGAGACCCGCCATCTTGCTATCGATGCGAAGTATGCCTCCACGCCTTTGTTGCTTCTACAGGTGTCGCAGGTATAAAGACCCAGACGAGAGGCTCTCAGAAGTCGCCCTCGTAGTCTTTAAAATGCAGACGCGGTTTGCTGGTGAGGATCTGCAAAGAGACGTAGCTGTCAAGCGCTCTGTTTGCTGCAGTGTGAGTTCCGGTCTCAGAACATCGCACGTTCCCAACTCTTTTGAACAAAATTATCCGGAACCACTCTATGTTTGCTGTTGTTTGAGACACGAACACAACGTGGTTGGAGCCTAGGAAGCGTCAGGGGTCTGAGCGGTAAGGCCTCCATACTAACCGCATTGAGGACCAGCTATGAAGAATCGGTCGAGTGCCAATAAGTTCAGTCGTACCGATACGGAACGGATGTCAAAATTGACTGAGGTGTATATTTGGAAAGCGAAAGCAAAAAGCTACGGGAGATAGCCGATAACTATACTCCCATCTTGCGCAAGCATGCAAGAGTTCCCGTCCTCCCGATACCGAAACCTGACAGCGAGATCAGGGTGACGCGGTGCATCCGAGGCGATACTGGCCATCTGTGTACCATACGAAGAATCGAACAAACGCAATAGTTCAAAAGTATTAAGCGTGAAAACGCTGAAGGGAAAGGTGAACCACAAAGATACCCAAGAGAAGCTGGATCGTCAGCCGACCACATTACCACATTCTACCCTTGCCCTTGCTGCCAGCCGCTGGACTGAGCGGTGGGAAAGCATCCTCGGCATCCTTCCGACTTTGCTCTTCAGCAAGACTCAGCTGCATAGCAAACTCCAAATCTGACATCTCGCTCTCGTTACTTGATCCGGCAGCGGCCTTACCCTTCCTGGGCGTGCTCTTTCGGGAGTGGGATGGCGGAGATTTCTTGCTTTTGGCGTACTTGATCGGGATGTCGAACGCAGATGGAGGCGTCGAGGCGAGCTCATAGCTGCCAGCTCCGGAGCTATCGTTGAGAGAAAGACGAATGGCTTCAGCGATGTCGGCATCCAGTTCATCATCATCTTTGGCATCAGTCGATGAAGGCTGGCCTTGGATGCTCGCCTCTGGCGTTACAGGCTCACTCTTCAGGGCACTACTTTCGCGCTCAATGCGGCGTAATTCATCTGCCTCCATAGCCTCTTGCGAGAGCATTGCAGCGTATGCTAGAGCTTCCTCCTCACTTAGTAACTCTGTGCCAAAACGGCCTGCCAAACGCTCGGCCTGCTTGTGACGCTCCTGTTTGTCACGCTCCAACTCAAACTGCTCGTTGGCGATGTAATTCTTCAGGTTGACTCTTCCAGTACCAGCAAAGCGCTCTGTGGTATTGTTGCTTCCACGCTCAGCTCGTCGAAGCCTGCGTTTACTGCTTCTATACTGGTCGGCTGCAGATGAGCTGTAACTCCAGAATCGAAGCTGATTACCAAGAGACACTGCACCGCGTAAGACGGTCGGATCAGGATCTAGGCATACGGCACCAGCAGCAAACATGTTAATGCCGACTCCTTGAACGGAAGCTTGAGCCTGCACAAGCTGTCTACGAGCGCGCGACGCGTGTCGGGAGTGAAGCGTTGTGATGGGCGACATGCTCGAAGCCAGTGGATCCCATGCCTGTACCAAGCCGTCGTTCCCACCTGCTACGAGATAGAGTGAGGTGACAGCCAAGCAGGATATCTCTGGCGAGTCAGTGTAGATAATACGAACAGGATCAATATCGTTCGCATACTCCGATGAGCGCGATGTAGGCGCCCGGACATCCCAAAGTAGCACCACGCCAGATTTGGTACCCGCAGCTAGAAATCTTGCGCGTTGGCCGGGAATGTCAGAGGGAGAGGCCGGCTGGCTTGCAACGGACATCGGGGAAGAGTAAGGGGAGGATGCAGTCGAGGCTGTTGAGAAACCAAGCGCAGGATCCTCAAACAAGGTCAAAGTGGCGAAGGTAGAGACGTCCAAAGCAGTTGTAGTCACCTGAGTGCTCTTGAACCCGCCGAAAGTCAGCTTTGAGCACCTCCATTCCTCGAATAGAGCGGCTCGTTCTGGTGAACTTGTGGTCGAGATGTATGAAGAGCTGCGACCACGAAGAGGCTTTGTAGGATCCACGCCAGTGCCGCCGAATAAAGATGTAGTTTGCGCAGGCTGAGGCGTAGAAATGCGACTCGAGATGTTCGTACCCTTGTCCTTTTCGTCAGTCTTACATCGGGTGAATCGTTTTACATCGGCGATGTCTCCCTCCTCGAGCCCGCATTCGAAGACCACTACGGATTCCCCAGCATGATTTCCGTCGTCTCCAGCAAAGTCAACCTCGAGCGTTCGTCGCATATCCCATCCAAGGCATGCTTTTCGGAAATGCTTTGGCTGCTTGCGAAGAAATTCTTGTATCTCCCTTGTTTCGGCGATAATTTGATCCTTACTCAAGCACATGCCATCCCACGAGGTTCGCGGCGAATAACTACCGTCGACATCGGCATCGCTGTACGGATCAGGCCTCGCAGTCCGTCGGCTGGGCTCTACCAAGTTCCAGTACACGCTGCGGCCAGTGAGCCAACCCAAATACTCGGAATAGTGCTCAATATCGCCCTTCATAGCCTGGCTGCGGGTCGGGAATTTGGTCAAATAGAAGATCTCGCCTAGTGCATTAAGAGCGACCGCCCAAATGCGATTCTGAGCATAGCGCTTGGTTGAGTACTGTTCGTCAACAGCGATAGCGATGATAGGTACTCCTGGACTTAGAACCCAGCGAGCAGTCAGCTCCCCACGCTGTACACGGGATGATCGAAGACCATCCGTACCGATGCTACAGGCACTGACGACACCAGCTGCAGATCCCATCATCATCCCAATCAAGCCATCCGAAAGGGTCGGGATCGTGTTTGACTTGGCGATCCAGACGCTGCAAATAGCACCGCCATCGATGCCCAGCTTTGGTATACCGACTTCAGGCATAGCAAAATCGGTGGGTTCAGCTATGAATCGACCACGCATCTCCTCAAGCGAACGGTAGTAACACGAGCCTTCAGGACAGCCTTGGCCATAGATCATACCGTATGGCTGCGATATGTCCATAACATTGGGCCGCCCGACGACCTCTCCTGAGCCCAGACCCCACTCAGCGGTACCCGGAAAGCGTTCTGAGAATTGACCATAGAAGTGCGGGTCGCTTTGTCCCCAAGGATCTACTTTGCCGGTCATCGGATCGCTGCTGGTCACCATGCCGATGTCGTCTGCACCATGGATGAAGCGCGGCATCTTCTTATTCAAGCCGGTTCCGAATGTGGCCTGCAGATGATTGATGATGGTGTACGTTTTGGCATCATAGGTTATCATTGGGGTGATGGTCTGCATCTGAGACGCGCGGGACGGTGTTGCAGGTACCTGTACAGGCTTGCCCCTGACCAAAGATCGCAACAGTCTCGTGCGTAGAATGTACTCGCTTCTCCACGATGCCAGCGCAGTGAGCCTGGTAAAGCGTCTCTTCTCTGACCGCACGACTGAGCCACTGCCCTCGAGGGCTGAGCGAAAGGCGGCATCTTCGAGTGAGTGTGGGCCAGGGAAGTAGCGACCGAATGCCACCTGCCAGGCGTGTGGGGTAGTGACTACATCATGAAAGCGGCGAGAGACAAGGGATACGGCGGCGAGATCGTTTGGTGAAAGGTGGGCGATAGCATGAATCAGAACCTCTATGCATTGTCAGCTCTTATTCGCGTATCACACCCCAAGGCATTTGTACACACCATTAGGCAGGTTCGCGATGGGCGCGCTCTTATCGCTGGGCTTCTTGTTGCTCTTGACGATCTCGAAGAGGGGCCCGTCAGCAGGCTTTCGCGGTGAAGACTTCAGCGCATTCTCGTATTCGGTGATCCTGTCCCTCGGGGGTGGTGAGGGAGACGCGACGCGCTTCAGTCCATCTTTTTCCAGGGTCCCGACTGCAGTATCGGCCTCTGAACGCGTCGCATCGCGTGCGAACCCGCGGGGTTGTTGCCCAGACTCTCCCCGCAGCTCACCCAAGTGAGGCTGCAGAGAGACCTGCAAGTCCTGGCTGCGGCGCTGTCCATGCTGGGAGGTGGTGGCGGTGTCGGAAGAGCTTTGCTGGTACGAAACGTGTTGTGATGCGTTGATAGGCTCTGGCTGCATAAAATTTTGGGTCTGGTTCTTGGGTGAGGGCAGTCGACCGAGCTGATTGGGAATGCTCAGTCAGAGGATGGAGGCGTGGGCGAAAATTGGGTAGTTTGGTAACGTTGGAATGGAAGGGAGTCTGGGGGGTGCAGTTGATGACTCGGATTGCGGTTGCCAAGTCGGCGGTGATCGATATGACGATCGCCACCTGGGAAGCTACGAACGTGGGGGGAACAAATGGTACTAACAATTTGCAGCAGTGGGCCGACTATCACATGGCGTGTGGAAACGTCACCACTACCTAGGTACGGCCTAAGTACCTGAATGTAGCCGGCCTCGTTCCGATAAGTTCCGAAACAACAGGTGCACTGCCGTCTACATTAGTACAAAAGTGAAAGTTGACAATATCCCTAAGGTAATGTAGACTTCTGGGAGGCAGATTTTCGATCGATTCCTTGTATAACGTGATATCATGTACAGGATCATGCAAACAAATGTTCAACGCCAGCCCTATGCAAACTGCTAGACTCTCAAGGCACGAAAAGACGCGAGTATGCAGCCACATTAGTCCTGCAACACACACACGCCGTGTAGTTCTTCGAAGCCAGCCCCACCCGACAGTCATCGCAAAGGCTCAAGCACCCACACGGCCACACCAGTACCGTCCTTGGCGACATCTGGCAAACTACACATTGTGGTCCTTCCGAGCCCATACCTTCTGCACCCGTGTCCCAGCTTCCAGCTGTACTTGCGCCTTGCGGGGCTGTTGCGTTCCGACGACTGAGAATAAGATCTTCCAGAAGTTGCTCTTCTTCTTCGGGCGACATGTTGACGCCGCCGCCGCTCATCTTATAGCGTGATGTCGTGAGGATCTTCGCCTCTTCGCGCTCAAGAGCTTTGCGGTACTGCGAGCGTGTCATGATATTGGAGCTCTGGAGGTGGCGAGATAGTAGCCTGGCCTCTTCACGATCCTCGCTAGATTTAGGATCCAGAAGTTGAGAGAGTCGAGAGAAGTCCATTGCATCGTCAGGTATGGGTGTTGCTTCCCGACTCCGCTGGTATGTTGCACGCGTAGGTGTTCTTTGGCCGTCGTCCACGTCTGACCACTCGTCGTTGTCTGTGGTGGTAGCAAATGACACTACACTAGTCGTGTCATCATCTTGCGAGTCAACATAGTCTCTGGTGTTGTCAACGTCATTCCATAGGCTACCATTGCGCCACCAGGAGTACAGGTAGTCGTCAAGGCGTTCTTCAGAATCTTCCCCATTGGGTCCCGAATAGAACCCACTCTGTCGAAGCCTCTCCTTCGCGAAGACCTCAACATCAAAATTCCGATCCTGGCGAATCCGAGACCGGTCATCTGTGGTAAGCCATGCCTCTCTTGCCGACGGTTGATCGGGGTATCGCGGAGCATACATTTTATCAACATGATCAGCGTGGAATCCAACAGCGCGTTGCAGCCATCTTGGCCGGTAGCTGATCGAGATCTTAGTCAACGCCCAGTCCGTAACCCTTGCGAGACTAAGTACAAGCAACTTTGATATACGGAAGAAGAACTGATAGGTCTGCAAGTAGCGACTACGTTGTTGAATCGCAGGATCATTCTGTCCAATGGCTGGTTCAGTGGATGCCTGTACTCCTCGCGTCTTACGTTCTTTTGCATAACCTGACAATGATGTATCCGTTCTGACATCGTTGAGCTCGTCAACTACCTCGATGCCTTGCGCGAATGTGTCGTTCCTGAGCTCGGACGGGATGTCGGTGATCATCTCTCGTGTTCTTCTCCGCCGAGCGAGCAATTCCTGCAGTCTTTGCTTTTCGAGCCAGGTCATTGGGTGCACATTGACCTTGGTTCCTTCGTTGAGAAACACGGCTTCACTGGCGGATGTCAGAATGACGTAGCCTACCTTGAGTATGGTCGTATAGAAGTCTTCGTGCCAATTAATAGTCAAAGGCGTAATCGAGGATAGATGAATGTTGGCATGTAGATTGCCGTAGGCGGATGCAAATCTCTCTCTTAGGGACAAACTGTCGACATGTCCTGCAGGTGGAGAGATTACAGTAATGATGAAGGCCAGCAGGTATATTAGTGCGCATACCGCGATGCCCACAAGTATCAGTAAGTGTGGGATGAATCCAATGATGCATACAGTGGGAAACCTCAAAATGCCCACATAGTGGTCTGGATCAGCGACCATGGTTGTTAGACGAATGCAGCTCCACGCAAACGCTGACATGTAGGCGAGCCCGCAGATTGTTGTCGTGACGAGTCGCCATCTAGAGCGCACTCCAGCGATTGCTAACAAGTTGCTCATGAAGTGGCTGAAACTAGAGATGAGGGAAATCAACAGCACTTCCGGTGGTACATTGGCGATCTTAGAGAGCTTCGACCTTGGAATCATGGAGGATGCACCATCTGGAGTGAAGACAGACTTCGGTTTGAAGAAGCGTACGGAGTCCACCGCTAGGGGCTTCGTGACGACAGCCTCAGCCTCTGCAAATGCGAGCGAATGTTCGAAGATGGTCATTCCGACTTCCTGAATCGGGCGTCTTCCTTGAAGGGCGCAAGCCAAGGTATCGACGAACTGGCCAAATCCAAGGGTCACAAACATGGGCCATAGAAGCGCTAGTGATCCAGAAGGCCGCGTGGTTGCCGGACCGATGGGTAACATATTCGCGGCTCGGCATGAGCTCTCTGTGGTCTCCCAGAAGAGTATTTTTGAGGTGACCTGCCAGAGAAAGCCGCCTTCGCCACCGAAGTCTGTATCCAGCTGCCTACCATCCGCTCCGTACTGCATCTCTGACCAACCTGGGGAGGTTTGACAGCGTATAGCTCGTAGAGTATTCTGCGTCTGATAGAGGAAGAGGACCAAGGGCATGATGTAGAGGGCGAAGCGAAGGTAGAGGCGGTCGAAGGAAAGTGGAACGCGGCTGTTGGCATAGAAGTGGGTTCTATTAAGCACGATTGCCTGCGACATAATATCAGCAAAAGGTAGTAGTCGTAGTCGCGGGAGCAGATGCTCACCAGGGCGAATGTTGCGACGGCCCATTTGGAGGTGATGTAGCTGAACCAGGCGGCTACGTTCCTCAAAGCTTGCCACACGGTCATCTCGCCCTCGGTCGAAATCGCAGAAGCCGCTGCAGCAATGGATTCCTGTACAAATCCCGAGCCTGTAGTCGTCATGGTGCTGTTTGTCATATTGGCCGTAGGTTCCGCGATAACGCTTCCACCCGAGCGCATCATGTCGCCGAGGGAACTGGCCTTGGAGAAGAGGCGAGGTAATGCCATGAGTAAGTCCGCTGGTGACGGCAAGAACGAAGTCGCGTTCGCGGACGCGCCTGGCGTCTCCATTGCGGGCGGTGCGGATCTCCGAGGATGGGTAGGTAAGCAGAACTACTCGAGGTGTTGATTAATCCAGTATTTATTCAAGCAGATACATGGCGACTGTGAAGACAAATGCGGTTCACAGCAACCGTTGGGTCGAGCGTCTTGAGATTGCGCGAAGACGTAAGGGTGTTGTAGACTTGGTGCGGAAGTCGACCGTGGGATGACGCGACCTCCGAGCCGTCGGGCTGAAGCTGCATAGGGAAACCTCCGAGGTATATTGATATGCGCCACACCCCGATACTACACGATTTCTCGGATGGATAACAGCTGCCATTAATACATGCACACATGTCAAAAAGTGCCATGACGAACGTCTGAGTTGTGCTAATGCCCTTGAACTAATACTTGAGTAGCCGTATGATGCAATTCTAAGTACGCTGTATTCAACGCCCACGATGCTAGGGTATGGTACAATCATGTGTATACACTCCACCACAGTGTCCATCTATGCCGTCTTGGGCTTCTTCGTTCCGTACTTGGACCGTGAGGTGATTCTGCTACCGACACCACCCTACAAATTGTTAGCGATGCCTTCCCATGACATCTGTGGTTGTGAGACTTACCAGATCCAGTGCTCCTCGGACCAAATGGTACTTCACACCAGGGCAATCTTGCGCTCGCCCGCCTCGTACCATGACAACTGAATGCTGCTGTACATTGTGACCTGTGCTGGTCAGTCTTTCCGCAGCCAACTGTTTGGCATGTGTTTGCAATACCTTCTCCCGGAATATACGCCGTGATAACCTTGCCCGTACTCAGTCTGACCCTCGCAATCTTTCGCTCGCCCGAGTTGGGCTTCTTCGGCTTCGTCGTTCCCACTTTCAGACACACGCCCTTCAGCTCCGGCCTATCCCTCAATTGCGGCGATCGCAGTTTACGCGCTTTCTGTGCTATCCTCCCCTGTCGCAGGACTTGTATTAATGTGCATTTTTGTGCGCGCGACGACGGTGTTGGGTGAGCTGCGAAGGCCGGGGTACTGTTCTGGAAAGCGGAGGCGGCGATTGGTGGCCAGATTGATCGCGCTGGAGCGAAAGAAACTGCGGAGAGGACCGAGGGCCGCGCAAGACGTCGGAAGAGTGTGAGAGGCATCATGGGTGTTGTGGTGTGGCTCGAGGTGTTGGTCTTGGACAAAAGTTCGAGATGCAAGACGGTGGCTGACTCAGCTAGGATGGCTAGTTGAAGGCCATCCCAGGGTGCCCAGCGATGCAGACAGCGCACCATCAGAGAATGACATTTTCTGTTGCATTAATGCATGTGCGGTGCTGATAATGACAAGTCAACGTGACATAACAACGTACATCTCTAAAAAGGCACCATCACGGTAGTCGCTCAGTACAACACGTATTGTGCTACTACCTAATGGTACGCACAAAATGAAGGTATAGCGTTGCGATAGGGACATAGATCGCGTAGTAAAGATGACTGCTAAATTGCAGGAGTGCATCACGAACAACACACATATTCACCATAGCACATACAGGAGTAAGGAGCACTACCGTTAACTCTCTACCATTATCAGTCTGCGCACTAGCTACATCACCACCTGTTGCAACATTGCCACGTGTCTCTAGTACGGCTTCTTGGGGCCTTGTAGACAATGATAGCCTCATTTCAAGCGAGCACGTCGTTACCACGCGTCTCCCGTCGCTTCTCATGACGGCTCGGGTGACCAGGAATGCAATCGTACACAGTGTATTCAGTGATGACTTCCAAATGTAACGCTGTGCTGAGATAGCGGTGGGAGCCAAAGGAAGAGTCGCTTAGAGGAAGTAATCCGGGGTCCTTCGTGACACCATAGGTTCGCCAGCGCGCGGGCAAGGATCGAATTGCAAGCTGGACGTATATTAGAGATTGGAAATGGCATACTAAAAGGGGAGGAACTTACAAGGTATATTTTAGATGCTCGTCGATCTCCATGATAGCGGCCTGGTTACCGCACCTGTAGCAGTAGTTCGGTGCTGTACAAGGTCAGTCGGATCATCAGCAACGGAAAGAAAAAAGACATACCCGAGAATATGGTAACGACATTCCTATCTTGCGACCAATTATACCCCTCCATGACTAGCTGATGAGCACGTGCCACCAGCGTCAAGCCGTTGTTGTGGTTGAAGGCCTCCGAGATGTCTTGACCGAAGGTGTATCCGGCACCACGGGGTGAGATTCCCCAGCCGCACCTGTCGTCTGGGTCGGACCAGAGCAGGTCGCACATTGGTCCTTCGTGAGGTACCTCTTGTATGCGGTCGAGCGCCCTGATGTTGTCAAGGGTGTCGATGCTAGGGGAGAGACCACCGTGCAGACAGAAGATCTGGTTGTCGATCAGGGCGGTAAGCGGCAGGTAGTCGAATAGGTCTGTGAAGTATTTCCAGACGTTGGCATTGCCGTACTTGCGGAGACACTCGTCGTAGAATCCGTATACTTGAGTGATCTGGCGGGACTCGTGGTTGCCACGGAGAATGGTGATGCGCTGGGGGTATCGAATCTTGAGTGCGACTAGGAGGGTGACGGTCTCGACGGAGAAGTAGCCTCTGTCGACATAGTCGCCTGTGCATGTCAGTCGGTATGAGTGGGTAGGGTTGAGGCAGGCAACGCACCCATGAAGAGGTAGTTGGTGTCCGGGTTGGGGCCACCAATCTTGAACAACTCCATCAAGTCATGGAACTGGCCGTGTATATCACCGCAGACAGTGACGGGGCATTTCTATGCGACGGTGAGCTGATGTCGCAGTCGCGGCAAAAAGGGTACGTACCACTGGTTGTACATTGGACTCGTCCTGAAGTACCTCGCGAGCCTGTAACACGATACTTGTCAGAAAAGGCATTCCCGATGACATTGTGCGCCAGGCAGATGTCGCGTACCTTGTCGCATAGTCTCTGCACGTCGCTCTCGGCCAGCTGCTTGCAGCTCATGAGACTCTCAATCCAGCCGTCCAGCGTGGGGATTGTGGTCGGCTCAGACGTGGGGGCAGACGACAGCTGCATGGGCTCTGGCATCTTGACGTCCTCCATATTGGTATCCATGGTTGCGGGGCGGCGGGATCGATGTAGGTGGGGGGTCGATCGGTTGTTGTGATGTAGAGCTGTCGAGGGGTTCTTGCCCTTTCAAACTCGACCAATGACGTGCAGCAGACACGAGTAGAGGCGGTGGGCGGTAGCGACTTGCAATCCGGAGGGCGTTAGAGGCGGAGGCTGTGTGTGGCGTGCAAGGCGATATCGACGGCGGCAGCAGGATCTATGACAGGAATACGGGGACAATCACGACCACGCACTGCAGGCACATACTACCTTGGAAGCAGGCCGTAATGGTGGATTGTTTCTCCGCGCCGGATACCAAGAGCCTCTGAAGATTTAGCGCGAACCGTTAGCCGCGAGTCTGTGCGCGGGCGCTACTGCGGGCACCTTTGTGCAGCAGCCGCGACCCTCGTCCCTTCTCCACTCGACACAACTCCCACCCATTGTTGTCACTATTGCCCATCGCACCCACCACCGCGACAAGCAATACCAACAATGTCCAGCAAGCGCGCTTATAGCGCCTACCTCTCCAGCGCGTCTGCGGATATGCTAGTCGCTGCCAATGGCTTCGGCGCTCCCCAACTGCAGGTGAGTAGTCGCTGCCTACATTGACACGACGCGAGCTGACAACAACGGTAGGCGCAGCAACACACACCTTCCTCAATATCACATCTGCGCATTCCAGGCGGATGGCCACAAGATCACATCATTGCCGCCGAGGAAGTCATACCTCCGCGCGCTTCTCTCTCCACTACGCTCGGCAAGTGGGCTGCGACCGTCAGCGTCGTCAACCTGCTCTCACTCCCCGCACGCCTCGCGAAACGCTATCTCCGCCGCGAGGCTATCAAGGCGATCCCTATAATCTCCGCGACCGGCTCCAACAAGAAGCGCTTCATTTCCGCAGGTCTGGCAGACGAGGAATGCGCGACACCTTCTCCTTCAGTGCGCGCACGCGCGAATCAGGCGCGTCGCGAACACCAAAGGCAGGCGCGCGCGTCAGAGCCAAGTCTCTATCAATTCCGCGATTCGCCAATTCAATATACGTCATCAGCGCATACACAAGAATTCGAAGAAATCCAGCCTGGAGCATACAATAGAGATGTATCTCTCAACGAGGGCGGCAATGTCAACCCAGAAGACGACGAGGACCTTGAGGTCAGTGTGGACTTCTCCTTCGAGGATGTCTTCACTTCGACCCCGCCGCGCAACCCCCAGACCGGCTCTCCCATAACAGTATCCTGGAACAGCCCTCAAGTTGCCTCACCTGCAGTTCCCTCGCCCGCATGTCCGGTTCTGTCTTCCCCACTATACCAGCATGACTCGCCTGCCTACGACAATGCCAACCCGGCCTGGATCTCTGAGCTACGCAATGCTTCAACTGCCCATGCCTCTTCAGATCCTACGTCACCATCGGCGCGAGGATTGCCCTCGTCGCAGGCATCCACAGGTCCAGCTCTCCGCGCTAATAACAAGCGCACTTCCAAGCTGCCTACGAATACACCTCTGCGACGCCAGCTGGTTAAGGCACAGATGTACAGGGAACGCAAGCGCATCGCAAGCCTCAATGCCGCGCTCGAGTCTACGGAGGAAGGTTTCGCCGATACCGAGCGAGCTAAGAACAGCTTCGCCGAGACAGTCAACCAAAACCCCTCTCACTCCACGAATGCTTTGTCATCAGCATCTCCCACCCCATCACAACCAAAGACTGGAACCGAGGCTGCCGTCCCCAAATTCGAATACGCCAACGACTTGTCATTTCTCCCTGAAGTCCCTGAAACCTCTGAAGTCCAATACGCCAACGACTTATCATTCCTCGTTGATGCGCCGTCTCCGCCACGATCGAAAGGAGTGCGATGGGAAAAGGATGCTAAATGCAAGCCCTTCTACGTCGATCAGAAAGTCAGCGAGATGCTCGACTCCACACTAGAGACGATTACTTCCAGTCCGATCAAGGACTACTACAATGTGTTCCAGAACAACGATGGCGGCGCATCAAATGACAGCCAGGCGTCATCATCTTCACGCTCGTCAGCAGACAGTAGCCCGCGGATAACCCTTCTTGATTCTCCTGCGCAAAACGGTGGCTGGCGCGGTGTCTCCGTTGACGATTTCAACGCACCCAATGAATCGCTCCTGGAGTGCGAGTTTTCGCTAGAACTTCTCGAAGACCTTCAGCGGGAAATGCAGAAGAAGCTTGCCTTGGCACCGCCTCCCCCGCCGCCGCCCAAGCCACTTATTGCGCCGCTCACTCCCGAAGAAGAGGCTACACTGCAAGACGCCGCAGCCAAGACCAAATATGGCCGCAATGAAAGCCAGTTCGTCATTGACGATAAGCTATACGCTCGAGACTTTGCGACTCTGTTGCCTCGCGTCTTCAACGGTGATCCCAGGGCATGGTTGAACGACAGCATCGTCAACGAATATCTTTCCATTCTTATCGCTGCAAAGAAGAAGGAAATGGGCTTCGCTCACAAGCGCAACGGTCCTGCACCGCCACTTCACGCCTTTTCGTCATTCTGGTACCAGACTGCCGATACGTCCCGCTGGACCAACAGGTTCCAGCTGAAAGGCAAGCAGTACCTCGACGCCCAGCTTATCCTCTATCCCATTTGCGACAAAGGTCATTGGCGTCTGCTCGCGGTTTATCCCAAAGAACGCACTATTGAGTACTTTGACTCTATGGGTCTCCCTGGACAAAAGTACATCGACAAGCTAGTCGAATACCTCAAGCAGGAGCTCGGTGAACACTGGGTTCCTGAGGAGTGGAGCAAAGAAACTGGCCAAAGGAGTGAGCAACAAAAGAACGGGAGCGATTGCGGTGTTTTCACTCTCCTGAACGCTTTGACCCTCATCCGCGGCGACGCTCCCACTCGTGTCCTTTCTACCGACGGCATGGATGATGCGCGCAAGCGTATCGCAGCCACTCTGCTGGCCGGTCATCCTACTACCGAGTTGGAATGAGCACAACTCTTCCATTCTTCATTCGAACACACGAATTCTGTTTTCGCATTGCACGGGTTGGCGATTTTGTCTTTTCGCATTGTTTTTGGCGCACCGCATGGAGTTCAGTCGCTTACGAGGTTTTTCACGACGGTTACATTACGACTCGGATACCCACCCCATGATACCCCACCGCCCATAGAGGCTTGAGATTTTGCATAGTTGGACGTCTTGTTTTTGGTACCCTGGTAGTTGTCCAGAGGTCTGTTCAGCGAGCGGATTGTTCTTGTTTGTACCTTGGTAGTCGCTTAGGGGTCGTTTTTTTTTTTCGCAGAGCACGTGGTACGCTCCTCTGGTCATCCAGCGAGAGGCTCTTGTATTTGTTTCCTTTCTTGTAGCTAGTTGTTTACTCTTGTCTTAGTCCTCCTGGTTTGAGACCTTGACTCATCCCTTCGGGGGTTCGAGTTGGTCTCGCCAGGAGGACGAGCAGGGTTTGATTAGCCAGCGAGAAGCTCAATCGTGTCATAGCATAGCATAGCGTAGCGTTTGCAGTAAATTAGACTGTTCTATATACTCTTCATCGCATGCTTTATGAGGCGACCTTGACAGTGAGCTTACCAAAGTGCTTCTGGTCCCACATGTATTGGTAGGCATCTTTGAGATCCTTGAGCTCAAATACCTTCTCGTCAACAATGGGGTGCAGGTCATTTGCCTCAATGGCCTTGCACATATCCTCCATCTGCAGTCTTGAACCGACTAAGACACCACGCACAGTGCAGATGTTGTTCAGACAGTCGAGGAACGTAGGCTGTTCCTTTCCGCCGCCGCCAATGAAACCGATAATGGAGATGACGCCGTCAATGGCGATGGCCTTGAGAGACTGCGCCATTGTGGTCGGGCCGCCCACCTCGACAACGTGCTGTACGCCAGCGCCATTGGGAGTGAGCTTCGCGGCCTCTTCACCCCAGTTGGATGTCTCCTTGTAGTTGATGACGTGGTCGGCACCATACTTCTTCAAGAGGTCGGCCTTTTGTGCGGAACTAGTTGTCGCAATGACGCGGGCGCCAGCTGCCTTTGCGAATTGCAGAGCAAAGATGGATACACCACCGGTACCTTGTGTGAGGACTGTATCACCAGGCTTGAGAGCGCGTGACTCCAGACCGTACAGGGCGTTCCAAGCTGTGAGAGCGGCGCAGGAAAGAGTAGAGGCCTCGAACATGTTCAGGTTGGAGGGGGCCTTGACGAGACCAGCTTCGTCGAAAACGCCGTACTCTCGCAGAGTACCGTCGATGGCGCCTCCGAGACCGGTACCGAGAGATTGTGCGTCTAGGGAGCCGGCGATGTGACCTTGGTTGAAGAGGGTAACTACCTTGTCTGGGTGATGTTAGAAGGCTGCCTATATCGGTCTGTCTGTACAGGAATACGAACCTCCAGGCTTGAAGCGTGTGACGCGCTTGCCGACTGATTCTACAGTACCGGCGCCGTCCGAACCGGGCACAGTGTTGTCCTTCATCGGGAAGGGGTATTTGCCTTTGGGGATGATAAGGTCGCGGTAATTCAATGATGCAGCGTGGACTGTCAATTGGTCAGTGTCGTTGCTAGATGCTGTTCAATGAGATGTACACACTCTTGATGAGGACGTCCTTGTCTCCAATTTCTGGTACCTTGGCCTGCTCATTGAATTTGAGAGATTCAAAGCCATCCTGGCCTTGGACGGTCCATGCCTTTGTTGTAGATGGTGCCATTTTGTGGTAGATTTTGTGGGGGAGTGTTTGCTATGGGAAATTCGAAGGAGCTCCAAAAGACCTCTGAACCTTTATGACGTCTCTGCCATGACGGTGCCTGCTCCTTATGTACTGCCATGTGCATGTGGGGTCGTCGAAGGTCCGAATAGTGACGCAAGAATAACAAGAGCTAGCTCGAGTTCACGTCACAGCTTGTAGCGCTTGTAGCTCCCCTGTAAACTGCGGCTATCATGGATCATTAGCTTCCTAAATTGGTGGCGACCAGTCTGCCCGCACAGAGAAGACCCAATGGCGGCTTGTTCGCCATTATCTCAAAGGCGAACTGCCGGTCCGAAAGACGAGTTTGTCAGGATGGCTGACCGATGCTCTGCTTGCCTTGCCGGGGATTGCTCGGATCTTCGGTAAACGTGCAATTTAGAGCCTGGAGCTGCGTGCAACATGGCAGATGTCGGCAAAGTTCACTGGGAGCGCATTTGTAAGCTCCATGTTGGCGGAGTGGGTCCGATGGAGAAACGCGAGGATGTCGCGTGGCTTCGCGCCTACTCATGCCCCGCACCGTCTTCTACCGCCTTCTACCAAGGGAGTCGTCTTTTCTGAGGCACCCCACTATACTATACTCGGAAGGGTGATAGGTGATATAGGCTGTAGCATCGAATGCAGTAGATGTTTCTTGCGTGGCTTCCTCTTGTCATACTTACAATTCGTAAGAGCGAGCTCCTCCGCACGCGCGATATGTTCGTTGGTCTACATCCAACCCAGCCACCAAGTGTCTCCAGCTTCCAGCCAGCCACCTGCAGTCGTGCTTAGTGCGGCAATGGTCTACCAATAGCCAGTCTTTCCTGTGTTGCGCGCCGCCTCGTCTCGGTTCCCCAGAATAGACCACACTTGAGGGAGCGATGATGGAGAAGTGGGGGCTCAGTCCCGCGCACGATGCTGTCTCCATCCCGATCGTCCTCGAGATAGTCGTATGCGACAGTACCGGCACTCATTGAGCCTCCTGGCTGCCCTCTTCTTGTTGTCATGCTGCATACGTCCACAGTATTACATGTGCAACACCCCGCTGAACGCTAGCACTATGGTGTTTTCCTAATGACCTCGGGACCGCGTCGCAATCATCCTATGCTCTCAAAATTGCACCACCCTAGATTCACAACATTGCGATAACGATGACTTCTCAAGGAATTCAGTCGGCTTATTCTTCGCGAGATGTTTCGCCAGAATCGCGTCCTGAACCCTACGACCCCTTCCGCACAGAATCCGATCCTATCGAGCTCTCATATCTATCACGGCTGTCGTCAGATGGTAGGGAGCCACACATCTCTCATGCACAATCCTGGGGTCAGTCTCAGGATGGGGGTACAAAGAGTGGGTTGCGGGCGGGAGCCTACTTGGGCTTGCCGCATGGTGACAGCCGGTACGAGCCAGTGCCCGGAGAACACGACATCTCGGGCCATTCCATACGCTCAGCGAGAGAGTCAACGCATACTCTGAACTCGCTCTACCATAGAAAGACCATAGATGCGGACACCCAAGCGCTCGTCGACAGGAGATCTGGCGAGTTGGTCCAATGGCACATATATTGGACAACACCAGCTCTTATAGTGGCACTGTTCATAGCAGGATTTGCGGCAGCAGTGGGTCACCACTTGTTTTACATGCATCTCAATGGGCAGCCGGCTACCGATCAATTGAAGATGGTACGATACGGTACAGCCTTGGCCTTCTTTGTGAAAAGCACACTGGTCGGGACCGTTATCATGTGCAACCGTCAACGAATATGGTATACCTTTCGACGGAAGGCGATGACGATCAATGGAATTGATGGTCTTTTCTCTGCAACGGAAGATCCGACGCAGTTCTTCCTCAACTGGGAAATGATCAGAAATGGCAAGCTTGCTACACTCATGGCAGCATGTACTTGGGTAAGCTTCCAGATCTTCTACAACAATTTTGGACTGACCAACCCAAGTTACTACCACTTGCATCCGTCTTGTCTCCAGCCTCGCTAACTTCCGAGTTAAGAACGTTTAACAATACGGCCACTTGCTCTGTAGCTACCCTAGATTTCACCCAAGAATCTACGTACGACTTTCGAGACATGAGTAAATTCCGGCAAAGGAGCTTAAACTTCTACAACACGACTGAACCAGCCGATGAGGAACGGAGAGATGGAACAAAATACTCCGAGACAACAGAAAGCTTCTTCGACTATTACGATCAGCCGTCGACGAATGCGCGCCGCTTGGCCTTCAGTAGTGTGTACATGCAGAAGCCACAGCCTCGCGAAAATGCCTCTACCGTATTTTGCGGATCGGGCTGGAATTGTACATACACAATTAGCTTCGTGGGACCAGGCTACCAATGCGATGATGTCGACGAGGCTAATAGATTGGACGCGCCGTTCACATTGGCTGAATTAGCGCCAAATGGAAGCCTCGTGTATGCTGCCGAGGTTGATCAAGGTGATTACAGTTACCAAGATCCAGCGAATGGTACAGAGTCTTTAGGCGTGTTCAAGAACGAACCAAACCTCTGGATTGGTTACGCCATCAATACGTCCAAATTGTACTCGTACGATGAGGATTCAGACTACAAAGCCAAATGGGGAAACGTGCATGGTAAGTTTAGATTGAACGGAACACGTATAGGACATGTACTGATTGTTTATGTCCATCTCTACAGAGCCCAAGATATTCAAATGCGTCATGCAGTACACCAAATATACTTTCAATATGAGCTACAATCCTAGACAGTCCGCAACCCGCTGGAAACGAGAGTTCCTGCGTCCTGTTGTCGGGGAGCATCCCATCGAACCACAGAAAAATGTTGAACAATACAAACTAACGGCTTCCTTCCATACTCTGGGCTTACTCCTACGACGCTTCCTGCGTGGCAAAATCGTAAAGCAAAAAATCCTCATTACCTACTCAGATCTGTCTGAGACACGATTGGTCAACAGCAGCACCTCGTACCCGTTGGTGGATCTGAAGACAGAGATACAGGATCTTTTCGAAGACATACTCGTTACTCTTCTCAACGACCCGAATCTAGTCGTGGCCAAGACTCAGGAAGTGCCTTGCACGAAGTCACGAACCATGATGGTATACGTGTATTACAAACACTCCCTCTGGGTGGGATATGCGATCGCCATCGCAATTACTTTCGCCTTCATCCTGGTCGGTGCATGGTCGCTCCACATGAACGGGGTAGCATCTGATGTGCTCTTCTCTCGCATCATGGCTACCACGCGTAATCCTACGCTGGATCACTTGAGCGTTGGGGCGTGTTTGGGTGGGGATCCTTTTCCCAAGGAGCTGGCAAAGACGAAGTTACGCTTTGGTGTCCTCCTTGAAGATGATCCTAAAGAGGGACCTTTGGGCAAAGTGGAGCATTGTTGCTTTGGCACTATGGGCGAGACGAAGGAAATTATCAAAGGCGGCACGTATGCGGGACTCAGGCAGCATAGGATCGATGCCCGATTGATATAGAAGCGTGACACCGGGTGTTGTGTACCTCCTGAATACCGCGAAATAATGCCTATTATGCCTCAGTCACCATTGCATAGCTCCAGGCTACCAATGAGACTGTGCCTGACATTGCTGAACGATCATCCCATACCACACGGCTAGGCTCGACTTCTAAAGAAAAAACTCGTACGAGACCGCCCACTGGTTTCACCAGGACCAGCCAGCTGTGTCGGCATATGTACGGCAAAAGAAACGCGATGAAGTTGTGTCCTGGATTGACTACGACTGATGACCCATACCCAGGCCTAAGAACTCGAATAGAATAGGGTTACCCGCAACAGCGATATACGCAATACCTTATCAGGATTAGTCGTCGATTTTCTGTTGATAGCATATAACATACCCGTGTACACAATTAACTTTGTGACGACCTCAACATCATAGCGTACTCGCGGTGTCGTAAGCTTCATGAATATCTCCCGCTTCTCGTTTTCCTCCTCGGTCGGGCTCTGTGTAAGCATGTTGACATCGCCAGCGACATCTGTATCGCTCCTCGGAGGAGTAGACGTGTTTTTCTCGTTCACATGCACTTCACCTGTGCCCATCATCTGCTCGTACGAATGCACCCTGGACGCCATGGGTGTAGGTAGGAGGCCTGCGCCAAGTAGCGGTTCCCCCTTCTCGATGTTGGGTGTATCGAGAACTGCGGGGCTGGGTATCCACGCAGAGTCTTCGGGTACAGCACCATCTAACGAGTTGACACTTTCTCGTCGTCGGCGATTTCGGTAAGCAAGCGTCTCATAAGCATCGGCAGCGGACTGTGGGCCGACGGACACAGACCGCTTACGCGGGTGGGCGAGGTTCTTCAGCATATGTGGCAACTCTGACGCAGGTGGAATGACGTTGTCGTCATCAGCGAAAGGCTTTATGGACTTGTACTTGGACGCGTTGAGGAAGAAGGCGCGAGGCATGTTCCAACGGGCTTGCTCTAGAAGACGGAAAATGGGCGGTAGGACTGTGAACAAGGCAGGCTTCATGGTTGCTCTCCAGACGAAGATTACTACAACACCGAGTAGAATGCGAATTGTTGCCTTCAACAGGCCCATCTCTTCCAGATCGAATGGAACAGATGATGGGTATGCATCTTTCAATGCATACCCGGTCTGAGCGTAATGCCACGCACCAAGATTGATTCCAATAACCACGCCGGAGAAGGATACGCTATCGTCGTAGCATGGACAGTCGTCGGCAGGCTCCGGATGGATGCGGACGAGAACGCAGACGACCAAAGTTGCGATGAAGATGTCCATATAACTGCCACTGAAGACGAACGAGTCCATCCAGTCCCCGCAGACCAGTTGGAATGCCGTGATCAAAGCACCCATTATACTTCCGACCAGGACATCCAAAAACCCGTGCATGCCGCAATACAACCGCCCTGCAATGATCGAGAGCGCGTAGAAGTAGAACAGCGCCTGTAAGCCCGCATTCCAGTTTGAATTGTCTTGCTCGGCTGACTGGCGCAACGTGTATATGGCATAGAAGGCGACCGAAACCGCGTTGGCAGAGTGCGACGAGGGGAAGCCGTATTCGAGCGCAGCGGACCCGGACATGGATATACGGGCAAGTGGGGGTGATAAGGGCCTGGGCAAGCAGAGCATGTCCTTGAGGAAGCCCGTTCCATACACGCCGGCTGCAAGCATGAAGACAGTCCTGTGTACGTCAGACGTCGCACGATAGTGGGAGACAGCTTCTGACATACGCTCGGCCAATGCTAGTGTATCCGCACCAGAACTGGATGGGCAGGAACACCATGAAGAAGGTATGTGTGCCGAGGTTGGCGGTATAGGCGAAGTACGAGTCGAGGGCCGGAGAGCGCAACTTGTCCTGCATCAGGGCGAGCCATGGCGTCTCCCAGCGCACAATGGGTATGAGGCGATTGCGCAGGGCATTGCGCCATTTGGGTAGGCGTTGGGCATAGTGATCGTGGCCCTTGTTGCCGGCGTCCAATTTGGGCTCCTTGGTCGCTACGGTGTCGGTGGGCGCATCATGTCGCGGACTCATGGCAGCGGTCGCAGAAAGGGGGTGGGCGAGTTAATCGAACGTGCATGTCCAGCGCCGGCGATAGCGTCGTGGAGTAAGACGAGGCTGTAGGCGGCGATGCGTGCCATCGATCGATAGACATGGACAGGCACGTTGCAACTTGGCGCTAGTTTAGCGAGCCGCTGGAGACGTAGCGTGGTTGCCATATGCGACCGAGCCCTCTAACAGTCAACATCCACCTCTCTTAAGCCTCGACCACTCGCTCCCCACACCAACTCCAACACCATCTTCCTTCTCCGTATTGATAACCTCGTCTGAAACAAGACACGACTACACATCCCGCACACTTCCAAACATGGCCACCGCACCTTCCCAGAACTACGACTACCTCCGGCGCAAGCAGAGCACAAAGGCGCCCGTTTCATCAATCACACCAGTCCGCAGCCACGCCCGCACACCGAGTGAGCGCAACAGCAATGGCACCGTCAGCTCCTATGGCACCACCAACACGCGCGACACAGCCATCACCGAACCACCAGCCTATTCCAAGAAGCTCGTTGTTGTTGGTGACGGTGGATGCGGAAAGACATGTTTGTTGATCAGCTACAGCTCCGGCAACTTCCCAGAGGTACGCACCGCCAACACAAAAGATGTGTCATGTGGTTCTAATGCGAATGCAGAAATATGTACCAACGGTCTTCGAGAACTACATCACCCACACTCCTCATCCTCCAACGGGCAAGATGGTCGAACTTGCTCTGTGGGATACCGCAGGACAAGAGGAGTACGACAGGTTGCGGCCGCTCTCTTACCCAGAGACAGATGTCATTTTCGTTTGCTTTGCGATTGACTGCCCCAACTCACTAGAAAACGTCATGGACAAGGTAAGACACTTCGATACGTATAACTCGTACATTAGCTGACAACAACTAGTGGTACCCAGAAGTTCTCCACTTCTGCCCAACAACTCCCCTCATGCTTTTGGGCCTCAAGTCCGACTTGCGCAACAAGAAGAACTGCATCGAGCTACTCAAGACACAAGGCCTGACGCCCGTCACATCGGAGCAAGGTCGTGCGGTTGCGAAGAAGATGGGCGCTGCCTACATGGAGTGCAGTAGTAAAGAACAAGACGGTGTAGAGGAGATCTTCGACATGGCTGTCACAATGGCCGTCGGCGAGGAGCACAAGGAGCAAGAAGAGCGCCGTGTCGGCACAGCGACCTCATCAAGAGGGAACACGTCGTCGTTCCCTGCTGGGGGCGGTAAGAAGAAGAAGCGCAGCGGCTGCAAGGTCCTATAGTTTGTTTGTGTCTATCGAGAGGAGAGCATATCGAGATTCACGACGCTGGACGACACGATCAAGATGTTTAATGACATACGGCTCACCTCCATCACTGTCCGGGCATATTCGCTTCCTCTTAATCGTAGGGAAGTCTTCATATGTACATGGTCGCCTGGCGTTTGGGTTTCCTTTTGGCATGAGAACGGACGCAGCGATTCCATAGTCCACGTAGCAGCATTTTCTTTCCTGTATCTGTATTCGGTATTTTGTATGTACGCATGGCGCGAGGGCGATCAAATTTGCCTGCGCCTAGGAAGTAAATCAAACATATTTCTGAAACCTGTTTTCTCCAAATTGATCGTCACTAGCCGATGACAGAACTCGTGTCGTTGACCGCCTTCATAAACGCTTTCGCCCAAAAGTACATGGCACGTAAAATAGTGCATACCTTAGTCTCTAGTATCATACACTCGGTGTATCTTCTATGTAGAGGTATCATACAACGTGAACACTGCGATCCCTTGGTGTCGCGCACTGTACCAATGACTCGCTCCGGGGTATCATTACATCATACCCATTATCGCCATGGTCTGTTCGACGGCTGGCCGTGCACCTCCGGGCGCGTTGTTGTTTATCGCGGGCTAACAAGGTGTCTCCCTGCCACCGCTCATTTCCGATCCTGAGGCACTTCCGTCTCGCCTTCGTGTTCGGTCGCGCCCTCCTGTGCGCCTTCTTGTTGTTCACTCGGGTCCTTGGCCATGACGTTTTCAAAGTGACTCCATAGCGACTCGACGGGTGCGAACTCGTTGCCGACTGATGTGACTTCTTCGAGCGAACGGTTCAACTTGTTGATGTTTTGCAGGACGACTTCTAGACTCTGGCCGTTGGTTAGTACAAACCGGTCAAGAAGCTGAGATTCAGAGGGCTGCGGTGCGCCCCGTGGTAGAATTGATGGCTGCACGTACTTGGGCAATTTCAGTGACGAGCAATTCGCGCTGTTGCTCGTAGTATGTCTTTGACGGCGCGGTATCTTGGCCATTGGTTGACGGGGGAAAGTATGGCGGTGCCATATTTGGTGTTCTTTCGTGTCGTTGCGATCACTTGACACACAAGGAAAAAACCTGAACAGGCCTGCAGCCTACAATAGAACAACAAGAAGCAAACAAGAAGATGTGTCGTCAATGTAGGCTTCTGGGTGTTCAGTATTCCACTTGAATGGGGTGCGCTGGGCGCGGATCTTGGGACGCGAGAGCCGTTTCGCGACGCCAGGGTTGCTGTCGTGTTAGTAAGCCCGGTTACGCTAGGCGGCTTTCGGCCAAGCTCGTGAACTGGACCACTCATGTTCCATGAATCCATCTTTTCGTAGCCACCAACGCGGGTAATAGTGGGTTAGGCTCAAGCTAAAAAGTCTTTTAAAGGTACACGGCTGAGCTTCTCGTCTCTCGTTTCTCATTTCCAGTTCTCGCGAGCCATCGCGATCATGTGAGTGGTAAGACCCCTTTCTTGATATCACTACGCTCCCACCCCTTCAATGATTAAGAAACATACCTCTGTCAATCCTCTGATAGCTGCCGACGGTGTAACACCGCTGGCGGACATGAGGACCCAGTATTCACGCAATGAGATCAAAAACGCTCCTACACCGCTATTTTAAGTGTCAAGCGAGAAGCTAACGAAGCCTCTGCTTTAGACCATACTATGGCGGCTGCCCCAGCCCCCAAACAAATCAAAGAACCCTTTCCCATATCCCACGTCGCCGGCCGGTATTTCCTCTTTGATGTGGACGTTATTGCGCACTGCCGTCGCACGCACAACATCTGCGGTCTCCTCGTCGGCACGATACCGAACCTCAGCCAGCAGAACGTTTTTCTGGGCATACCACTTGAACTCATGCCGGAAGAGGCTCGGGTACTCGTCGATAAAGGTGCTGCGTATCTCGTGGATGATGCGCAGGCACATCAGAAGGCTTTTGCGGAGATGAGCCGCGAGGACAGACTGAGGTACATGGAGGAAATGGACAAGCGAGGAGAGGATGTCACCAAGGAACAGACTGAGCTGGCAGAGAGGAGGAAAGAGAGGGCGTTGGAGGCGAAGGGTCTCAAGAGGGAGGAAGTCGAGAAGAGTAGCGTTGCTGCAAGCACCACATCGGAAGACACTCTGCAGGGAGATGACTCCAGTGTCGCAAGCTCTGGTCTGGGATTCATCATGAAGGGATCAAGCTTCGCAGACTCGTCGGCGCCAGTGAAGCCAACCAAGACCACGGTGCCTTCCAGCCCTGCTAGTTCAGTCACTGATAGCTCGGATCTTGGTAGCTCTGGTCTAGGCTTCATCATGAAAGGCTCTAGTTTCTCAGACTCGTGGGTACAAATCAAGGCGCCCAAGGTTGATTCCTCGGTCGAAGAGGTCTCGCTCTTCGATGCTGCACCCCCTTCGCCTGCTCCTGAACCAGCTGTTCCTGTCCAGGCCAGCGCGCCGAAAGGCGTTGCTGCCCAGAAGCACTTCGTCACACCTACAACTTCATACCCACCTCTACCAACACCCGCCAAGGACCCCTCTGTTCCTCCTCCAGCCGTGCCGGACAGCTACCCGCTGTTCCGCTATCTGCATTCCAAGGGCTACTACCACATGCCCGGTCTACGCTTCGGATGTCACTACAACGTGTACCCAGGCGACCCCCTTCGGTACCACAGCCACTTCGCCGCGACTGGCTTGGGCTGGGACCAGAAGTTCGACTTGCTAGACGTTGTCGGTGGAGGACGCCTCGGCACAGGAACAAAGAAGGCCTACATGATCGGTGGTGAGAACCCCGAAGTAGATGCCCAGGAGAACGAGCCTGTGAGAGCATTCTCTGTTGAGTGGGCGGCGATATGAGTGCTGCGTCACTATGACTTCATACATGGATGTTACGACTTGATGAATACAATGCATAGATAGAAGAACAATGATGAGCCTTTGTTCAACGCATGCCAGCTTTGATATATGTTTGATTTTGTGACGAGAATCAGAACTCCAACGCAGCCGCAGTGGCCTGCCCTTCCACTGCGCTCTTCTCTGCGTCATCGCCCTTGGGGCCCTTACCCTTTCTATACACTCTCGCATCCCTAGGATCGAATCCGCCATTTCCCCAGAGCGCCCACTCTGGCGTCTCGTCACCAACGTAGTCTTCTGGTCTCCAGCCTACGACTTGCCCTTCCTCCGTTCTCGTGCCTTGAACCTTACCCTCGTAGAGATCAAAGAAGCGTTCGAAGTCTATTCTTGTCGCCCATTTGCCATTCTTCTTGAATCTCGTGCGGTCGGCTAGCAGGATGCAGCAGGAATGCGCATGCTCGGCACCGATGCCATAGGTCAGTCCGCGGTTGTTCAATTCTTTCTCTAGTTCCGTCACGAATTCGGCAACTTCTTCGTAGAAGGGGACGTTCTGCATGGTGAGACCTGCAGATCCTGCAGCTGAGGTACCGCAGTATGTGACGCCTTTGACTTCAACGAAACCAGGCAATGCACGCTCGACGAGGTCAGCGTAGCCACGCACTTCCTCGGCCATGTTGAAGCCTTTGACAAGCGTAAGGCGGAAGACAGTGCGTTGCTCGAACCGGCGGTTACGAAGGATATCTAGACAAGCACAGAAGCGCTCCCAGAAATCCCGGTGAAGAGGTCGATCAATCTTACGAAGACTGTCTTTGTTTGATGCGTCGATGGAGACGTAGAGCTGGGTCACTGGGATCAAGGAAGCTAGTTGAGCTGGGTGCTGAGCGTTACAGACAAGGAACGTGGAGATACGATTCGCATGCATGATCCCGAGAAGCTCGTTGATATGTGGATAGAAGATCGGTTCGCCGACTAAACTCAAGGCGCAGTGACGAATGCGCATGGCCTCGCTGAAACGCTCGGCTCGGACACCGGGGACTCCCTTCATCATCTTAATCTTCTTGTAATGTGCTGCGGTGATGCCGTCGAATATCAGATCCGGAGCATCGGTTATCCAGCGCCACGTGGTGCCGACCGGATTGGTGCCATGTCGCCAGCAAAAGACGCATTTGTTGGAGCATGAGAGAGACGGGGTGGCTTCCATGCATAAGTGAGAGGCGATACCGTAGAAGGAGTACTTGTAGCAGGAGCCTCGACCTCGCAAAGCTGATTTAGTCCATCGACAGATCTTGACGCCCGAATGAGAGCCAATGATGCTGTAACCTTGCTTGGTAAGAGCGGCATACGTAGGAGAGGTGGTGGGGACCATCTCCTTAGGACCCTGACGGGATGAGGTGGCTTTTACGGGTCCAGGGGCGGTTGCAGAATTTTTGTAGGTGGTAAAGTCGACCGGTATTGGAGCGTTCACCATCGAGCCTAGGTCTTCGACGTCGTCTACGCGTGTATTTTGGTCGTTCCCATCCTCTAGATCCTCTTCGTCGCTCTCGATGGGATCTCCGCTACCCGGGACACCTTCACCAAGTCCTCGTCCTTCGGCGATCTCCACGAGTGCGTCCTGAACGCCTATCCTCCAATCCTGTAGCCTTTGTTCAGCATCGCCCTTGACGTCTGCCATACCAAGTGGGTATGCCCTCTTCCTGCCGGTCAACCTGGCCATCCACTTGTCCACCTCCCTCGACTGGCTGCAAAAGCCCTCCTCTTCTGTCGGCCATCCTTCTTTATCGCCGAAACCAAAAACGGCGTATCCCAGCAAAGCGCTCAACGGCGCCGTATCGATCCTGAAGTCGTTGTGGGTTTCCTGCAAGCTCTCTACAAAGACGTCCAAGACGGTGTCGATGTTGTACGTCGGTACGAGGATGATGTAGAAGTATTTGACGTTCGCATTAGTTTTCGGTGGGCTAATGAAGTAGTCGTCGTGTTCAATGTAGGATATATCGAGCGTCTGGGGCTCTAGGAAGGACTTGGATTGATCGCATCCCCTACAATTTGAAACGCAATGTCAGTTCACGCCTCATGTATATTTCGCAAGCTAGACACGTACCTTGTCCACTCGGTGAGGACTTGCGCGAACTGCGTAGCGTAGCGTTCAGTCGTCCCAGACAGCGATTGGAAGAATATCATGGGCTGGATTCTATGCGTCTTATGGTCAAATGCAGGAGCTGCGATAACCTTTTTCGGTACCTTCCTGCCCTTGACTCTTTTGGGGCCCTTCTTCGTCTCGGCAACGGCAGCCACTGCCCTTGTGTCGTCCTCGGCATGGTTATCGATATTGAGCTTGGATGAGTTTAGCGTCGTGGTGTATTCGGGCAGCCATTCAGGTTTGAGCTCGACGGTGGTCTTCGGCGAGGAAGGAGCGGGTGATACAGAAAGCTTCTCCCTCTGGTCGCGGTCGCGCGCGTATATGACAAGGCGCGCGATGGTCGCTACTACTAGTGCAGACAGTAGGATGGGGAGCCGGTGCTCGTGCCATATGAGGAGCAACTCTGCAGTCAGATTAGCGACAAGCGTACGTAATCAGCCTAGTAACCTACCAGCTGGCAATCGCTCCAGCAGCCCGAGTACAGTCATGGCGCTGCTCTTGACGTTGCGCAAGCGATGTCTTTGGGGTACGAACTTTTGGCCAGCCACTTGCGTGGGGTCCATTACCTAGCGTCAGGCGGGGTCCATCATCAGCCGGCTAGCTGGACCCTGCACTACAACCTACCATGAAGGCTTCCACAGTGCTCTCATACCGCACCCGTTTACTACCACAACGGTGCATCGCTCGTTTTGGACAGATACATGCTCATTGTGTTGTTCGCGAATCCTAGTCATTTTGCCACTTGTCGATGCGTTGCCGGCTTCTTCATGCACTCTCCTCTTGCCTACAAAGCCTCCCGTTCTCTCCTGTACGAACACTGTTAGCGACAGGGGTTCATAGGTGCTGATTCTAATTGAGAGCATCGCTGATGCTGTTGAGTATCAACTCTGGGTCGCGGTTATGACTCTCAGTATAACCTTCTCTCCTTGCTTTCTTATTCTCGCGCTCATTCTCTCATTAAGGATCTCTGCGATACAATTCTTGAATTCAATATGGATAGTGCAGGAGACAAGTTCGAGTTCCTCCGTCTACGTCAATTCTCTTGTTATACCGCCAACTCATACGTTTCATCCTTCGTTTCGAGTCTGGCCTGGGGAGCGGTGTTCTCTTCTCTATGTCCTTCATTAGGAGCACTAATGAGTAACTTCTTCTATAGACTCTAGTCACGGTCACAGGGTCGAATATCTTGGACCCAATCTATATGATTCCAGCTTGATCAACAGCGAGTAGAGTAATATATTTTACTTGGACGAAGGACTGAACTCATAGCGAATGTCGGGAAGTGTACATCTCGTGAGCATCCTATGCACCGCAATCCTTTCATGGGCGAGTCTTGCAAGTCAGTGCTTTAAATCGAGCAGGTATCTTCTCATCTCAAGGTGACCAGTTCACCTTTCAGTAGCTGTTTGGTGGTGCACTTTTCACTTTGCTAACGCGCCAGTACTCGAGCACACGTACCCAGAGTTCTCAAGTTATTGCACTTTCACTTTCACTTTTCGCTACGACACCCCGCGTTTGCCCAGCGCCGTGGACCCGAAATCACGCATGCTTGGCGTTGTTTACAACTGGAGTTTACAAGCTGAACTGAACAAAATCGCCCGCACACCCAGTGACAGCTACTGCCCGACTGACAGCAACAACGCATTCTCTAGGCCCAGCCTCTTCGTCATAGCGAAAAGCACTTGACAATTGATCCATTCAGTAATTCGACGACACTAACCATGGTCGGTTTCAAGAGTTTCCTGTCAGCTAAGTCATTTCGCCGCAGCCACGATGACGACCGCGCCAAATCAGAGCTCAAAAACAGTATGAGCAAAGACGTCGGTGGCAGCGCTGGCATAAGCAGCAATAGCATTGCTCAGAAGTCGGACGACAAGCACAAGGAATCTACACGTCTTATTGCCGGCTTCCAGAAGGTCTTCGGCAATCATCGCCGTGGTGACCATGTCTCTCTCATGCCTTCTGCGCCGGCTACACCCACTTCCACTCCCAAGAGGCTCTATCGATTCCAGTCGCCTAAGCAAAACAAGGTCAGCACTGTAGATGAGATCTGAGAGAAGATGTACTAATCCCCAGGAAGCAAACATCTTCCACCCCATCATCGCTTTCGACGGCAGATAACACAACGCGGGAGTCCGATGCTACTATGCTATCACATGTAGTCCTTACAAGCACCCCACCCACGAGCCCATTGACGCCACTTGGAAGCGCGCATTCCGCGACGTCAGCCCCCAACAATAATCACACCGACGTTGCACACGTCACACCGCTTGCAAAGTTCTCGATCAACACCGCGAGGCCTATCACCCAAATCTCAGTGGAAAGTGATCTCAGATCCGACAACGAAAAGTATAGCGATGATGGCCCTGTACTTCGGACGACCTCCCACCCTGCCACCGTCGACGATACCAACGTCAGTTTTGATGCTCGTACTGATAAACTCAAGGCGGCCATAGAGGGCATGCGCGTGGCAGAACAGCTGCTGAATCAGCGCCATGCTACTATCAAACCACAGGCGAATACAAGTAAGCGCGTAAAGCCTTTGGATACCGTCGGCAAGAATGTGGGATCCAGAGACAGTCATGGCATAGCTCTTCTACCGAGCAGTCTTTCTGCGCTCAATCACCGCCAGACCCATCTAAGAACCGCAAATCAGGCTATCGAAGCCGCAAGACGGCGCCAGGCTGTCAGATATCTCGCTTTCTACGCAGCAGACGGCTGTCCGACTAACATCGACATTATCGATCGAATCAATGCCCACTTCCATCTCGAGGCCCGTCACATCGATGGTGAGATACCCAACGCTACCTTCGATGTCAATGGCGTACTCATCCGCGCTAGCCAGATGCCAAAAGGTTCTGTTGAGCGTAATTGGATCATACGCTACAACGCTGTAGTCAACAACGCCGAGCTTGTCGAACGCCGACTTATGAACAGCGAAGATCACGAGATGATTGTCGCTCAGCTCTTCCCTGAGAAGCGTGGTCACATACTAAACCCAGAGCACTTCGAGATCTTCATGACTGGCCTTGGTGAAGAGGGTATTCTCACAAAAGCGCAGGCCAAGTCCATTGCCATCGTCGCCGTCAGCAAAGAGGAGTTCGACAAAGGTATACACTACGTCGAAGCGACTGGCAGCAAACACGCTCATCGTCGCAACACCACCGCAGCAGCCATGTTCGACATTCCTCAGCGCGCCAGCCGAAGTACTGCATCCTTCTCATCTCGTCCAGCCAACGGTCAGAACCAACACGAGCTGTACTTCTATCTCCGCATTCTAGTCGAAGCCGCAGTCTACGGCCAAAAGTTCTGGAAAGGCTACTTCTTTCCCAACGCACGTAACAAGCTCAAGAACTTCTACGACGCTCACAAGCTTTCGCAGGAGGGCTGGCTTCTTCCTCCTCATCTAACCGACTACAAGCGTGACTGGACACACCGTGAGGTGCGGCTCCTACAGCGTGCTCATCTCATCTGTGACCTGCTCAAGCAGTACGAAGTGGGCGAAGTAACAGACTTCGGTATCATCCGCGCTATTCGCGCGACCTTCGTCGGCATTCCAGCTCAACCTTCATGGTGTCCTGAAGATCTGGAATCATTCCTTTACCACCGCATCGCCGATTCCGGTCTTACCGTCTCCAAAATCCCCGAGATCCTTGTTCTGCATCCAGAACACGACATGGTCTTTGCCAACTACCGTCTTCGTCAGCACGTCATCAGTGGACTTCGAGAGCGCGCTGATCAGTTTGAGAAGGAGGAGGTGGCGCGGCTGAAGGAGATTGACAAGAGTTATATGACTTTTGAGGAGGCGAGGAAGAAGGAGATGACGAGATGGGAGAGGATGAAGAAGGGCTTGAAGAAGGTGTTTGGGAAGAAGGAGGTTGTTGTTCTTTTTGATCCTTTCGCGCCTGAGCACGGGTTGGAAGAGCAGAGAGAGGAGACGGTATAAGGGTGCTTACGCATCTATCTCTATCTTCCAAGGACGCTACAGCAGTTTGCGAGTACACATTAGCTGGATCTGAGCCAGCTCAACTTTAATCCGTACTTTCTGGAGCTAATTCCAGGGCGAGTGCGGCTACATCTTGGTAGATGCGAAATCACGCTGGGTTCATGCTCCTTCGAACAGCGCGTGTACAGAAGACCTCTGCCACATAAAGCTCTTGATGAACTAGTCAGCTCCATGTTTCTTACAGAACCGCCGTGCAAAGCTTTGGGTATCTATCTGCCATGTCGAAGCGCATTAGACCTCAGATTGGTTGCCAAAATTCGCCATGCTGAAGGTATCCGGGTTGGTCAAATTTTACGTTCGCTCAAGCAGAACGCAGATGATGCTCTTTCTTGCTGGGAAGACGAAGTGGAAGACTTACGATGGGAAATTGAGAAATCATATTGAATTGGGCTTACTACGCGGAAAGGGAAGAGAGGTGCGTCCAGCTTCGAGGCCTATCCTAAGTCCATTATCTTTCTCAAACCAGACGATGATGTAGGCACCTCTCTCGCCAAACGCACATTCTCATGTGACGAAGGAATCGATCAAAGACATCAAGAGGAATGGTATGGGGAGTTGAACGACCACGGATCTGGCCAGTGGGTCACAATGACTACCTGCTAAGGGCCTATAATTTGGACAATAATAAAAACATTAATTGACCGGGACGCGATGACAGATTCACTATATCTTCAATCCTGTCGTATCTGTACGCGGCTCCTTGTTTTGTAAAGAACTAGTTACGCCTGCCCGAAGTATACATACACGTGTATCTCCATCGACCGCGACATGGACTTTCGTACGCTCGGTTGACACTGGAATCAACCGCAAATACTTCCCGGCACTACCCTAATTCTCAAGCTATAGACGAATACAGTAAACATTTCCAGCAAACATCTCGTGTCTACCAGCACGCAGTTAGGTGTTTCACACGTGCACACCAAGGTCTCATATTGCTCACCAAAAAAGGGCCATGGCCCTTTAGCGCACAATATCCAATCATACCATTCCTACTCAGCTGAGCATGCAGCCAAGACGCAGCCTAACAACCTCCGCCCTTTTCACTGTCTTGCTTAAAGCGGCGCAAGGCTTTACCGGCTGCAAGTATGTATTACCGATGGATCCTGCTTGCCTTTTCCACCAAAATTCCATACTTCGCCTACTACCACCACCTCAGTCTTCCTGCGCTGCTTTACGACCGCCAACTCATCGACTCGAGTGGCTTGCTTCGCCTCGACACTTTCGGTTAGGCACGCTGCAGCTTCCATCTGCCTTGCCAATCATGGAAGAATCCCAGGATTTTGGGTGAGCTTTTTTTTTTAGACTTTGCTAACAAAAAGGGCGTGCTGCCCGAAATTGTAGCCTTGCCTACTTTCTGCAAGATGGCCCAACACTCCAGCGGTTGCAAGCGAACCGCATACCTCAAGGAACTCAGCCCGCAGCCCTTGATACCGTCGATACCGACTTGAACCTGTGCGATCATGGCATGCTTTCCGACACGAGGTTACCATACGATCCTCGTGTTGACTGGTGCGGATTCGGGATGCCACTCCCGCAAGATCAGGGTCTTGGCGTCTTCAACACTAGTACTACACCGATGTATACGGTAAACGGTATGACTGCTGTCGGCGCTGGTATCTCATCTACTGGTACCATGATACAACAGGCAACGTCGCAACCTTGGGATAAAAGATGCATCATACTTTCCTGTGAGTTCCGTTACACCTCACAGTGGCAATGCAAGGAACACATGCGGGCTATGCATCAGGATGCCTTTACATGCGAACAATGCATGTATGTAGGCACGAGCCATTACGAGTTAGGACTGCATGCTTCCGACACAGGGCATGCTTCTTTCATCTGCAAGCATGACGACTGCGAGAAAAGGTTCTCCAGACTGGACACATACCAGAGGCATGAAAGAACTCATCGAGAGGACGCTAAGCGTTTCCCATGCATGCATTGCAGGAAATATCAAGGAAAGAATGGCTTCAAGCGCAAAGACCACCTCACTCAACACCTACGAAACTATCATCATATCGGCGAAGACAAACAGGTCGGACACTTACGTGACCGCAAGTGGTGTCCAAAGAAAGAGTGTACTGAGTCGAGACCTGCTAGCGTAGCCTTCTGGGAAGAAGGTGTCTTCAGGGAGTCAAAGGAATGGGTCAAGCACGTGCGCACTGTGCATGACGAATCTGAGTTCTCCTGCCCACAGGCTGGCTGCGACCGTGTCAACGGAAAAGGCTACTTCCGTCCAGCAGACCTCCGGGTCCATCTACGCAAAGTCCATGGCACAGATGGCTCTTTCGACCAGAGTATTTGGCATAACCTCTGGCAGTAATTCAACCCTAGTCACCTATCCACGGCATCGATCGGACGCATATTAAATATGCACTATGGCTCCTCACTACGGAACCATGACACGGGATTCCTTTCATCATTTCCTTCCTGGCGCCACATAACCACCAAAAACACTTGAAAAGAAGAGGAGGCAAGCACACGAACATCTCTCTCTGGAAAGCACAAAATTCATGTAACGACGCTCACGCAATCCCGTTATTTCCTTTCGAACACACACCGACAGTAACAAGTAACATCATCCATCTACCCCTCGTATCTCCTTACATACACTGAATACAATCTGTCTTTCCTTAGAAACACCACTATGCGCAAGATGACCAATATGAACGCGCACGTCACTGCGAGCGTTACCGTGACCTCACTCACTCACGTACGCATACAAGACACTCTATCCCATGGCTGTCAATAGCTGCGCAATCTGCCCTTCGTCTCACCATGACATGCACGTCGACGAGCCAGTCACAAAACCTCAAGGCTAAACATGGAGAAGCAAAATCATGTATACATCTTTAAACTACTACAGGGGGTATCTCACGCCATTTCTCCATACATACACCGACTACTCGTGTAGCCTCAGATAAGTCTCCATGCAAAAGCCAGATGAGAAGAACTCCACTAAATGGCAGGCTAATCCTAGCCCGCTGAGCATAACTGAAACTCCTGATAATGCCATAGCTCATGAAGACCAAAAGTAGAAGTAGACGCGCTCGTGATGCCATACTGCCATGTCGCTCGCATAAAAACGGAAATGCACCGTGTCAGATGCAAGTTTTCACGCTAATCATGTGAACAAAAAACCTGCCGAGTGTATCCAAAAAGAAGAGAAGAAAACTGGTCGTGACATTGAGCGCACGTTGTTCGTGTCTCACTGAAGTTTGAACAACGTGACCACAGCCAGACAGCCAATAGCGACCAGGGTACCCGTGACCTCTGGCCTTCTGAGAAATGTCTTGAACGGGTCACCCGTCTTCATCACATGTCCGATGACAGTAACATTTGTGTCGATGAAAGGCTCTTTTGCGACCGGACTCGATATCTTGGGTTCGGGGTGAACTAAGGGTGTCGTTTCCATGCGTGCCATGTCTGTGCCTATCGACTCGTCCAGCTCGTCTACGAGTGTCGCGCAGAGGCGGAAGATGTTCTTCGCTTCTTCGATGATGTCGACGCGCTCGTCGGGTGTGAAGAGGGTCTCCGCAGCGAGGAGTTGGGTCTTGAAATCTGCCTTGATGTCTTCGCCGTCGTGGGGTCCGAGGAAATGCCAGAAGGACAAGCCGCGCTCTTCTAAACTCAGCTCTTCGCCGTCTTGCTCTGGCCAGAAGCCTGGAGGTGCCTTCAAAAGCATGCTTCGTATCCACCGACCCCCGGAAAAGACGGCCATGTAAAAACACCAGGCATAGCTGACCAGCGTCCAAGGCTTCTCGTTCACGCTCTTGCGGATGTGTGTGCAGAAATCAGCGACCTTGTCTCCGGGGTACTTTGCTAGCAGGACTTCGAGATCCGTGGGGTGCACTCCTAGCAGGAACTCCAGATCCCTCTTCAGCCGACTTGACCGTATCAGGCCCCTTGGTCGTAGCGCTTTCAGAAAGGCAGCAAGTTGTGGAGAAGGCGGTGTCGGCGCACCCAGTGTGGAAGTGAAGAGTGAAGGCGAGTCGTACGGATTTACGAGGAGATACGATAACAGTGGCGAGAAGGGTGGGGACGCGGTCTCGGAATCGAACGCGGGGTGTGTGGAGGCGGCATGTGAGGCGGGAGCATGGTCGCGCAGCAGATCCGCCCACAGTGACTCGAAGGTGAGGAAGATGTGCGCGAAATGTAGCAGTCCAGTTGCGTAGAGTGTGGCGTCTGTCGTGTAAGGCGGGAGCGCAAGCGGTAGGCGAGAGGTTATGAGGCGGTTAAGGTTTGTGTGGAGAGAACTGGACATGTATTATTAGCATCGTGGCCTAACTCTACAGATTGAATTTCGAGAGCATACCGTGTACCAGCGTTAATCTCTCCCGAGAGCGAGACAGGTAACCTCGGCGCAGCGTCTCTGGCGTCGTCCCGCAGCGCATGTTGCTGCCTCTCCAACATCGTAGGCTACAAGTAGAGAGCAGTGTTGTATGTCGTGGTGATTGAATAGTCGAGGTCGTAATGTCGATCGATTCTAGCCAATTCGTCGAAAATGGCGGAAACAGGGAGAAGGCGCAACCTTAAAACCCGGTAAACATCCGTAGACTCTTGCAAGCACGCGCGAAACCCACGAGGAAGGTGCAGCCAGGGAGCCAGAGGGCTAGACTCTCCCGTGCCTGTCGCTCGTGTTAAACCCACGCGGAGATGGATCCGCCACGCCCCTCACACGCCGCGCTACCTATATCTCTGATCTCAGGGCGGACAAAAGCACGCCTTTAGTGGGGGCCCCGAGTGGCTTGCCCGTCGCGCATTGCGGCTCTCGCTGTGTGGAAGGCGGGATTCGAGGCCATGGTGGCGTTCAATGATGCAATACGTCCGCTGGCGCATGGTCGTTATGCAGGGATCGCCCGCTCATGACCGACTTCCGTTGCTGATCAAGATGCCGATGTTCTGCGAACGCAGTTCTCGAAACATGGGATGGAAAAGTGAGATGAGAAGAGTGGATTAAAAGCGGTCTCGCTGATGGTTATGGGTCAGATGGAGATCATGGGGGGGTTTGTCGTCTTGTAGGACCGATTGTGCTTCGCGATCCGCGGAAATGCCGCCCGCATGGTCCGATCGCGAGGTCCCGTGCAGTGCATGAGGCTGAACTATGGTTCTCGACACCAAACATGAGGCTTGTATAGCTGGGCGTTGACGCGTACTGCTTGAAGTTGTTCGATTATTTACTTTTCGATCATGTTTACCAATTCTACTGTCTAAGAATACTCCAAGACTTTCGGCCCGACACTTATCTGTGTCTCCAGTTTACTTCTCAGGGTTTAGAAGACGCTTGTGTATTGGTTCCGCAAAGACTCTGGTCTCGCCTTCTGCTATGCTGCTAATCTCTCTACCGCTTCTCCCGTGAATCTCCTTCAAGACCAACTTATCCGCATTCCTAGTCAAAGTCGCAGTCTATGAATCCTTCTTACTACGTTTGAACCACGTGGGCTTGGTGCGGAACGTGCAGACGGTAGTTGGTGTGTCGGGGTATAGGAGGAGGGCGTTGGCTTTGATTGAGTCGGCGAGCTTTTCGTAGTCTGGGCTGGCAACTTTAGTAAATAAGATGTCAGCGAGACTGCTTAAGAAGACGCATGTGCTGGGGACTGTGGTCCAAGTCAATGCCGTATCGTTTGGGGGCATTCTGAATTACGATTGAATCTCTCATAAGCTGGCAGAGTCTGTGATTGTTCCGTGTTCGGAATACCCTCCTATTATGCCGCCCTAACAGTCAAATATGATTGCTGGCTTTCATTGTTTGGCGTAGCAAGAACTTAGAGAAACTTCCCGCTCAGTCCATGGCATCCTTCGCAGTGGCTGAGGCAACGTTTGAAACGGGAAGAGAAACTCAAAGAATTAATGTATACCTAAACCATTGCATTTCGTCTAACCATAATCAAGAGGCTACATCATAGCATTGCCCGACAGTATCTCAACATGCCACCATAGCCAACCACTTGAATCGATCAACGGGAAGAGAACACGAAAGGTGTAGGCAAGACCAAGGATATGACCAGGTATGCCAGACAAGCGGCAGCATATCTCCAAGTAGACAATGTATGTGCGAAATGAGATCCGTGGACAGGGTATAGCGCCAAACACCATTGTGAGGAGATCAGACGCTGTCGTGAACATCGTTACGCAGGCAGCACGCGAAGCGCAGTGTCACGTTGGAGCGTGAGCATTTCAGACCTTCGCCCACTTGAAGTGGACATCCTCGCGCGCCACGACTTCGCCAACACTGGGGTCACTGCATACAGGCGCCCATACCTGAGCCTCGAACTGCCCAGCCGCAATGTTATTGCCAAAGAATGAGTAGTCTGTGATTGTCAGAACCAATACGTGTAAGCTCTCGCGCGTTGAACTTACAGCAGTAGAAGCGACCCGGCCAATTAACACCGTCGTCGCAGTGTCCGAGAGCACAGCCAAGACGTGTACTGTTGCGCCACACCATCTGCGTAAAGTGACCCCATGCTGCATCAAAGTGTGGGTTGTCGTAGGGGTACTTGGTCTCCTCTTCGTGCCAGCCGTGCGTGGCAGTGCGGGCGAACTCGATCCAAGCGTCGTAACCGTCAGGAGGCGGGTTTACTGAAGAGAGATTACTGCCGGAGCGTTTCTGTACATGTTAGCCGTGCCATACCTGTCATCATGCCAACTACCTACATGTTCAGGGTCCTTTGTACACTCTTCAATGTCAGCCCGCGCGGCGTCGGCAAGCTCAGTGTCCCAAATAAGGTCCTGCGCACAATGCAATTTGCGCCAGTACCAATGAGCTCGCATAACGGCACTAATGAAATTTGGGTCGTCCTGGTGTGGAGCGTCATCAGCGACGAGATCGCGGTGCTTGATCTCGTGCGTGGGAGCGGCGACAGCAGTAGCTGCCGTAAGAGCCAGGAGTTTGGCGAAGAACTTCATGGCTAGGTTCTGAGATAGGTGGTCACCGACGTCGGTATGTAGGAGAACGGCCTAGGAAGAGGTGCAGTTGGTAGCGGTGAGAGGATAGCAAGTGCAGCTGAGATGCCAGGCACTGGTCCAAGGCGAATGAATAAAAGGCAATTTAAGGAGCGAAAATAGGTTGAACGAGTGACGAAGTAAGAAGGAAACGAGGTCGCTGGGGTTTATATGGCTGAAGACGTGGACTGAAGTCCACGATGGCGTGTTGTTGACGGTTGCGCCTGGCTTCACGTACTAGCGCCGCAAACAGACGATTGCGGAAGGCGCACCAACCCGCCGGGTACCTACTCCAAGAGAGGGCAGTCCGGCATTGAGCACGGTCGACGGTGAATGATGAGCAGAGGCAGCGGACCTGCTGCAGCGGTCGTTCGTGTAATCTCAGCCGGGGTAGACGAGAGGTAGGACAAGTCCGTTGCGCTTCGCAGACGCCTAGTGGCGGTACAGGCCTGCTACTCGATTAGTCTCTTCACTGCATTGCCACTACCCTGTTGCGAACTTACTTGAAGGTATCACCAAACGCTGACCACGAACTAGATACGTGCACGCCGTCCACACACCACTACCCCTCTACCGTGCCCTCGTGGAGCCCACTACGCTAGCTGTAATTCCATACATCGTTAGATCAACGCACAAAATAGACATGTGAAGGAGAATGGCAACACAAGCACGCAGGGTGGCGTTCGCGACGAGTGATTACAGCGGCGCCAGATGAGCATGCGCCGCGTGAGTCCGCATAGTCCCTCTATGGTAGGCTGCAATTGGTAAAAGAAGTAACAAGGAGACCAATATGTGGTATGAATGCCTAAATGATGATCTAGTCTAGCACCACTACCGAGACATGGCGATAGCATTGCCTCGATCGTCCAAATCAGCCCAGGTGGTGTCAAAGACATTTTGGGCCAGGGAAACGTCGCACTTGTACTTGGTGGCTGCCGTTGACAGGACGTCTTTTCCTCGTTGTGTATGCGTTAGGGCAGGAGAGGCTGACCTGAATGTCTCAAGTCCATCGCCGCCGCGATGACGCAGCTCATGTGCCAAAACGCCCATAGCTCTTTTGTCTACACTGTGTTGATCCCATTATAAATGGGAGGGCGGTACCCAAGTACAGACAAGACGTACCATTGGATTCAAACCCCATTACCAGGGTTTCGCGCAACCCAGATCCCACTAAACCGATACAGCAGGACAGTGTACTCGCACCTGCTCATCGAACGCGTTACCCTTGCGTCGTCGTGGACCAAGCTTCATCGACCGATGCTAGTACAGCGTCAGAGTCCCGCCGTGTTCGTGTCACACCAACATTGAGGCCGAGAGCGTCTCAAGATCCTCGCCAGGACGCTTGTGTAAGATGACGACTCGCACAGAGCCGTCTGCGCCGCCAAGGCCACTGTTCATCCGTCCGGCCAGGTAACACCATGCCGACAACCAGGGATAAATTTGCCGCAACGACTGTGGCAGTACGTACACACGGGAAGCTGCATCGCATCGCCCGTACAGATGACAGAGCAGCACAACGCTGCGGTGTTGAGTCTCTTCATCCTTCCTTGAGACGTTTGGCGGGACGTCCAATGATCGAATCGTCCGGAAGGCCACTCCTTTTAGTACCTGGTAGACTAGACGTGCGGATATCGTTGTCCTCCTGGCTGACTCTTCTGACGGGGTACTTGATCTTCGAGTCCTCGAAGCAGCTGTCGGCTGGTTTGCCGTGAATGGTGAAGTAGGGATGTGACAGCGCTTTCTCTGCTGTGAGTCGTTTCTGGGGGTCGTACTCAAGCAGCTGTTTGAGCAGTGAGAGCCCTTCGGGTCCAGGTGTGTCTGGTCCAGAGCCTATTGGATACTGATTGTTGTTGAGGGTCTGGTGATACCATCGTTCTAAGCCATCGCCACCTTGAGGACGCGGAAATCGTGCAGCGTTGCCTGAGGCCAGGGACGAGAGCTGAGGATGTTCGGGCATGGCCGTCAGTAGCGGCCACCGGTCTTTGCTTGGCATGCCCATGATCTCGACTATCTTCTGCATCTGGTTGCGCTGGAATGGGACCGTCTTCTTGCTGTCCATCTTTGCCTCCTCACCTTTGAAGATGGGCCGTAGAGATAGCAGCTCGGCAAAGATGCATCCCACCGCCCATAGATCGACTGCAGGAGTATAGTGACGACTGCCAAGAAGGAGCTCTGGTGCGCGATACCATATTGTCACGACAACCTTGTCGCCTGAGAAAAGAGATTGCAGCGGTTTGTAGAACAAGCGAGCAAGACCCAAGTCGCCTATCTTGACTTTGCCAGCACTGGTGACCATGATGTTAGCAGGCTTGAGATCGCGGTGCATGACCCAATTCCGGTGCAGGTAGACCAGTCCCTGCAGCAGCTGATAAAGAATAGACTTGATGGTCGGTGCAGGTATCGCTTGTCGCTGAGGTTGATTGTGGTGGTGGATGATCTGCAGTAAGTCGTGTTCGGCATATTCGAAGACAATGTAGATACACTTGTCCTCCAGGATGATCTCTACGGTGTGCACGACGTTGGGATGTGCGAGCTCAGTACACAGCGCCATCTCACGTATGGCTGATTGCGAAATGCCAGAGTATTGCAGTTCGCCTTCTTTGTCCGGCTTGAACCTGGGGGTATTAGCAGGTATGGCGGTCAAGGTCCGCTCCACCTACTTCTTGATGGCAAACTCGCCGGTGCGGCCATTCTTGCCTTCGGCTTTGTAGACGCGTCCATAGGTACCGCTGCTGATGAAGCCGACGATCTTGTAGCGCTCAGTGACTCGCTTCTTGTTGTTGTAGCCAGTGAACATGGCATCAACGTAATCTAGCGGGTCTTCAGGAACAGGTTTAGTACTCGCTCTTAGAGGCTACGGTAGAAATGATAGCTCGGAAGATGCAGCAGGGTCCAGCAACGTCAACAGAAGGGGGCGATGCGGACACGAACGGCAATTGCTGACGACAGGAACAACAATCACGCAGCCAGCGACGTCCGGGTTCAGCCAGGAGGCGCCAGATGAGGCAACGAGAAGCGAGGTGACTTGAGGAAGGCTGGGTGGGGGAAGGCACGCCAGCATACAGGAGAGAGAGACGGATGGACACGTAGAGAAGGCAGAGGCGTACCGTCGGGAGCTGTCGCAATGCTGTTCTTGCGCGATGGGGCTCGGGCGGATGCCGCAGCAGAAGCCGACGAGGCCGGCGGGGAATTGGAGAGCTGGCTCATGCTTTTGCCATCATCTGCCTCAGCCTCTCGTTTAGCTGACGTCTCCACGCCCGACGCGGCAGCGACGCGTCGACGGAACTATTCCGGTGAGTCCTGCACGTGTGGGACCCGGTCCGAGACGGCGAGCTTCAATGTCGAAAGACGTGCAGAAGGTGTAAGGTGTTTGGCTTGAGGTTACGAGGGTCTATGGGTTGAGAAACAGGTTCCAATCATGTATCAATGGAGCCTACCAAGTGTGGCTCCCCGCAGAGCCTCAGTCTTGGACCCAACCACTTGCTTCGGCCACTCGTCGTCCAAGCTTCTCATGTCACCACCGTGAAACCTCAAGCTTCACGACAAGACCACTTCATGTCCATGCGGTGACAATCTGATCTTCATCGCTCTTATCTGAGCGGTCTGAATAGGTAGGCGCAGTGCAGCATCGTCATTGCGATGTCACGTTCTACGAGGCGGCTGACACGTCCATGTAGCTCAAGCGGCACGCCAAACCTCCCACCTCTCACCTCTACCACGTAACTGTAGAACCCCGCCATGGACCCGCGCTCGTGGTTCAGCAGCCTGACGGGCTACTTTGTCTATATCCTGTCCATTGCAACTCTCGGCCCGCTCCTCTTCGGCTTTCACCTGGTGGGCCCCAACGTCATCCTTGCCGGCGCATAGCTAACACGCCCAGTCTGAGCTGAACGCGCCCGAAGATGTCATCCGCTGTAAACGCAAGTCCATCACGTCGGCCGTCGCTGGCTCGAGCCTACCACAATGCATCGAGATGAGCCCGACCGAATGGGGCGTCGTGGGATCGCTGTACACACTGGGAGGTCTGATAGGAGCCCTTTCGGCAGGACCAGTGGCAGGCAAATACGGACGTCTCAGATCCATGCAGATATTCGCTCTCTTCTTCGCCGTGGGCCCAATCTTTGAAGCGCTGAGCCCGAACATTGGAGTCATGGCGTTTGGAAGGCTGTTGTCAGGAGTCGGTGCAGGCGCGGCCGTCGTCATTGTGCCCCTCTACATCTCTGAGATTGCACCGCCGGGCGAGAAGGGCTTCTTCGGTGCCTTCACACAAATCGGGTGCAACGTGGGTATCTTGATCACGCAGTTGCTGGGATACTTCTTGAGCCACGACTCTTACTGGAGGCTCATCTTGGCTATCGGAGGTGTCATCGGTGCTGTACAAGGTGTCGGGCTACTGCTGTCGGTCGAAAGCCCAAAGTACATCGCAGAGCAGGGTAATGTCTCGCTCGCGAAGAAGACATTGCGCAAGATCAGGGGAGAACATGCAGACATTGAAGACGAGATGAACGACTGGGGAGTCTCGGGCTCCGGCAACGTCAGTGGTACGTCTTTTAACCTATCCGTTCATGACAGCATGCTAACAGTTCCCCAGAAGAGGAGCAGACACTACTGAGTAATGAAGATGGGTCGGCTGAGGCGAGGCCCAAAGAGTCAGGCAAAGAACAGACGCTGAGCATCATGCAAGTCTTCCGCCATCCCGACTACCAAAAGGCCGCCTTTGCCGTCGTCATGGTCATGCTGGCCCAGCAGTTCAGTGGCATCAACAGCATCGTCATGTACGGCGTTTCACTCCTAGCAGGCTTGCTCGAGTCCAACTCTGCGCTGCTCAACCTTGCCGTCTCAGCGCTCAACATTATCGTCACAGCCAGCTGCGCGCCCCTTGCTGACAAGCTGGGTCGCAAGGTCTGCCTGCTCAGCTCCCTTGCTATCATGGGCACGAGCTCGCTCTTACTTGCTATTGGCATTATCAAGTCGATATCTGTTCTTTCCGCCGTCGCCGTCCTGCTGTTCGTGTCCGGCTTTGCTGTTGGTCTTGGCCCTGTGCCGTTCATCCTAGCGAGCGAGCTCGTAGGCCCGGATGCCGTCGACGCAACGCAGAGTATTGCGCTCGGAGCCAACTGGATCGCTACATTCATCGTGGCACAGTTCTTCCCGCTGGCAAGTGCAAAGCTACATGGATACGTTTACTTCATTTTCGCAGCTTTGTCGGCGTTCTTTTTCGCCTTCATTACGTGGTTCGTGCCCGAAACCAAAGGTAAGAAGAACGCAGACGAGGTTTGGGGCAGAGAGCGTAGGGTGGATTGATTCATGGCGGACCGGAGGGTGGGAATTCGCGCGATATTCAAGGGTTCACGGGGCCGATTTTTTCAATTCTGGTACAAGGCTGAGCTGCCCGCTACGTCACCGGCAAAGCGCCTTCGCGCGCAATTTCCTCACAATCCAAGCCAGTTCCCTCTCTACGTGGTGGTCATCTCGAAAATGCCGAACATTCTGAAGCCGCATTATTGGTCGTTTCGGCAATTATTGCCTGGAATGCACAGGAGCAGGCACTTTCGAACGCAAAGCTGAGGACACTGAAAAGCATGTGTTCGCATGCGAAGGAAGGTTCCATAGTCAGAAAATCGAAATTCTTGAGTCACATAATACTGTTGGCTCCAAAATGATGCAGCTACTTCCCGAAGACCAGCTGTGCAATTGCTCCGACTTCACGGCTAAGCAGTCAGCCGAGTCGGGGAAATAATCGTCGGAAGCGTCTACCCCGATTCCTAATTGCTGACACAAGTGGTGTGCTTAGTGATTTTGCGCAGCCGCGGCTAGAAGGCGGCGGGTCCGAGCAGCGGCTTCGGATATGTCATTCAGTCATTCGACCCCACTGGCCTTGGGGGTACTTTCACGCCTTCAATCTCACCTGCTATGCGATTGCAGTACTAGAGTCACTACCTTGCTCTTTCACTAGTCATCCGTGTTACTTTATATGCTCCCCACGACATGCCCTCCAACATGACAGCATTCCCGCCGCATTTCTCACCTCACCTCTCGAGCGCCGGGCGAGACGGCTTCGACTTCCAGACATCGCAGCTCGAGGCAGAGACGCCGGAACGGGTCGCAAAGGACGATGCACACCACAGCCCCCCGCACTCGATAATATCGCCTGTCTTTACGCCTCCAGCGACGCCGGGAGACTCGACACCCTCGCGGCCCCGGCCACCCCGCTCCATACCCGTCGACACCTCAGTGCGCACCGACACGCCGCGGCCGGATCTGCTGCCCAAGCTACCCACAGTCGAGTGCGAAGTGCGTGCGCGGATACCCACTACCACAGGGCATGAGATGTGGCTGCACGTTTACAGGAACAGCGTCGACACCAAGGAACACCTGGCAATTGTCTTTGGAGGCCAGATACGCTCGAGATCGCTGGATGCAGAGCGTCCGGGAGAGACGGAGTTGGACCGCATGACAAGAGGCGCATATGTAGGACGCCTGTACCCTGGGAGAACCAGCTCGCGGGTTGAGCAGCTCAAGAGGCAGGAGGGCGTCCCTACGAAGCGCAAGCCCGACGCTGACTCGGCGCACGTGGATAAGAGCAACGGCCTGTTATCGCCAGCATCTGCGTCTTCATCCGAGAACGGCGACATACAGTCAGCTTCTTCAATAGAATTACCTCTCGTCCGCATACACTCCGAATGCTACACCGGCGAGACTGTCTGGTCTGCGCGCTGCGACTGCGGTGAGCAACTCGACGAAGCCGCGCGGCTTATGGCCGATCCTACTCTGTCTCCTTCTGGCGGTGCTATTATCTATCTTCGCCAAGAGGGTCGTGGAATTGGTCTAGGCGAAAAGCTCAAGGCATACAATCTGCAAGACTTAGGCAACGACACATACGAAGCAAATATCATGTTACGGCATCCTGCAGATGCGCGAAGCTACGGCTTAGCCACGGCCATGCTCATGGACCTGGGCTTAGACGGAGACAGAGGGATTAGACTTTTGACCAACAACCCAGATAAAGTCCATGCTGTCGAGGGCCCGAATAGAGAGGTTGTCGTGAGGGAGCGCGTAGCCATGGTTCCGCTTGCCTGGAAAACAGGCGGCATGAAGGGCATCAAGAGCGAAGAAGTAGAGAAATATCTTAGTACAAAGGTGAGCCCACGTCAGATTGCGACACTTCGAGATGCGAAATTTGCTGACAATGATTCAGATCGAAAAGTTCAAGCATATGTTAGATCACAAATAATGGCATTTAGATGGTTGACAGCGTATTTTTCAATTTCCGTCGCATCCGACAATGTGATCTGCTAGACGATCAACGGCGCTGACGTGGGGCGCAGACGACCGCTCGGCCGCTCTGAAACCACTAAAATAATCATAACCTGCTTCACCTCACCGCACCGCCTCTGCGACCTGCGCCCTATCCTTCGCTTATCCCTGATTTTCAGACTGTCTTCGCGTATATAGCGGGTCGTCCATGGTCTTGGTTACGGCCAGCATCCCGACAGCATGGCGAGCTCGCGAGACGACGCTGCGGAGAACCCCTTCCTTAGTCCAGCGGATGGACGGAGCATGAGGAGCTTCACCGCCGACTCCAAAAGTAAGCCGACCTCCGACTTCCCTGATATGTCTGCGTGAAATGCTCAATTTGGTTAGATAGCTCGAGGAGCATGCTACCACTCTTATACACCCAAGGCCTGCTTGAACCACAACGAAGTGGTTATTCCATCACTCTTCTATTGACGTCATTATACTCGACTCTATGCTCGGCCTTGTTCTTCATCGTCGCATTGATACAGCCAAAATATGGGCATATCGTATCAGCGCGTGGGCGGTTTTCCCCTTCCTCGGCGGCGCTATTGACGGCTTTCATCGCCAAGACTGTCGAGTTGTCGTTCGTAATGGTATTCTTGGCATTCATAGGGCAGGTCCTGTCGCGAAGAGCTATTCAGCAGAAAGGCATCAACTTGGCTAGCGTGTCGATGCGATCCTGGATTCTGTAAGTTGACAGCGTTTCGGGCACCAGCGCTCATGTTGGCTGATTATATGGGAAGTCAACCAGGAAAATTATTCAGCGGGTGGCATAGCGTCCGGGTGGCTGGCTTCAGCGTATTGGGAGTACTCTCACTGATTACGGCCGTTCTCTCTCTATTATATACAACCGCAGCAGGTGCTCTGGGTATGGCAGTACCCTTCTTCTACACCATGAGTCGCTAACATGCCCACAGTTCAACCACAGCTTCGCCTCCCGCCCTGGGAGCATCAAATGCTTGCTGGTCAAGTAGATGGCGACTTCTCCAGCACTCTGAAGGCTGATAAGACTTGCCTCACCGCCTGGCCTGACGTGGGCGACACGCAGTGGGGCGGGAGCACATGTCTCGCCATGAAGTGGTCTTCGCTATGTGGCCGCAACTTTATCAAGTACATGTCCGCATGGGATGATCAAGCAGCCGCAGCAAACCCTCCTTGGATGTCTGAGCACCTTCTGGAACGAAAGCCGATCAGTGCGTCGCTAGACAACAACGTCACTGTCACTACTGCATGGCTTGATGACCACGATGTTGCAACTGACTCTGAGAAGGCAGGCAGGATAAGTTCGTGGCCGAGATTATTCTAATCTTACGTCGCTAACCTGGTATAGTCAACAACATCACTATAGCCGTTCCTCATCGAGGGATTCCGGCAGCAGCTCGCAATGTTCAGAATGACTTGCTGCAGCCAGAAGTAGGTAGATCATGCATGCCACATTCGTACCATACTAACGTTTCTAGGATCTGCATGATGGTGGCTCATACTCTATTCACGCTTCGGTCGCTAGCTTCGCACTCAACGCGCTGTGTGTCAATGCCAAAGAGGAAGAGCTAGCTCCTCTGATATATACCAATTGGCCCAATGCAATTCCTATGGAAGAAGGATCCAAGTCTGTCAACTGGTGGCCTATCTTGGGATTTCCAGAAGGCACTAACACGAACAACAAAACCGTGCTTGATGACATATTTGGGTGGAAGGACGAGACGGAGGATCATTCACGTGCTAGACCAAGTAAGTCCGATCCTTTGCATGAAAGACATGTACTAACGTCATGCAGTTTTTCTCAAGTACCCGAAAGCAGGAAACACAGTAAGTGAGTCTGTCTAAATCGGAAGACGATAGACTAATTGAGTAGATCGCAAACCACACTCAAGTACCTTACGAGCTTGGGGACCGACCAGAAGTCTACCTGCTCGGCAAAGCGCCCGACAATACCACCGAAGACTATTTCCTCTGCTCTATGAAGGCCAGCATCACGACTTCCTGCACTACACGCTACAACGCCTCTTCCGGCGGCCAAAGCCTCGAAGCAGTCTGTGACGACGAGAATGGAAAGCACAGCGACGACTCCGCCATCCAACCCCTCCGTTCTACCGAGGACAGAGTAGCCCTAGTAGGCTGGCGCGACCTAGGCTTCAATCTCCTCAACTCCTTGAGCCTAAACAACGGTGTCTTCGACGGCGACGCATCAACAGCCCGTATCTTCACTCAACTCCAACTCACAGAACCCAAGCTTAACAAAACACTCCCAAGCCCCGCGGAAGCACTCCTAAGTATGACAACATGCACCGTCCTCGACCTAACCCAAAACTTCCCCTTTCAGCCCTTCTCAAACACCACCGCCGACGAATTCGACACCCCCCAAATGCAATACTTCAACGCATCCGTCCGCGTCGCACAATACATGTCCGGCGGCGAAAAGAGCTACCAAAAAGCGCTTCTCGTCGTCCTCGCCCTCACGCTCCTCATCAACATCTTCATCTTCATCTACTTCGCCGTGATGCTACGCATCAAACTCATCACGGATTTGTGCGAGCCACTCGTGCTGTTTGTACTAGGTTACCATTCTCCGCCGTCGGATGGACTGTTCATGGGACGACCGCAGGAGGGGCCGCAGAAGAGGGATATGCAAGTTGATTGGATTGTTAAGAGGAAAGGGGAGCAGTTGGTTGTTGTGGGGATGGGGGAGCGTGATGGGGATTTAGAGGGAGAGGGGAGAGGGAAAGGAGGCTGGTTTAGGATGAGGAGGAGAGGTGCGGGTGGACGGGAAGGAGATAGGGAAGAAGGGTCGCCGGATGGGCTTAGGCCGTAACGGATGAGGATGCAAAGATAGGCGTGTCACGCTTCTTTTTTGGGGCCAACAATAATTGACCATCGAAAACCATCCTCCTCGTCCTCCGTCTCAGTAACCAATAGCGGGGGAAACGACGTCACGGGCTTGCACTGCCCCTACGGCCACGCTTGCCAGCTGTGGCTTGCGCTGCGCCACTCACCTGGACCTCATCGAGGCCAGGGTATATCACCAGGCCTTGTGCACACACTTGTTCTCGGTTTCTCATGCCATCCCGAATTGGAAGAGACCGAAAACACAATCCGTCACTTTGAATTCCATCGCCTTTTTCGTTGAGTTTTTTTTTTGAAGAAGCGTCTTCAACCTCTCCACGCTCCAAATCATTCACTACGGTCATCACGAAACCTTACCATCCTTAAAATCCAAACCCTGGAGCCTTTCCGTAACCGGCCTGTACAAGACATATCTGGGTCAAACACCTTACGGTTCCTGCGAGGATCATTCCGAGAATGACCCAACCGTCGCCCGAGTCGATGCAAGTCAGTGGCTTCTACGGCCCTGGCGCCTGGGCTGCGTGGGTGATTACCATGTTTGCATCGTGGATACCCCTCCTCCACGGCGACTACACCCATAACCTGCACTTCATCGGATACGCGCTATATACGAATTGGGCTGCGATTGACCTTGTACGCCACGATAACTGGGCCCTTCCACCAGACCAACACAATCTCTCAGACCAAGACCGCGCGCGATTTGACAACATTGCTGCTTCCATTGCGGTGGTACAGCTTGGAGTTTACCAGGCCGTTGCACAGTTGTTATTTTGTAATAATAGGCTACAGCATGAGCATATTGCTCAAGCTAAACGTTCGTTAGAAGCGCGACGTCGCTTTATCTTGAGTATTGGAGCAGTGCTTCCACTTTCAATGGGCATTCATGCTTTCGCGCGTTCTTTTTCGTCTGATTTCAGTTGGTTTGCGTTACTTGTGTGTTGTGTCTTGGGCGTCTGGCTTGTGGGTTACAACGCGTGCCAACTTTTGTGGCCGCGCAAATTTATGTGGGAAACTATGTTAAGGGAGCTTCCCCTTTTATGTGCGGCCGCTATTCTGGTGTTCGGTCTTTCCTTCTTTCTTACTGCGTACCTTTTTGCTAGTGCGACGGGAGTTTCGCAGATACTCTACCTCGCCGGCTTGCCTGAACAGTGTTACTTCGTTCCTTGTGCGCCGCAGGGTATTGGGGAATGGGATCAGGCCTTTTCGTTGATAGTTGCTTTGTTCCTTTTCTCATACGAGTTTGGGTATGATATTGTTCGCATTGGGACAAAAGCAGTTCAAGGTATGTGTACAATCTGGCAACGAGCTGCAAAGTAGCTCAAGAAAATGGACGCACATTTTATTATGATTGTGCAGAGGTTTCTTGCTGTCAGCTGTCGGTTTGGTGGTGGCTTAGCGAATGTGGCTGAGCGCAAGCCACACACATCGATACTGCGGTTCTTCATCAGGCTGACCTGTCGCTGGAGAATACTCTTGTTTTTACTCTCATTATCGCCTACTCCATTTCCGTTATTTCTCAAATATCACATTGGCGCGGTCTTGAGCATCTCGACACATATCTGAGAGTGTGGTGTTCCACGTACAGTTGCACCTGCCGCATCTCGACGACCAGCCTTGCTACCATACGCTCAGATTGCAGCCTAATCTTACTTCGCGCTGATCAACGAACTCATCCACAACTACCTCGAACTACGGCACTCGAAGGGTAATCCACCACGTCACTCGAGATGTCTCAATCCTCGGCTGACTACACCCAAATCAGCGGATTCTACGGCCCTGGAACTTGGGCAGCATGGGTCATTACTCTCATCACGTCCTGGATACCCATTTTGCGGAACGATCACAAGCACAATCTACACTACGTTAGCTATGCGCTATACACGAATTGGGCCGCCATTGATCTCATACGCCAGGCCAAGCCTTCTGCTGACCATCGGACTCTTCGGGAAATGAACGACGCCCAGTTGCAGAGTCTCGTCGCGGCTTCAGCAGTGGTACGAGTTGGCATCTTCCATGCATGTTTGCAAATCGCAATATGTCGATTCATAGCGAAGAACAAGGATACCGATACCAAAAATAACATCAAGAGGCGTCTCCGGTGCATCGCCATCGGCCTACTGCTCCCCGTACTGACGGACTTCTTTCTTGTGCCATACTACCACAACGTCTTAGCCGGTCATAGCAGGTTTGGTTACCCCATGCTCGCAGTAGCTGTTTTTTTCACAGCATTCATGTTTTTGACTCAAATCATGGCGTCCTTGAACAATACATACACCGTACTGGACGTTGCTTTCGTAATGACCTTGTCGTTGCTTATTTCAATGATGGGTTGGGACTCTTTTATCATTGATAGTGATGCAGTGTCAAGTGAGCGGTGCTCCATTGTTCCATGTGCCCCGCAGACGATTTTGGAATGGGATCAGGCTTTTTCCTTGCTTGTTGCGCTGTTGTTGCTCATGTACGAGTATTTCGCTATCATTGTCCAGCTCGTGAGAAAAGCATTTCGGGGCGTATCGAGCAGCGAGCAGCAAAGGGACTCAGGTCTATTACTCAAGTGAAAGATAGCAATGCTCTTCCGGTTTCTTTTTCTATGATACATGGTTGCAAGATAGAATTACTCGAAAGAATGTATCAAAATAGACATACATGAGTTTGAAGTAGAGTCGGTATGAAGCCCCTTATTCAATGTTGACGTTGTTACTATACATGCACCACCTAGATCAGGAAAACTGAGCGCTCAACACACACTGGTCCTTTGGTTCGAGTTGTCCCCCACTTAGCAAGGGATGTAGATAGTGCAATAAGAACTCGACACGCTCACGATCCCCCCATCAATGTTATTAGTGACGACACCCTCAGTATTCACCCCATTATACGTAATCGTGCAAATCTGAAAGGTGTTGCTCGCGCTATTGAACGCCGTCCTAAAGGTAACATCGCCCAGAGTATGGCAGTCTGCTGCAGAGACGCTATTGGTGGCGCCATTGAAGTCATCCACGTTGGCGTCGGTGTTGTAGTAGACTTGGTTGTTGTTGACGTCGTAGCAGTAGATTCCTCCGCCGGTTATGTCGACGGGCTGTTGGTAGGGGCTGCCGCCGCCGTAAGTGTGCGACGCTTTGGCCTCGACTTTGCAGCGGGTTACGCCGTCATCTTGGCGGAGCTGGGTGTTGAGTTAGCTGGAGGTTCATGTAGGGCTTCCGACTTGTCTCGAGCAGAAATACTTACTGCGAGGTTGTTGGTGGGCGCCGCCATTATGGTAGTGATGGCGGTTGCAAGCATCATCGCAAAGGAGTTTACTGAGAACCTGGGTTCGAGTAAGCGATGTGTGCATTTTCGGTTCTGAATGCTCAACATACTGCATGATGGTGATTTTCGTGTGTTCCTGTGTCGTAGCTGGGGTGTGTGATCGTATGATAGTATTGGAAAGTGATACAATGTTGTTGTGAGATACTTCATCAATTCGCGGCCGAGAACCTGCTTTTATAACTGTTAGTGTAGCCAGCATTGCTCGCAATCGAAGATCAATCCGAACTGAAGATGTCGTGTTATGCCACCTACGTCTTTACTTCCTATGAATCCAAGTTTTCCCGCCAAACGCAGTATGCGTGATCTATACGAACTAAGCTTCTCCGTCAAGATGCCAAGTAAGCACTTAGCCGTCAGTCTCTCAGGTCCAATGAACATTGCGCTCCCGAGGCCGTGCATTAGCGAAGTCTGACGTGGAAGGTGCAGACAGTTCTACTCCTGTCAAAATGCACTTGACGTAGTAGCGAGCAGGGAGATCTACATCTAGTGACATACTTGATCCTGCAAGGCCACCTGCTAGAATCCAGGATCACCCGTCGTTGAATGTACCACCCAGTATCCGGTATAGCATGTGGTCGTTTACTCAACCTGGTGCTTTGTATACGTTGAGCTTCGTCAGCAAAAGCCAGTGTAGTGCGGCCCGTATGGGCTGTGTTGACCGTGATGGTCTTGCTTGAGAAGCAACCAGCACTTTACAAGCAACACAAGCTTTCCAGACCAAGAAAGTCATTATTGTCCGTTGTCCGATTGTTATGACTGGTACACTCCCTCTCTGCATCTCTTCCGCGGGTATACGGTCGTAAAGAAGGGATCGCCCGCCTGGTACCACCCGTGTACCGCTAGTGTGCGGACGATGGCAGCATCCGACGCTAGCATGCAACCTAAACTACCTTTCCACTGCTCTGGATATAGAAAACATTCTCTTCCGGGAACGGAGCGTCAATGTCCGCGCTGTAAGTCTTGTAGTGTCGGTGTTCTCGTAGTAGTCTAAGATTGTGGCGCAGGTAACCAGGTAGCGTTGCATTTGACAAACGAAGTAACCCAAGTACTTGGATAAACGCCTGGGTTGCCAGAACCAATGGTCAGCGTTTCCTAAAGTGTTGGCTGTTGCACAATGAACTACCCGAGAATACTGGGTATTAAAGAGAAGCTCTCAAATGAATCCCCCCGGAACGGGCGCAGTCCCAAGAGTAAGATCTAGCAAAAGAAGAGGCAGGTCTCCAGACACCAAAGTCCCGCGTTCACGCGATGCAAGACATCGGGATGAACTCCGCAATGTACTCAGTAGTCCACGTTGAGCCTGTCTTCGGAATTAGATACCCATTTAATCGCATAACGTCCTGATTCGAGCCTAGTATAGCTCCAACCGGGCCGAATCGAATACGGAATACGTGGATCCGTTGTACCTAGGTATTGCCAGCATGGTCACAACACTAATCAGTGACGTAAACAGCTGGATCGTGGTCGCTTCTGTGGCCGTAGTCTTTCGATCATGGACACGACGTCCCATCACCATGCCGTAGAGAGATTGGACGAGTTCCGAGAAAGAGGAAGAATGACATCAACTCAAGTCCACCAGTAGCAAACATCAGGTGCCCATCCACGCACCCTCACGTACACTCCTTAGCAACCTGCGCGAGCACCTTCTCATACTCGGCCACACTCTTCGCACCCACAAGCGTAAAGTCCCTCTTCCTACCCTCAAAAATGACATACGGCACGCTGTCCACTCCATTCCCGGCTTGTTCCCGAATCGCCGCCTTCGTCTCCATCAACTCCTCATCGCTATCTTCCACCAACTTCTTCGCTTCCACTTCGCTCAGCCCAGCCGCTGTGCACGCTTTGACTAGAGTCTCGGTACTCGACGGATGAGCACGCTGCTCAAAGTACTGATTGTACAGCGACTTTACAGCTTCCAATGCAGCACCTTGCTTTTTGTTGTTCTGTAAATACTGTAATATACGATGCGCGTGTAAGGTATTCGCAACCATGCCACCTCCAAAGTCAAACTGGATGTCTTCGGCTTTGCCTAGATCGCCCATGACATTCATGTACTTGTTCATGCGGTCTTCGCTGCCGTCGTACTTTTCGTTTTTGTACCATTCATACTTGTTGACGCCTTCTTGGTTGGATTCGGGGTAGAGTTGGTAGGGTGCTAGTTTGAGGGTGAATGTTGCTGGGGAGTTGGGGTTGGCGGAACGGTAGTTGTCGAGTGCTTTGTTTAGGCGAATGAAGCCTAGGTATGTCCTGTAGTACGGTGAGGAAAGGGTCAAAGTGGTGGTGTGGCTTGAAGTGTGGGTGGATGTACCAAGGACATATTGTGTCGAGCGTGAAGGTGATTATTGACTCGTAAGGCATAATGGATATAGCACGCGAAAAAGTTTAGACTTGATCGCTGTTTGACTCGTAGCAGTCTGCGGCTTGGAAGAATTGCTTTACTACACCCTGAAGATGTGTTCGCGAGTTTGCAGGGGCTCCACTGCTCCATGTCTCCGGCACACGTCATGCGGGGTGCGGCGGAAAGATCACCGCCTACTGCACGCTAGTCCTCTCGAGCATCGTATACTAGCAGTCCCAGATACAGACAAGGGCTTTGCGACATGGGAGGACTGAAACCGAGATGGAATATACCCAGAATAGGATTGAAGATTAGTCTGAACAATGCAAATACATGTGCTGATCGCTTAAATCTAGCACGGAAGTCTAACGTAAACCCCAAACGATGCTGTAAACGCAACATTGGCAACACCATGCTTCAACATGTGTGGCCTCGCAACCGCAAGGTGGGAGATGGAGAACTGAACCCCTAATTCAGCTTGACGTAGTTCCCTGGAAACTGATTAGTAGATTTCCTCTCTACGCGAATGAGAGTACGTACCTGGGAATTGACCCTGCTTCCCCCGTACCTTTCCAATCCACCACTCGTTGTCATTCTGCGTCCTGGAAACGATTTCTATCACGTCGCCCGTCAGGAAACTTAGGTCACCTTCTGCTTGCGCCTCATAATCGTAGAGAGCTGTAACGGTTTCGGTCGCCGGGGCACCGCTAAGACGTGATGGCTTTGGCTTTGGCGGCGGAGGCGCGCCCTTGGCTTTGGCAGCAGAGCCCCACGAACCTGCTGATAGCGCTGGAGACTTGACATCTCCAGTAGCTGCAGAAGGTCCAGCAGAGTACGGTGGAGGAGGTGTTTCCGTCTCTTCCGATATTGAACTTCGGCCTGCCTTGGCTTCCAGAGCTTTCGCTGCGTATTTTGACTGGCCCGGACGTGCGCCAGCGACACGAGCTCCACCCGTAGTCTTGAACTTCACGATGGAGATCTTCTCTGCTTCCTCCTGAGTATCGCCACGCTTCTTCTGGTAAGCAGCCTCAATGTCCAGGGTAAGGTCGAAGTAGCCGATATCGAGCCGTTGCATGCGCTCGTGTAGTGTATAGAAGACGTTCAGTTGCATGTAGTAGAAAGACTGGAATAGAGGCTTGATGAACTCTCTCTCCAGTGTGAACAGCTTCGGCAGCTCATCCTTTAGCAGATCATTGAAGTAATTGTAGTCCTGCGTAGCCTGTTCCACGTCGTTCTCAGCCTTATACATGGCCTTCTCGTCCTTTAGCGTCTTGTCCTTCTTCTCCTCGAGCTTCTTGTATGCAGCGCGATGTCTGTCGTAGTCGAGTTGCTTGTGATCGCGCTTGGCGGCAATCTTTCGTACGGCCTTGATGATGACTAGCAGTTCGTCCGCCGGGCGGATAACCCGGGATTCTATCATCTCAAGCTCGGGCTTGAGTGTTTCCTGCAGTTCCCTAACCACTGTCTCGTACTGTTCGCACGCTTCTATGCCTGCCGTGTTGCCTTCGTCGAGGAATGAATCGGGATCTGACATTCGGCCGGATATGGGCTTGTAGATTTCGGCGATCGCTTTCGAGAACTCCATCTGATGTGAGAGCATGCCTGAGAAGTGGGTTAGGCGGAATCGCGTGGGGCTGCATGTTGTTTACGCACCATTTATGGCTTCGAAGTACCTGTCGCATGTTAGCCAGGACCCAGACTAGGGGTGTGTCGCAATAGGCGCGTACTTTTTGGACTCTTCATGGAGCTTCTTGGTCTCTTTCTCCAGCTCCTGAAAGCGTCGTTCGGCATCGATGTAGATGGGGTCCTTGGTGATTTCACCCTGAATGCTTTGTTAGCAAGGCCCAATCGTACCCGGAAGCAGGCGCGTAAAGGGGAGAGCCTCTCGAGGCCCTCACGGAACACGTACGAGGTTGAACCTTTGCTTGAAGGTTTGGGGCGCCTAAATCGTCATGTTAGCAGGTGTTGATGCCCGAATATCAAGCGAGGTTGCCTGTCGTACCCGGGTGACGGTCTTTGTCAGGCCTTTCCAACTCATGGTGGGGGTAAGTCTGTAAGTCTGCTGGAAATTGATACACAGTAGGGATCAGGAGGCGCCGTGGAGACTGCAGATGTAAGCCAGCAGGAAGCGGCCGAACGATGCGGGCGCCGGCGTGGCTGCTAGAATCGACGATGACGTCGCCTGTGGCTATGCCAGCCAACTGCCCACGGCTGCCGGATGTCGCGGAGCGCCGAGAGCGAAAACGAGCACGAGTGCAATTACTTCACGCCAAGAGTGAATGATCCGCTGCAACTAATGCAAGAGGAACGCGGGGCCAAAAGCTGAGAACAGGGCGCTGTCGCGTGAACGACTCTTTCCTGGTGCAGGCAAACAATGAACCATGACGAGTGCTAGATGTGGCCGTGAACGCTGGGGGCCATTTAGTCAGCAGATCTGTGCGCTAAAACTTCATAGCTTCTAATACCTCGGGAGGCAATTTGCTCTCCCAACCCCAACACTCCAATTCTCACCATGTCTAATATTGCACCCACCGTCGCGAGGCAGGCCCTGCGCATTGCCTCTCGTCGATACCCCTCGTCTGCTTTTTCCCGTGTCTCCAGTATCCGTCGTCACTATGTCTCAGAGTCTAAGCCCGCCCAGGCGACCGTCTCCAGCGCCTCCCATCTCGACGAAGCCATCAAGAAGGAGCAGCGGAGTTTTCTCAAGGAGACGGGAGAAAGAGCAGAGGATGCGACTATGCCAACAACAGGCATGGGCGCTGATGCCATGATGAGTCCCACTGCTGGTGAGCCTTAGAATTCACGCCACCCCGCTTTCCGCGACGCTGACAATTCCAGGCATACTCAAGCAAGCCACCGTCATGGATCAGGGCTCACGGCCCATCTACCTAGACATGCAAGCCACAACACCAATGGACCCACGAGTAGTAGACAAGATGATGCCATACATGACCGGCATGTACGGTAACCCCCACTCGCGAACCCACGCGTATGGTTGGGAAACCGACACGGCCGTAGAGGATGCTCGCGCGCACATCGCCAACCTCATTGGTGCAGACCCCAAGGAGATCATCTTCACCAGCGGGGCTACCGAGAGTAACAACATGAGTATCAAGGGCGTAGCTCGCTTCTTTGGGCGAAGCGGCAAGAAGAAGCACATCATCACAGCACAGACGGAGCACAAGTGTGTGCTTGACAGCTGTAGACATTTGCAAGATGAGGGCTTCTCCGTCACTTACCTGCCAGTAGGAAACAACGGTCTGATCGACATGGCCCAGCTCGAGGCCGCCATGCGCCCTGACACCGCCATTGTCAGTATCATGACCGTCAACAACGAGATTGGTGTTGTTCAACCTGTTGAAGAGATCGGAAAGCTCTGCCGATCGAAGAAGATTTTCTTCCACACCGACGCGGCGCAGGCTGTCGGCAAGATCCCCATCGACGTCAACAAGATGAATGTCGACTTGATGTCGATATCAGGCCACAAGATCTATGGTCCCAAGGGCATCGGCGCATGTTACGTGCGGAGGCGGCCTAGGGTCAGGCTCGATCCCATCATCAGTGGCGGTGGTCAAGAGCGAGGATTGCGAAGTGGTACACTAGCACCTCCCCTTGCCATCGGTATGGGCGAAGCCGCACGGATCTGCAAAGAAGAGATGGAGGTACGTACTCTCTTCCTTTACTTCTACGAACACTATGATTATTTGCTTTATACATGCATGGCTTTCAGAGCGTTAGGCGGCTTCGGTCGTCGACGCGCCATGTTGACACAAGTGCAGGGGTTATGAGTTCCTTATCACACATTATTTTGGTCACATCAATTTTGTTCGGACTTTGCTGACAATGGCTAGTATGATACCAAGCGCATCTCCGCGCTGTCGAACCGTCTTCTCGAAGGCCTGCTATCGCTCGAGCACACCACACTCAACGGCGATAGGGAGCGACACTACCCTGGGTGTGTCAACGTTTCTTTCGCCTACGTCGAGGGTGAGTCACTGCTCATGGCGCTGAAAGACATTGCCCTGTCTTCGGGCAGCGCTTGCACATCGGCGTCGCTCGAACCCAGTTACGTCCTGCGGGCACTTGGCAGCAGTGACGAGAGTGCGCACAGCAGTATTCGCTTCGGTATCGGACGCTACACTACAGACTCAGAGATCGACTACGTCTTGAAGGCGGTCAAGGAGCGTGTTACCTTCCTGCGCGAGTTGAGCCCGTTGTGGGAACTCGTGCAGGAGGGTGTCGACCTCAACACGATCGAATGGAGTCAGCATTGAGCGAAGTAGTTGTTTGATACCCCGGCGGAACTTGTATAATATAATGACGTACATTCTTTGGCAACACTGCCCACGCTCGTTGTAGCGGTTATGAGAAACACGATTACATAGCAATGTACTATTCGCAATAGCTCTACATAATCAAATGTATTGAGCATGTATACATACTCTTGGCAGATGCCTCCATGTGCGACAGGAATGTAATGTATGTACAAGTTGACTAAGTGAAAGACTGAGTGCCAGCCTGGACGTAAGGCATGGCAGCGGTATTTAGCATAGAGGGGCAAGTTATTGCCAAGGTGTTGAGGGGCTCATGTTGGGAGAGGTGAGGTCCGTCCGTGCTCCATGCCCATCGTCTAACCTGGTGCTATCATCGATCAGTTACAACATGGCTAGCGAGAAAGTACTCAACTGGCTATACAGCGTTCTTGTTAATGTAATTGTACTTGCGACAACACATAATTATGCGCTAACAGTATGTAGGAATACTCCGACGTGAATCGCACATATCACGACGCGGCCGAGGCACTGTCCAACTGTACGTCACATGTGTCGCAGCTTCACGACAGCTATACTGACTTTACACCGACATCCAGACCCGTCGCTTGCACCAAAGACGGAACCATATACGTACGAGAATGGCTCCTCGGCGCTTCTCTTGCTCCTCAGTGGCACGTTGCCGGTCACGTTTCGCGGCGCAACATACGGTTTCCCGGTAGCGATATGGGTGCCTCAGTCGTACCCCCGAGAACCACCCATCGTATACGTCACGCCGGCGCAGGACATGGTATTAAGGCCTGGGCAACACGTGAGCACCGATGGCAGGATATACCACCCGTACCTGGCACAATGGGCGAAATACTGGGATGTGAGTACTGCACGAGCTTGGAAAGCTGCTGGGCGAAACGCTTCAACTTGAGACACGACAGCTGATGTGTGCGCAGAAATCTACACTGTTCGACTTCCTAGCCGTGCTAAGAGGCGTCTTTGCAAAAGAGCCACCCGTGCGATCGCGGCAACAACAGCCGCAATACAATGCGCCGCAACAGCAAGCACCCCCTCCAGTACCCCCGCCGCCAGCCGAATGGCGCCGCTCAGTACACGGCACTTCAGGCGCATCTTCGTCTCCCGCTCCATCGAATCAAGCACCAGCACCCCCTCCAAAGCCACCGAAGCCACACGAACAAAACCGCTCCACACCCCTGACACCACACGACCGATACTCGCAACCCCCTCCTCTGCCACCTCACCCTCCACAACATCCGCAGTCGCAGCAGTCGTACCAGCAATCTCAGGGTAGCAGATATGATGCGCCGCAGAGATGGCAGCCGCAGCCTTCAGGTCCACAATACGCGCCCAATCGACCGAGTAGCTATAGCCAAGGCCCAGCGACTTCAGGCTCGGGTCCTCAACACCCGCAAATGCACGCGCATGGTTATCCCCCACAGCCAGTACAGAACGGCAGCCCCGTGAGCCCCATGACACCAAATGGCCAACGAACGGCTGCCCAGTTCTCGACATCAGGGCCCCCACAGCCCCCTAACTTTCAGCAAACACAACAGTACCAAGGCCCACCACCCCAGCAGCAATATGGGCAACTTCCACCACAACCACAGCAGTATCGACAGCCGCCACAGGGTTATCCGCCACAGCAACAGGCTCCTTTTCAGCAATACCCACATGCACCGCCTCAGCAAGCGCCACCAGCTCCAAAACCCCCAATCGATCTTCTCGATGACTCGCTCGAAGTCACCTTACCTTCACAGTCCGGCAACCAGGTCCCATTGCCAGTACCACCTGTTCCACCAAACCCTGAGAAGGACGCACTTCTCCGGGCCTTGAGCCAAACGCTCGTATCGCAGATCCGACAAACAGTTTCCTCCAACATGGCTGCGGTAGCACCACTTCGCGCGCAACAAGCCGCCTTGCAGACTGCATACTCCCGGTTACAGTCGGAACTGGGCGAACTGCAGCAGCTTGACGCGGCGCTTGCGTCAAACGAACAAGTTTTGAAGGGTGCCATGGTCGAAGCGGACCGGGTCATGGAGGATGCGCGCAGAAGAAAGGCACCGGATGTGGATGATGTCCTAGTAGCACCTACAATAGTCGGAGGACAGCTCTACACTCTTGCTGCGGAAGAGAAGGGCATTGCAGATGCATTGTTTGTACTGGGTAGAGCTTTGGACAGGGGGCGTGTCAGTACTGATGTCTTCGTCAAGGTGAGTCCATCTCCGATATGCTTCAGATGGCGTGTAGCTGACATGATCTTAGCAAACTCGAAGTCTAGCCCGAGAACAGTTCTTGAAGAAAGCACTGATCAAGAAGATTGCTAAAGGCATGGCACTAGATGAGTACCAGATGCATTAAACTGCGTTCCGTATACTCTCAATGGAAATCAGATGATAGAGCCACAACGCTTTGTAACAAAGTACGTGTTGAGCCCTCTTTCAGAGTTTTCCTCTCCAATGGATTGGCAACCGTGATGTAAAGGCTGGCTGCCGACCTCTGTATATCTTTTATGGGTACTGCGATACCCCGCCACTTTCTACTACATTGATCCATTTTCGCTATCACGTCACCCATGGAGTTTGCAAGTTCTGTACTTTCACTTTATCATACCATGATGGCTTCGCCGCGAAGTCGCCGGCGCATTCCTTTGGTTTCGTCGAGTCTCCTGAGGTGCGTCGCTAAAGAGCCGTCGCCTCGACTCATCCATGCGCTGGGACAACGTCATCTTGCAGCATGATTATTGGCCTGTCAAGCAAGCCCTTGATGTGCCCCTAGTATGGTCATCGTGTCTATATCGACTGTGATGTTACGAAATTTTAGATCTAGTTGGGTCGCATAAGAGGTTTGATATGCAGAAACCAGTAAGCGTTGTGGGTGTCAACACCGCATACACTGGCAAGGAAGAAAGATCGTGCTGACAATTGGGTTTGATTATTATTAGGATGAAACGCTACGCTTCGCTACACTACGCTGGAAGAAATCATTGAGGGGTATATCTGTGATCGTAGCCTCAGAAGAGGCGTCATATCGCATCGTTGCTATGCGAATTTACTGGGAGAACCTGCTGGGCGAGCTTCTTCCAAGGTACTTCCTGTCCTCCAAGTCCTCGTAAGAGTCAGGCGACATGCGCTTCTCCAAGACGGCCTCTGCATCGGTCTTGTTGCCCAAGCCCTTCAGATCGACGAGGTTGATATCGCTATCAGTGCGCTCTTTCTCCAGGCGGTAGTGACCGAGCTGGCTTCGGGGTTGGCTACCAACTGTGACGGTTGTAGCTGCGGAGATCTTGCTGAGCTTGCTGAACTGGCCACTGCCGTTACTGCCATTGCTACCGCTCTTGGAGTTCTGAGTACCCATGCTGGAGCCCATCTTCTGGAGGAGAGAGCCCATGGACATCATGATGCTTCCTAGACCGGCCATGGTGAGCACGGATCGGATCTTGGGAAGGCAGCATGCGATGAGGGCGACGTTGGTCTCGACGACGGTCCAAAACAGACCGTGCGAGGTTATGCCGATGATGTCGTAGGTGGGCATGCCCATGATGTACTGCTCGTCAAGGGCAGCGGACGGTGTGTTCTGCTTGATGCAGATGACCATGCGGACAATGGCGGACGCGACGGCAAATCCACCAAGTAGGAAGACACCACACAGTTGAATCTTGCGGACGGTGGGCATTTGTAGACGCCAGATCTGTTCGCACAACAGTTAGCCGCATGTTGGTTTGAATCGAGACTGTGTGAACATACCCATGGGAGTGGCAGAAGCAGAATGCAGAGATCGAACACAGCATCAAGGACCGTGAAGGTGATAGTCGCCTCGAATCCGAAAGGACAGTTCTCCGCGATACTTGCAAGAGAGCCCCAGTTGGCGGCAAAGTTCAAGCGGCAGTCGAAGATGAAGCCAAGGAAGAAGGCAATGGTGAAGGCAACAGTGAGGACAATGAACACGAGCGAGGTCCACTGGAAACCGGGCCATGTGAAGATGCGACGGTACAGGAACAAGAAAGCGAGTTTGGTGAAGCCAATAGCCAGCGGCTGCATGATGAAAATCATGTACACGCACTGTTGGAGGGTTAGTTGAGCAGGAAAGGCCAGCCGAGAGTAGGGGAACTAACCTTCTCCAAGATTACCAAATCTGGTGTCGTGCTGTAGATCCAGCCTTCAATGTTGCTAGGGTCATTGTGGCCGCCGATAATGCCCTTAGCAGCACCTGGATAAGTATTTAGCTAAAATGAAGGCTTAGGTTTGGTTGGCTCGAGGCTTACCGTAGATCAGAACAGTGGAGACACCGATGGTAGGAATAAGAGCGAGGAGACAGAAGAGGTCGTCGAGGTGCTTGCTGAGACGCGTCTCTCTGTTTTTGACGGCCTTTTGTGCTGCTACACCCAATCGCAGGACAACAAAGAGGACGGTCAAGACGGTAAGAGCGATGCCAGTGGCAAGGCACGAGGTAACGTTGATGTATGTATAAGACATCTTGGCAGTGGTGTAACGAAGGAGTAACTGAGGATCCTCTCGCGAATGAGAAACTGAAGATATCCTCACGAATGAGAGAAATCGCAAGTATGATATGCTCGAACGAGAGACTGATGGTATGCCGTGATGATGAGTTCTACCGGTGGTGATCACGCGAGGTTATGTAGACATGGCATTCACAGCTATGAGAGACGGAGAGAACTCCTCCACAAGAAGTGCATGTACACCCTCACAGCTAGCTAGCCAGGTAGTGGCCCAATGGTGTTCAGCTCAATAGGCGTGCGCAAGGCTGGCACAAAAGCGCCGTTGGGCACGAAAGTGACGTACATAAACCCTGACCACACAGACATTTTCCAGCAGCGACATGCGGAAGATCTCCCGCTCTTCGGTCTAGAACCGACCCCTGGTGCGAGTCTGGGGAAAAGCGTTGATTCGCAGACCCACCCAGATCGCGAGGCAACGATTCTTGGTCGTGACGGACCGAGGTCGGAAGGATCTCCGCGCGCGATTGCGGCATGCTTGAGTACGACGCTAACCATGTTGAGGCACCGCGGTGAACCTTAACTGTACGCTGCTTCGTTAGGACTTGCCTCGTGCATCCTGCACAGCGCTGACCATCGTGAGTATTTGATATGCAGGTTTCAGCAATGTTTCTCGATCGTTCCTCCACGCATTCGACAACACCATGTTCGCTCACTACAAGCTTGTGTCCTCGGCGGAGCACTCCACGGATCACGCCTCGGATTCGCGTTCCGCGCACAGACGACACTATCCGACGATAGCACTTGCAGTGCTCACGTTCGCGAACGTTTGTGTATTGGGCTTCTCGATTGCCATATGGCGCGCTGCGGGTGTGGCCGCCACGGCGACCCCGGGAGATTCTGCGACCAGCCTCGCCCAGTCCAACTCCCTTGATGTTCCCAACGAACTTGCTAGGGTAGAGTCTCTTCCTATCGCGTATGTACCTTTTCATTGGAATACGCCATGGGGTGCGCCCAACGCCACGGAAGCAGACCCTCTGTGGGACAACATCAACACTGCGCATGGTCATATCGCAGTGGACCATGAGTTCGCAGCAGAGAACCACGTGAGTTACCCCCAACCAGGTCTTCGGGAATCAAGACACTATCTTCGAGATGAGCAGTGGCTGACATCTTTTACAGTGGCCTGCTTCTATGGACATACCCGGAATGCCTGGTAAAGGGATGTATCTTCTCCAAGCCTACCATCAGCTACACTGCCTCGTACGTCACTCCTGTTGTTCAGTAATCAGTTCTATGCATCCTTCTCACCACTCCAATCTAGCGTATTGTTCGCGCCTCATATCTAGCTCTGAAGCGCCAAGAGTTCCCACCCTTCCCCTCGCATCACGCACTGCATTGTTTTGACGCCCTGCGTCAACACATTATGTGCCATGCGGATAACACTCCGCTATATGGCCACGGCGATGGCATGGCTGGTGACGGCCAGATTCACCAATGTAGGGACTGGACCGCGCTTAGGGATTATGCAACGAAGAACACGGCTTGTTTCCGCGATGGTAAGCCTGGTATGACTCTTGCGGATCACTTTGGTGTTTGTGATGACGGAACGGATGGGTTGGAAGATATTGTACCTGTGACGACAGGGCCGTAGTGTTTTATTCTTTCTTGTATAATGGTTTAATGCATAGTTTCTTTTTCCGATGTACAACACTTTAATTCACAGTTTCTTTGCGACGCACTCTACAATGATGAGTTGGGTTGTCTCGAGACTCTCCATTTACAGCGATGTGACACAACGATATGTGAGATTACTCTTCATCTCTTGGTACGTAGAGTCCAGACCTCAGTAACTGTACAACCCTCGTCTGTTCCGTTGAATGGAAACGATGCAGCTAACATATCACACAGCGTGATACAACGCCATCTTGTGAAGTTGATGCATTAGGGCAGCAAACTGCTGAGGAGTTTACATGACTCTCTGATGATTTGAATATGTTGAAGCCATGACTTCGTCGTCATCACCGAATCGAGACCGCAAAATGTTAGCCACAATGTACCTAAGTATACTATATTCTAGCTGTTGTATGGTGAACAGCTAGCGGAGCGTTGGTGCCCATTGCCGAGGCGTCTGTAGCTCAACCAGCGACCAGGTAAGTGGTAGCGAGAAGGGTGTGCGTTCTGGACAAAATGGTGCTAGCGAACGTGGTCTGGCCAAATGCGGTACTGTACCGCGTGTCTTGGGCATCGATCTCGGCAGTACCAAATAGCTTTCTGAGGCGGGTAGGTTTGCGTAGTGGTACTCGGGTGTAATCCCATTGGTCGGGTCATCTATCCCGACTCGTTCGGAGGCCGCTCCGCTTAGCTAGTGCAAAACCTTAAGTCACCACGCGATGGGTCTGGGTTCCGGTACGTACAGATCTTGCGTGTCGGACACCACCGACGTAGCGACTCGCTTAACGGCAGATCAGCGACGTTAGTATCCGTGCCTGAGGATCGTGGATCTGTAACGGGGGGTCTGGAAGCCTCAGCGATTTGAAACTTCGTAGCGCGAGCATCGTCAGGCGTTGGGTTTTGGCAACGAAGGCGCGTCGGAGCGCGAACCGGTTGCCCTCAATTAGCACAGAGTTGACGTACGTCAGGGGTTCAACAACAGAAGATTTGAGAAGACATTGTTGTCCAAGCCACCATGAACGACTACAAAGAGCCAGCAAGATCCCTTCATCTCAGAATCATCAGCTTCAATCATCTCCAGCTCTTCTATCAGCTACTCTCGGTCATCTCAGCCATCACACTCTTCTGTGTTTCCGTGCTATCAATCGCTTCACAGCTTCGGATTTCACAATGCAGTTCACTACTACTACCCTCGCTCTTCTGATTGCTTCGGCAAATGCCTCTCCTCTCCTGGGCCTCAAGCTCGGTGGCCTCAACGTTGGCGTTGCCACTTCCAGCGCTCTTTTGGATGTCAAGGTTGATTCCCCTAAGCCTTCCGCTGTGAAGTCGGACGTTGCCACCATCACCGCAGCGCCGACTGCCACTGCAACCGGCCAGCCAGTTATGCCATCGAGCTTCTCTGCTCCAGTCCAGGGCCACGGCATCCTCGCCCTTGACAACCTACCTGCTCTGCCCGCTGTCATCGACAAGCCTCTGTCTGGTGTTCTCGGAGCCGTTTACGGTCTCCGTAAGTACACTCCCTATGCCATACCCAATCTGAAGTTTCCATACTAACGGACGTGTTTGTAGTATCCGGAATGTGCAACACGGATCACAAGTGCACCATCACCGTTGCAGGCTCTCTCGAGAACCTGCTCGTCGATGGCGACAAGTACTCCATGAACAACACCGTCAGCGCATGGTGCGCTGAGGGCCGTTGCTACGGTTCTGCCAATATCCCTCTCACAGCTACCGCTCCCTTTGTCATTACTTGCGACCAGATCTCTGGCCACAAGGCGTGCTCTGCCACGATTTCGGGCGCTGCCCGTGCCCTCTTTACTAACGGAGAGCAAGTTGGTAAGTTTGACGTAGCACAGTACAATTCCAAGAAGAATGCTGACGGATTCTAGAACTCTGGGGCTGGTTGACCCCCGCTGGTTACTGCAAGGACGGTGTTTGCACTGCTTCTATTACCGCTCTTGGTGACCCCATGTACTAAGCGCGACCTACCACAGGTAGAGTTGTGATGGCTGAGATGACTGAGATGGGCACCGGCACTTGTCATTCCTTCTTCCAGTTCGTGCCTGGGCCCGGCATGGAGTTTTGATTGCTTAAGGATTTGGTCGATACTCTGGACTAATGTCTATTACGATGTAATGTTTTTGACGGTATTCCGCAACGCGTTGGCGCCTGTATACCAACTAGTAATGAAGTAATTAATATTAAACCAACACATTTTGATTGAGAAGGACTGCCGTGAGATTGCGGAATGACAAAGGAGCACGCCTCGATTAAGCTTCGACAAGCGCGTCGCTACAAGCCGAGCATTGATGACTGAGATGACTGAAGTTTAACCGACCCGCATTATTGTTCTTCCGCTCCTGTTCATCTAAATTAAGTGACTTCCAACACCAATGCCGACTAGCCTCAGGCACCCAGCGGCGCCACAACTGCACGATGGACGCATCCAGGCGAAGTTCTCTCCTGTTGCCTGATCTTCTTCGCGGTCGTTGTGTTTTCGAAGATTCTGTCTGACCCCTTCCACGCGCATGTCTCTGCGCATCCACTCGCTTTTTACTTAGTTAATACTTAATAATGTCTTCTTCTACTCAGCAGCCGCAAGCTGTGCCGCAAGCGCCTGACGCGATCTCAGGAGGGCCTCCTTCTCCAGTACCAACGCCTCCTCCAAAGTCTGTGGCCAGACTGTCCGACGCGACGAACGCAAACGCAACCTCGTCTGCGCACGCGAACTCTCCCAGAATGCCACCCTCGAGCAGCCCTGCGCCGGGTGTTCCCACCACGGCACCCCCAGCGTCGATCCCGCACGCGACAACTCCACAGGGCACCGCGACCGAGACCGAGGAACGTCTTTCGTACAATGACAAGCTCAATGCTGCCGACCGATACTGGAAGTTCAAGTTTGGCCTCAAAGCCGCAGCCATCGTAACAGGCTTAATCGGGATCGGTTGCTTTGGCTATTTAATGTCCACAATGGACAATGAATACGACCCGGACTCCTCATATTCCATTAGCTACGAAAGCTACTGGTCTCTATGGCCCGGTCTGATTACTTGGGCTGCCTCGATAGTCTGGTGTGCGCTTTGCATCGTCATCTTCCTTCTGCGCAAACGCCCTGTGCATCCAGGTCTCCGCGTAGCGATGGATCTTCTTCTATGGCTTGGCTTCATCGTAACGGCAATGTTCGCTCTCATAGCCTTCCGGTACTTGGCGAGGTGGGGTGTAAACGGATTCGATACATGGGGCTGGGGTTACTCGTACAACAGCGATGGAGAATACGTCCTGGCTTCCAACAACACATGGGTGTGGGAACAGGACACGAGCTACGTCAATGCTCCGCGAGACTGTTCCCAGTCCACTCAATTCAGTAGCTGTGCGGAGCAGGATGCTTTCGTGAACAAGCTTTGGGCTGAGAAGGATCATCGCTCAAACGTCACTTTGACTGGTGTAGTATGCCAGTTCTTCGGCCTCGTCATTCACTTTGCGCTATTCGTGTGGGCTTGCGTTGACACCCATCGCCACCGCCGCAGCACAACCAGCAAGGACGCTGAGAAGCTTGCTGCCGAAATCGTGCAGAACATGATTAGCAACGGCGCTGTTGTGCCACCTCCAGGACAGGCACACATGAAACCGCAGCCGGGCCAGGTCATGTACTATCAGATGCCACCCAACCAGCAAGGCTACCCGATCCAGCCCCCGATTCAGCCCCCGTATATGCAACAAGGACCAGGTCAGATGCAGCAGTTTGGGCAGCAGTTCGGGCAGCACCCACAGATGACGCAGCCGCTTCAGCGCATGGCGCCCGGACAGTACCCAAAGGGTCAACCTGGCATGGCAGCCCCGGCTCTGTCTGAGAAGAGTGCCGGACCCCGTTACGCTTAAGCGAAGAGGTGGAGATATAGTACTATTTTCATTGAGGTTGGAGGAAGTGAATTTTCTTGGCGAGATACCCCAGCGAAACCTACGTAATAGTGTAAAGTTTATCCAACAGTCGATATGTATCACCTTCGCGATGCCTTCTGCTAGTGCTGCAATACCTCATCCGAAACATTGAAGACGCGCAAGGACGTGTCATCACTTGCTACGGCGACCTGTTGTGGCTCGCCATCCGCTCTTCCAGGTCGCCAGACGATCTGATTGACGGTCTTCGCCGGAACCAAGTCTGCCTTGATCATTGATACTTGTGCCTGGTCCAAAGCATCTGGCGATATGCTCGCAATGCCCATCTCTCCGTTCTCTGTGCCAAAGGCAAACATGATCTTCCCACCTGATTGCACGCCGTTACAGGCAACAGCGGTAACAGCGGCGTTTGCTGATACGGTAGCCTTCAGCTGCACATCGTTCTCGACGATCTGCCAGATCTTGACACTCTTGTCTCGACCAGCAGTCATGAATGTAGGTTGCTCAAGAGGCGTCCAGGCTGCACCTAGTATCATGCGCGAATGGCCCTTTGGATTCGAGTGCTTGAGTGTGTATAACGACGGCTCTTCGCTGCGCTCCCAGATGACCCATTGTCTGTCCCGTCCAACACTGAGAAGGTACCTGTCGTCTGGTGAGAACTGTAGCGCTGTGACGGTAAGTGAATGCGCCTTGAGTGCAGGCTTGACTTCTAGCCATTCTTTCGTGTCGTACAGCCGTATGACGGCGTGGTCGATGGAGCTAGCTCGGCAGGCCGTTGCAACAAGACTTCCATCTCGGCTCACTGCAACAGCGGATATCTCATAGCCGTGTCCGTATAGCTTCTCTGTCTCCGGCCATAGTAGGTGGCGTGCCAGATGATCCTCGAATGGTGGGTGACTGAAGTCCAGCGTCGATTTGCGGATTACGGAGGCAGGGTCGACGGCTTCACGTTCGTCTTCGTCGCCGTTCTCGACTGGCTCGTCATCTCCCACAGCTTGGATAGCTTTGTTTGATAAACCAAGGACGGGGATGTTGGCTGCGTCTGGAAGTTCAGCAGTAGTTGGCGCCTTGATATTGCAAAGATTTTGGAGCATCTCTGCTACACCTCTGGGTTCGTCGAAAATGCGCAGCAATTTTTCATCCGCACCTGAAACAAACTGAGTGTTGGAGACCGCGTCGATGCAATTCAAATCGTAGCCGTGAATTTGGGGTCGCGAGAACTCATGCCAGGAAGCTGACGCGCCTTCTCGTTTCCATTGCGAGTAGAGCCTACTGGTTTGATCGGAACCAGTGGAGAGCATGTAAGAGCCATCTCTTGACCAGCTTACGCCTTTGACCTCGCGCACATGTCCTGTGATGGCGACTCGCTGCGTCCACATATCTTCCATGGCTGAGTATGTCCACTTCCTCCAGCTGCCCGTTCGTCCCAGGGATACAACGGTGTTGCCATCTGGAGACCACAGACCAATCCAAAACCCTCCAGCACTTCCAGTAGCGCTTGTCGAGCCTTTCTGCGCGCTGATCTCGCCTAATCTGGTAATGCAAACCCACACACCAGAGTTAGGGTCGGACTCCCAGATGGCGAGTGAGTTGTCTTCAGAAGTGGTGAGTAGCTGGAGCTTTCCCTCGCGATGTCGCCACGCGGCCTGGTATATCCAATCTTCATGGCCCAGTAGCAATGCCTCGAATGTTATGGAATACTTTGAGGCAGCAGAATTGATCCAGTGTGCTTTATTTGACAGCGACTTGCCTAGCCCACCTAACGCTGGGTCGTTGAGTGCACTACTGGCAGCAGGAAGTTCCTCTCCGCGGTGGAGGCGCCAGAGACGGACGTACTTGTCTTGGCTTGCGGATGCCAGCAACAAATCGCTGTTCAAATCGGATGTCTCTCTAATAAATGCAAGCGCGCGTATCCATCCTTCGTGACCTGTGAGAGTTGCCGAAAGCTGGAATTGGCCCTCTTGCGACACGAAGACTTGAATGGTGCTACGCGTGCCCGCAACTGCTAGCACTGTAGATTTATCGTCTAGTGTCGCAAGTGCGAGGTTCAGAGGGAAGTATTTTGGTGACAGTGTGATGGTCTGTACAAGCTCGACATCGACGGACCCGAAGTCTGCATCATGAACAAGCTTCCAGAGCTTGACAGTGCCGTCTGAAGATCCAGTTGCCAAGGTGTCTGAGCCAGGCAGCACAGCTACTCTGGTGACTGGCTGAGTGTGATCTGAAATCGTCTTGACACAGTCAAACGATTCGTCTCTTCGACCTCGCCATATGCGAATGGTGTTATCCGCAGATCCACTGAGCAAGACTGAGACATTGGGGAGTTGTGTTGGAAAGAATTTGACAGCGTTCACAGCTTTGGTGTGACCACTCAGAATCGCTTGTACGCCGCGAAGACTTTCATCCTATCTTGGTGAGTGAAGGATATGCCATTGGCCAGCCGCGACTCACCTGAGGATCCCAGAGTGCGATGCAGTTGTCTGCGCCGAACGCTAGCAGTTGCGATCCAGCCTCATCCCAGTCAGCCGCAGCAGGATTTCGATTTCCGCCTGCAGCGATGAATTCAGAAGATATATTCATGGTTGGGTCTAGGCGTTGCGTATGCGCAGGCACCGCATCTAGTCATCGCCGTAAGGATTTCTTTGGCGCTAGCCTCGCTTAGCTGCATTCGGCCCAGGGCTGCAGAGCAGGCGCGACTGATCTCGATTGCATCCGCATCTCTTACAACTCCAGCACCTTAGAGGCGATCAAAGGCGAGATGTCAAACGATGAGACGATTTCAATAACGATAGAGTTCAGGTAGGTCGGTTGTTCTGAGTTATGGTGATGTCCCTCTCTGATCTTCTATAGTGGGGGCCTAGAGATCCTGTTCGCCAACCAGAAAAAGTATGATCTTGCACTACCAGCCAAAGACGAGTCTGGAGGGCCGGCAAACGTTGCATTCCTTGTCAGATATCTTTGCGACAAGGTCATGAAGGATCCGCGGAAAGAACTTTTCGTGCTTGACGATACGGTGTATGTTCCTGCCTCAAGAGGAGAATGACATGCTGACATTAGCTTCAGACGACCTGGAATACTGGTCCTCATCAACGAAGCAGACTGGGAACTGGAAGGCGAAGACAAGTACGAGGTTCAGAGAGGCGATCACATCATGTTCGTATCCACGCTACACGGAGGATAGTCAAAGATCGCCAAAGCCGAAAGACGGTAAAGTAGGATCCGTGTCTGAGATCACACTGCTATGTACCGAATCACACAAACATCTTGCATGTGACAATGTCGCATTGCAGCTGAAAGCACGAACATGAACGGCCTGCGTATGCAAGTTGCGGGAGCCCGGAAGCGTTCCGAATGACACCTCACCCTTACGAACTAACCATAAGCGCTACTAAGGCTCGTGCTGACAAGGGCCCCCACCCCTCTCGATATATGTTAGACTCCCTTCTACTGTATATGTTGCGTCTACTCATCTCATCTCTGATTTCAACTCGCAGTTATGGGCCGCCTTGACATCTTGCCCGCGCACGTCGATCCCTCCATCTTCGACGCCAACGATGTGTTCCTGGGCACCGGCGGTGTTTTGTACACAATCTGCTACGCCCTGATGGCACGTCAGTCCATTCGCGACCGCACCTACGCCATGCCCCTCTTCTCGCTCGCCTTTAGTAGGTGTCTCTGTACGAACTGCATGTGGGACATACTGACCCAGTACACCAATGTTAAGACTTTGCGTGGGAGATTGTATTCGCGATATATGTTGCCGATGAGCTCCGGGAGAAGGCCCTCTTCGCCATCTGGGGGCTCTTAGACATGGGCATCGTCTACGCAGCTGTCACTTATGGTGCAAGCGAATGGAGACATGCGCCAGCAGTTGGCAGGAATATCGGCAAGATATTTGCGGGCATGTTGGTATGGTGGTGCATCGCGTTGTATGCTGTGAGCTCTTGGTGGCTCGATGTGCATCACCCCGTCAACCCAAAAGTTGGGAAAGCGTACCGCGGCATTTTGGGCATCGACAAGGATGAGCTCGGTTTCTGGACTGCCTTGGTCGCACAAGTTGTGCTGAGCGTCATGTCGTTGGCACAGCTTGTGGTTAGAGGAAGCAGTCGCGGCTCGTCGTACAGTATTTGGGCGTGTAGGTTCATCGGCAGTGTCTCAGGGATAACGCTGAATTATGGGTATGTTTGGTGGGTATGGCCGGAGGCACATGGCTATTACATCAATCCGGTAGTAGTGGTGATGATGGTAACTTGGATCGTGGCTGACCTGGCATACTTGGTGGTGTTTCGCAATGTGCGGCGGACGGGCGGGGCTGTCGGCAGCAAAACAAAGTGAAGGGACGTTGTAGGAGATGGAAGTAGTCTATATTGGAATGCTCAGAAGCTTCAGCCATGTATCCCTTGCTATGTACCAAGGCGCATCCTCCCTGGTGTGACTGGACAGATCGAGCTCGAAGCCGTGATTACCCAGGTAGGCTGCCAAGCCTTTATCACATGCTTTCGCGAAAACGCGTCTAGGGTCCTGCCGCGTCAGATCGCTTCCGCTCCTCGACGAATCTCTTTGTTTACCCCATCACCAACATTCGAATAACAACCACATCTTGACTCTTGGACACATGGATTCTGACGATGAAGATCTCAAGCTTGCGATGGCAATGTCCTTACAGGCGAATTCGCCTCGGGCTGGACACGGCAGCGCATCGGGCGACAAGCACGAGTCAATCGACCTCACGTCTGACACTGAGGACGAAGATGACGAGGATCTCAGGCGTGCGATTGCCCTATCGATGCAGGAAAGCGGGAATAATGACATGCAACAGTCATCGGCTTCGAGCGTATCCACAACAAGGGTGGCCAAGACAGCAGCCGTCGTTGACAAACCTTTAGGTTTTATGGGCATGGACCGTAAAGCTATGGAACTGGAGCGTCTTGCAAGGCTTGGCAAGAGGAAGCGGGAGGCATCTCCCGAGGCACCTTCTAAGCAAGTTGCAAGAGCGCCTACCGCCAGAAGTGATTCAGACGAAACACTATTACAATACCCCAATGGCGCGATCAAGCGCACCTTTGCGTCGAAGTACCCACGAACTGACGACATCACCATTGAAGAACTACTAGAAGCCGACAGAGTCAACACCGCAGTCATCAGCTCATTTCAGTACGATTCGGGATGGCTCTACGAAAAACTCGATCCGACAAAGGTCAAGCAAATTTGGCTGATGACTGGCAAGCACAGAGGCGAGGATGTTCAAGCAAAGCGCATTCAAGAATGGAGGGAGTCTCGTGTGCCGAACATGAAGCTTCATTTTCCGCCTATGGGTGGCATGATAGCCAGCATGCACAGCAAATTCATGCTCTTGTTCGGGAAAGACAAGCTGCGCATTGCGATTCCTACTGCGAATATGACACAGACTGACTGGGGCGAGGTCGCAAACGATTGGCAGCCTGGCATCATGGAGAATTCGGTGTTCTTGATCGATCTTCCTCGCAGACACGGCGGTACTGTCACTGAGGCGAAAGACTTGACACCTTTTGGTCGCGAATTAGTATACTTCTTGGAGCAGCAGGAAGTGGGTCCGCAGGTAATCACCGGCTTGTTGAAATGCGACTTCACAAAGACTGGTCATCTGGCTTTTGTGCACTCCATGTATGTTCTCAATTATGTTCTTTGGGGGCCAGTACTAATTCAACACAGTGGCGGTTCGCACAAGACCGAATCAAACCATCCCACAGGTCTTCCAGGCCTCGCGCGCGCCATACGAGAGCTTCATTTAGACGAAGTCGAACATATCGAGCTTGACTATGCGGCGTCCTCCCTCGGCTCCATCAACGATGCCTTCTTGTCGCGCATCCGTCTCGCAGCATGCGGCGGACCATTTGGGACAAACACTGCACCGGAGGCCAACGTGCGCGATTGCTTTCGAATATATTTCCCTACCAACGACACGGTTGAAAAGAGCATGGGCGGCCCTGAAGGCGCCGGTATCATTACGTTGACTAGACAGTCTTACAATGCACCATCGTTTCCAAGAGAATGCATGAGAGACTACGACTCCATGCGACGGGGGATGCTGTCGCACAATAAGTTGCTCTTCGCACGGGGTCGCAGGAGGAATGGGAAGGCTTTTGCGTGGGTTTACGTTGGCTCTGCCAATATCTCCGAAGCAGCGTGGGGAGGGCAGAAGCTGTTGAAAAGCGGACAAATGGGGAGTCTGAATATTAGGTACGCAGAATACGCGTTTGATTTGCATCTGAGATATATACTGACTTGGTACACCACATCGCAGGAATTGGGAGTGTGGTGTTGTCATGCCTGTACCAGAAGCAAAGCTTCGGGGTCTCAAGCAGGATGACGTACCACCGATGAGCGTGTTTGACGGCACGATTGAGGTCCCTTTTCGAGTTCCTGCGGACGAATACAAGGGCAAACAGCCCTGGTTCTTTAGGTCATGAGCGGGCTTTAGTTGCGTCGGTGTAGACGGCGACTCCGAAATCTTGGTTCTCCGGGCGGAACCGCTGGATATTTAAGTTGTCTGGTGCGTATGTGGTGATCGGAGACATTTCCGCCTAGCAAAACCTTTCTGGGTGTACGCAACCAGGGGGTCCACGCACACTGCAGTCAAATAGAGACGAGTTGGACCCAGATAGAAAGCGACGCAGGGCTTTACAGGGTCCCGAAGCAGACCGTATATGCCGTATTGAAGTGCACGTGATTGGACACGATGCCTGGTGTCGATCATCAGTCTTGTGCGAACCGAGTCTTCCCGGGGGCAGCCGGACCAATGCGGGCGCGCTTGGTGGACGAAGCGGACATTCGGGCGTCTTAGCAAAAGTTCCGACGCGCCTCGCCAGCACGACGTATGAGCCATGATGACTGTATATGCATGCGCCATGAAGCTGTGAGTCCCACCATGATGATACGGACCCTTCTTTGTTAGTATTACGCATGTGTCCCCTTGATCTAGCCTCATGTCGGACCCAAAGCGCACGCGTCTCTCCGGCGATGCCATGTTACTGCAAGATAGTAGCAATAGAGCCATAACCGCGCCGCTGCACACCTGGTTCACTTCGCCCGCGCGAACGCACAACAACTTGGCGCAAGCGAAAGAGCTGCCCTTGCACCTGATCCAGCTCATCCTCACACACGTACGTTGGTCTACGCCCTGCCACGCGACGAGCTGTCCCAACCGAGCTACACTAACACGCACGGAAGCTTGACGATGTCGGTGACCTCGCTCGCATCACGCGCACATCGCGCCTCTTCTACTACATGACGCTTCCGCGTCTCTACGAGACGGTCACGTTACACTCGTACGCCGAGATACGATACGTAGATGGCAGGCCAGAAGGCTACGGCAATGGCAGCCCTTTCGCCATGGGCCTCAACACGCTCGTATCGCGAAACTTTGGCGACTACATACAGACATTCCGGGTCAAAGGGGACTGGCGAGAGCATGACACGGAAGAATACAAGCAGGGTCGGGTGCCGGACAACAGCATGATACTGCAGGTGGTCATGCGTGCCGCCATTGACAAGATGAAGAACCTCAAGGCTTTTGCGTAGGTGTCGTACCAAAACCCTAGCTGTCAAGTGCTGATGCGCGTAGTTGGGAGCTAAGCACTCCTCCCTTGTATACAGTCTACCAGGGCATCTCAGCCAGGACATCGCTTGTCTCGCTCACCCTTCGATGTCAGACCCGACGAATACCACGGCCAACCACCATCATACCCCCGCTTCCGAATCTGACCACACTGATTGTGTACGACATCGATCCTCTCTGCTATCCCGACGACATATCGCTGCTTCTGTTCGGTTCCAAGAAGCTCGAACACCTCACATTACACTGGAGTCCACGTATGCGCGCTGTCGGCGAAGAGTCGGTTTCGCTGCACTCCTTATTCGGACGATGCATGTCTGCGAAGTACTCTTTGCCTCTTAAGCATCTGGGACTATACAACATCTACACTCGCTTCTCTGACGACGGTTTCCACTATGTTGTCCGCCCCGACACCCATACAGAGCTCACCCTGATCAACTCCATGGGCTCCTCTGATCCCATGACCGTTTTTGCCGACGACTCTTGGAGGATACACAGCAACCACCCGACGCCTCAGAACCTGAAGATGTTGCGTACGGATAACACGGATAAAGAGAGTGCAGTCATGCTAGGAAAGTTCAAAGGCATGGAGCGTATCTACATCGTGAGCAATAGGCGAGGCAAAGATTCATCAAAATCTACCAGCGCTGCCGCAACCCCGACAACACCGTCCACTATGACGCCCGGCTTCAACGGAGTTACTAGCGCAAGCAGCACTCCAAAACACACGAATGACCAACGCTGTCGCAGCATCGGGAGTGAGTTTATCGCGGCCATTCAAACCAATCACAACCACAGCATACGCCATCTCCTTCTCTCGGATCGTTGGGTACTATCTGACGATGCCCTGTTCAGGCTTTGCCAAACGTGCTCTAACCTTGAGCAACTTGGCGTAGCTTTCTCAGTCCCACCACTTGAGTCATTGCGCCAGGTCTTTACCCTCGTGCCCAAGCTCTGGGCCGTGCGTTTTCTATTCCGCTCAAGCCCAGACATAAGCGAAGTCACAGATGAAAGTACAGTCGCTGAGATGCACGCCTTCGCGATTGCAACAGAGTTTTGGAAGCCTGAATATAAGAATATCAAGTATATTGGCTACGGCGACAACATCGTGCTCAAGTTAGGCGATGTTTACTTCCCGTCAAAGAAGGAGCCGATACCGAACGGTCAGGACAACAGCATGAACGCGAGAAGAGCGGGCCCGATAAGGAAAGTTGAAGTTGTGAAGAGGGAAGATGTAAGTCACATCGAAATCTGGGGTATGGACACCACAGAATTCGATCCCGCGCACCCTTGATACGGATTCAATAACATGCCGGAAACTGTATGTTCATCGTGACGAAGCAAACACATCGCTTCGTTCGCGCACCCTCCTTATCTAAGAGGCTTGTGGAGGACGCCAAACTCGGCCCCAGTAGGCACCGATGCCACCTGATGTGACGTATGGCAATTTTCCCCGTCCACCAATGCCAAGCGGTGTTGACGGTGGAGGTCCGACTTGCTTGTTTGGATAGGACCTTTGTTAGAAGTCCACCTTGCTTGCCATGAGCACGCCAGCAATGTATGTTAGTACGAGACATTCGTCGAAGACCCGACAATGTACGATACAGCCCACTAGGACGCCTTGGGAATCTGCCTGATGCGTCAATTTGATAGAGTTTATCATATCTCTTATCCCTGATTCAGTCCCTTCCTGGCGTAGCTTCCCCGGTTCCGTTGCCTGCTTTTTGGTATTTCGAGGTCACTACGAATATTTGCTAGACCCCAACAACGACATATGGACACGTTGAAAGGTTCTCAGACCCTTTACGGAATCGTCGCTGAATAGAGCTAGGCGTAGTGAAGGGTTCGTCAGCGTTGCTTGTTGCCTACCACAGCATCGCACGTTTCACTGTCAAGAGAACCTACTCCTTAGCACCTATAATCGACCCATTCATCATACCACTCTGTTACGTTACATGGCGATTCTACTCTGGAGCGGCCCTCGATTGACGCATACAATGAGCGAAGTACACCTCTACAGCAACATCCAGCGACGACATGAACCCCAAATCACTCTATAAAGAAACAAACGAGCTGTACACACCCATCCGCGAAGCAGGCAAAGGCACATGTGGAAGCATCACGTTCTGTGTATGCACACCGTCACCCGCAAGCCCTTCCACGACTGACTCCATGGCGCAAAGTGCAGTCCTTATCGCTGTCAAAATACCCACTCGGGAGATGCGTCGCGACAGAATAGCCGATGAGATCATCGCACTCGAACGCGTCCGCAACTTACTCGTCGCCGATAAAAACGAAACTGTCAGGAAGCATCTTCCCATCCTCATCGACAACGACCCGATCAAGAACGGCGGATCGGGCTGGCTGGCCATGAGTCCCATCTGCGGATTCGATCTTGAGCGGCTTCGAGTCGTGGTCACCGAGATGGTTCAGCCCTCATCAGAAATCGACCTTCCTCGCCGTTTTCCCTTCCCCGCGATACCGGAGGTACTCGTACTGCACGTCGCAAAGCAGTTAACGGAAGCGATCGGCTGGCTACATGACGTCGCCAACATTTCTCATAACGACGTTTTTGGCGGGAATGTAATGCTCAACATATCCGTCTCAAGCAAAGGACCCTCGTTTACATTACCGACCGTTGTCTTGATCGATTTCGACCGCGCAATCCTGGAACCCGACAAGATGGCAAAAGGAGCCGACCGCTCATATACTTATGAGCTTATACACATGCTCGACGATTCAGGCCGAGTGTTGTCACAAGAGACAAACGCATGGGAAGACGTGATTGCGCCGAAGGATGCGATAACCTGGTGGGATGCGTTCAGGAACTTCCTCGTCATTAACAAGAGTCAATATCGCCAGGATGGGTCAGCGAGTTTCGCGAAGTTCTGGGAGCGGTTTGGCGAAGAAATAGATCGCCGGCTGGGGAACACCACTCAAGAGGATCAGAGACGGGTGCAAGAGCTGATCGATATGGTTGTTGAGAAGGAGGTTAGGTTTCCAAGCGATGAGAGGATTAGGGAGGTGCTGGGGGAGTAGGGGAAGGGATGTTTGTATGGTAATGCAGGGGATACGTTGCATAACATAGAGGCGTCTACATTTCGACCTCCCGGTTGTGTTCGTCATGTTCCAACACGCTTCTACAATCACCATTTGCCATCTCCGCTACCCAACATATTGCTACATGCACTTCTACTCCTTCAAAAGTGTACTGAAGTCTAGAAGACTTGGATGCGCACCAAGCTCACATGCTTTAGTAGAATCACCGTCACCCCAACTACACATACCATGATTATACCACTGCCGGCAAACATCTGCCGAGTGCATACCCAAGTCACCAAATTCCGGTTCATCGTCGTCATATATATCGCTATCATCCGTCAGCTCGGGACCAAACTCAGATTCCGGAGTCTGCGTGTCTTCATTCGTAGAACCCTGCGCTCGTTTTCGCCCTTTCGGTGTCTCGGAGCTTGGCTTCAGATTCGGTCTTGTTGGCTAAGAGACAGGCAATTTCAGCGCGAAGGTCGTTATGGACGGTGCCCGACTCGATTTGCTTGCGGAGTCGTAGATACTTCTGTTTGTAGGTGTCTTCGGCGTCGGCTTTTATGGCGGCGAGGTTCATTTTGTTGACGAGAGAGGCGAAGCTATTGGGGTCGGTACTAGATTCGGGTTGGTCGGGAGAGCCTGTAAGCCAAGAGGTTAACGTCATGGCCACTCGTCAGCTGTTGTTCAAATACCGTGGTGCATGCTCGGTGTTGATACTTCTGGTAGCCGGCAGATTTGAAATGTCGGACCAGTGAGTCAATCAATGTGATGGGATGGGGGTAGATGCGATTTCGTAAGATATAGTCGGGTTTCGGGCAGCTAAGGGCTTGCGACATAGCATTGTGAACTTGAGTCGAAGCCCCGCTTGAATACTGATGTGAGCTCACGGTGCTATCCAATCTTTCGACGATGTACATCTGTTCTGGTTGCCCGCAAAGTCTTGTTTAGCCGAGTTTGCATGTACATAAACGTTGCGCAGCCAGGTAGTGTCATCATTAGAGTCTGCCGAACAGCTTGCACAAAGCGGTCGAAGGAGCGATTCTCTTCGCGAATGAGATAGTCCATTTGTTACTAGATGATCAGCTGAGACTCTCAGCATCCTCATTGTGCATCTTAGTGTTCTTCTCCCTCTCCAAGAACATTTCCTGCTCAATCCTACTCTTCTCAACATCTACAAAGAAGAAAAGCCAAGCGCAGCTAACCAAGCTCAGCGCGAACAAGAAGTAGAAGGGACTGCTGTTGTTGCCGGTATCATCGATAATGGCAGAGCTCACCAGCGGCCCAATGAAAGCACTCGTCTTTCCCACTATCGAGAATAAGCTGAAGAAAAGGAACTCTTTCCCTCTCGGCGTGACCTCGGAGATCATGGTCTGCGAGTAGCTGTACCACGGACAGACAAGCAAACCATAGAAGGCCTGGTATACCCAAACCTCCCACTTGTTGTGGAAACCGAAGCGTTGCGTCCAGATGCCGATCATGCCCCAGCCGTCGAGAAGTACGATACAGATGGCGACAACCATGAACATAGTCTTCGTGGATAGACCGTAGTACTTTTGTATGCGCCAAAAGGCGCCAATGCCAACTGCCTGGGCCGCAATACCAACGATGAGCAGGTAGGTCAGCTGCAGACTGTTGTACGCAACGATCTCGTTCTGCAGTGTCCCAATAACCGTCACGGTTGTGTTGAGACTGTCGCCGAGGAGAAAGTAGCCTGCCAAATATGCCAGACTTTGGCGCAGTTGCCAGATCTGCCGCATCGCGTAGCCGAGCTGTTTGAGACCCGCCAAAACTATATTCGCGCGTCCTGGATCTTGACCTGGTCGCCTTTTCTCGAGGACGAACCACGGCAGAGCGCATAAGATCCACACTCCAGTCGCAAAGGCGATGAGTACCGAGAGACCCCAGTTGTTGTTTTCCGCGCTATCGTTGACGTGCAGACCGAACATGATGCCTACAATAACAGCCAGGATGAGGATTTCGAATACGGATTGAACATAGAATGCCGTGTTGGAAAGCTCGTTTCGCTTCATCATATCCGCAAAGTCGTATTCTGCACGCGTAATCGTTCCATCGGCGAACTCTTCGGCTTTGACTCGCAATTCCTTGGTATTCCTTGCCAGTCCAGGGAAGGCAGCAGTCCAGAATGTGATTGTCGTTTGGTATGCGATAAGGCCGACGATGTAGAGACCCACACCAGCGTGCCACTTATCCTCGGTATGAACGCCTAGCCAGCCAAAGCCGATCCCGAAAGCAATGACGGAAAGTCCTATCAGGATGTTGGGGCGCCATGTACCAAAATCGGCGAATGAACCGAGGATCAGGAAGACGAGGACCTGGATGGCGAAACTGATGCCGTTGCAAAGAAGCACAATGGAGTTGATGGTACGGTCTCGGCCCATGAAGCGCAGCACCTCGGAGTCTCCTGCAGCCTCATACATGAGGTTTTGGAAAGCCGTTGGACCAAAGTTGAAAAGAGTGAGGCCATTGTCTCCGACGTAGTAACTGTTGGCAAATGCGATGTCAGCCTCAGCACAGTTGACGTACTGCGCTCCAAACAAGCCTTTGCGCTGGAATAGTTTGCATACCAGTAATACGACCAGATCTCCCACTTCGATGTCTCGTAACGCTCATCAAACTGGTCCGGCGCAACGGGGGTATCTGTATCGACAGGTACGCCGACAGCTCCCTTGATAGGGTCAACAGCCGGCGCACTGAGAGGCGCAAGGCCGGGCTCGTTCGAAGCCATAGATGAGGATTGGATTGGACGCAACGTCTAAGGGAACACCAGACTCAGGTTTCAACATTGCGCGACTTAAAGCTTTTTTCAGTCGGGTAAGTAGTCGCTTAGCGTACCCTGGCGATTCGTCATGGTCGGAGATAACCTCCTAGCAGTGCATGGGGTGAAGGTGCACCATGAGCCTAGGCCTCGAATGGCGCGGAATGTCGGAAGGATCGCGGTCGCGATGGATACTCCGCTTCAAAAGAAGTGCCGGCGATTGGAAAAAGGCGCAAGTAAGACATGCAAGCTACAGCCAAGCGGAGCTTGGTTCGTGGATGATGTGGGGTGAAGCTTGAAAACCCTGAATTTCTGATGAGCTAGATCGTATCTGGAATAGCACATGTCCGCCACTGGCGTAGTTGATTATCTCCTAGCCCCGCGCGCGACGCGCAACTTCACGCGTATATCATCGCAACATCTGGCTCTGGCACGCTTGCCGTGATGTTGCCAAAGATATTACTGCGAGCTTTCACCACTTTAGTCTGACAGGTCGTTAACGTCAGAAAGATGGCCTTAGAGGCGTCTCTATCACCACAAGGCGAAACTGCACGTCCAAGGATGGAGAAGCATCCTACGTTCACAGAGAAGGTGCATCATCTCCATGATTCTATGACGCTCCAGATCTGGTATATGGTACAGGGTCTAGTTCAAGTCTCAACCACTTTGAGAGTACCCGCATTGAGTCGCAGCAAGAAAACCATAAAGAAAACAGAACGTTGTGAGCTTTTCCAAGATCACGATATCCACCTCCACCCGGCTATGTTCAGTCCCACGAGAGCCTGCCCTTTCAGGCGGCTGGAACTCAACGGGGCTGTCAAGCCAGGGTGGAGAGGAAAGAACCAAGGATAGCAAACTCGATCCAATAAAGAGTAACCAATTCCCTTCAATGCCGCCTGGATGCAACAACCATGCGGAGTTGTAAGCAAGCATCTTAACCCCTAGAGTAAATCAAATAGCCAAGCATTCAATCTTGCTGGCTTGTGGCCGGCGCCGGCTTCGCGTCCACCCTCGTACTCATTCGCGAAGGCCGCTTGCCCGCCTTGGTCTGGGCCACAAGGAACTCCTCGTTCTGGTAACGCTCGTCTCCTTCGTGTACGTTGGGACACTTGTTGCCCTTGTCGCAAGTGCCGGCAGCATAGTTGACGCATTTCTGTCGCACACATCTTGTCCCTGTGGCAACACAGTTTGAGCATGGCTCGCCCTCGTCGCATTCGCCTTCCCACCAGTGACGGTAACAGTTCACACATGGGACTTGACCCGGCTCGGTCGAACCTGGCGTCTTGTGTCTCGTGCGGGCAGAAGGTCCAGGTGTAGAGCGGGAAGAAGCTCGAGTCGCTCGTCCCGAAACAGAAGGCTGGCGTGAACCGTTCCTGCTCATGTTCATGATGGGCTCATTCTGGAGACTCTCGGACCCGTGAGACATGTCTCTCGAGCGACGCTCGTACGGTTGTGAGTGATTGCGGGAATGGGTTTGGTAGCCGCGTTGTTGAGGCTGCTGGAAGTCGCCTTGGGGCATCGGAGGCGCTCTGTTCGAAGGGAGAGTCGAATTGAGGGCCGTCTGAATAAGGTTCTCTTCTGTGGGGAACCAATCGTTGCCGTCATATGTGTCTTCGAGGACTGGCTGAGAACCAGCATAAGCAGCACCAACATCTCCCATAAGTGCGTCAACATCGAAGGCAAAATTCGAATCCAACTCTTCCATAGTGGGAGTGTAGTTTTCCACTAATCCCTGGTCCGTACCATTTGTCGGTAAGTTCTGCTGCTCAAAATTCTGACCCATATTCCAGTTTTGCCCACTGAGGGGTGCGAATTGGTTCGAAGAGTGTTGCGCGACGTGAGGTTGAGGCGGTGCCATAAAAGAAGCTGAACCGTACGAAGGTGTACGTCCCATAGACCCTTGCGCCGGTGTTGACATTTGTGACTGTATTTGCGACTGAGCCGACCGCTGCATCTGTTGAAGCAAGTCCCCATCGTACGAGTTTATGTTTCCGGCCTGGCTAATCATTTGCTGACCGTTCTCCATTTGTCGACCAACCTGCGGAGACGTGCGCATCAAGCCTAAGTTATGTTGAGGAAATCTAGGCGATTGACTGCCCGTATAACCTGAAACTCCATTCTGCACCGCCTTTCCTTGCTGCTGGGATGGTATGTTGCCGAATTTGTGTACTGGAGGCGCGGCCATGATGGCACTAGGCTGTTGCGAAGAACGCCGGGTGTGTCCCATCTGCACTGCTGAGCCATTCGACTGCTGTGACGAGCTCCGCCCATGCGTATCATTTGGTGCCATGTTCCGAGCTTGTTTCTGCATTTGTGTGTCGCCTACCATGGTCTCGACGTTCGTCCAGGTGGCTGACAAAGGGTTCATGTCATTGGTATCGGAGGGAAGCGAGTTCGAGTGCGTACGCTGGAAGTCTGGTGTAGTAATACCGGCAGCACTGTGTGCATTAGCAATAGCTTCATTCATAGAGACAACGGGCAACTTACCCAGCTAAGTCGAGCCTTCTTCGCTTGTTAGAGTCAAACGCTCCGTACGAAGAAGTCGGCTGGCCCCGCTTGGGAGGCCTCTGAGCATCGTTTGGCACAGAGCGTGATGGTGCTGGTGCTTCCATTAGATTTTGCCGGAGTGTTGCAATCTGCTTGTTGGCAGCAAATAGCGCAGCCTCAGCTACAGAAACCTTCTGTAGGAGACTATTCTCCTCCGAACGCCATTTCCGTAGGTACTCTTGCGCCTGCGTCTGAAGGGACTTCTTGACCCATTCGACATGTGCCTTCCCTTTCTCTTCCACCAATTTCCTTTGCTCAGCGTTCTTACTGTGCGTCGCTACGGTGCCTTCTTTGAACCCCTCAGCCTTGGCAGCAGCGATCCGAGCCTCGATCTGGTCCTTGGTGAGAGCTTCGGACGCGGCTTCTGATTTGTCTTTCTCCGTGTCAATATCTTTTCGCAACTGTGCGATTATGCTTTTCAACTCTTTGTTAATCTTGCCCAACGAGTCCCTGTCAGATTTAAGCTGGCCGATGATCTTATCAGACACCTTCTTATCCTGTTTAGATGCGACGTAGCCCCCTTGGAAAATATCAATTTGCTTTGTGAACTCTCCAGTGAGTTTCTTTGCCCATTCACCATTGGCCTTTTCTTCCTCAAGCTTAGATATTTCCTCCTCAAGCTTAGCTATTTTCTCGTCGCGACACTGAATAATACTCTTAACACCAACGAGGAAGTCCGCACGCTCCTTTTCCACCTTCGCACGCTCTTTCATCAGATTTCGGGTCTCGTTGTTGGCGTGCATCTTCTCCGTATAGCGGTCTTGGGCGCGCGCCGTTGCTGCTTTCGTCTTGATCTCGGCGGCGGTAGCACGCTTCACGGCTTCAATGACTCGTTGCTTATCTTCGGCGGCTTGTTCGACATGGCGCTTCTCTGCTAGTTCAAACTGAACAATGCGCTGCTCAAGGGCGATGTTCTCTTCGGACAATGAGACTTCGGGGACAACAGCGTCTTGGGACGTTTCTGGAGTTGGTTGCGGTGGCTTTGCGGGTACGGTGATTGACGGACTCCTTTGGGACGTGAGAGCTGAGGGCGCCATGACGGTAATAGGGATTCGGGTGTGGGTAATCGGTATGAAATGAAAATGCACGATCAACGCGCGTTGTAGCAATATGTGACTGATGCGATGGTATTGTGGGATGGTGTTGTAGTGAGGAGACAAAGGTCGAGGTGAGACGTAGGTAAACAGTGCAGGAAAGTGCGAGTAGAGGTGGTATTTTGGCGCTAGTCGGAACGTTGTTACAGAAATCGAAGTGAGCGCCGGATTGAATGCGTCCAGTGAAGGTGAAGGCGACTGCGCTGCTTAAAGATGGCTTCTGCTTGAAGGATTGGCAGATGTCGGCAGTAGATGTGCTGCGCTGTCGAGTCGCAAAAACATTTGTGGTGTTGTTTGAGGTACCAAAAGATGAAAAAATTGCTCTTGTTGTGCGCGGAAGCGATGGGTAGGTCCTACGGTTGAGAGATTGCAGGTGACAAGCGGACTGAGGCGGCGCACAATGTCCAAGATCGCGACTTGCGGAGGGCAGCAGACCCTACAACTCGGCTTGCAGTCAAGATTCTGAGTTATGAATGCGAGCCAGATAAGCGTGAAATAGTGGTAAACAAGACAAAGCTGTCCCGGTAATGGCAGCACAATATTAGCTAGCGATGACGACCTCGCAAAGCCAGCCACGTGACCCTAGGTTGGAGAGAAGATGCTGCCTAGGCGTACTATTCATAATGCTACCATCTCCTGAACATGAAATCAAACGTACGAGAACACCACGTCTTTTTCCACAGATGGAATAGTTGTCTTGATGTCTCAAATCTTAGGACACCACTCGCCGTTCTTTTGAAGACGACTGCATATAACGCAAGCACTTCAAGCTTTGCGATCTCAAGAGAACATTCGCAAGCAGTCTCTGTCAGAAAGAGACATGACGAATAGACGGACAGAACAAAGACTTTGTGGAATAGTCCCTACCATGTATGCAATTGATTGAGGGGAGCATCACCTAGACCGTTCCGCAAACATTACGGCATCTTCAGCGTCTGGAAGGCTATACGAAGAAAAGCTTCGTCACCTGACCCTCACTAAGACCTCCTCCTCGCCGCCATCAAGATGTGTGAAGCACCTGGGAGAAGTGAAAGCCGAGCTTGCATTAAGTCACATCCTCTCTGACGTGGCTCGCAACGCGACTTTGAGCGCGTAAAGCAATATCGCAAGATGTCATGCACACAGTAACAGAGCTGTGCAACACTACATCTTCGCCATGATACTTCGACCGCGTGCGATGTCGTTCATGGTCTGTGGAGCCTTTGAGGCAGACTGTCCGTGTGTGCTGACAGCTTAAAGTCATGGGCATTGCATTCGTTCGCGTGCCGCCATTCGTGGAATGCGGGAGCCATAATACATAGCAAAAGTAGAGAGCGAAGGCATGGCGTCTGATGAAATAGAAGGGATGCAGGATGGAATAAGACGTCGGACGTGAGAAGCTTGCAGCACGCGACGCGACTTCCAAGGTTGACTAGGGTTGCCGATCCCTTTCCCTACCCCGCCACCCCCCTATGCGCGTTATCTCGACGGACCCTTTCCATCATGACGCTTTCGTGGCATCAATTGTGGTCTTCGTGAATACCCTCTTCAACCGATTATCTCGCCCTCTTCCTCATCCGTCGACCTCCGGATCATGTTTGTCTGGTTGAGTTACCGGAAACGCAACACCGACTCCATGTTTGATGCAGCCATACCCAGAGCCTACGGACAGCGCTTCATCACGGGTTAGGAGGCAAAGACATCTACTTGAGCATGGCGCATTATCTTGGGCCGTCAGCATCCGAATGTTCACCTGGGCACTGTCCAGCACAACGGCATCAGCTATTCGAGATTCGAGCGCCACGCGCTTGACCAGCTTACATTTCTGACGTCCATGCCAGGCCCAGAACAAGGACGACAACAGATATTAACGAGAGTCTAGTGACATCGCGCGAAATCGGCTACGGAATTAGGACCTTATGGGCTGTAGTGTACGTGTGGTCGAGCTGATTGCCATTGGTGGGTTCGGAAAACCGCATGGCGTCTCCCATGAACGGTCAGTCCGATGTCACTTATGAAGTCCAGCTCCCTGCCAACACGGCCGGCGATTCTAGGCCTTACTTCTGCTGAGGTATCGGCGACAGCTATTCGCCATGTTCCTACATTGCTGACGGTCGACGGCTTGGTAAGCTTACGCCCCAATGTAGAACCCGCTTCGTCACGTCTTCATCTACTCAAGGTTGAACCAAGCGCTCGAAGCCAACGCTTTCGTCCGAGTCCCATTATATGTACAAGTGCCCGCGAATTCATCTGTCCTTCATCTCTTCTACACGTCAATATACTCCTCTTCGCCCCGTCTCAAGATGGCTACCAAACGCTTGATCAACGAATCAGACATCGCGGAACTTCGTGAATTGCTGAAAGATACAGACGCCCAGCTAGTGACACCGAAAGAAAATGAGGCATACACAAAATCCATTCACCGATGGTCAAGCGCTGCTGTGAAGCCCGCCGGAGCATGCCTAATCCCAAAATCGGCAGAAGCAATCTCGATCACCCTCAAGTATGCTTCTGAACACGGTCTCGATCTCGCTGTCAAAGGTGGTGGGCACTCCACTGCTGGCGCATCCTCAACGGACGGCGGACTACTCATCGACTTGAATACACACATGCGTACCACCGATGTCGACGTTGAGGGAAGGACAATCAAGGTCGGTGGAGGTGCGGTTTGGGGCGATGTGGACGAGGCTCTTGCACCCTTTGGTCTTGCGGCAGTTGGTGGCACCGTCTCAGATACCGGCGTTGGTGGTCTCACGTTCGGCGGCGGCTTTGGCTGGCTCACAGTCAAACATGGGCTAGTTGTCGACAATCTCATTTCATGTACTGTCGTATTGGCGGACGGCAGTATCGTCGAAGCCTCTACTGACGAGAACCAAGATCTATTCTGGGCTCTACGCGGCGCAGGGCAGAACTTTGGTGTCGGCATTGAGTTTGTATTCCGCACCCATGAGACAGGCGATCTGTGGGCTGGCTTCATGATGTTTCCACCAACGCCAGATATCATCAAGAAAGCCGTGAAAGCATGCAACGATATCTTCACACCGGACGCAGATGGCAATTCAAAAGCGACGGAGAAAGCTGCGAGTGCTTTCGGTTTCGTCAGGCCTCCACCTGCTGGTGGTCAGGTCCTGTTCTTCGTAGCCGCGGTCTATCATGGATCGGAAGAAGACGGCAAAGAGCTATTCAAAGATATCGTTGGTTTAGAGCCTTTGATGAGTACCATGGCAATGATGCCATACGCCAAGGCAAACAAACTCATGGATCTACCCATCGGCGCGCGTGTCTCTATCAAGGGAGCTGGGTTCGAGCTTCCTGTCCGTGGCGACTTCGTGGTTTCCGTCTTGGAGGCGTACGCCAAGTTTACTGACGAGACATCCGATGCAGCTGGCTCGCAGATTATGTGGGAGCTACTAGACCCGACGAAGATCGTTGAAGTCACCAACTCTGACATGGCCTTTGCGAACCGCGGAAGACACTTCAATGCGGCTGTTGCGCCTTTATGGTGGAACCAGGAGAACGATCAGAAGTGTAGGCAGTGGTCGAGGGACGTCGCGCTCATGTTCAAGAATGAGCTACAGCGTGGTGGTGCTGAGGCAGGTGTCAGTAACGATGGTTGGATCGGGAAGAGAGGCAGTCATGGTGCGACAATGGTGTATGGGAACTACGACCGTAAGTGTACTCCCCAAATGTTCACTCCTCACTCGTACAATACGAACATGAGAGTATACTGTAATTCAACGGTGCACTAACGTCTAATAGAGTACGAAGAGAAGTCCAGAGACGTCTTTGGCAACAACTACGAACGTTTGCAGGAGCTAAAGGCCAAGTATGACCCACAGAACATGTTCAATAAGCTCTTTGCTGTGGAACCGAAAGTCTCGACACCCTAAACGTAGCCATAGCACCTCTTATCTGCTTCTGCACTATATTCAGAGTCCGTCGTACAAACATACAGTTACAAGCTGAGTATAGCAGCATCTGATGAATTCTCAAGCGCTTCATTTAAGCCCCGTCGTCTAATTACATGCCACCCTTCGTCCTTTCTCGTATATCCAACCCTTCCCATCCTATGCAGTACCAGCGAGCGATCGTCCGTCTACCAGACACCCATCTTGTCAAGCTCGACTGGACTCAGCTCGCGCCCGTCACCCCATACGTCTTCAGATGGGTGGAGCCGCTTGTATATCTCTCCTTCGTGTGCAAAGCGACACTGTTTGTTCTTGCACGTGCCCCTCTTGTAGTATTCGCACGCAACCCGCCTGCAACCTTTCTTGATGCCTTGTAACGAGCAGTTCTTGCATGGAACTCCGCGATCGCAATCCCAGTTGTGTCCCATGCATTGGGTGCAGTGAGCGAAGCGTTGAGATTTGCCTTTGAGGTGCAGAGGGACTGATCTAGACAGAATCAGCCATGTAAGCTGTGAGAGATATCGTGTACTAACGCAGGGCCTCTTGAAACAACGACCTTGTCGGATGGCTTGGGTACGTTGGATTGAAGAGCAAGCGCTTTTTTCGCAGCGTCGGCCAGCCTCTTTGGTAACTCCGCCCTCTCGTCATCAACTTTCTTGACCTGTGCATCGTACGCGTCATACATAATCTTAAGCTCCTTAGCTCTGGCATCCAATTCACTCTGAAGTAGCTCCATCGCTTGAGTAAGTGTCTTGATCTCGATCGTATGCTTGTCGCGCATATTCTCAAACAGCATGTTGAACGCGTCAATCGTGATCTGCAGCTCTTTATTGTCTTGCTTAAGACCATCGACCTGGATACTAAAGTCAAGCTTTAGATGCCTCATAACCTTATTGTGATCCGACTCCCTCGTCTCCAAATTTTTCTGATATTCTTTGGCAGCTGCCTCTTCTGCTTCTTGTTGTGCACGTCTTTTCTCTGACTCTCCCGAGAATGATTTGTACGGCTCTGGCAAGCTACCAGCACGTGTTGTTCGCTCGTTTTCTTTGCGTGCGGTTTGCGAGTCGTTCGTGCCGACATCTGCCATCTGTTTCGATGGCACTTGCCAGCTTGATGCCGTTACGAGGGCATCGCGCTCAGCCATGACTGGCGACTGGAGGAGAGTTAGTTTTGCGGATGCAATCAAACGTATAACTACGAGGATGAGGTTCGGTGGTGGAGGTTTAGTGTTGTAGCTCTCACGGGCCACGAGTATTTCGTGCTGGACGCACCTTCACTTGTGCGGCCCTACGTGCAAGCGAGCAAACAAACAAACAACAGTCGGCGAAAGTGAAAGGAACTTAGGTCGCGTCTTGATAACTCAAGACTATAGTTCACTCTCCTCTGCCATCACCTTTGCCCACTAACGTCTTCCGCGGCCATTTTTGCCAGCAACCACTCAGCCACACCTTCTTCATACTACTCAAAATCAAGGTATCCCTCCGATTTTCACCAAATCTGAACCCGGTCGCTAACAGCCAGCCCTAAGCTCAGCGCCACCATGTCCCTCCCCAAAAGCCCAGTCGATCCAGTCGCTCGCCTCGAAGCAGAACTCGCGCAAGAGAAAGCCGCTCACGCGCGCACGACAAAAAAGCTGGAAGCCATCACTCATCTCCACGCCAATCAGGCAGTTACTATCAGTTCTCAAATCGGCATCATCAGGTCGCAGATCCAGAGGCATCCCGAAGATATCGCGGACATCCAGCTAGAAGCCAGGAAAGCGGAGGACGAACGCCAGCGCAGGACATCGGAGGCGAATGCGATGGAAAATGGGAACTGAAGAGCGAGACAGGTTCATGAGGAGAAGTTCCGGTGGCTATGCGGATTAATCCATGGGGCAAATATCACGACTTGATGGAAGAACTGGAGTGAGGATAGCCAACTCGCGGGCATGATACTGTGTAGTAACAATGACCTGAACCAATCTACAAACACATACTGAATATCGCGCTGCAATCGATATTCTTCAAGGCTCGGTCAGATGACTAAACAGTGCGCAAGGGCAAAATGGAGAGGTAAGCCGTCACCGCCAAAGCTCCAGAGACGCGGCTCCGCAAACCGCAACACGACAAGCTAACTGCACGCCGATGAAAGGCCTTTGGGAGAAAAAGCGAACGTCTAGGATGTAGGCGGGAAGGACAGCGTGGTGTGGACTTGCACTCGGGCAGCATGACGACGACACACATGACATTCCGCCGACCCAACGCTAGGCGATTTTAAGTCTGGTATGACGCCATCTTACGATTTGGCTACTGCCAGGATCATCCAGCATCCGGCTCGCAAATGACCGTCGTACATCGCACATCGTACAATCGGTCAACATACTATTCATTTGCAGCATCGGGTACAGTTGACGCGAGGCACATGCATAGCAATGTGTATGGCCAGGACTGCGGCCCCTCCGGCAAACCATGAGGTTATCAAGTGGCTAATCACGCAAAGCATATTTGCTGGAAAGCTGTCAAGATGTGTCAGCATGGTTTACTAAACGCTTGAGGAAGCTTTGATTTATTTGCGTGATTACTCACAGAACCTGAGACGTAGCTTCACAACAATCGGGCCTACCACTATAAGATGCTTATGGCAGGAGGATAAGCATTGGAACCAGTATGCCGCCTATCGGCCCTCAGCACATTCGATTCCTCCCGAGATGCCTCCAAGCTTTGATCTAGCACAGTGTGTTGACGTGACAGGGTCGTTCAGTCGACAGCCATCGTTCATTCTGCGGTAGATCAGGGAGATGGTCACAATGTGCAGGATGCTCATATGAATGATTCTGAGAGATTGAGTTACGATTAACAAGATATGCTAAACGAGTCTCTATTCTACAACAGCTCGCACCTTCGGGTATCGTCCTCTCACCAACTCAACTCATAGTACATGATCGCATCTATAGCGGAGGAGCGTTAGGGTCCATCATGCACTGATCGACACGCATAAGCTGCTTTCCAGTAGCCTTAGCAATCTGAATGAACTCCCGAAGGTAGCTGACAGTGCTAGGGTAAAGGTAGTGGAGAACCACAAGGTTACCGCCCTTGTCAACATCACGCTGGAAGGCAACCTTCTGCTGCTCAGGGGTATCGGTCTCAGCCCACAACCAATCCTCGACATCGACGCTCCAGTTGACAATCTTGGCGGTGTTGCCGACGGCCTTTGTGAGACGCGAGCGCATGCGGGCACCCTCGTTACCGAAGGGAGGACGGAAGTAGGTGGAGGTCAAGCCGTTGAATTGCGACTTCATGGCCTTGACGTCCTCGTTGTACTCCCAGTCGATGGATGCGTAGTCGGGGAGACCTTCCATCTTAGGGTGGGTGAAGGAGTGGAGGGCGAGCTGGTGACCCGCGGACATCATCTCCTTGTAGACGTTTGTCAGGTTGGTGGAGGCGTCGAGAAGGGGAGCGCCGACAGTGAAGAAGGTCACCTTGACGTTTTCCTCGCGGATGATCTTGAGGACTTCCTGGGCGAGGTCGGGTTGACCGTCGTCGATGGCGAAGGCGAAGGAGTTGGGGCGCTTGCATGCGAAGACTAGGTCACCGGTCTCGTCCTTCTTGGGGATGGTGGTACCGGCGGGTACGGAGGAGACAATCTCGATGACGGAGAGAGTGACTGACTCGCTGCTGTGGAAACCCTTGAGCGCGAAGCCGACGACGCGAGAAAGGTTGATGTTGAAGTGACTGATTGGGATGTAGATGTGTCCGTTCTTGGCGTAACGGCCGGCCTCAGCGGAATCCCAAGTCTCGGGGAAGGGAGCGATCGCAGTGTTGCACTGGCTGTTATGTTGCTGGAAAGCGACAGTGAAGGCAGTGGTACCGGTGTAAGCGATGTGGAGGTACGATCCCTTGTACTTGGTGAAGTCGGCACAGCCACCAGATACCTGGGTGTAGTAGGAGTAGTCGGCATCGGGGGAAGTGATGGTGAGCTTGCCGCTGGCGTACTTGAGAACCATGCCCTCGTCACCACCGTGCCAGTTGCCCATGGCGTTGGTGTTAGCGTTAGCGAACTTGTCGATCACAAGGCCGGTAGCTGATGGGTTGCTAGGAGCGGGAACAGTAGCAGAGGCGCCGGGGTCGGCAGAGGTAGGAGGTACAACGTACTCTCCAGAGTTGCCGCAGTAGAAAGCCATGGGGCCGAAAGAAGTGGTACCAGAGAATCCAGAGAAGAGGATAGTGGTAAGCTTCTCGGTGTTGAGGCCGGCAAACTTGCTGAAGGGAATGGTGTACAGCTTCTCAGTGCCATCGAAAGTCCATCCAAGGTCAGTTGCGGACGCGTAGGTAGACTTGGGGTTGGTCGGGTCACAGTTGTCCGAGGAGTCGAGCTGAACAGACAGGGTTGCGCCCTTGGGAGCTTTGATGCGAAGAGAGATACCGGTGTACTTGTTCTTCGCGTTGACGCAAGGGAACTGGGTGTAGAAGTACGAGTCGGCCTTGGGGACGAACTCGACGCGGTTAGTAGCCGGCTTTCCAACGGTGATGGAAGTCATGGAAGCATCATCAGAGGTAGGGTATCCCATGGCGTTGTAGAATAAGAAAGTCAAACGCGATTGAGAAATCCAGTCATCGATCAACAAAGGAGAGCAGGTTCCAGCTGAGGCTGTAGGAGACGAGATTGTTGTCATGGTACTGCGGACCGAGGAGCTCGAGGTGGTGGCTACCCTGGTGGCGGAGACGGAGGTGCTGCCACCAGCACTGCTACCGCAACCAAAGGCAATGTTGCTCATTTGCCATGTGTCGGTGGTGGAAGAGAATCCAGCCCAAACGAAACCAGTAACAGCATTGGCGTTGGCACCGGAGAACTGAGACAGAGGGATGTTGATAGTCTGGGTGCTGCCAGTCAATCCAGAGATTGACACGTACTTGGAAGTGTACGTTGTAGCCGAACAGCTGGTCTTGGTCTGGATCTCGAGGGTGGCGGAGCCACCAGCGGGTCCCTTCATCTGGAAGCTGATGGAGTTGTATCCATTGGTGCTGGCTGCCTGGCAAGGGAAGGTCTCGTAAAAGTAGGAGCCTGCCTTGGGCTTGAAGGACAGGACACCACCGCTGGCTGAGATTGACGACATGGATCCATCATCTGCACTGGTCAGCCTTTTTTCTTGTACATGACTTCACCAAGACCTACCACTGGTCCACTCGCCCAAGCTGTTCTGGTTGGAGGTCTGCTTGGAGAAATCGTCGATCTTGAGGGGTGCGCTGCAGGCTGCGTTGACAGCCTGGCTGGCGAGTCCGGCCATGAGGCCTATTAGAGTAGTAACACGCATGTTAGGCGTAGTAAAGCGAGTGTGTTGCAAAAGCGAATGTACGGAAGTCTATGACTTCCAAGAGTGATGAGTCTCTGCACCCCGAGTTGACGGTAAGGGCGATGAGTGACAGGCGATAACTCGTGAAGATCTTCCCAGGCGCAGAGACTCTCCCTAGATATATCTTTCTCCCCGACGCAGCGGCGCGAGACCTGACACGAGCGAGATTAGTCTAGTGGCCTCGGCATGCACGTCTTCGCGCAGCAGCCCTGTCGCTTCTACTATAGTAGAGCCACACGGTCTATTTCGGGTCAGCAGAACCTGGGCGTTGGTAGATCACCAGAGCGCTTGTGCTGTATTAAGGATAGGTCGGCTTGCCATTCGGCTCGGGGAGCGGCTAGGACAAGGCGACCCCTGAACTCGATACATCGTTTTCTAGGCGTTTGTGGAGCACGGCGTCCCATGGTATGGTAATCATGGCTCCTCTGGTGGGTATACACTGTTACGACCGGTCAACGGTGCGCCCCCGTTCCTTTGCGATGATTGTGCGACGACGTTGATGGCGTACGTTGTTGCTATGACGTTCATAGTCTGTGAGGCACAGCTCCAGAAACTCTGCGCGCACTGAATTTGGTTCGGGCTCGGCTGAAACAACCAAGTTTACTGCAATTCTAGTCCACGCCCCAGGTTCAACGCAACGAAAGTCATCCACCAAGATACGAAGGGCAATACTTGGCCTCGCGAAGAATGCGAAGGCGTACTTGGCCATTAGCTATGCCGAGCGTGCCGTGCAAATACAGCAGCGGGGTTGAGTGATGATAGTTTGCTGGTGGCTGCAGGAACCGAGAGACGGCGTGCGCCACCTCCAGGAGGAAAAGGAACTACGCCCTACGCAGACGAGCCCGCCACTGCCGTGACAGTCTGCAGCTCGGGACAATCGAAAGAATCAACGAAAAGCCGCGGGAAAAGGAACAGTTTTTGCAGTTCTAGACCATGATGCAGTCAATGTTGCGAATCTCTGTAAATTCTACAACTCCAAGCGGTTGTGTCTACTGCAGTCAGCACGGCATGACATGAGAGCAAATGGCCTGAGGATGCATATACGAAGTGGGACAGCGCACAGTTTTTTTTTTCCTGTTGTGGTGGGATGCACCGGTGATGCTGGTAGGATGGGGTTCATGCCGCTTCCTGCGAGTCGGAAGCACGGCCGAGATTGACGGCACTCGAAGAAGCAGTCAAGCCCTGCGACTTCCACCCCGACAACTTGATCTTCTCACAACACGACCTTTTCACCATGCCCGCCAGTACAGAATGCGATGCCCAGACTGCCGCTGGGTGTCGCAGCTGAATGCTGACCGTGTGGCGTGGCGGCTGCAATCTCCCTCTCGGTTCCCCTGCCAAGCCGTCACGCCTTCCAGCCGCCATGGATTGTTTCGCGTTTAACAGATACGCCTCGAAGCAGTTAGCACCAGAGATATCGGAATCACGCCGGGATATGTCTTGGCTTTACATGACTAGTATTTGCTTTTCGGACGGTAACTGGGCGGAGAGGCTAATGTGGGCTCTGCACTTGCAAGGCTGGCGAGTTCCGACAGCATTGACCATGATGAACCTCCATCTCGATCTTCGTTCCATGGTTCATCAGGTCACTACTTCCGCATCAGTCTTACATCTTGTGGCGATGATGTTGAGAATCTTGGGGGGTTCATTCCATCTCCTGTACATGTGGACTTCCTCAGCAGCAACCACAATAGCCAGCAACAGGATCTGGCCCTGTCCGGACGTTCGCCGGCTTATCAGCTGGAATATACACCGAGTGGGCAAGGTGACCTTTGCGCATTAGCTGCGCACTCTGTTCTCATCCACGACTCAGCGCATCTTGGCCAGAGGGATGTGTATGACGGGCTTCTGAATCCCATATTAAGTCATCGGTACAGCTAAGAGGTGTAGGGCAGTGCAGGCGAATAGAAGAGTCGGAGAACGCAAGAATGGGTTCGGCTTCGTCGCACCTACAGACTTCAAGTCATCAACACCCTGTGTATGGTTTCGCGTCACGTACACAACCTCTTTCAATACTCAGCTGTGCGGCACGATGGATCGGGTGGATATTGACGAAGCATCTACATTGTAGGTATCGGCAGACCGTGAACAGCCGCTATCAAGGCGTCTCCTTCACGCCATCAACATAAACCTCCACCCTCTCGTTATAGAAGCACATGTGTCCAACAATAGGCGCGCTCTCCGCGGTCGGGTATCGATAGTACCATACAAGATCCCGATACAGCTTCCCGCCAACGCTGACGTTGTAGTACTCTGCGCGACCCTTGTACGGACACAAAGTCAACGTGTCGCTCGGTGTGAGGTACTCCCAATTGACGCTCGTTGGCGGCAGATAATGCCTCGTCCTCAGTGTCGTCTCCAAAAGGAATAAGGCGTTCGAACTTTCAGCAAGTGTGACACCGTCGATAGCTACCCTGACGTTTCGAGAAGATGGTAGAATATCGATGCGCTTGTAAGGATCTTTGGGGTGGCCATATATCTCCATGTCTTCTTCGAACCATTGGTCAATAGCTCGGAAGTCGACTTTCACGAGATCTTTGAGCTTGCCGGTGTTGAAGATGAGGATGCGATTGCTACTGCGATTGCCGACTGTGAGACTCGCTAGATGTGCGCCGCCATCTGTCCCGTCCACAGCGGAGCCTCGCGATAACTTGGCGTGAGGAGTGAAGCTGGATACCGGTACGAAGAACCTTGCCTATGTTTAGCATGGCGAATGCGTCTCGATGAGGAGGTTGTCCATACTGTGGGTAACGCAACTCAAGTTCCCAGACATGGTGCGCGTTGAGAGTGTCGAACGCATACTTTCCGTTGAGAAGGCCTCGTACACGACGTGCCGTATGTTCAATCCTGCATGGCCCATCGCGAACGAGTCTCTGTGCTAGTCGTACCAGACTGTGTCTGTCAGCTGATCATCACTATACATGGTAAAGAGCTGGTGAGGACGCAACTCGTTAGTGCTCGCCATCCTGAGTGTCTTTCGTATTAAGTTGGAAGTTCGATAAGATTTCGAGATGAAAAAAAATCTCAAACAATGCTGAGGAGATGTCGTGCGCATATGGGAAAGGCGATGTCAACGGGTGATGATGTAGATTACCTTAGTACCGGAAGCGGGGCCGTGCTGATTGGTAGGAATAGCCGGAAGCTTACCAACCTCACCGAAGACATCACCTCTACTAATCACAACACGCGGTCCACGACGATACACAATGGTGTCTGTTTGTAAATCTAGGCCTAATTTAACAGGCTCTCAGCGAGTCCGTTACCGCAAAATCCTTACTCCAAAGGTCTGTCCCCGCATACCATGTGTCGTTCCCCCACGATCGACGACTAGGCGATACTTCGGCATGATAGTATACAGAAAGATCGTGAGCGCCATGAGGCGCCCTATCATCCCTGAAGTCGTCGCGCCTGATCGCCGCAACCGATGCTTGCCCTGACGACAAAACTCAGTCGGTAGCTTCAACATCCTGCGCCGTTCCGGTTCCATCAGCGAGATACACGTATGCGATGGCAATGGCAGACTTCTTGACCTTCTTGACCTTCTTGACCTTCTTGACCTTCTTGACCTCCTCACCCTTTGCCTCGTCGTCTTCCCGATGCTCTTGAGTTGACATCCTTGCCGCCACTTCGCTCTTCGATATCGCCATTATCTTGTCGAACAAGCGTTTGCTTTCCCTTTCTGCAGTGGCCCTTGCCGCCAACCGCATCTCTTCCAGGCTGTAGTATTCTGGCTCCTCGTCCGATGTCCTCTCCTCCAACACTGTGTCCTTCAGTGCCTTATATGGGCCCTTACCTTCCGCTTCACTGTCTTCCAGTTCCCGTTTGCGCTTGTTCATCTTGCCGTTGTCTGCCTCGCTGTTCTTCTGCAGTTCACTGTTGTGAAGACAGTCGCAGAGCGGCTCGCAGCGCTGTCCAACCTTCTTAGCCGCAAAGCCGCAGCGACGGCGAATGCATTCGGTTTCGTCTTGTTCGCACTCGGTGCAAGGGCCGAGGTCGTCGCAGGGGAGGTTGTTGGCGCGATATGTTACGCATTTGATCACACGGTTGTAGACAGCTTCCCGGGCTGGCGGCGAAGTAGTAGGAGGTGCATCTTGATCGGCTCGACTGCCTGTCGCTAGATCGCCTTCCACTCTTGCCGGCGGCGATTGCTCCTCTATGCGAAGCATCTGAACGCCTGATTGCGAGTCCTCCGTATGGACGGGCGATGACGCGGACGACTGGCTTCAAGTCTTGTCAGCGCTATGAATCAATTCAGTACAACATGGAAGGCATCGACGTACGCTGAATCTACCACAGGGTCGCTCTGGACCACAGTGATATCAGGCTTCTGCGCCAATTCGCTCATGACTGTTGTGGTTCGATAGTCGCGAGGGGTGTTGAGACGTGGGGAATGATCCAAGTGAAGTTCTGTTTGCACAACATGTTAGCACCGAAGCGACATTTCTTGGATAATGTCCCTGGGCAACGCACGCGGTGACACACCGCACGAGCGAGAGAATGCTAGTAGCGCTTGGGCCTGCTCTGGCTATCTATCTGCCTTGCGACAACTGTTCGTTCCTCCCACACCACTTGTCGCACCTTCATTATTTCGACTTTGAAGAGGATCAAAATGACCATGTCCCGCTCGCGCTCGGTTTCGCCCCGACGTTCGCGATCGGCTTCGCCAATCCAGCCTACTTCCCCACACTCAGCTGCCTACGAGGGTGAGGACTACGACGGCGAGGAGTACGAGGATGACAACGGCGACTTCGACGACGACGAGCTCACTCATAGTGAGAAAGTCCGCTTCTACGTCACCGACTCGCCCTCGCCAACCGGTTCTCCCATGGAGGAAGACGAGTCAGTATCTCCCATGACGCTTTACAAAATAGTCAAATCTAACCATGTACATAGGTCACTCCTCAACGCCGACGAGCTACGATCCAAGCTACAGGAGGTCAGGCGTCAGTGTGGCGCTGAGTACGTCGACCGCACCAACATCAAGGATGTGCTTCGCGATGAGCACGCGCGGGCTGAAACCTTGGCCAACCACCTCAGCGCGTATGAGGAGAAAGTCACTAGGATCAAGAAGGAGCTCGCTACTGTCCAGGCCGAACTCGCTGCTGGCCGGGAGCGTGAGGCTAAGAAGGACGAAGATCTCGCCGCTGTCCAGTCGAAACTGGAGTCCCTCGGCTTGAGCCATGAGTCTACCACTTCGTAAGTTCAGCTTTCTATCTGTTACAGGATCACATGACTAACAACTATAGGCTACCTGCGAACAGTGAAAGCGATTCTCGCCCCCGGAACTGCGGTAACTACCTCCAGCCCCGTTCTAAATGTCGTCCGGGCTGTAGTCGTGTTCACGTGGATGATGATGTCAGGGTCTAGATGATGGGGATCAAGTAACTGTGTGTATATATACAGGACATTTTGGAACTGCAGGAGTAAGGATGATGAATAGATGTCGCCGTCAGGCTGCAACAAGATCGCTATGAACGTGTACAAATAATAGTATGTATCCGCAAAAGATTGCGTTCGACCTCACCATGGGCTACTTTCAATTCAATGTTATCCTCATGACGTATCATGTAAGTTGAAGTAACAGTGAGATCTAGCGTAATCTGGTAGTACCTTTACGAGGTTACATGCTTTTGCATAGCTCTTGGACGAACAGATATATGTTGGAGCAGCCATAGTGTCACATAATCACCTTCCTCAAGCCTCGCCACAAGGGAAAGATACTTAATGAAAATGACCGTCTCGCACTGCATACTCCGTCTGACACTAGAGCTGCAGGCGTACGGAGGCGTACAAGTCCGTGTGTCCACTCATCATTTGCGTGATCGAAACCATCGCAGACGTGAGCAGAGCACATCGCACTTGCCACCTAGCCTCCCAAGCGTTGAAAGTGCTACCGAGATAACACAATCAATCATATCTTGATCAGGAATGAACTGTACTGCGGGCGAGGCATCGTGAAGGTCGTCAGACCTTCATCGACACGAGATCTCTAGCGAACGTACCGAAAAGGTAGTTCCTCACACAGGCCCCCAGCGCAACGAAGTACTCAAGGTCCGTGGACACTTGATGTATGATTCGAAGTGACTCATCCCTAAGAGTTGTGACAATCACTTAGAGTGAGCCCAAGCTGATCGGCTGTGGAGAAGGCAGAATAGACAGTTAGAGAAGAAAAGAGCAAGTTGGAGGGGCAGGCCAAGTTGATATAGAAGGCCGGAGCCGCTAGTCGCTTGGCGCACTAAGTCCCACGTGACGTCTGTGCTCTGATTAATCGTCGGCATTGGTGAAGGAGAGGTGAAGGAGGAATATATCCTTGACAAGTGAGAGAGCAGACCCGACACTCTACGTCACTGCAACTGCTTTCGGCACGGGTCAATGACGCCGGCCTTGCCTGTGAACCCACACAGTCGACGTTCACTGCGTCACCCTCCTGCAACACTTACACTCAACAAGCACTTCAATCATGTCGCCCGCGCACCCCAGCCTCATTGTTACTGTCCTGTTAGCAGTAGTCGCCGGCAACCGAGAGCTTCAACGCCAGCTCGCATTACTGTCGGCTGGGAAGGACTTAATGCAGGGCGCAATGTCGGAGCTTCAACGCGAAAATGAAGCCGTGAGGAGCGAGAAAGATCAATCGAAGTTCGCCGGTCTCGACAAGCAGCTCACGGAGGCGACGGAACTGAAACTAGACGCGGACGAGGCAGCCAAGTACAATGTCACTATGTTACGTCGCGCATTGACCGCCGAGAACGCACTTCAACACGAGCAGAAGATGCATCGCATCACCGAGGGCGCTTTGAGAATGGAGATCAGGAAGAACAGAATCAAGAGTCCGAGCGAGAGTGCGATGAATCCGCCCCAAAAGCGCGGGCATGATTCACTTGAGTATGCTAAGGATCACTGCTTTGAAAAATACGACTGACCTTACAACAGCATCCCAAGCAAGCCTACCAAGAAGGCCAAGCGCGCGACCGCAGTATGCATCGAATGTTACAAGTCTAAGACCAACAAAAAGTGCGGCGGTACCTCGACTTGCTGGCCCTGCCAGTATCTCGAGAAAGAGTGCAAGCGCATGAAATGCAAGTACTTCACTGCCGAAACATGTCGCATCGCCAACTGCGCCTTGGCGCACAGCGACAGCGGCTTCCCCGAGGGGTCGCTCGAGCCTTTCCAGCATGTTCCCCAATCCACGGAGGCCGCCCCCGTCGTTCCCCCCAAGCCGTCTACATAGTGTTTTCGCACGCCGCATAGAGGATGATAAGTGGGCTTGAAGAATTCATACTGGTTTGTGGTGGATGGAGGAGCCGGTCAGGAGAGAATGTATACCCATGACAGCATTTTGTCTGGTCGAATGTGATCGCAAGTCTGCATGGCGATCTCCAGGGCTTATTGATGGCAGCGATATCACTCAGTGATGCTGAGACGTATCCAGCAAACCATTCTAGAATTATTAATACAGGATACTAGAAACACCCTCTTTTCCACATCTGTGACTACTATGAGACGAAATATTCCCACTTTCACTTGAAGATAACACCATAATTATTCCAACCCACCGACTGATCCCAACCCTGAACCAGCATCTTTCCACCTGGTCCGGTACATACATTACCATTACCAATTTGTTCCTGCTCCTGCTCCTTCCCATCGTTGTTTCGCCCATTGTTCCAGCCGTTCGGCATGCCAAACCCAAGGTAACAATCATCACGCTGAATAGGCGCAAATCCGTGAATCTCAAAAGTCACAGCGAGAGAGATCTCAGGCTTCTTTTTGTCGGAATTGGGCAGCTTGAAGGTGTAATCGGCGGTGAGAGGTGGCATGATGGGCTTGTTCTTAGGGTCGATTATGGGTTTGGGGAGGAGAGGAAGATTGGGAGCGTCGGCGCGGATGTGGTCGTTGCACCATTTCGTTGCTGCCTTGTGGAAATCTTCTAGAGTTGGGCGAGGCTCTGATGAACAGGGTTGCTTGTCAGCTCGCTGTACGATATTGGTTGGCTCTGTGACTGGTGCAGCGAGGACGAGGCTCACGAGGAGAGAGGTGGAGAGAAGTTGACACTTCATGATCGGATATAGTAGCTGTATTTCGACTGCTTATGTGCGACGCTCTGGTTGCTGGGTAACGTGGATATGTTGCTGACGGCTGGATCAGTGGCAGTAGAATCAAAGTATGGTCTTCGGGTTGAGGAATAGTGCAACAAAGGAGCACACATTATATACCTCACGCGTGTTACATCGCCACTGTGAGTATCGGAAAATTTTACGAAGCTTATTTCCACCAGGATTTCCATTGTGTTTCCTACTCCACGCCTTTATTTCGATACACTGTTCAACTTCGGAAGTTGTATTTCGACAAGATGCTCGTGAAGCGGAGGGTCGTGACAAGACAGCTGTCGTATGTATTCATTACGGTCCGTGAATCCAGGTGCGAGGACTGAGAGAGGTCTTCCGAGCGGGAGTTGCGACGGACTTGTGAAAGAAACCACGAATGCGCTATGACAGTCGATCTCCTATACTGCACCGTAATTACTCGAATTCAATGCAACTCTTTGCTCTTCAACCAGCGTCTTGACTAAGTCGCGAATATTCAGCTTACCGATGGGCAAAGTCGGGCAATTCTTTCGTTCGCTAAGTCGTCGACCGTCGATCCTCAAATCGCGTGGTGAAACTATCGAGTCGCGCAAATCAAGTGTTTTCTCTTCTCTGGCGCAAAATGACACCGACAGCAAATCTATCTCGACTGTAGAAACCCGAGCAACATCCCACAACGAAGCGCGAACGGCGCCGTCTACACCATCGATCGCGCCAACCGACCCCACATGCCTCGAGACAGTAGGGCGGGGTGGAGCCTCCATCGATAGCGCTCCGAGAAAGGACACGGTCAATCAGCGTATGGTCGATTTGAATGCGTATGCAGATCTCGAAGTCAATATTTCCATATTGCGTTTCGTACACAGGCTACCGCTGGACGAGCTGCGCATCATTGGCCAGGTGCTGACGCTGTCTTCGTCTTCTGCTATGGGCAATACCTTTGAGGAAGATGACCGGCGTCTTCCACGAGGCGTCGCGCGACCAAAGACTCTGAGCCTTGCTAGTACGACTAGGGACTTGAGCAGGTCTTTCGTATGTGGTCCGAAGAACAGGTCTGAACCCAACCGTACTAGACACGAATGTAGACACGATCAATGCGCCGTACACGAAAGGCTGATCCTCTATCCTTCGGAGATGGACATGAAATCATATGCGGACGCAGTAACGCTTAGCCTTGTCAGTCAAGAGAGCGACCCAGCATGGTCGTTCGCGTGTTGTTCGGCGCAGCGAGTCGAGCGGGACCACGCACAACGGCAGAGTGAAGCTGCGGACATGAAGCGCGCGCCTTCCTTCACAGGACGATCGGCCGACTCATGTGATCTCTTCCTGGAATCCATTGGCCTTTCGATCCACCCAGACGGTGACCCAAGAACAGACCACGAGGACATGGATGCCTTTGACATGGACAACTTACCAAATTGGTCCGATGTGGAGGACGACCCAGAGTACAACCAGTTTGAAGAACGGTCATTCCACGGGACGGATACGGACAGCTCTCACTCTTCCAGGGAGTCGTGCACGTCATCGCCAGCACTCTACATGCCCTCTGTAGCTGTCCGCACTATCGTATCTAACATGCATGGCGATGCAGCGGATAACAACGAAGGGTGAAGGATGATGAGAGGGCTGAGGTTTGCAGGTGGTGGAAGGGATGGAGCGCCAAGCGCCGGCGACCATTCCGCTTTGGTGACTAGCGGATTCGCGTGTCAGGAGCCGGGCTGGACTCGCAAGTCGCGCAGGACGGCGGTTCAGGGCCAATGCGCCATCATCGTCGTCGACACCTCCACATCCACCCAACACCAACGGCCTGCTCAATGTGCCACGGTGACGTCGCCCGCCTACCCATCGCACCTTCCCCCTCATAGCATCGCTTCCTCTTACCTGCGACTCCCAGGCCCCTAGCGACCGCCCATCCCCCACGGCCGCAGCGACCGCAACATGCTGAAACCGCTGGCTGGCCGTTTGGCACGGCGGCCATGGAGATTTCTCTTCCCCGGCCTCCTTCTTTTCTTTTTTGCATACACACTCTCGCATCGGAGAGGGTCACATCCCCAGGCGCCCGTACACAAAGCGAAGACAAAGTCGTATTTCCCGCCCCTCGAAACCAAAGCCGCCAATTCAATCGAGCTCGACTACTGCCAGAATTTCCCTACCAAGCTACTGGAAGAGGTGCAGGTTGTCCTCAAGGTCGCATCGGATGGGGCACACGAGACGAAAGCACACCTCAGCACGGTATCGAGCTGCATCACGAATCTGATCATCGTGGGCGACCGGGAAGAGCGATTGGGAGACCGCCATGTCATCGACATCCTCGCAGAGCTTCCCAAGAGCTACCAGAAAGACAATGTCGATTTCCAAATCTACGTCGAGCACAAGAAGGCACACGAGGGCGGCGAGACGGTCAAGGAGCAGCAGCGGTCCTTCAAGCTCGATCGCTTCAAGTACTTGCCCATGGTAGACAAGGCATATATGACCAACCCCGCAGCAAAATGGTTTGTCTTCATTGAATCGGACGTCTACTTCTTCTGGGACACGCTGTTCCGCCTGCTCAGCCAGCTCGACGCCTCGGAGCCACATTACCTTGGCGAGCCGCACAAGGGATCGGAAGGCCGCCATTTCGCCTATGGCGGCGCAGGAATCGTCCTCTCCCAGGGGCTCGTCAAGCAACTCATCCCAGGCAAGACTATTGGCTCCACAGAGATCCCCCGCGAAAACCGACTAGGCGTCCGGTACGAGAACTGGGTCAAGGAAGAGCAGCGTGGCGACGCTGTCCTTGCCTATGCCATCCAGAACGCGACCGGCCACAAGCTCGAGCCCATGTATCCTACCTTTGCCAGCGACAAGCTTAAAGATGTGACCACCACACGCGACAAGTGGTGCGTACCAATGCTCTCGCTGCACCAGCTCAAGCCACAGCAGATGGAAGACTTGTGGAGGTGGGAAAGGACACGGCCGTACAACACGGTAAGTACTTCAGCTCTGGCCCCTGCCAAGCGACCTGGCTAACATCATCGCGCAGAAACCGTTTACCTACTCATCGTTCCTCTCCTACACCCACGGCTTCCTGTCGCAGGGTCCCTCGAAAGAGTGGTGGGATAACCTTTCGCAAGCGCCCGTACCGAACGATCGTCCCGCACATCGCAACGCCGGCTCGTGCGGTTCAGAGTGCGCTAATGACGGCAACTGCCTTCAATGGTCTTACTCGCAGACCGTCTGTCGTCACGCCGACTACATCAAGCTTGGCGATGCTGTAGACCGGGAAAACGGCGGTCAAGGCGAGTTCGTCAGTGGCTGGGACACGGGAAAGCTCCGTGACATGGGCTTTGGTGTCGAGGGACAAAACGGCCAGAGAGAGTTTTACGAAGGTTGTGTCGAAGCCACCTGGCTGACCCCACAAGAGATGTAGAAACACTCGTACGTCAGCGTATAGAGACGGACTTGTATTCGAGACCAGTGACACATAGGGAGGCGTTGCGGTTGCTTGCACCACGTTCATGCATGGCGTTCTGGGTTGGCACATCATTTTGGATATGTGGAGCGTCGCAAACAGCGCGTTGAGCAAGCGTCATGTTGACAGGAAGATGGACATCAGGCTGATGAGCTTCTTGGGCGAATATGTAATGAACAGAGTTTGAGCATAGACGCAGGGCATAAACTGCGAGGCCGTATGATACCGCGGGCGTTAGACCTGTATATGATAATAGCACACATCTTCACATCTACCCGACGCGCATTCGGCCCTTGGGATACACTCGTAGTACGTAGATGGGCGGCTTGGAGTGAGTTTGTCCAGAGCGGAGACTTGACCTTCCGCCGCCTGTGGGTGGAATACAGTTGTTCCGCTTGGACCATCTGCGCATCGCCGAACGGCTGCTGCCAACTCTTGACACCACTATATGCTCTCCATTTCAACATTATGCCCAGCGTCGCGAACGACTCTAGAACCACATCCAGCTCATTGCTGACGGCAATGCTTGTTCAGATCATTACGACTCGGTCGCATTCCCGGTGTTGATGAAACTTGGCGGCACCGGTGTGTTTGACGGCCTGATTCGGTCGCTTTCTGAAAATGTCGGTTGTCGCTGCTGCTCCACGCATGAAATTGCGCTTTGGGCAGTGAAGACAGTACGTTGGGTTCGAAGAGTATCGCGATGGGAAGAAGAGCAGGATTGAGGTGCATTGGACGTGAAAAGATCGGTCTTCTTTCAGGCATAATAGTCGGCGCGACTCCTCTTCTTAATACTCCCAGGTTAAAAAGCAACGGGTTGCCGGTCCGTCCGGTACTTGACCAGCAGCCGTGCACATTACCCCACATCCCGGTTAAGGAGCCTCATGACAGCAGCGTCTTTCACCTATATTAATGCGGCCTTACCCTGACGTCGTCGGGCCTACTGTAGAATATTCCATCACTATTCTCCAGCCCGTGCCATTGGTTAGCTGTCTACTTTCTGCAGTATGTCAGATGAAAGCGCGGGACTCCCTACATTTCGGCCATGGAACAAGCCGGAAGCGTGGGCACCGACATGTTCATCTAAAATGAACCGTGCTCAGATGGACTTGGGGTAAGGAAGGGTTCGGTGACGCGTTTGAGAATTGTATAAAGAGTGTCTCCACTCACCCACAGTTATCGTCTCATCAACATCCAGCGCATCCACAGTCTCTACTACATTCTTCTGAACCATCACCATGTTCACTTCTACGCTCATTACCTTGGCCTCAGTTGCCTCTACTGCACTGGCTGCACCTGCCCTTCATCCCCATGTCTCTCGCGCCGCTGAGCCCAAGTGCCCCATCGTCTTCGACGGCCGTGTCCCCACCAACATGACGCCTGTCTCCTTTGACACTCAGTCCACCAACACGCTCTTCAACGCCGACTTCGTCAAGGGCAACAACCTGACCTGGTCTCAGATCCTCAAGTTCCCCAACGAATCCTCGCGCTTCGACGGCGACAAGTTCAAGGCTGTTGAGGTGACCATCTCCGATGAGTCCATCTTCCAGAAGCAGCAGGGATTCCGCCGCGCAGGTCTCCAGTTCCTCAAGGATGCCCCTGATGGCGAGGGTGGCAAGGGCGTCAAGACTCTCCACTGGAGTGTCAAGCAGGACCCTGCCAGGCCTTTGAACCTCACCCACGAGTACCTTAACGTCTGGCACGAGGCTGCCGACTTCAGCAACAACCAGATCCAGTTCCAGACCGGATCTCTCATCGGAAAGAGCGATGCCGACAAGGACCAGTTCAAGATTCTTGACCGTGCCGGCAAGTGGCTCTGGAACGTTAAGATCGACCAGACTCAGTGGCAAAACTTTGCTCTGAAGCTTGACTACACCAAGAAGTATGTTTTCTCTCTTTCGCGACCCCAAAACATTTACTAATAAGATCCCTAGCGAGACCACCATCTTCTACTCCGCCGGCCAACAGGAGCTCAGGCAGGTCGCTGGTCCTTTGTCCGTCAACCTTGCTGGTCTCGGCCAGTTCCAGATGGGCATCCTCAAGAAGCCCACTGGCACTTCTGATGTTGCCAACGCTGGTTTCCAGGAGGCGAACCTTGACGAGGGCCAGATCTACGGTGGTCTCTTCCTTGAGGACTCCAGCAGCGGCTGCGTTTCGCTCTAAACGGATCGCGGGATTGCTCTATCATGCTGAGTGTACGGGGACGATGGGATGATTGTATATAGGAGGAAGAGAGTGGTTGTATATATAGAACGTGTGTTCTTGCTTTGCGTGGGTGGTAGCTTTGTCGAATTGCACGTGTTTGCTTCATGGCCAGATGTGCAGTATGAACGGCGATATATTTTCCGTACACTACAAACCGTCCCCTTACCCATCACTTCTAAGCCTTCCATCAACGTTTACATGCGTACCTCATAGGAAATGCTCAAGTTTTCTGTTGTGGTGATGGCGTTGGTGAGGCTGCGTTGCGATCTCGGAGTTGCGTGATGACATAACGTCACGGATCACGCCGGCCCATGATGCCCAGCTGACACGATGCTAGGAAACCATGAACGATAGCTTGAGAAGTAGGACAAAGTTGAAAAAGCTGAGGCTCAGACGAAGTGCCGTCAGGGTCTAGGATGGTGCCTGCCTGTTTAGGCCTAGTGCGGACCCCAGCGGAATGATGGCATCACTCATGTCGACTTGGAAGTCTAGCCCACCGAGGTGACTCCACCGCGAGCTACCTACAAAATGTAGTCTTCTCCCACCACCGGCGTGACAACCATTAGACACATAATCCCACGCTACCATGTCGAACACAAACAGCACCAAGGAAATCGCACCGTCAATCGACGTGAAGAACCTCTGCTATGCCTTCCCAGATGGCTCCAGTGGGCTGAAGGATGTCTTCCTCGACCTGCCGCCCGGCAGCAGAACACTTTTGATTGGAGGTATGCAACAACGCAAGATGGGCATGAATATCTTGACTAACGATCACAGCTAATGGTGCGGGTAAAACCACGCTTCTCCGCCTCCTCTCCGGCAAACGCATGGCCCCCTCCGGCACTGTCCACATCGCGGGCATCGATCCTTTCAAGATGGGCCTCGAAGGCGTGACCTACCTCGGTCTCGAATGGGTGCTGAACCCCATCGTCCGTACCGACATCGACGTGCCCACGCTTCTATCCTCCATCGGCGGTGACCACTACACCGAGCGCCGCGACGAACTCGTGCGCATCCTCGATATCGACCTCAGCTGGCGCATGCACGCCGTATCAGACGGAGAGAGGAGACGTGTACAACTTGCCATGGGTCTGCTGCGACCGTGGACCATCCTGCTACTGGACGAGATCACCGTTGATCTTGATCTGTTGTCGCGCAGCAACTTCCTCAACTTCTTGAAGAAGGAGACGCAGGAACGGCCCTGCACCATCGTATACGCGACGCATATCCTGGACAACCTCGCAACTTGGCCCACACATCTCGTGCACATGAGTCTGGGCAAGGTGAAGAAGTGGGGCAGCACCGAGGACATGGATGTCAAGGTCGAGCAGGGCGAGCGCATGTACACCGGAAACAGTCAGCTGGGTGAGCTGGTGTTGAAGTGGCTGCAGGAAGATCTGACAGAGCGGGGGCCCCGGAACGGGAAGGGTGAGGGCGCCTCGTATCAAAACCTAGAGGGTAAGGGTGGTTATGGGGCTGAGAAGAGGGTAGAGAAGGAGTAGTATGAAGGGGTGGGAGAGCATACATCTCGGCATGCTTCAACAATGCGTGTCGGTGGAGTTTCAACAGGCGTTTAAGAGGCACTCAACGATGATACCCCATCTTGTTCAACAACAGAATTTCATTGCACCTACGATTCGCATATATTCTTACGCGATAATTGCTCTTGAACCTTTCAATCCACACGCGTGCCTCGCACAAGTATATAAGTGATGTTCATTGTCAACTATCTCAAGAATATCTATATCCCTCAGATCGTGGTGTATGAGACACTCAAAGTTGATCGATTGTCCAAAGACTGTGCTAGCACGAAAGGGGGAAGGCGCATCCCCGCTCAACGCTAACCAACATTTTCGGGCACTCAGTCATTGGCAGCCTTCCAGTCATTGGCAGCCTTCCGGTCATTCCATCAAATGCATGTTACGGTTCGCAAAGGCATTCAGTAGTATCAAGATGGTGCAAGCGCCTCGTAAGCCTCTTATCACTATAGTTGGTGCGACGGGGACTGGTAAATCTGATGTAAAGCTCACATTTTTGGTCATGCTTCATATCGCTGACCACAGCGGGTAGCTGGCGGTAGAGATCGCGCGAAAGTATAATGGCGAAATCATCAATGGCGACGCGATGCAACTCTATCGTGGCTTGCCTATTATTACCAACAAGATTACAAAAGACGAGACGAAGGGCGTTCCGCATCATCTTCTAGGCTGCATTGGCCTTGAACAAGAGACTTGGACTGTGGGAAAATTCGTAGGCGAAGCTTTGAGAACAGTATGACCGAATGCCACGCAGTCTGAGTCACGACTGACATGGCTAGATTGATGAAATCCAGAGTAGAGGCAAACTACCGGTCTTAGTTGGTGGCACTCACTACTATACACAGTCACTCTTATTCCAGGATGCGCTATCAGATGAGCCAGAATTGAATTTGAATGAGAACACCCAGCCTCTGCCTATATTGGAAGAGCCGACCGATGTTCTGCATGTCAAGCTAAGGGAAGTCGATCCTATCATGGCCGATCGATGGCATCCAAATGAGCGGCGCAAAATTCAGCGTTCATTAGAGATATATCTCAGAACAGGCAAACCAGCTTCGCAGCTCTACAAAGAACAGAAGCTCCAACGTGACGCTTCTGCTGCCCAGGCGCATGGCACAACGTCAGACAATCGGTCAGGCCTTCGTTTCGAGACTCTTGTGTTCTGGGTGCACGCAAACAAAGACGTGCTGCATCGGCGTCTTGATGGCCGCGTTGACAAGATGATCGCCCGAGGTCTGCTTTCCGAAGTACAGGAACTAAGCAGTTTCCGTGAACGCCACGAAGTCGACACAGGTGCCAGTATCGACCAGACCCGCGGCATCTGGGTATCGATAGGATACAAAGAGTTTCTGGAATACCAAAGTGCTCTTTCAGACAGCTCACGGGAAGCATCTGAGCTAGAGAAGCTGAAAGTCCTCGCCATCGAGAAAACACAAGCAGCCACCCGCCAATACGCCAATCGCCAGATCAAATGGATCCGCATCAAGCTTCTCAATGCACTGATCAGCGCAGGTCAAAAGAACACCACCTTCCTAGTCGACGGTTCCGACATATCGCAATGGGAAGAAAACGTCGTCAAACCCGCCATAACCATTACTGAACACTTCCTTTCCGGCCAACCACTCCCTTTGCCCTCTGTATTATCGCCCGCAGCAGCAGAGATGTTGACACCAAAGCGCGAGTACGACTTGGGACAGCGGCCGGACCTATGGCAGAAGAAGGTCTGTGAGACATGCGGTACGACATCTATCACCGAAAACGACTGGGCTTTACATGTCAAGAGTCGGGCACATCGAAAAGCGGTAGCTACAAGGAAGAAGCAAGAGAATGCACACAAGATGCGGAATGGGGGTGCGAAAGATCCGCAAGCAGAAGTGATTGATGTTCTCGAACACTATCTGGATACCTTTCCTGGAAGACAAGAGCCCAAATGAGTGGTGGGCTGACATGGCGGAGTTGAGAAGCCGCCTCAGTTCGCAATCTTCTCTGGTGCTCAGCAGCTGCATCCACCGCGGCATCCAGTCCCAGGGAGATTGTTTGCGTTACAAGCCCCGTCGTTTGCGCAAGTCACCCAACCGCCGTTGCCCCCATCGAAAGCCAGCCAGCACCATTCTCCTGGGTCGCCGCATTGCTTCCAACAGTACCCGTTCTCGCAACCCCAGGGACGAGCGGCACAGCTTTGCGCTTGGACTTCTTCGAGAGGCTCGATGGCGACGGCGGCAGTAACGCCGACGAAGACTGCGAGGGCGGTGATGAGCTTCATGGTTGCAGTTGGACTAAATGGGGAATTGGTTAGCCTTCGGCAATTTGCGGTACTCTGGGTAAGGTCTTACTGTTTCAGAGTGTCGGTGGTCTTAAATTCAGATGTTTGGATTGTGTTGTCAGTCTGGAGAGTATATCTGAAGGAGGCAGTAGGGTTTTGTCCTGTGCTTGATTGATCCTCCTACATCCGTCTCGTCTTTATATACATCTTTTGATACTATCGTAGGACCCAAATGGGAATGCGATGCGTCACGCGTCTACTCTACACCGAGTTCAATATCGTCCGAACTACTGCACTTGCACTTCAGCGCAGTCGCGATAGTGTTCAGCGGAGATGATCTGAGGTCAATTTGATGATATTCTGATAGTGTTGCTCGCTCATCGGGAATGTGACCGTTGCAACTTGGCTGCATGCTTACATTTGCAAGATCTACCGAAACCAACCAGCGCTTTTTGAGGTCATAGACATACCACATCATGCCATGTCATCTTCACCGCTTCACAAGTATCTGCGAAAGATTCTGGACACGGACACTCAGGTCCCTGGTCACCCTGGGTGGGTCTTCATGTCGTGCCATATTCGAGCGTGGTATCTAGTTGATGTGAAAGTTCTTGTCAGAACACCAACGTTATGACGCACGCGTGTGAGACTCTGATCATAAAGAAAATGTATGTGGCCTTGATTCGTGAGCTGTATTACAACTGATATACTGTGTCTAATGTTTTTTGGAAAAGGTGTCTTGCACAGGTCGAATGAAGTTGGCCGAACCAATCAGAATTGCCGAGGTATGGCAGGAGGGAAGTTCAGATGACGGTGGTAACATTGCATACGCCTGCAATCAACGGCTCTCGACAAGTTGCGTATTTCTGACCACGCCAAGCAACACGCCACAACATCCTCTTGTGGACATCAGCTCTAGACAATGCCTACCCAGCTATCTATCCTGGAACACAGGCGGCGACGCAACTGCATTCATCATTTCCCATTGTCTTTCCTTGCGAATGGTAACTCGAACGCCTTTACCCGCTTTTCTAAACTTAGCTCCATCTGGCTGGCATTTCCGACGTTTTCCTTTTTCCCTTGAATGCTTTTTGCTTCGTTTGGCTGATTACGAGCGCCTGAATCAACACATGTTTACTCATGTGCAAACAACCATGCGTGATTCTTCGGTACAATGAAATATTTGTCGCTGATGTCACGTAGATGGTTGTTCTGAAGGGCGGACAGCAAGACCTGCCGACTCGATACTTCTCGAAAACAACCGAAGTTATGAGACATCCCATAGAGCCATCGGAATTGACTTCAGTACCGTAGTGGGCCTGGATCGCGACGATAATCACGGCCTAGTCTTTGACAGCCTCTAGAAGTACAGCCTTCACATTCTCTGCGGCTGGTTCGTAGAGTTTAGCAACATTGTACTTATCGGCGACAGCGTGGACACCGATCGGGATAAGAACGCGCTTGCTCCTATCGTCGGCTGCAAGCTTAGTGATCTCTTGCTTGTTGTACGCGCCGGTGTAGATGAACTTAAGAAGGAACTCAAAGTGCTCGGGGTCGTCTTCGTGTAGTTCCATAATGGCTTCTGAAGACCCCTGGAAAGTGTTAGCGTCTATCCTCTAATCTGAATTCAAGCTTTTGCTGACCTACCTTGAAGTTACCGGTGAAGGCATTGAGAAAGTAATCGGACTCTTGACATAGCACAGCTTTATGCACATAGTATTCGCGTGTCTGACCGTTGTGTGTCTGTTCGATCTTGATGTCGGAAAGGACAGGGTCATTGAAGAGCCTTGATTTGGATCAGCATGGAGCAATCAATAGGCTAGCACGGCTAGCTTCTGCGACTTACCTAGTACAGGATCGCTTTGATTTAGATATTCTGAAGACTTTGTAACCAGTGATAGTCGCAGTGAGATGGTGCAGTATCAGACCTCGGAGCAATGAGGTTGATGCCACCTGCCCAGATGGGCAGCACCTGGGCAAACGTGTTCGCCGCTTTTGCGCTTGTACAAATTGGATTAGAAGAGTTTATCGCGGTGTGAACGCGCTGGGGCGCGAGGCTACCGCGAATGGCGAATACAATGATATATGTAGAATTGAAAAAGAAGAAGAGGACAAGGAAACATTCAAGAAAGAGTATAGGTAGAGACGACCAAACCGACTAGTCGAGCTGATAGCTTCTCTAATCGACTGGATCCATATTCGAAGCTAACATCTGCAAGATTTCTTTCATACTCTAGGTACGCTACTAGTAAATCCACAGCAGGCTCACAAGTCATCAATGAGCGGGCTAAGGCCCTGCGCAGTACCTATCCTCTCCTCGTAGAAGTCCCTCCGCCTCTCAACATGTCCACGGTCTGCCATGAACTGAGCAAACGCAGGCGCATCCGTACCGGGCTGCTCAAGGATTGTCTCGGCGCCTTCCGGTGCCGGGATATCCTCACGAACACTCCAGCCACGGCTAGATTGGTTCTCGTCGCTGAGCATGAAACTGTGGAGCAGCTTTGCGCCTTCAGGATGGGGTGCTTTTTTCAAGATTGCGCCGGTCTGAGCCCAAGAGACAAATTTGGCATCGCTAGGGAGCGCATATTTGACTGGTGGCCGGTCTGCGAATGAGAACCCCGAGGTGAAGGTCACCGCGCTACTGCTGTTGGCAGCCTTGATGAGCGTGCCGGGAGTTGCCGTACCGCGCACCCAGCGAGGGTTGTTGGCGAGCAGGGCGTCGAACCATTCCTGACCGAGCTCTTCTAGGCTGCGCAAAGTGTTAGCTAGTTTGCATACGATGATTGGGGGGAGGAACGCGCATCAGTTCGAACTGGTACAAAACGGCATCATCGTCGTTAGGGTAGGTCAGAACGATCTTATCTTTATATTCGGGTTTGGTGAAGTCTTGGTACGAAGTCGGCATGGTGCTCGTCTTGTTCATGTTTGCAGAGATGCTATTGCTGATTAGCGTGTGTAAGTCGAGGCATTTCCACGGATAGCATACCCCCAATCAAAAATAAGCAGTCCACTGTAAGCCGCGTCTGCGTCCTTGAACACAGGATAGATCTTGTCGAAGTTCAATGGTGCGTAGTTCATCAAAGCGCCTTGCTTCTTCCAGCGTGGGTAGTCGTGGAGCGTCTGCAGAATGATGCTGTCGACGTAAATATTGTCGGCAGCGAGTTGTGCATCAAGGTTGATATCATGGTACTTCGATAGGTCGACAGTGACATTGAGCGTCATGTTAGGGAAACGTGCCTCAAAGGCACTCTTCAAACTGTTCTGCTGAGTCTTCTCATCGCCGCCATGCCAAAGAGTGACAACGCCACCTTCGGCCAAAGCTGCCTGATAAATCTCATCAAGGCTGCGCGTCTCCCGCTCGAAGGTTGTAGTGTTGGGGAAAGAGGTTGCCAGAGAAATCCCGGCAAAGAGTGCTAAGTTGGAGTATTCGAAACGCATGGTGGCTGATCTCGGTCGTTTAGCTGTGATGCAGGCGCAGTTATTCTATGAGCCATCGAGGTATTGTGCATCTTATATCGGCGAATATTAATCAGAGACCCACGCGCTACAGATACTATCGCGACAAATTAATTAGGATCATTGCTTCCACTTCCGATTTCGACTCGGGCCTTTAGAACCTGTTCAGCGGACCGAGGGGAGGCTGAGACTTCGCCTTGAAGCTGCGCCGCCTACAACCTTGCTAGGATAAACGAGCGACATCGTGGTAAAGAACCACAGCGTACACGTCCGTCCGGTGGGATACCAGGAGTTGCAAACACAGGAAGGCGATATGTTTGCATACGAACTCTTCTTTATGCAGCAATTGCAGGAAGGTGTTGCGAAATCAATACATTTTCTCTGGCAGCCCTGGAGGGACCGTGCGAGTGCTGTGGGACTGAGTACGAAGACACTCCAGATCTGCACGGTCTCAATTCTTATCAGAAACAAGCTTCGTCATGTTGATTCAAGGCTTCTCGAGAATATGAGGGTGGGTGAGCCTCGTAGAAGGACAACGTGGGTCGACTTTGGTCAGAAACAGGCCAACCGTGGTCTTGATTGAGTGCTGATATGACGCGGGAGCGACTCCAATGGGGAAATAGGTGGGCAGGGCACAGGCTTGGAAGTGGAGACGCTTGGATCACGTGGAAGCTTCGCCCTTTCCGGTAAGGCGCAATCCCCCTTATCGCGTGCTGCCGGGCAGTCGGCACCGTTATCCACGCATGCACGCTTTCGCCCCGAACCGTGTGAAGGTATGCCGTTGCAATAAACACCACCGCGATCGCTAGCGGAATCCAAGAATGGACCGAAGCCTGAGAAATACACCCGATGAACAATGATACAGAAAGTTCCCCGCAGGAGCCGCCTGCCAAAAAGCAACGAACCCTAGCTTGTCAGCGATGCCGCTATCGGAAACAGAAGTGCGAAGACAGCCGACCGTGCCAGAATTGCATCAAGGGAGATGAAGAATGCCTTCCTACGCAGCCTGCGCCTCGGCCGCATGTTGAGAGCGAATATGTGCGCATCTTGGAAGAGCGTGTGGCTGAGCTTGAGGCTCGAGACCCGCAGCAGAGCCTTGATCACCTAGCAAGGACCCAGAACAGGCCTGATCACGACATACATGACACGTCCCCAGCAAGCAGTGGGTTGCCGGGTGATGGGGCCACAGGAGGAGGCGCCGCCCATTCAGTTCAACAGGTCTTACCGCCGCGGCGGTCCTCTATGCTTTCCGGCTCATCTTCGGGTTATGCAATTGCTTCGGGTACGGACGAAGAGCCGGACTTGAATCACCTCATCTTTGGGCTCATTGCATCACCCTCAGCGCAATTTTCAGCTCAAGATGTTTCTCGTACCTCAACAATCTCACGACCGGCACAAGTCGAAGTGAACAGCGCACACACGCTGTTGACCAGCATTTCTCCGGAACTCGAGGAATCATTACTCAACGCGTATCGCGAACGCGCTCAAGCCCAGTATCCCTTTTTCCATTGGGACACCTTCCTGACGTGGCAGTCGGAGTGGAAGCACTGCTCGCTCTGCGACCTTGAAGACCGAGCCTGGCAAGGGTTTTTCATCAACCTTGTGTACGCGACATCTTTAGTTCTGTTGCGACAGCCGTATGTGGCGATGCTCAATGTTCGCGAATTTTACGATACTGGAATCGCACTCCTGCCGGCTGTGCTACGTCAACCAGATAGAATTCTCCAAGTGCAGGCATATTTACTGCTATCCGTTCACGCACTACACCAGAGCTCCACGGAACGTATCATTTCTCTCGCTTCCACAGCTATACGGCAATGCGTTCTGCAACAATTACATCTCGGCGAGACGGAGCCACCACCAACCGACGTTAATGCCCGCCTAATAATTCAAATCCGTCGACGATGCTTCTGGTGCGCGTACCTTCTTGATCGATTAGTCATGTCATCTTTCGATCTCCCTCCATCTGTCCCGGACTACATGATAACCGTGAAGCCTTTCGCTAACATCGAGGACCACGACCTGTTAGGAGCCGCTGCCATCACGCCGCCTAATTTTGACTTGACTGATTCTCAGAACTACACGTGTAATTCTTCAGCGCTTCATATACTGCAGTGCAGGCGTATACAGTCCGAAATAAGCGCTGTCACGCTTCGATGGGATTATGATGCTCAATTTGAGAACAGTTCAGATTGGCGCATAAGAATCCTTGCGGAGTTAGAGAACTTCAAATCCCGGGTACAAAACTTTTCAGATCCGCAGTCGAAAGGTTACACATCACAGCGTTGGCAAGCGATGATCTACCACTACACGCTACTCATGCTATATCGACCGACGAAAGTCAATGTAATAGGATCTGCTGGCGATTGGTCGGTTCAAGCTAGTAGCCAGGCTTGCTTAATGTTTCGAAGGACTCAGATTGATCGTCAAATTGCTCAGCCATGGCTTGCAGTAAGTGAGTTTAAACGCCTGATGACACACGCGCTGATTGTAGCAGCTTCTCGTTCAATTCCAGTCCGGTATCACACTCTTGTACTGCTTCTGGGCCACCCCACCGGAACATAGAACCGATAATTACTACTCGCTCGACGTTTCTGACGCGCTCCGCGCCTGCTCCAACATCCTAGCGATAATGGCAGACAGGTGGGCAAAGGCAGAGTGCCTGCGAGATGTCTTCGAACTACTGGCGCGCGAGATTCCGCTAGTCGACCGACCCAACAAGCTGCCGACTCGGCTGTCAGACAAGACCGTTACGGCGATTCGAACGCACCTTCCGCAGGTTCGCGCACTAGTAGTGCATCGCCCGGTGTTGCGCATGATTGATGAAATGATAGGTGAAGATTTTCCTCGCTCTACGCAACCTTCCCAGCTACCAGCGATTCGTGGCATGCTTGCCCCGATTCACCAGGAACCTGAGGAACACTTCAACAATCAGCTACAGCAGATCAACGGAAACTTCCAGATGCCATTTGCCATGCAGCAGCCATTTGAGTACGGAAATGCAGATTCTGGGCTTGAGGATCTGGCTGTCGACGGCCTACTCTCGTTCCCTGGTGTGTTTGACTTCGAGGGCTGGACATGACAGGTCGACGAAAGGAGATGTCATTGGGACTAGTGTACTCATATTGTAGGCTATCAACGACTTTAAAATCACGCTGCTTTGCCTTTGTCTACGATGGGCTCTCCTGCGACCGTCTCGAAGAATGCATCTGCCAAATATCCACCGCAATAACTCAACCTCTCAAACCCATCAGTCATAGGTTTTGAGCTAAGAGCCGGGCCTTGTACCGACTTCAGGTAGCCAGCGATACCTTGGTCCTGCCACATCTTCGCAAATTGCTCTGTCACCATGTTCAGACCTTGCAGACTCCAGATCGGCTGGACCTGCCATACGATGCCTAGCTTGGCAAGATCGAGATGAAGATTCTTGACTTGGTCATCACTGAAACCGGCTTTTGCAAAGTCGTAGTCGCCGGTGTAGCCAAAGGCAAAGAGCCGGTCCGGATACACCTTGCGAACTTTCGTGTGGAATTCGACGATGTCCTCCCAATTTGGAGAGTCCATGCGCGCCCAGGTCACGTCTCCGAGTGGCGCAGCGGCGATGGCACGCTCGACGATACCCTTGACGCAGCTCTTGATCATATACTGTCCCATCGCTGATCGAGACAGCTCCCAGTCGAAGAACACTTCCTGTTTCACCGTCTTGCTTGCGATGTCGCGACGGTCTAACAGAGAAGCAAGCTTGCGTTTCGAGAGATCCGCCTTGTAAGCGGCAAACTCTTCTTTCGACGCGACAGCCTCGACAGCCTCATCAAAAGTCTTGATCCCCGCTTTCGCCTTCCACTCGTCCCGCGCAGCCTTCAAATCTTTCCCTCCTATTTGTGCAGCCGCGAGACACTTCTGCAACGGCTCTATCTTCTTCGTCGCTCCCTGCACATACTCGTGGTCACGCTCATCAACGACACTGGTGATGAACTCGGCATGATCCGTGTCGCAGCGGCATAACAGTAGAGTCTCCGCACCCATGACATCGAATTGCATCCGCACAGCTGTCAAACGATCCAAGTACTCTTGAGTCGGTACAATGGTACGCCCTTGACCAACAGTAAACTTCTTCATCCCGATAGCAAGGTCGTCGATGTGTATCATCGCTACACCAGCGTCCACAAACTCGCGGGCCATCTTCATTGTACTCGTCAGGCTACCGAAGCCCATATCGCCATCCGCGACGATTGGCGCCATGTAGTCCCAGTTCTCCAGCTTTTCACGCTCCTCAATCGGATGTCGTAATCGGTACTGTCGTTGGCGCTGGTCATGCCAAAGCTGGCTCTTGAAGATCTTGGAAACAACCTTCGGCACGGTATCCCATGGGTAGTCCGCGTGGTCCATTCCAGGGAGTGCGACTTCCGAAAATCCGCATAGAGCACCAGACACGTAGACAGTCTGCTGATGCTTGGCCATCTGCGAGACTGCAACCGGATCGGTGGTACCAAATGTCAACTCGCATGTACCGGCTTTGTTGTGGGCGTTTAGCTGTTCCCAGAGCTTAATGGCCTGGATCGAGGAGGCTTCCGAGGGAGCGGGGATAGAAGTACGAAGCGCGGCTATAGTGCTCGCCGTGTATGGTCTGGCAACATGGTCAGCTGAACTCTGTCACGGAGTAGATCTATTGCTTGGGATATGATGGGGCTACATACCGCTTCAAATGCGACTGCCTTGCAGAGCTCCATTGCTTCTCAATAGCAGCCACATCAGCCTCGAAAGTTTTCTGCTCATCTTGAACGGATATGTCGATTTGAGGCATCGTATGGAATGCAACAAAATGTGATATGTGTTATTGTCTGGCCTTCCAGCTCGTAAGATGGAGTGTCTCGGTCAACGAGGTGCCTCTGACCATTTATCTACAAGAAGCATTCTTCTCATCGCAGTAACCCTAGCTCGACACGCGAGGCGCGTAGCTATCCTTGTCACTCGGCACATGCAGGGTATCTTTTTTCTCCACTGCAAAGAAGCGCGGAGGTCTCGTGCATCTCGCAGTCTCGCACTTGCAAGTCCGACAGAGTCCGTTATCTGAAGATAAGCGAAGGTGAGGACGGGTCCACTTTTGCGTGCGGAGGCGCACGCCTGATAGCTTTGCGACTTCCGAACGTTGAGTATCCCACTTGACACCTGCAGAAACTCGACTTGTGTTGGATCTATTTACGAATTGGTCATAGACCTTACTCGCTAGAGTGCATTGGCTGAACTGTAGAGGGGCATATATCACGGGTACAGTAGTCTTTCGTGACGTATTTACTCATTTTGTAAATTATCTGTAGTGACTGCAAATCCTGTACCAAGCTGTCCACGCCTTCTTGAACGTCTACCATACGTATCGAAAGTGCACATTTTGCTTGTCAGTCAAGTCGCGGAAGTCAGTATCTGCATGCACCCTTCCACCCTTGTCGGAGTCAATGCGATCTCTCCTGCGATTCTCATACCAACAATACGTTGCATACATAGCGATGGTGATCATCGAGAGAACGTAGCTTCCCAGCACGGCACCCATACCAAGTGGATACAGCGGCGCCTGATCGGCCTTGAAGAACTGCGGCGCGATGATGTTGCTGACACAGTATGCGATAAAGACCAGCGCATTGACAGTGACTTTCTTTGTGTGGCCCGCGGTGTTTGCAGTGTTGATACCGAGGGCAACGATGTAGGGTCCGAGGTAGAAGTATGAGCAGTACAAGGCGGCGAGACGCCCGTTGTAGTTGTTGAGAGGCAGAACATATAAGAAAACTGCTGAGATCATGCCGACAATGATACCAAACATGACCCAAGCAGTACGTAATTGCTTCGCCGGGAAGTACTTCGCAGTCAAGAATACCCCGCCATTGCAAACGTATGACGCTATAGTCTGCAAGATACCTGTAGGCATTGTGAGGAGTGTCGAGCGCTGAGACGTGTAGCCGAGGCCTTTGATAATAAGAGGTGTGAAGTTCGTCAAACCCCCGTTTGGGACTAGAGAATGTCAGCCTAGACCTGGAAAGGTGGCACATCGGGTTTACTCACTACTGATCCAGATATGAAAGAAGAACATTAGCCACGTCTTGGGATCGAGGAAGGCTTCAATCATCTGATCTTTCTTAAAAGTTTTGTTCTCCACTCCCGTTTGATCTTGCCGGATTTTGTCAATTACGATAGCCTTTTGTCGCTCGCTGACGAACTTTGCCTTGACAGGATTGTCAGGCAAGAAGATGCCGATTACACAAGCCCATACAATGGTCATTGCGCCTGTGATCCAGAACATGGCGCGCCATTGATGTTCGCCTGCTAGGAATCCAATGCCATATCCGATTGGGCCAGTGAAGCACACAGAAAGACCCGTATACATCAAGCCGGTTCGAAGAGGTTGCTCGCGTCGAGGGTACCACATGCTGATGATGAGGAAATTGCCGGGTACGATAGGAGCTTCGAGAGCTCCAAGAAGGACACGGAGTGCGATAAGTGTAGGAAAGTTGTTGGCGAAACCGGTCGCAATGAGAATGCAGCCCCAGAGCAGTTGAACGACAAACATCAATTTGGCGATCGGAAAGCGCTGGAGGAGACTGCCACTCGGTAGGCACCAGAACAGATAACCAAACTATACGCAGTATCAGTACCGTAGAAGCGATGGTAGGTGGGATTACTCACGTAGAATGCACTACCAACCCAGCTGTATCTATCTCCAGTCAAGCCAGTATCAGCTCGGAAGCCGTACAAGGCCGCTGTAGCTGTCGTCACTTTGTCCATAGCGCCCAGCGTGATGTTGACTGATGTGCCTATTAGCGAGCGCTTCTCGTCATCTCGCTTCACAAGTACTCACACCAGAGCAATGGCACGAGACGCAAGTCTAGCTTCCATCGCAAGCGTGTCGCTTCTTTCCTTGTATACGCATTCTCCCCCGTGAGATGATGAGCATAGGCAGCCGCCACATCAACGTTGGCTGAGGCAACTTCTCCCATCTTGACGGAATGCGTGTCCTCGACGTCGGCGGACGACATGACTTTGCTATCGTCGGGCATGGCAGCAATGAGTGGGGTAAGAATGAAAATGCAAAAAGAACCTCCCGATGGGTGTCTCGAACACCTAGATTACATGTGTGTTTTATACAAGACCAAGAACAAGACTCATATCAATGATGCCTATCTTGATATCTCGTTGAGTATCGCTATCTCCAGCTAGACGGCGGCTGGACGGCATATGGAACGTCAAGAGTCCAGCTCGATAGGACTAGGATCGTGCCCTTGACTCGTGGACGTTGTTGTTCTCCGCATTTTGGCGACGGCAACGACCAACCGGTTTGCGTGCCCATGTTCGCTGCCTAGCGTCCCTTGACAAAGAGATGGTTCTTCGGACTCTCATGTCCGGCGGTGGCACGGGCAATAGTGGGCTGTCAGGCCCTTACACCATGCCTGCGTAGTGCTAGTGTGGCCCCAACTATCCGACTGCTAGGATCCGTCCGCATGTTTAGACGACGTACACTGTGGGAATGCGGCAAGAAGGTCATGCTCGAAGGTTGCTTGCTGGGCGTACTGATAGTGTATACTGGATCGGCGCAGATTGTCCGATCACCGTTCGGCCGCAGAATATTGCGTTCATAGCGTATCGCGCAAGTGGTTCATCCTGACAACTATTGTCAAGACGTCGTTGCGGTGGTTGATCAAGTATCGAAGTGGGCGACTCCAGTAGCCGTGCCTAGTTGGAGACGCGGCAAATCGCGAGATAGTCGCGACAAATATCAACCGCTTATCAGCGGCCATCACGTGCATCGCCGAATGCGGACATCCCGAAACCGACATGAAAGACAGATGCATTGCTTCTGAAGACGTTTCGCAGGAGGAGTCCATCAATCAAAAAGTCTTTCCACCAAGATCGTGCAACTATGGCACGAGTTTTACGCATTTGCATGCTCAATGCCGATGCACCGGTGCCTGCCGTGGCCGCCGAGCGTGCCCCCACCTATGGGCGTATCTTCCACCAACTTCTTTCTTCCGCAGCTATCAAGACCAAGTTATCAGGCGCTTCCTTGGATTCTGCCATCCATATCACGTCTACGGACTTCGACGTCACAAAGAACGAATACCCCGCCTCGATAGCAGATTTCGACGCTGTCATCATCTCTGGCTCCGCGAATTCGGCCTACGATGAGCTACCCTGGATACGCAAACTCGCAAGATGGACGAAGGAGTTATATGAAAGAGAACCAAGCGTGAAGATATTCGGCAGCTGTTTCGGTCACCAATTGGTGTGTCAAGCTCTCTTAGGAGATCATGGTGTGAAGGTGGAGAAGCATCCGGAAGGCTGGGAACTTGGGGTAAAAGAGATCACATTGCATCGGCAATTCTACAACGAATTCTTTGGAGATAAAAGAGGCAGGGGAGATGGGTATGGCGAGAAGATGAGGTTGCAGTTCGTGCATCACGATCATGTTGTCGTTCCGCATGTAGAAGCGCTGCCGGGGTCCTGGACAACGATGGGGAGCACTCGGCATTGTACTAATCAGGGCATGTACGAACCTGGTCGTGTCCTCACATTCCAGGGTCACTTCGAGTTTGATCGCTTCATCAACAGTGAAACAATCAAGTATTTCTTTCCGAATTGGCAGCCCAAGGTCTTGGAAGAGACGCTCGATGCCATCGATGCGGATGACGACTCTGTGGCAGCAGCTGGAGTTGTCCTAAAATTCCTCTTGAACGAAAGTGCTGGGAAGCATGGCCAGTCATATGCTGTCACTGGGGGTTTACTCACGCCGCCATCGAGAGAATGAGCCTGCATTTTACAACCAATCCAATATGTATCAACTACATGTTCTAAAGTTAAATCCCTTTGCTAGCTTGTTCAATCACCGCACTTAATCTCTTGATGCCTTCGAGAATCTCTACTTCTGTGTGCCATGCCCAGGATAAACGTATTCCGTTCCCATAGCCCTTTGCAGCACGAACGGCGGACGCAGAGTCTCCTTGCACTTGCATCATGTCACCGTATGCAAACTTTACATTGTACTCCTCCAATCCTTTGGCAGCCAAGTCGGCACCCTTTCCAGCAAGGCTTTGTGGCAGCAGTAGCCAGATGAAGTAGCCTCCAGCCTGCGCAGAAGACTCCTCAAGACCAGTGTCGGTGCCGTTCACTTGTTCAGAAACCTCATTGTACGGCTTCCCGGTAGAGATAGAGACACCCAGTGGAACCAGAAAAGTTTCTATCCCTTCAAGCATAGCATAATAGCGAGCCCGAAACGTCGGAAGAACTTTGGCCTCAAGATGCTTGCGCAACAACCCAGACTCGAGTACCTCATGGACAAATGAAGCAGTCATGTGTGCGGGACAGCCTCCAGATCTGGTTGCACCCACTTGGGACAGTGCAAGCGTGAACGCAGGGGTCGCTTCTGCCCAGCCTACTCGTACACCCGGTGCTATGATCTTCGAGAACGAACCATTGCTCATAGCATTACCCCATTCATCTTTGGGGCCTCCTTCAAGGGTGCGATCGATGTCGACAATTCGCGGCGGTACGTCACCGAGATTCTCATAGCTTCCGTCCTTATCCGCTGGCCAGCGTAGTATGTCGTACACATCGTCGGTGACCACAAGGGCGTCAAATTCTCGTGCTAGGCGAATGAGTTGCTGCCTTCGCCGAAGCGACATGGTCTTCGCGCTTGGGTTTGAGAACGTCGGAACGCAATAGATGATGTGTCGATAAAGCTTCTTGTATCTTTCCCCCGTCTTTCGCATTGATGGATCGGGTATTGTCGATTTATCCGCGTCCGCGAGACTTTGTCGTAAGAACTCTACATCCAGCCCTTCATCGTCCTCTGGCACACCCTTCATCATCCCCTGGAACCCGTTGTCCATGAAGATAGGACAGGCCAGAAAGTAGCATGGTTCAACCATCCATATGTTTCGTGTGTAGCCTGGCTCGGTGAAGCGTGCAAGAACGTTATCCAAGTTTCCCGACGCCCCGTTCGTGACACAGATGCGGTCAAACGAAAGCTCCGAACCGCGTCCGTACGTGGAAGTGAGCCATGCTGCGATACTGCGCCGAAGTGGTTCGTAGCCAGCGTCTGGGCCGTAGATGAGTGAGGCTGCGGTTTTTGCTTGCGAGTTGAGTACGCCTGTCGCGCCGTCGAGAAGTTGAGGCGATGGAAAGAGTGACGGCGACGGCCACCCCAATTGCAGGTTGATACTTTGGGCCATGTCGATTGGTTCTAGATGCGACAACGAAGATGTGTTCTTACAGGCACATCACGACGACTCTGCTATGAACGGCAGTCGAATCATTTTTGCGGCCTCGGCATGCGCGTTGCAAACCCATGCTAATGATCGCGTAGCCACTCAGCATATGGTGGAGAGCATGATATCGACCCCTGCCATTCTTTCGGACTGTGGGCCCCGATGGAGAGGAACGTCGGAACTTCGAAGGATTCACTGAGGGGTTCATTCGTGCCGCGCTAGTCGTGTATTAGCGTGTTTCTTGGGAAGGGATCGGCAATCGCGCGTCATCCTCATTCTGCCCGGATGCGCAGCAACTCCACCTTCAACGCGACACGATAGGCATTACAAACCCGCAGTGCCATGCCTTCGGAACGTTATGCCCTGCGGTATCGGTGTCGTTACAGCCAATGGCGTGTAACGAGCCAGGTGACCAGGCGTGGCCTGTTGGGCGTCTTCATACCTTGATCTATCCACTGGCACGAGAGTGGTTTACTTCACCTGGTAGCTATAGGGACATACAAGAGCTTTTGACTGCCGAAAACTGCATTTTAAATCTGTCTCGTTACATTTTTCTCCAGATTTCCCACCAAATATGCCGTTCGTTGAGCAACCGCTGCAGGGCGCAGGCATTCGTATCGCTATAGATCGCGGTGGTACCTTCACAGACTGCTTAGGTATCATACCAGGGAGGCCAGATGTACTCGTCAAACTTTTGAGTAACGATCCGACGAACTATACCGATGCACCTACAGAGGGCATACGCCGGATACTCGAGCAGGCCTTGAATGTATCCATACCACGCGGCGGTAAGATTGACACCAGCAACATCGAATCGATCAAGATGGGAACTACAGTCGCGACAAACGCTTTGTTGGAACGAAATTCCACAAAATGCGCGTTGGTCGTCACTAAGGGATTTAGAGATCTGCTACGCATAGGTGATCAGACCAGACCGAAGTTGTTTGATCTCAATATCCGAAGGCCTGAGACCTTGTTCGATGATGTACTGGAGATTGACGAGCGAGTTACGCTTCACGATTCAACCGAGGATAAATCAACACTACGAGACCCCAACCGCAACTCCTATAACCTGGAAAGGGGGGTTGGAGGTGAGGCCATTCGCATCCTGCGACCGATTGGTCAGTAACCCGATGTGAAAGCAACTTCCTCGCTGAAACTTAAGCAGATAGCACACACGCCCGCGAAGGTCTCCAGGCCCTATTCGACAAAGGCGTGCGGTCCTTGGCGATAACGCTTATCAACAGCTATACTTTCCCGAACCACGAGCTTCAAGTTGCCGATATTGCCAAAGATATCGGCTTCACGCAAATATCAGTCTCATCACAGATCTTTCCGATGATCAGAGCCATCTCGAGAGGCTACTCAGCAACAGCAGACGCGTACCTTACGCCTTTGACGCGCAATTACATCGACGGCTTTCGCGAAGGTTTTGTAGGTGGCCTGGAAGATACGAAGGGTGCTCGTTGCGAGTTCATGCAAAGTGACGGAGGACTAGTGGGATGGCAGCACTTCAGCGGTCTCAAAGCCATCCTGTCAGGCCCGGCTGGAGGTGTTGTTGGCTTCAGCAAGACGTGTTTCGATACCCAGCGGAAGAAGCCAGTGATAGGGTTTGACAGTAAGTCTAAAGCTTGCGAAACATGTCGGAAGTATGCTAACGCTTACGCAGTGGGCGGCACCAGCACTGATGTTTCGCGGTATGCGGGAACACTGGAGCACACCTTCGAGTCTATCACCGCTGGTGTGACGATTCAATCCCCACAGCTAGAGATTGATACTGTTGCTGCCGGTAAGTAGCATTCGAGATCTTAGATTTGAATAGCTGCTAAGGTTCCCAGGCGGTGGAAGCATACTTTCTTATCGCAACGGTCTCTTCCTAGCTGGCCCCGAATCAGCAAGTGCACACCCAGGCCCAGCGGCTTATCGTAAAGGTGGGCCTTTGACGGTTACAGATGCAAATCTTGTCTTGGGACGTTTGCAGGCGGAGTACTTTCCAAAGATCTTTGGCAAGTACGAGAACGAACCTCTGGACTATGAAGGTGCAAAGCGAGCCTTTGAAGAGTTACTCGTCACGGTCAATTCGGATTTATCACAGACTAACGGAAAGACGAAAACTGTTGAGGAACTTGCCCTTGGGTTCTTGGAGGTTGCGAATGAGACAATGTGTCGACCCATCCGCTCGCTCACTGAAGCCAAGGGACACCGGACGTCGGATCATGATCTTGCGGTCTTTGGTGGTGCGGGTGGACAAGCTGCCTGCGCCATTGCTGCCAACCTGGGAATCGACCGCATTCTGATTCATCGCTATTCTTCTATCTTGTCAGCATACGGCATGGCACTGGCAGACGTCGTTCGCGATGTTCAAGAGCCATGCTCAGTATTGCTGAAGTCTTCCCTGGATGAGCTTGACGACAGGCTGTCTTCGCTGGAGAAGAATGCGGCTGAACAATTGGCCAACGATGGATTTTCTGGTCAAACGATCGGTTTCGAGCACTTTCTCAACCTCCGCTATGAAGGATCAGACACAACCTTCATGGTCTCACGGCCTGATCAAGGAACGTGGGATGATGCTTTCGTAGCTGAGCACAAACGCCAATTTTCCTTCATCATGCCCGGACGAGATATCCTCGTCGAGAACGTGCGAGTCCGAGCAACGGCCCGGAGCCCATCAGTCGAACCAGAATTCAACCTTGATCAACAGCTCACTGCCTGCTCCTCATCTGCTGTGTCGGCAAAGAAGATTTCGGATCACGTCCCTGTCTTCTTCGAGAATGGCTGGACTACTTCTCCTTTGTATCACTTGACGAAATTGGCCAGAGGTGATATCATCGACGGGCCAGCTATCATCCTGGATAACACACAGACGATCGTGGTTGCTCCAAGCTCCAAGGCAACTATCCTGGACCGCCATGTCATGATTGAGCTTGATCGAACGACTACCCTATCAGGTAACGAAGCTGCTGTGACACGTACTGTTGATCCAGTCGAGCTTTCCGTGATGGCTCATCGCTTCATGAGTATCGCTGAACAGATGGGTCTAGCACTACAGAAGACTAGTGTTTCAGTCAACATCAAGGAACGTCTTGACTTCAGCTGCGCGCTCTTCAGCCCCGAAGGTCGTCTTGTAGCCAACGCTCCACATGTGCCAGTTCACCTTGGTTCAATGGAGCAGGCAGTCATGTACCAGCACAATAAGTATCTAGGCCAGCTACGACCAGGCGACGTCATTGTTGCTAACCACCCCATATCCGGGGGCACACATCTTCCGGACATAACATGCGTGACCCCTGTTTTCGACGATGCAGGCAAGACCATCATCTTCTACACGGCTTCAAGGGGCCATCACCAAGAGATTGGTGGAATACTTCCAGGCTCAATGCCAGCCGGCAGCGTCGAACTACACGAAGAGGGTGCCATGATCGTCTCAGAATACCTCGTTCGTGATGGAGTCTTCGATGAAGAACTAGTTACGAGGGTACTACTCCACGACCCCGCCCAATACCCAGGGTGCTCAGGAACACGTAAGCTCGCCGATAACATCAATGACCTCAAAGCGCAGGTCTCTGCGAACGCCAAAGGCGCAGCACTCGTGGCTGACCTCATCGCTGAACGAGGTCTGTCTACCGTACATCTGAACATGCACGCAATCACCGCCAACGCCGAGTCCTGCGTACGCGAATTCATGAAGCGTACGTATCAACAAACTGCTGGCAAGCCGCTTGTAGCACTCGACTTGATGGATGATGGCACACCCATCAAGCTCGCCATAACCATCAACCCAGACAACGGATCCGCACACTTTGACTTCACGGGTACAGGCGAAGAGGGTTACCACAGTTTCAACGCCCCGCAAGCAATCGCAAGGTCCGCTACACTCTACGTCCTCCGCTGCCTCATCAACCAAGACATTCCCCTCAATGAAGGCTGCCTCCGTCCTCTCACCTTCACAATTCCAGAAGGAAGCATCCTGAACCCCTCACCATACGCCGCTGTTTGCGCAGGTAACCCAATCACATCCCAACGCGTCACCGATGTGGTCATCCGCGCATTTGAAGCCTGTGCCGCCAGCCAAGGTGACTGCAACGTCTTCTCGTTTGGTATAAACGGCGACCACGACGACAATGGCACACCCATCCCTAACTCCGGTTTCGGCTTCGGAGAAACGATATGTGGAGGCAGTGGCGCTGGTCCAGGCTGGCACGGCACTTCAGGCGTACACATCCACATGACTAACACGCGTATCACGGATCCAGAGTTACTCGAGAAGCGTTACCCTGTGCTTCTTCGCGAGTTCAGTATACGGGATGGGTCGGGTGGACAAGGGCAGTGGAATGGTGGAAACGGGATCCGTCGTGTGTATGAGTTTTACCGTGATATGAATGCTTCGATTGTTAGTGAGAGGCGGGTCACTAGGCCGTATGGTATGCTTGGTGGTGAGGATGGGAGTAGTGGGGTGAACTATATTGTCAAGAAGATTGGTGGGCGGTGGTGTAGGCTGGGTGGACGGAAGGACTTTGCTGTACAGAAGGGAGATTGCTTTGTTATTGATACACCTGGTGGGGGCGGATGGGGAGTAAGGGACGAGGACGAGACTGGGGAAGCGGGAAGTGCACAGAGATCGGCTGTGGAACGGAGGTTTGTCAGCCAGTTTCAGTTGGCGCAGGAAGTTAGCAACTAGATGTGCTATATGTTATCTCTAAAAAATGCATTGTAGATAATTACACAACTTCATTGCGTTTCTCGGATTCCTTACGATAGTCTCACCATGCGCTCTCTCTGGCCAGTACATCCCAGCCGACAAGTCGCCAAATCTCCTCTTTATACCAAGTCCCCACATCTTTATCGTCGATCTTAGCCACATTTTGTAAGGCGCTTAGCCGCATGGCTGGCAACGGCTTCGTGAGAACGTCCAGAAACTCATCATTCGTGTTGTTTCCATACATACATGCAACGAGTGTTCGCTGCAAGCGATCTTTTGCCAGCGAGCTTAGCCGAGCCCGTGTGCTCGTGGCGGGAGTCTTAATGCTCAATGTACGAACCGGACGATTTGACGTCTGGCCTGGGCGAGCATTCTGAGGGTTCATATGGTTTGGAGCTAGCCCCATAGCGCGCTCAAGTATCAAGACAAGAGCTTTGACCTCAAGGCGGGTTCCAAGAGCATCGGCATCTTGTTTCGTTTCCTCCGTTTCATCTCTCGGCTCAAGCGGCGGGAAGATGTTGCCATCAATGGACGTACTGCGGTGTTGCCCAAATGTGAAGTAATACAATCTCTTGCCAACACGTTCAAACAAAACGAAGATAAAGCCATCGAAAATCTTCTGATGCACGGGATCCGTTTTCTCAAGGAACCCCAGGAAACTAATCAGCAGGTGGGCGACTGCTCTGGCCGGCGGCGACTCCTTGATGATAGAAGGCGGCGTCTTGGTTTTGGTCTTCTTTGGCGAAGGTGGCTGCGATAAGAAGTTTTGCGCTGTTTTTCTCGCTGACAGTTCGATTGATTGCAATGCAGCTTTGAACATATCTGCCACCTCGCAGACGATCAAACTCGTGAGTCGTGTGTCTGCGTTGGCCTCCATGAGCTTGTTTGTACCGACAAGTAATGACATGAAAGCTCTTGCGCAGACGGATAGGGCGATGGCAAAGTCGGATTTGTCTTGATCCAACGACATGGCTTCCAGTGTCCTTTGCCCTTGACGCGACAGTTGATCGTAGTTCTGAGCGACTACGCATATGATCTTGCCGATACCCGAAGAAACTTTCACTAGATTGTGGCAAAGTGTGTCGGTGTCCGGCTGGTCACTCCTGCATAGCGAGTGTGTAGTATACAACGCTTCTGTGAGGTTCGAGCCGTCTTTACCGAGCACATTCAAGAAATCCATATCATTCTGGATGGTCTCCTGGGCAGCAGCGGCCGGTTGTAGACACTGTCTCTGTGCTTGTCTCGATGGCTTTGATCTCTTTGGCGATACAGTCGGCGCTTTGAGCATGCTTGGATAAATATCTGGAAAAGGGACGGAGATGTTCGATAGTAGGTGGTTTGATCGCTCGAGTTTGATGTTGACGCCCCGAAGCCTGCCGCATTCGTCCTCAGCTTGTTGACATCGCTCTTTCCAGTAGGCGACCTGATCAATGTGGCATTTGGCATTGTCTCGTTCCCTCGGGTCTGGGCCAGGCCTGATTTGAGCACGCAGTTGCAGGATATAGTCTAACAACGTTAGAAGGTGTGCATGATCTGGGTAGTAGGAAATGACCTCGTATCTGTATGCCCGCCGGCTTACTGCGAACGATAGCAAGGGCAAGCGCTATCTGCTGATGAGACGGAAAAGTCGGAAAGGAAGGTGCGTTCTGCGTCATGACAGGCGTGATAACGGATGAGCAGGGGGACAAGCGTAAGTGAGAGACGACGAAGCGACGATTGGAGATATGTTGGTGGCGATTGCTGCGGTCGTCAAGAAAACAGCCAGAAAGTAGCAAGGCATAGCATGTCCGGCAGAAGAAAGAAGGGTCGAGCTCCAAGCGCGCGTGTGTGAGGCAAGGAAGGAAGCATCACCGTACGTGAGGTTGGAAAGAGCGGCCACCGTCAAAGGCAGCCATTTCACAACATCCCATGAGAACAGTCTGGGCTCGAATTCAGTGCTATCGCTTCATTGTCGCATTTCAGTGCTCTTGTTGTACATGTTATGCTGACAGCTTGAACTTGCAGCTGTCAGGTCATCGTATTGTACATATGGCTTGCATGACTACATGCACTCACCACGTGCAACCTCATCCGCCTCACCGCATGCGCTCAGTGCGCCTCTTGTAGGGCAGTGGCTCCACTCTCTTCCTCTTGAACTCTACAGCGATCTGATCCTTCAGACCATTACGCTCCATGACACCGGCCATGCTCTCGTCCCACTTCGTCCTGAACAACGTAGCGGTAATTGCGCTCAGTTTGTTCGAATCGGCAAAGCTACGGAGATTGAAACCCATTCGCTTGGCCTTGCTGACCTTGGTGACATCGAGCGGCTGGTTGTCCTGCTGCTCGAAGACAAAGATACCTAGGCGGTGGTAAGGCGCTCCTTTGTGGGCCCAGGGTGCTAACCAGGGTAGTGCAATCTTCTTGGCACTGAGATCCTCTGTCTTTTGGTCCTCTTGGGCGATACGCTGGAGTGGTATCGAGGTGCTGTTAGGCGAGATGGAGATGTTGGAGGCGATTAAGTGGCATCGGTAGGTGAAGCTGTCCTTCTCTGGGACTGGCACATCTGCGTCTACGACCACTACAGTGACGAGCTTCTCACCGGGTGTGAAAGTTTGAACATTGAGTCGAGGCATTTTTTCGCTGATGACGGAGTCTACGAAGTCACCGGGTGCGACTGGCTTTCGTCCAAAGCCAAGATCGATGTCTGCGACCAAGTCGAGAGACGGGAGAAGATCGGGGATTATGGCAAGTTGCGTAACGCGTTGTTCGAGCACGAGACGCTTGTACTGGCGCCATTTCCGATCGGCAAGATAGCGGTAGATGGGCTTGTTCATGTCACCTTCGCAAGTCAGTCATGTCGGCAGAGAGCATATTCGCACAACGTACCCTGCCCGTCCTCGAACTTCCGCTTTACAACTGGGTCGTTGATGTCTGCCAGAATGATCAGGTCATTTAGGTGCTTCCTCATGCTCCGCAATCTGTGCTCCTTGGCTGCTAAGCCTCCACTGATGCTTGCATCTTGCGCCATCAGGTTCTTTATCCGCACCTGCTGAGCCTGGATTTCCTTAATCTTCTCCTGCCTGTCTTCCAACAGAACCTTCCTCGCTTCTTGGAAACATTGGTACGGCAGCTGTTCGAATGGGACCTCGTCGGTCTTTTGCAAGGTCGATCGACGAAGAGCGGCACGGCGACGACGGGATCCAACGGGTTGCACATGTTCTCTCCGCAGCAATCGGCGCTCCTGCTTCTTGTTCTCCACCATCTGGGGGTCTAGCGTGCCCCATTTCTGCATGTATTCCGGGGTATCTTGGGACCCAGCCTTTTGAGCAGCGCCTTCCGGAGGGTTCGACGGCGGTGGAGGGGGAGTCGCATTCGTGGGTTGTGTCTGCACCTCTTCACGGGCGGCCGCCGAGGTGGAGAGGAGTCGGCGGGTGCCATTGGCGCTTGGTAAATGTCGCACGCATCTCAGACACGCGCTGAATTGGCGCAGGGTGGGCGTGGAGGCCATGGTGTTGATGGCGTCGACAATGTTCAAGAGCGATGGTGCCGCTGGAAAATGTGGTGATGATCACACTAGCGCTTTTCGTAGACCTCCGCCTCCAACTCCGACAACTAGAACAATTGAACCACGACGACCGGCATGGCTTCCACGAGGATATCCGCGCCCATGCGTGGCGCCACACACCAATTGAGAAGGCTGTCGGTGCGGCCAAATGCGCTATGCACGCGCTGTGCCGTGAGTTACTTCGCCGTCACTGTATGCGACATGCTAACGCTGTCAAGAAATCTCTATGCACGCCCACTACCCGCTCAATCACCACATCTGCGCCCTCTCAGGCGACGCTAGCTTCCATAACGAACCCCAAATCCGGATACGTGCCCGTCAAACCTCTGGAAGAGCAGTCTGTGCTTGCGACTATCCACCGATTCCCCTCCCTCGAACCGCTCCGATTCGAACAATATCCCGCAAACCATCTCTACCTACCCACCCGACGAGACATATTACACCGCGCGGTTGTTTACGAGGGCGATAGTACACGGTTAGGTACTGCATCTACAAAGACCAGGCATGAAATCAGAGGTTCTGCCAGGAAGGTTAGACCGCAAAAGGGAACGGGTCGCGCTCGTCTGGGAGACAAGAAGTCGCCCATGTTGAGGGGTGGAGGTGTCGCATTTGGTCCTAAGCCTCGCGACTTCGCAACTGAGCTGCCCAAGAAGATCTACGATCTCGCATGGCGGACAGCACTGTCATACCGGTTCCGAAAAGGCGAGCTGATTATTGTGGACAACGCAATGGAGATTGAGAGCCCGTCTGTGAGGTTACTAGGCGACACCCTCAAGTACCACGAGAAGTTGCTGGGCAGGGGCAGGAGCTTGATGGTAACACTAGAAGAGCGACCCTTACTAGAGCAAGCATTGGTGGAGATGGATCGCGGCCAGCAGACACTCACATGGGAGGAAGTCGACGTCAAGAACCTTCTCGAGCTGTCCCGCGTCATCATCGAGCGCGACGCCCTGCACAACATACTCCTTTCACACGAGGAAGACCTCACACACAAGGCTCTCCAGCCGTGGCACAAGAGCCTCATCCGATCATCGCCACCCACGGAGCTCGAAACGACCATAGGCTGGGAAGAGTTTCGCGAACTCTCCCTCTCCGATCCCAAGGAAAAGGACACCATTCGTGCTGACATCTACGAGAACGTAGCAGGAACCCGCTACGCCTACGCTGAGTCTCTCCCCCAAGGACAAAAGCGCAACGAGCTTACCATATCCGCCTACAACCTCCTCGCCGAAGCCAAAGAACTGCAATTCGCTGAAAGGACCGGCCACTCTTTCGCCGACTATCTCAACGACTCCAACACTGAACTCTTCCCTCGTCTGCAGATGTTGACCTACCAAATCAACACAAAACAAGATCTCGCCGGGCCCGGCGGGACTCTGGAAACCTCGCCCGTAAAATCTGAAGAACTCATGATCGAGGTTCGTGAGCTCGAAGTGCAGAAACATGAGGTAGAGTACGAAGCCGCACTGCTCGCAGCCCAAATTCACGAGCACCGCTCCGCAGCGTTGCGTCTAGCCGGTAATGAAGCGAGCGCGGATGAGCAGCTCGAATTGGCTAGTGATCAGAGGACCTATGTCTCAGACGCCGAGCTGTTAATCCTGGAGGCTAAGCTTGAAGTAGCCAAGCAGAAGAACGCTGTCGCTACGCTCAAGCGCGATGTTCCCGGCCAGAAGAAAACGAGGGAAGAGATAAGGGTGTGTGAGGAGGTGCTTGAGGCCAAAAGGGCGGAGGTGGCTGCTGAGACTGCGGAGCTCGAGGCTATTGAGGATGAGGTGCAGGAAGTGGATGTTGCGACGGGAGTGGAGACGAGGGCTGAGTCAGTCAAGGAGGAGAAGAGGATATGAAACTTTTCGTCGTGTTTACTGTAAAGTGTATCTATAGATGTTCATGAATCGTTACACCATGTGTAGGTGGGTTGTGTTGTACAGTATACTACATGGCATGAAAACTGCTCACGTGCTTTCTCCGGCCCTCCGTTCCCGCATGTTTCATCTTCATCCCCGTCGTCCGCGGCTCGGCGTTCGCCTCGGGAGCGCGTGGCAAGGGTTTCCCTAGGTTTGCTTGTCCAATTCATCTCAAAGCTCTCTCAAGCCGCCTCATCATCACCCTCCTTCTTCTCCACCTTCTTGCCTTCATACACAACCGTCATAATTCCGCCAACCTCCCCCTCCCTCTTAGTCTCCCTAGCTCCCTTACAATCAGCCACCGCGTTCTCAATGGCCTTGAAAACCGCATTCGCTTCTTCCGGTGTCGCTTTTCTGCCATGCTTCTTCGGCCCGAGTGTAACCTCGACTTTGCGCCCCTCCTTCAGAAACTTTTTCATAGCCACCAGCCTGTGCTTTAGGTCGCCCGCCGCTATCGCCCAGTTCAGTTCTAGGGATTTTGTAGCAGGTCCTGCGCCCTGGCCCTTGGCTTGCCGTCGTAGCGTCTCGAGTTTCTTTTGGTGTTGTGCGCGGAGATCGATTTTGGAAATGACGCGGCATGTTGGTAGGCTGTTCGGGTCTAGGTTGCCATCTTCGTTGTATTTCCCTGGCGTCATTTGTACGAGGTGGTGGGTGACTTTGTTGAAACTTATCAGTGCCTCGTCGAGTGGGACGTTGTTGTGGAAAACGCCCTCTTCGTCTACGAGGTTTATGAGGTCGGCTTCGATGGCTTGGTCGATGACGTAGTAGTCGGAGATGGCATGGCGGCGTGTGTCTTTTGTGTATTTTATGCCGCGGGTTGAAGTTCGGCTCGTAAGGCTGGGTGTCGACGAGGAGAGGGAGGTGGGAGACGATGTCGGCGCAAATGCTGGGGCGTAGAGAAGTGGGATGGAGGTTGTGTTGCGTAGGTTTGGAGCGATGAAGACGCGGTAGAGGGCCCGTGAGGTGCCGGAAATGTGTGTTGGTGGCATCTTGAGCAGTTGACAGCGAGTCGTAAGAATCAATTGAACGGGAGAGAAGTTTGACTTTGTTGCTGCATATGCGACATTCAAGACCGAAGCTTCCCGAGACCGACGCTAGCAGGGGTCAAGTCGAATCGGAGCAGTGACGACCTCCGCAATCGTCCTTGGTGACCATCCTCAGCCTGCTCATGTAGCAAACCATCATGATAGCGATAAAGACGACTTGTACATCTCTTGATCTCGCGCAACCTTACCTACCGCCATGAGTAATTCTCTGGCGGAATATTTGTCTGCACTCGATGCGCGTGACACGAGAGAGAAGGCGCATGAGCAGTACATCAACGCCTGTATGTTATCTGCCCATGCGAGACGCGCAGTGCTACGAGAAGATGCTGATATCAGCAGACACCAGGCTCGCCGACAATACTGCGCAGTTGTCAACCCAGACATCCTCCGCGGAGGAGCCCGCACCCGCAGCCAGCGCATCCACCAAAGCCATCCCGTCAAAGGGCAGAGGCGCAGCGACAACTGATGTCTCTTCCCCGTCCGCTGTCGCGCAACTCCGCTCCGAACTTGCCATCACTCAGCGCACGCGCGGTGACCTCGAGACACAACTGGGTAGTCTTACTGCCGAGCTCAGCGCCCTCAAAGCCTCAGACACGCAACAGAAGCAGCGCATAGAACAACTTGAGAAGGCGCGAACAGCACTGGAAAGGCGGGGCAAGGACAGAGCCGAGGAGCTTAAGGGCAAGGGGAGACTTGTAGAGGAGGTGCACGATGAGATGGTTGCGCTGAACCTGCAACTCAACATGGCGGAGCAGGAAAAGGAGAAGCTGCGCAAAGAGAACGAGGAGTTGACGAAGCGATGGGTCAAGAAGATGGAGGACGAGGCGCGGAAGATGAATGAGAAGTCAGGGTGGGAAGATCAGTCGCGGCGGAAGAAGTAGCGATGATGGACCACCCTGGCGTCACTGTTATTCCATTCTGCTGGCCCTATGCGATATCAATCTCAGCGTTTAGCGCAATAGACTGTTTTCACTTCGTCTCACCCTCTTGTGGACTGCCTGCTTGCTCGCTGATGCCTTGTATCTCTTGGCGCTAGAGCTCCCCGCCCCGAGCATACAGCTCCGTCGCCTCCCCACCAAAACACCAAACTCACCCAAACAAACCTACGCTGTCTTCAACCATGGGGACCGCATTGAAGACCTGGGGTAAGTTTGACTGCGCTTGCATTCATACCATGTCTACGTTTATGCTACGATACCCCGCATACTATCGCATGGCTGACAAACATTCCAGAGCTCGAGAACTCCGTCAAGCTCGTCGACCCCAGCAAAGACGCCCTCTACAATTACTCGGCCTCCGCCCAAAAAGCTATCAACGACGCACACCCATGGCGAACCGACCCCAACTACTTCACCTCAGTCCGCATCTCGGCCATCGCCCTCCTCAAGATGGTCATGCACGCACGCTCGGGCGGCTCAATCGAAGTCATGGGCTTAATGCTAGGCAAGATTGAAGCACACACGTTCGTCGTCACCGACGCATTCCGGTTACCAGTCGAAGGAACAGAGACACGAGTCAACGCACAAGACGAGGCAAACGAGTACATGGTAGAATTCCTGCAGCGCGCACGAGAACAAGGACAGATGGAGAACGCCGTCGGCTGGTACCACTCACATCCCGGCTACGGCTGCTGGCTCTCCGGCATCGACGTAAACACACAGAAGACGCAGCAAATGTTCCAAGACCCCTTCTGCGCCATCGTGATCGACCCCGACCGGACCGTCTCCGCCGGTAAAGTCGAAATCGGCGCCTTCCGCACATACTCAACAGAGTATGTCGAGAACCAAGCGAAAGCGGGTGGCGGCTCCAAGAACGTGAGCGGCGCCGAGAGCGACGGCTTCGAGACTATTCCGTTGGGCAAGATTGAGGATTTCGGTGCACATGCCAACCACTACTACTCCCTAGAGGTCTCGCACTACAAGTCCTCGCTCGACGCCAAGTTGCTAGAAGCGCTGTGGAACAAGTACTGGGTACAAACGCTCTCCTCCTCACCCCTCATCTCCAACCGCGACTACGGTACCAAGCAGATCTCGGACCTCGCCCGCAAAATGCAGCAAGAGAACAACAGCAGCAAGCGCTTCAAGGGCGGAGCCGGATACGCGACGAACAACGAGAGCAAGAACCAGTTGACCAAGCTGGGTGCGGCTGGTAGCAAGATTGCGCGTGAAGAGGATATGGGACTGCTAGCGGCGAAGGTCAAGGATAAGGTGTTTGGTCTTGCGGGTGACGGGGAGGTTAAGAGTCAGGAAGTCGAGATGGAGACTTCTTAGATAAGGGAAGGTAACGAACTGTGGAAAACATGGTATGGCATGGCAAGGCGTTGAAGGCGTACATGGAATAGATCAACGGAATGGGATGATATCACGAATTGAAATCAATGAGTTCATCGTAGCAATTCATGAATACTGACACCTCATACAAGGAAGGATCCAAACAGGCCCGCAGCCTACACTAGGCCAACAATAAGCAAAGAAGGAAATGTAGCGTCAATACAGGCTTCACGGTGTTCAGTGATCTCCTTGGATGGGGTGCTGACACATACAGTCATGGCTCGTTTCTTCTACACTATTGTTACACTTCCGCAATTACACATCCTTCTAATTGACCAACAATCCCAGCCTTTTTAGCGTCTCCGTCCTGCCTAGAATAACAAAGATATCGTACAACCTCATGCCCTGCTCCTGCCCCGTAACCGTCTTCCTCAGATAATGATACACATCCTTCGCCCCCTTCTTCCCCTCAGGCCTCCCATCAATCATCTCGTGCACCTTTTGCATCAAATTCTCTTTATTCCAGTCCTTCTCTTCAACCTGCGCTAGCATCTGCGCGCGCATGGGTATATCGGATGTAGTCGACATGGGCGGCTGTTTGTCGAAAGGACGCAAGGGCGTGAAGAAGAAGGAGTTGCGGTACAGGAATTCGTTCGCGTTTGTGTAGTTTTCAGCATCGGCGGTTATGATGGATCGGATGTAGTCGTCGGGGAAGGGGCTTCCGATTATTGACTTCCAGTCTTGGTAAGGGGAGTCGGGGGAGATGAGCAGTTTGGAGACGTTGCGGACCATTTCTTCGAGGGGTGGGCCGCCGGTCGAAGCGCGTTGGAAGGCGTGCTTGCGTTGGAGGAACTGCATTTTGCCGAATGTGACGGTGGTATTGCCTTTTGTGAATTTGAGGCTGAAGTTATCAATAAGTGTCTTCAAGTCCATGACATCACTCTTTTCCTTGTGGCTCCATCCCAGCAACGCGGCGAAATTTGTGAGAGTCTCGGGGAAGATTTCCATCTCTTTGAAGGCGGTGATGTCGGTATCGAAGTTTCGCTTGCTGAGCTTGTTACCGTTCTCGTCGACGAGGAGGCCGACGTGGGCGAACTCTGGGGGCGTCCAACCAAAGGCTTGGTACATGGCGATGTGCTTGGGGGTGCTGGGCATCCATTCGCTTCCTCGGATAACGTGCGTGATCTTCATGAGGTGGTCGTCTACTACGTTGGCGAGATGGTATGTAGGGAGGCCGTCGGACTTAAGGAGAATTGGGTCTTCATATGCGGATTCGGTGACATGGCCGCGTCTTTTGAGAGGCCTGAAGGTGCCATAGATGCGGTCTTTGTATGTCGGGTACTGGTCTGGGACTTTGAGACGTATGGTGTGCGGTTCGCCCTTGTGCGCTCTCTCGTCACTCTCTTCCTTGGATATCGCGGGCGGGGCGCATGTACGGTCGTAGTCAGTTGCGATGCCGAGCTTGTGTCTATGTTCCGCCAACGCATTCAAGCGCTCGGAAGAACAGAAACAGCGATATGCATGTCCTGACTCTAGAAGTTGGTGCGCGTATTCCCTGTATATCGCGCTCCTCTCTGACTGTTTGTATGGTCCATACGGTCCTCCGACCTCTGGCCCTTCATCCCATTGCAGTCCTGCCCATCGTAGATCGTCGAACAGTCGCTGCTCGGCGTCGGGTATTGTGCGTTTCTGGTCTGTGTCTTCTATCCGGAGTAGGAATTGACCGCCTGTCCGTTTCGCGAGGAGATAATTAAACAGCGCCGTCCGGAGCGATCCAAGATGGAGGTAGCCGGTTGGTGAAGGCGCAAAACGCGTCCGTGCGGGAAATGTTGGTACGGCGGCCTTTGCATCGGTTTTAGCACTATTCTCTTTGGCGTAGTACGTGTTCGAAGATATCGGACGTCGTGAAGCGCGAGATAGGCGGATTAGACATGACCGGCACGTGTATTGCGACAGTTGTGGGCGGAGTAAGGAGAACGACATGGCGGTGTTGATGCGACGCAAAGGGTTCGAGTTCGCGGGTGAAAATGACGTGCAGGGATTCGACGTTAGTGGGGGCGCCTGCTAACAATTTGGCCCGCATTACCTGCCTGTGATCGACAAATCTGGAGAAACTTTGTTGCCTTCACTCCCACTGGACGAGGCCCTTTACGTTGCTGTGCCTCGCTTTGTTCTTGTACATACTTTGGACCAGTTTGTCTTGTTACCACTTACCCACTCCTAACCCAACAACGCCACAAGAGTTTGTAATCTTAGTCTACTACGACACCACTCTCACTAACACAATGCCACCTCCAGTGGATGAAGAAATCGACCTCTACGGTAAGCATACCCGCCTGAGCGCTTAGATCATTACTAACGCGAGCAGAGGTCCTCGAGATCGAAAAGGGCGCGAGCAAGATTGAGATCAAAAAGGCATACCACAAGGTCCGTGAGCAACAACAACGCGAGTACGACCTCATCTCTGACAAGCGTAGGCTGCGCTAGCACATCACCCCGACAAGGTCGCAGAAGATGACCGCGCAGAGGCCGAGACTCGCTTCAAGGCCGCGAAGCAAGCGTACGAAATACTCTCCGACGATGACAAGCGACACATGTACGATACCCACGGCATGGCTGCCTTCGACCCGTCCCGAGGCGGTATGGGCGGCGAAGGCCCGGACATCGACGACATCTTTGCGCAAATGTTCGGCGGAATGGGCGGATTTGGCGGAATGCCTGGAATGGGCGGCATGGGAGGCATGCCCGGTGGAAGAAACGTACCACGGAAAGGACGATCGGTAGAGCAGGAGTATGAGGTCAGCCTGGAAGAGTTGTACAAGGGCAAGACGACCAAGTTCTCTAGCACAAAGAACATCATCTGCAACATGTGCAAGGGCAGCGGAGGAAAGCAGGGCGCTAAGAGCAACTCTTGTGCTGTCTGTAACGGACGCGGTACGTCAATCTTTCATCTCGTAGTATTTAGACATACTAACTTTCCCAGGTGCCAAGCAAGTCCTCCGCCAGGTCGGCCCCGGCCTCGTCACGCAAGAGACCGTTCCGTGCGGCAACTGTTCAGGTTCTGGACAGGTCATTCCCGAGAAGCATCGCTGTAAGAAGTGCAAGGGAAAGAAGGTCGTGGAAACCCGGAACGTCCTCGAACTTTACATTCCCCGCGGTGCGCGACAAGGCGAGCGCATAGTGCTCGCAGGAGAAGCGGACCAAGTACCCGACCAGGAGCCGGGCGACATCATCTTCACGCTCACAGAGACGCCACACGATGTCTTCGAGCGCGCAGGCGCAGATCTAAGGGCTGAGCTGAAGGTCAGCTTGGTGGAAGCTCTTACAGGCTTCAACCGAGTGGTCATCACTCATCTCGACGGGCGAGGCCTCAAGCTCAACGTACAACAACCAGACGGAAACGTCCTGAGACCAGGACAGATCCTCAAGATCGAAGGCGAGGGTATGCCTATCAAGCGTAGCGACGCTCGTGGCGATCTCTACCTGGTAGTCGACGTCGAATTTCCCGAGGACGGATGGCTGAAGAACGATGCTGCGGTACAGAAGCTACGGGACGCACTACCAAAGAACGAGAAGACGGACGAAAAGCACGAAGAAGTGGAAGAGGTAGATGTCGAATGGGACGCCGACATGGAAGACTACGGCGCTGGCAGCGGAGACCCACGCGCAGGTGGCGCTGAATGGGAAGACGATGAGGAGGAGGCGGAAGGACCTCAGTGTGCGACGCAGTAGAGAGTCGCATGATATGATTGACGAATGCATGTCTTGGCGTTGGGAGGGCGACGTTCATTCCGTATTTATACACGCGCGGAGCAGTCGCAGTTCTAGACCGGCTTGTATGGCTTCTAGGGCTTATTCATTCTTCTACAGCATGCGAAAAGCGGCGCCTGCAGCTTCCCCTGGGCTCCTTCAAAGTCCGGCGCTAAAGTGAACGATTAGTCCCGAAAGAGCTGTAGATGGAAGGAGCGAAGCGTCCTCGCCTAGACCTCGGACCTGTGACCTGTTGAGCGGGTTGCCAGGTTCGTAATACGATTTGGATCTCAAGACGCTTTGTAACGTCACGAACTGTTTCCAGACAAAGTGTGAGTTGCGTGTATGACTTCTTACAGGATTAGCACAAAACTTACACATTTCACACTCCAGTCGGTCAAATCGAAACCAGTAGTTTCCAATGTCTTCATTCGACACATCACTGCTAACACTGCACAAGTCTAATCAAAGTAGGCAAGATGTGCAGGACTCAGAACAAGCGGATCAGACACGATCGCCATAAACGATCGTATCTTCGTCCCGGAAAACCACCATTCCAGCGCACACCCAGTTACTCAAATTTTACCGCTCGCGCCATCTCACATCTTCTTAACGGCGTTCATCCTACTCAAGTCAGTGGTTGCACAAATCCAATCTGAACGCAAAGCTCTTACCTCAAAGTACTGCCTGTTATCCGCAAAAGACACCCGACGTCTCCTCCTCGTATCCACTGGCTGCTGCCTCTCATTAGGCGAAAGGTATTCGTCGCCACGCCACACTCCAGCATTATTCAGTCGATACCTGTCCTCGCGTTCCGGTTGCCTGACCTTCTGCAGCGGCCGCCTAGTATCGTAAGGTAAAGAATGTGGCTCGAATCGTGACGGCCTTCGATCCAGCAATTCCTCTCTATCTTCGGATCGCGACTGCATGCAATCTCGTGAGCCCTCTCTATCTTCGTACTGCAGTCGCTGCCGGTCGTGCTCGTCAAGATCCACGATTCTTCTTCGGTCAGCTAGTTCAATCATTCTTTCTGCTTCACGCGCTGGTATCGGGAGGATAGATCCCCACTCGCCTGCTGCGTCGCAGAAGTTAACGATCTCAAGTCTTTCCGCTAGGTCATGTTAGCATAGCATGCTCATTAGATGTCCAGGTTTACTCACCATCAGTCATCTCTCTGGGTCGCTCCATCTTACTTCTCCACCGCGCTGGTTGCGACGACTGATCCGGATTCATCTGCATGAAACGCATCGGATATTCTGGCTGCTTCTTCATCCGTGAGACAATGCTATGATACGTTGCGAGGTAGTCATCCCTTCGTGCGCCTGAGATCTTGGCTAGTTCGCCGTCGTTGTGGAAGGGCGAGAGGAAGTTGACGAGCCAGATGATGTCGGCGTCGCGACCGGGATAGTACTCGAGGCTCTCGATCAGTCGCTTTGTGAGTCGTAGGGCAAACAAGCCGATGACGAGGAAGTCTGGAGCAGGCGGTGGTGGGGAAGGGCGAGGTGGTAGTCGCGGCGGTGCGGATGGGCCGCGCACGATGTCTGGAAGGGGCGAGAAAGCTGATCTGAGTTGCTGCATGTTGGTGGTGTGTCAGTGGAGGACGATAGTCTGGCAGTGAAGGTAGCAGTCTAGATTCAGCATGTTTGGTCGCGTGCTTGGCGGTAAACGGAAGTCGCGACTCGATGGCGCGGTGACGACTGTGGAAACGAAACAGCTCAATTTCTCGGCCAAGTAGCCATGTTGCTGTACCTTCTTCACATAAATGGCTTACACGTTCTTCATGGTCTTGAGTGTTTCTTGTGCCTTCAGTGAAGTTACCAAATGTGTGCAGTTCATTTTCCTACAGATTGCCCTTGACAAGAAAGGAGACAAGGACTGGAGAGGCTCTCTTGAGCTGACTACCAGAGTTTTGAGCATATGATAGTCCGTCTCTTTGCGTTATGTTGGCACTGCGTACGGTTCTCGGTTGTCAATCATGTGCACATTTGACGTGTGCTCATGGTAGTCGTCTTCGTGAATAAGACCAAATCAAAGGGAGAATGATGAACTGTATTCAGATGTGCTTCTACTAAAGCAAAACAAGATGAAAAATGTGACAAACCACACCTTCATGCTTCGCACAACGCTGGTGAGGATGATATGCACGATGACGTCACGCGTTAATTAGCACATATGAGTCGAAATGACCATTGGACGGCGAACAGTGACTCCTGCGTAACTTCCCAGATAAATATCAACAAAGTTATACTGGTATTCACGATGCAGTTCCCCGTCAACAGAGAGGTTCATTCAGGGATCAAGATAAACCGTCAAAAACTGAGCCGAATCATGGACTACCCATTTATTCCAGGAACCTCAAGGATTCCTTCCAAGGTTCTGGGGCCTGAATCAACAGAAGGGCCTCTACCCGAAGGGCTTTTGTCGCCGAAACCACCTCTTGTTGACTCAAAGTCCATATTCGCGTTCTGGCATTCTGGCATCCGAACGATCCCACCCGTCCTACTACGCAACGTCATTGCTTGGTACCGCCGCTTCTCACCACTGGGATGGACTATCTATGTCCTTGACAACGTGCCAAATTCTCCACTAAACGTAGGCAACTACATCGACACCAAGTCCACCTCGATTGTACCGGCGGCATTCATGAACGGCACCCTGGACGGGCATTATGCCGCACAACACACCTCAGACCTCATCCGCTATCCGCTCTTGTTGAAGTACGGTGGTGTGTATCTCGACGTTGGCATCCTTCAATTCGGCGACCTAAATCGTCTCTGGTCCGAACACATCTCCAACCCAGATTCGCCTTACGACTTCGCCGGCTTCACGTTGGGTTCAGATGAGCCGCAGATTGTAAACTTCTCGCTCATGTGTCGAGCGAACAATCCGCTTGTGCAACGCGCACATCATATCTTGCTCCAGGTCTGGGAAGGCAAGACCAACACAATTGGCACACATGCGCATCCAATGGTGTCACATGTCCCGCTTATGCGTGTACCACAAGAGGTTGTTGTAGAAGAAGAGGGACAGGAGAAAATGGTGATCAACGACGAAGCCATGACTGACTACGCTATTCAGATCCAATGCATGGGATCGGCGCAAGGATGGGTGGATGAAGAAGATGGATGGGACGGGCCGAAGTATGTCAGAGAGAAGTGTTGGTTGCTCAGCATGATGGACGGTGCATTTGCACACGAGCAGATGACTGGATGGAGCGGTCAGCGGCAATTTGATCTTCTGAGTCTTCAGTTACCCAAGGAGCGCGAGATTGAGACAGATGATCAAGCACTTGCGAGGCGTATCGTAGAGAAAGTAGTGGCGGACAGCTGGTGTTTGAAGCTTGGGCACGGGTTTTCGGCGAAGCTGTTCGGAGGCGACACTCTCGGTATGCTGTGGAGAAAACATCATGGCAGCGACTGCGCCAATGGGACGTATGCAGGTTGGCTGAGATGGGCAGAAGTGGGCTGTTGTCGCGACAGCGATGTGGCACCTATGAAGGTTCCTGTGTATGAGCCGACTAGGAAAGCGAAGCTTTTGCCATGAAAGGCCGAGAGACATGATGGAATGCTAAAGGCAACTTGGACAAACAATGGACTGTTCAGGATAACGCCCAGAATTTTAGTGCAAAACTATGTCATTACATAGCCGAAGCGTATCTGCCCGCCTCCCGTTCCCTTTTTCTCACGCGCACGCTTAATGCCATCCCCTCCCTTCAGGCTTTCGGAAACTTGCATATCGACTAGCAGACATCTCGTGTACAGGTGTAACTTCATGCGCCATCATCTCTGACGGCTGTCGGGATACTGGTTCTATGGTTTGCCCGTCGATCTCGCTGACAGCAGGGTTCTTTGCTCGGCGATTCCGCCTGAACAGCAGGAAGCCCATGGCTCCAAGCAGGGCCAGTCCAGCAACACCTCCCACAACACCACCTGCTATCGCACCTTTACTGGTTGCTTTCTTTTCGGCTGCTGGAGTTGGGCTCGCGGGCGTGAGGTTGGTAGGTGTGCAGATCGTGGTAGGGTTCGGCGACACGTTTTCCGCATCGGCTGCGACAGCTGGCGCAAGTTGAAACTCGCTCTTCGCGTAGTCTACTAAAAGGTAATTGAACGTCAAGAAAAGCCCTCCGAGTGTGCTATCAACATCGCCTGGATCATCCTGTCGCGTATCCGAGACGAACGCTTCGAGCGTGCTGTCATTGGTAATGGCATACCGGCCGTACTCGTCAGATCCACGTAGTGGCGCGAACAATTCCTTGTTAGGTATCCTGGACTGATAGCCGCCTGCCAATGTCACAACGAGATCGCCACCGGGACGATTCGAGACATTGTACTGCATCTTCCCCGGATATGCGGTCTCATTCTGGTCAGTAGAGTTTCCGAATGCCTGCGCAATCGCTGGAGGAAAGACGAAGCGTTGCGTCGATGGCTCAATGCAAGCAATCAGCCCATCGGTTCCGTCTGGTATGAGCGGTATATCCTGATACGTCAGGTTTGTGACCGTTACCTGCAGAGGGCAGGCCCGCTCGAGGTTCCATTCGCCGATCGGAAAAGTGGTGAAGTCGGATGCTGGGTCAACCCGCGCGCGATCATATCCTCCTACAACGAGCAGACCGTCGTGTGGATCGATGCCCCTGCTACCACTCCAAAGACCGAATACTTGAGATGGCGCGACACCACCAGCGACTGCAGCGCGGAGGAAGGAAGAGTTGGTTCCGAGAGGTAGACCAGATTGCCCACCTGCTATCAGTCAGCTTCATTCATAGCTCGTCATCCCGGATTAGACGAGACGCATTCAGGGATCCTCACCTCCCCAAACTTCACTATCCATGACCAATGGAAAGCCATCGACATTGCCATTCTCTTGAAACGCGACATCATCGTTGAAGTAGACATATGCACCGGTACTGTCTTCAGCGTCGATTTGGCTGCCATTCCACTGGCTCTTGATCGAAACAGCATACGATGTCGACTTTGGCGCATCAAAAGCACCGCCTAGACCACCAATGCAGCTGTCATTGCTCGCAGATCCGCAGTTGATAACATTATTGACGCGCGTATTGTTGAGCGTAGTCGATGGTCTAAAAGCGAAGATCTGGTGCGGAGTTCCGATACCAAGTTCAATGCCACGCGCGACACCGAGACCGTCTTGTGTGACGGTTATGTTGGACCAGGTGAGCGTAAGAGGCGGGATGTCGCATTGCGCAGCTATCAGACGAGGCTGAATAAAGATGAGGGCAGCAAGGCTGAGAGTGAAGTTACTTAGTACGCGCCATGATGGAGCCATGGCATTGAAGCGGGCTGAAGCATGTGCAGGAGAATTGACTCGTCTCACAGGAGCATCACGGTCAAGTCGGTGAGCAGAGAAGAGGAAGTAAGCAGACAATGGAACCAGCGCGCGCAACATAAGCAGGGCGCAGGTTGTGCTTCATGAGACCGACGCCCAAAGAGATTTCTCGTACTGGCATGCATCGTGATAGCAGCAGTTTTCCTGATTGGAGTAGCGTTCTAGTGGCGCAATCTATTGGTTCTGGGTAGCTGCATTGTCAGCTTGAAACGTCGGTTAATGTGCCTGCTTACATGCCGATCACTTCTATCATACCTAAGATCTGGAGGGCCAGTTCAAATGCGTCGACTCGTCTTTCCCACCCCGCTTTGTACTTCGATGTGGTGTGGAAGCCGCAGACATTTACTACAAAGGAGGGTAGCCTCCATCCTGCATAGTGAACCTCTCACTGTAACAGGCCTCAGAGCTCCGAATTTTTACCCAATCCGTCGAACGAACACAGACGCGAGGCTTAGCACGTCAGACGAGAAGACCAATTCAAGTTAGGAAGGGTAGATAACGTAACGCATCTACTTCGTCGACTACAACTCGTGGGTTTCTTCCTTTCCCGTTCGATCCAACAAGCAATGACTGTCAAAAGCTCTAAATGATCGACAGAACCGAAACATCTATACCAACTCTCTGGAATCAGATTGTTGTTGCATTTTGAAAAGACAAGCGGTCGAGGTTAGATTCACGTCCTTTAAACTTTGGAAGCGCCCGTTCGGGCTGGAGAGCCTTTTGCGGATGGCATCGCAAAGCGAAGACTTCGAGCTCGTATGCGACGGACATAAATGTGAAAAATGTAGAAAGCCGTTCCAAACTATCCACGACCTACGAGCGGACGCTGAGAGTCAGGGTCCGTTATCTCGTGTGCGATTATCTTGCGTACAATGGGCTTTAACACGACTATCCCTGGACACCGATTGGTGGGGCAACAACTACTGGGGTGCATATCGTTTCCAAGCAGTCCGAGGGCCGGCGTCGTTTGGCGTAGAATTATTTGATCTTGATGGTGCGTAAGATGGCAGGGGTCGAAGGGTACTCACTAACCCCCTCAGCGGACTCCACAGTATCAGGCAAATTACTTCCAAACTCGACTGGCTCAGATAGCTCTTTCATCGCCATTGAAAACTAGCTGGGAGAATGTGTGACGGGTCACGATCATTGCGCAAGATCCATGGTCAGTGCACCTGGCAGGTGCCGTTCAGGCACCAGATTCCTGAAAGTCGAAGAAGGTAGGCTGCTACTTCTGGAAGGCATAAGCCCTGCGCATTATGTTTGTCTCAGTCACTGCTGGGGAGACGGGGAAGGTATCATTCGGACAACGGTCACCAACTTCCATGACCACTCAGACGAAGGTATCCCCGTGAGTATACTTCCAGCGACCTTCAGAGACGCTGCGAAGATATGCCAAATCTTAGGGATCTTTTATTTGTGGATCGATAGTTTGTGTATAATTCAAGATAGCGACGAAGACTGGCGTGACCAGTCGGCAAAGATGGCTGATATCTATGCGAATGCCTTCCTCACAATCGCCGCATCCGCTTCTGAAAATTCATCAAAGGGTTTCTTTCGGACACCCGACCCGAAATTCGTCGAAGAACCACTTCCAGGCTACCCCGGAGTATATGTACGGCTTACAACGGATTCGGAGGATGACACATGGCCGCTTTTAAGGCGAGCATGGGTATTTCAGGAGCTTGTACTATCTCCCCGCGTAGTACATTTTGGTCCTAACGAGGTGATATGGCAATGTCAACAAGCAGTCGAATCCCAGAGTCGACAGTCAAACTGGGTCCTGTCAAGATCGATCGGAGAGCTAATGACGATAAATCGTACAACAAAGATCCTTCAATCTGAGAACCCGGATCTTACATACGCGTGGCACCAAATGGTGGAGTTGTACAGTAAACGGAGACTTACATACAGCAAGGATCGTTTGCCAGCAATTGCTGCGATTGCAAAGATAATGCAGTCACTACGACAGGACGATGAATACACTGCTGGGATTTGGCGATCAAGTCTTTGTATTGACATACTGTGGCACGGTCCCCGCATGCGAGCTCCATGGACCGGAAACCAACTTGCTGCAGTTAAACGGCGCATGGCTGGAAGCATACCTACTTGGTCGTGGGCATCCACAAGCACACATGTCACATGGATGGGGGCCCACGAAGTCCTTTCCACTGTTGAAGTCCTCGAAGTTCGGTACGCAGTGCATGGACCGACCGTGTCTGGTAGAGTTATTGAAGCCGCGATCACTATACGTTGCCCACGGTTGAGGTTCTGCGACATTCGGCACCAAGCGGACGGTCAAATACCGCTCAAGGACGCAATATATGAAAGCTTGTCGGCGACTTCAAGCGAAATGGCACATGACGACCCAAGATGGGATGATGTGGGCCGGGGCCGGGGCCATGACATCCCAACTCAGCTATACCTTCTTTTCCTCACTCTGAATCACGGGCCATATAAGCGATCTGGTGGTCAGTGGGCGCTGATTGTTATGGAGACAGATCAGCCAGGTCGCTACGTTCGCCTTGGTGTCGTTGAAATGCATTATGCTGGATGGTGGACTATCTGGCATCGACAAGACGAAATTGAGTATGTGACAAACAAAGATGTTGACGAGCTTATGGAGGAGTATAACACTCGTTTCATCGATATGCTTAAAGAGATGGACACACAAGTTGTAACATTACTCTAATCCCATGATGTGAGCCAGGGAGGAGGCCTTCTGCAAGGCGCTCGTTGCTTGGGATGACGGGTCGGGATGTGCATGACGAACATGGTCTGGGTCAAAGTTCCCTTTTTAGGGTGTATGTCTTTTGTTCAAAGTCTCTCTTGATTGATCGTTAAAAACGAAGGATTGATGGGGATGGGTCTCTATGTCTAGCCTCTTTTGAAGCGGAGATGTCATCAGCCAGTGCACCGCCACAACCCAAGCCGCTGAACCCCACCAAGACATCCCTACGCGTGTCCCGCCTCCAGGTCCCAGCCCAACCACTAGCTCCAGCCAACACCAGACGCCTGCACGACAATCAACAACGCCGTAAACGCAATTACCACACGTACTCAAAGATTATCGCCTACTAGACAAGATGGCGCCCACAGTCTCCTTAGTCGTACGTTCCATTGCGACACCAGATACTGCGATCGCGACTGCCAGCTAATGCGGGGCAGAACAAGCTCAAGGTACAGCTCAAGCTGTCAATATCGCGACTGCGCATGGTCCAGCAAAAAGATAGCGCCAAAGTAAAACAGCAGAGGAGGGAGATGGCACAACTGATCGAGGTACGTTGCCGACTGGTCACTCGAATGTCGCATTGCATTGCACTGGCGCAAGGCAACCGCGCATATCCATGCATTACCATTTCTCTCTACATACCCAGCACTGACATCTATATAGGTCGGCAAAGTACAGTCAGCGCGCATACGCGTAGAAAACATAATCCGGACCGACATCACTACGGAACTGCACGAGATCCTCGAACTCTACTGCGAACTCCTCCTCGCGCGCTCCCAACTCCTCGAATCGCAAGTCTCCTCCTCCAACACCACCTCCGCATCCACCTCCACCCTCCTCGATCCAGCGCTAGAAGAAGCCGTCCGCAGCATAATATACGCCGCGCCGCGAACCGAGATTAAGGAACTACATACCGTGAGGGCGCTGTTGGTGGATAAGTTCGGAAAGGATGTCGCATTGGCTAGCATGGAGGGAGAAGGTGTTGCGGAGAGGGTTATGAAGAAGTTGAAAGTTGAGACACCGAAGGAGGAGCTGGTCGAAGCATACATGACGGAAATTGCGCGATTCTACGGAGTACCATACGGCACCGTCAAGAGTGAAGACGAAGACGAAGACGACGACGACGAGCCATCAGGCGGCGTAGCAGAAAAGGTAGACCTCGATCTCGAAGACCCCATATCCACCGATGACAGCACGAGCAAAAAGGCAGAAGAAAGGGAAGCGCTGGCGAAAGCATCAACACCCAAGAAACTTGGTCCGCAAAGTCCGCTGCGAGTTGTTCCACCCAGCCCCAGTACAGATAATGTAGCGCCGAGGTTGAAGTTGCCGGGCAGTGCGGCGGCGAAAATAGCGAAGAGCGAGGCGAATACGAAGAAGCCGGCTAAGAAAGAGGATGGGCTGGGCAAGATTCCGGATGTGGATGAGCTTTCTAGACGGTTTGCCGAGTTGAAGAGGTGATGTTGGTGAGACTGAGGCTTTGGTTGTTTGGCGTGGAATCGGTGATTACATGGTCCACAGTCTTTGATTTCGACGATTAGCATGGTAGGAGTGCGCTGTCCCAACTGCGGATTCAGCATGTTGTCAGCGAGGCCTTTGGCACCGTACAGAGGGGGCAGCCCAAACGTAAGGGATAGCGCACGATAGTAATGGACGTGATCCGAGTCTCCTACCATTCAAGATAGGCAGCTGCTCAGTTGCGCGCAAATGCATGGATGCTGCCTGTTCATGTTCTCCCCAAACCTCCTATATAATAAAGTACGGCTACCAATGTTAACTTTCACCCGTGTCTCACTGCTACACTAAGAACCAGAGAATGTGCGGTACATGTAAATTACTAATATCATGCTAGTACGCTCTCGAATCTAATTACAGCTAAGACGGATCTCTTACACGAGTACAGGGTTTTACTTGATTCCGAAACGCCATTGCCCTGTATACTCAAGATCACAAGGCCTGAATAGCCTTAAAGAACCCGTTAGCCATAAGCTCTGGGTTCCCCTTGACCAGCTCCCTCATCCTCTCCACTTGTTGTTTCTTCGTCAGCCCCTTGCTCTCTACCTCTTCCTTCCACTTCACCAGCACCTCTTTGAGCATCCGGCTGCCATCCTCCACCTCCTCTTTGCTAGCTTGAACGTAGCCCTCTTCGTGCTTTCCAGCGAAATCCTCCAATTCGTCGGCTTTTCGCTTAGCCATTTTGATGACCTTTTGCGGGAAGCGAACGAGTTCTGCGACGTGGATACCGAAGGACTGGTCGGAGAAACCGGGTTCGACTTTGTATAGGAGCGTCACTTCGCGTTTCTTTTGCACGGCGGTGGCGTCCATGTCTGCATCTCCGTCGGCGTCAGGTGCAGGTGCACTTCCTTCAGAGATATGTGCCACGACGTGTAGATTCTGCACTTGTGGGTATGTGTCTACCAGTGCAGTCAACTCGTGGAAATGCGTAGCGAACAGCGCAAAAGCGCCAATCTCCTTGACGATATATTCAGAGATGGCCCATGCGAGTCCGAAACCATCGTATGTACTTGTTCCACGACCGAGCTCGTCAATGATGATGAGGGATTCTTTTGTCGCGGACTTTAGAATGTTTGCTGTCTCCAACATCTCTGCCATGAATGTTGACACGCCCTTGATCTGACTGTCGCTTGCACCTACACGTGCTAGAATGCAGTCAAATATGGTGAGTTCGGCTTCTGAGCAAGGGACGAAACAGCCAATCTGTGCCATGAGGGCAATGACGCCGATTTGCCGGATGTATGTAGATTTACCACCCATGTTGGGACCGGTAATGATGAGGAACTCGCTCGAGTCGCGGACGAGAGAAACATCGTTTGTGATGAAGGATATGTCATCTTGCATTTCCATGCAAGGGTGTCGCGCCTCTTTGAGGACGGTGTTTCCGGTGCCGCGCGCGTGCATGGTCGGTCGAGTGTAGGAGGTGGGTGCGTGGACGGAGACGTGTGCGAAAGAAACGATGACATCCAGATGTGCGAGGACAGCGGCGAGCTTCTCGACCACAGGGATGTAGGACGATGCTACTGAGACGACTTCGTTGACAAGACCGGATTGCGTGCGGTTGTAGTTCTCGGAGAGCTGGTCGAACTCTCGACGCTTTTCTTGTAATGTGTTGGTGGTGAAGTAGACGCCATTCTTCTGTGTCGAGATCTCTTGGTACTGCTTCTTTTGTCTGATGCAGCCTGCTTCGTTGCGAGTTAGTCGGAAGCACCAGCCGTTGACTTTGTGGTTTTCTAGGAACAGCTTCTTCTCGGTATCTTGGTTGAGGTCATCGCCCACACGCATGTGCTCTGACTCCATGTCGCGCTTGAGCTTGTCCAGGCGCTTTCGGATGGTCTTCAACGACTCATCAAACTCAGGCTTGATGATGAACTCGTGATTGTCGAGCGCTTCGAGATCCACGGTCGTCTCTACCATGTCCTGAAGACCTGCGAACGCCGTTGTGTATTGACGGAGCTTATCCGTGTATTCCGCATCGAGTGGCTCCTTGTACTGCTCGTCCATGACCGCCTCCAGGGAGCTGAGGAAGCCCGGCAATCGGATGACGACTTGATATGCGCGCACAACGTCTTCCAGGTTTGCGACTTTGCGTTGGAACTTCTTTGCTAGACGATACAAATCCGGTATTGACCGTAGATGCTCTTCTTGCATTGTCTGCCTTAGCTCGGTGTCGTTGACGAAGGCTTCCACTAATTGCTGCCGTCGTTGAATCTCCTCGACGTTCATGAGCGGCTGCTTGAGCCATTGTGCTAACAGCCGACTACCGGTGGGTGTCTTGCAGTGATTGAGCAGCCCGTACAAGCTCATGTTCTTCGCGCCGTCTCGTGGTCCCGGCATGAGGTTGAGTGCCTTCAGCGCGGCAGCGTCGAGCTTCATGTATTGCGAGAGGTCGTGTTGGTAGAGCTGGTACTGTCCAAAGTTCGACGAGTCTGACATAACCCCTAGATACCGTATTAGGCATGCAGCTGAGCCCATAGCTAGCTTCAGGTCTGTCAATGGCAGCGAGCCGGCTGCTCGCTCATCCTTGAGTAACCGCGGCAGATCCTGTTCGATGTCTTTTGTGCCAAAGTCTGCTTGCGATCGCTCTGCTACAGCGCAGCCGCAGTTGTCTGCAATCGTCCGAAGCTTGCCCAGCTCCACATCCTTCTTGGTAGAGTCGACTTGTATCAGGCACTCCTTCACGCCGAGCTGAATGAGCAGCGATTCGAAGTTGGAGTAGAGGTCGTTATCGAGGAATTCTGTAACACCGAGTTCCCGTACGCTTGCATCTGCGAAGCATACACCCACGTTGCGTGCTTCCGACGCCTTTGCCGACACCTTCACCGCCAAGATGATGGGTGCATTCTCGATCTGACCTCCCAATTCGTCCTCCAGGTCTTGCAGGTTGCCGGGTGAGGCCTGTTTGACCACCTTCCAATCCATGCGCTTGCCAGTCGATTGCCATATCTCGATACGTTTGCTGAGTCTGAAAAGTGCGTCGCGGAGGAAGTTGCGGAATACGGTGATGGTCATGGTGACAGATTCGAGGCCTGGTTCCCGTCCCAGCTTGCGAATGACGGCTGTCGTCTTGTATACCTGATAGCATGTCAATATCTTAAACATAAGTCAAAGCATTCATGTGCGCTTACTGTGTTTGCGATAAACTTTGCGTCTTCGCCATGGGCGCTGTAGTAGTCGCCGCGGTCGAAGATGCGCACCGTCTCATCGTCTTTCTCAGGTAAGTTGCGGAAGAACTTGCAGAAACCCGACTCATCATCCTCCTTGATTTCCGGTCGGGATGCCATGTTGATATGCGGTAGAAAGACAATTGCAGGGTGGGACGACAGAGGAAAGAAGGTAAAAGCTGGCGATGATTGGGCGCGCCTGCTGTTAATTGACTGAGCGCGTCGACGCGTCGAGATCACGCTAGTCTTATCGATAACACTAAGCCCTCCGAGGATACACGAGGCCTTCATTATCAACCCTCCGCAAAATGCCTGCGAGCGCCAAAGCCATCTCCGATTTCAAGGCCCGTCACCGCTTATCACAATCACGATCACTCTACATGCGATCTTCTTACCTCTGCAGCCGTCTCTAACCATTTGGACGTGCCTTCTTTGCACCGATACCCTCTGCAACCGCGACATCAATTAATCTGGTACACGAAGAGCATTGAAGAACAAAACCCGCAGCGATCTTCAAACCCCGACGGCTACACCAGCGCGTAAGGTAAGGCGATGGGTCAAGAAGGCGGGCTTCTACATCAGTAGACTCTAGGCTTCACGCTTCGAAGCCGCTACGGTCAGGACCGTCTCCCAAAAGCTTCTTTTCATGGCACAGTAAACTGTCGCTGTCGGCGGCAATGTCAAATGAAAAGTACCATCTGTAAAGGAGGTGCGAAAGCTCGAGATGTCGACGGAAAGGTGCTCCATGCCACGTGTAAGATTATTATGTGCACACACTACATACGTTGCGCAGTCAGTACACCGAGATCGGTGTATTCTGACCATACAAGCGCTCTACGATAACAGTATGGAAGGTCGCCCAAAAAGAACATGATGCCCAACCTTGTGTTGCGTCTGCGCAGCCACTCCTTTCTTTCACATGCGGAGTGTCTGCGGAGTGTCTGCGGGGCCCCAAAGTTGAACACGATTACTCACGCACTCACATGTTCGTGATATAGACCATCGGGTGTAGTCGTAGTGTTGCGGCTCTTTCTCGTGCGTCGTTGCGCCCAGACACCTTGGCGACAAATTCCTCGGTCTCATTGACGCTGGTTGAGCCGCCAAGGTCTTGGATTGAGCCGCAAGCCTGCGGTACCGCATTCCCTATTTGGCACTTTTTGTCATCTTCGTGATAAGCAAGGTGTTTGCGCGCCAAAATTGAAAGACTTTGTATCCGTAGGTGTTTCGGTCCTCGGTGATGTTGTGGAGATCGCGCGGATGGTTTTCGGGATGGGTGGATGTGAGGAGTCACATTTGACTACCTGTATTTAATTTGATGGATACTTCCGTCTCTTCATCGGTGCTGAAACTCTGATTACTTTGCTTCGGTTCCGCTGCTCAGCGTCGTTGTGAGTTGCGTTACGAATCGCCTCAGCCACGACATCAACATGGCCCACAGATCAACATCACCAAGACATGTACTGCCTCATAACCTCTTGCCAATGCATATCCAATCGAACCCCTCCTCCGGGACAGCAACACCTATTAATGCATTCCCTACGACTCTTTCATCGATACCAACTCAACACCGAGCTCACAACATGCACCAGCCAACTAACAATGCCTATACTCCTCAGGAGTCTTTCGAGATAGTTTCGCGGATGGGCGTTAAGAAGGCGCACATGCGTGTCGACAAGAGCTTTCTTAGTTCCTGCTCGGCTGGCATGATCTTGTCTTTCGCATGCGCGACGCTCATCTCGACCAACACCTCGCCATGGTACCAGGAGAACGCTCCAGGTCTGATCAAGACAATTGCCGCGCTTGTATTTCCATACGGTCTAGTCATTGTACAGATGACAGGAAGCGACCTCTGTACCGGCAGCTTCATGTACACGACCGTTGCTGCGTTACATCGACGACTCAGCATCTGGCGGATGTTGAGGCATTGGGTGGTAACCTTCTTTGGAAACCTCGCGGGGAGTTTGTTCGTGTGTTGTGTGATTGTTGGATGTAAGTCTCCAATGGTAGAAGCGATCTGAAGTTCGAAATTGACCTGGTGTAACAGATGGCGGATTGTTCGACGGAAAGCTATATCGAGAAGAGTCGCTGCACTTCGCTTACAAGAAGCAAGTCGAGCCAGAGTGGTACCAAATTTTTCTCAAAGGCATCGGCGCCAACTGGTTGGTCTGTCTAGCATGCTTCCTCGGGTGCTCGGGTCGCGACTATGTTTCCAAGGTAGTGGGGATATGGTGGCCAACGTTTGCGTTCGTATCCCTGGGGTTCGGTGAGTACCACACGTTCGTGTGCACATCTACAAGTTAGCTGACAGTGTGTATCAGATCACGTCGTCGCCAACATGTTCTTGATACCCAATGCCATCTTCCATGGATCACCAGACATTACCATCGGCATGTATGTTTGGAAAGGCATCGCCCCTGCATTACTTGGCAATATCGTCGGCGGTGGCTTCTTTGTTGGGGTCCTCTACTGGTATCTACACCTGCAGGGTCACGACACCACCATTGACGGTCAGCGCTACGAATCGATGACGGGGACCCAGCAGGACTTGAGTGCATGGATAAGACTGAAGGAAAGAAAGGATGTAACGGAAAGTCAGGAGCAGGTTTGAACGAACGGTGGTTTGGTTGCAGAGGATAGTTGGAGCTTGCAACGCGGTTCGAGTTCCGCGCAGCCAAGCGGGTGACGTCAACGATAGCACGTGCTCGCGAGTTCCTTCTCTCTTTCCGTCCTCGCACATGCGTGTTCATCTAGAAGACATCTAACATTAGAATCAACCAACGAATCATTTTCCATCATTTCCTCATCATCCCATGTCTACAGTATCCTATGATTGGGTTGATGCATGTAGCAGCCAGCAGTCGCGATTACAGGGTCGTTATGACTGTTGGGGTTTGAGCGGATCCTAGAACAGGTTCCATCCCATCATCGTATTGATCGTTCTAGACATGGCAGTTCTAGTACGTATAACAACAGATACCCGATCGTACATCCATGATCTCCGAGACTTTGACATCCGGTGCTAGACCTCCGATCGAGACGATGTCATCAAGACTTGCTTGCGTTTCGCTCGGGCTCGTCCCGAACTCGGAAATCAAGCCCTCCGCAAATAAGCAAATCTCAACACCTTCTGAAAACCTGCAGATGCATGCAGCACTTCCCTTTTCTTCGATCAGACTGCAAAGAAGTGAGGAATGGCTGGGGTCATGCACCCATCCGTTCCCGAGAAAAAGCACAAAGATTTCCGCACATCTATCATCTCACTACGTCATCTCACGCCAGATCAAACCCAGTGTACCCGTTCTCAGCCGTCTCGTTAATCGTCTTGTAATAAGTCGGCACGCCACCGATGTACATCAATGGCTCTCTGGGCTTTCCAGGAATATTACTTCCCATGTACCACTGTCGCAAGCGTTAGTACATTACATTCCTTCATTTATCGGCTCTTCGCGACTCACAGAATCTACGCTGGGCAGCAGCGAAGCATTAGCAAGCTTCCAGATGAGCTCCTTCCATTGATCTTCACTCTCCTTCTGCGCTACGATCTTGCGAAGCGACTTCTCCTTCATACGGTTCATCATTTGCAAGATCCAGTCGCCCTGCAGTTCAGCACATGTGGGACCGTTGCATAGCGCAGTCGGCGCTTGAGGCCCGTAGGTGAAGAACATGTTTGGAAAGCCTGCGACGGCCATTCCGAGATACGTCTTTACACCATCCTCCCAATGCTCGCTCAAGCTCTCGCCTGACGGGCCGCGGATATCGATCTGTTTCAGACCACCGGTAATGGCGTCGTAACCGGTCGCGCTGATGATGTAGTCGAACTCGTGTTCCTTCTCCGTGGTCTTGATACCTTTCTCCGTGATTTCTTGTATCGGCGTACCCTTATCGCTGATGTCAACGAGAGAGACGCTGCGCTTGTTGTACATCTCGAAGTACCCATTCTCAAGCGCGATGCGTTTGCAACCGAAGGAATAGGGCTGCTGCATAGGAGCGAGTATATCGGCGACTCTGCTGTCAATGATCTTCGCTCGCGTTTTGTCCCGCCAGAAGTTGTATGCTTCGCGGTTGGCTTCTTTATCAAAGAGCATGTCTTGGTAAGCCGCAAGCCAGAATTTAAAATCACCTTCGTTCCACAGTTCTTCATAGATCTTCTTTCGCTGTTCTGGCGGGTCGTCAAATGTAGATCGGGGGATGAACTCAAACGAGAAGCCTGAGAAGCGGTTTTTCAACCCCCCGAAAAAGTCCGGATACTCAAGCTTGGAAATGGCTTGTTGCGGAAGGTCATAGTCGACTTGACGCATTGGCATTGACATGTTCAGCGTCCGCTGAAAGACTGTCAGCTGGCTCGCAACCTTGCTCAACTCCTGCGCTATTTGAATACCGGTAGCGCCTGTTCCGATAACAGCCACCTTCTTGCGGCGGAGATCAGGTTCTTCATGAGGCCAAAACGAAGGATGGAGAAAGGTGCCTGGCTCCTAGTCAGTCTATTTCACAGTGACTATAAAGTAATCTGACCTTTAAAAGAATCGATGCCTTTCCACTCGGGAATGTGTCGCTTCGCCGCGAAGCCGGTGTTCAACAGCAGATATTTCACCTTGTATGTCTCGCCCGCCTTCGTCTTCACCATCCATCTTGCTTCCTCATCACTCCATGTCGCAGACGAGACGAAGGTGTCGAATTTGGTATCCTTCCTCAGATCCCACACTTTAGCTACGTGAGCAAAGTAAGCGCGAAGCTGCGAGCCATCCGGGAACCTCTGATTCCATGTCCAATCCTTCCAAAGCGTTGGGTCGGAGAATTCGTAGTGGGGAATGGAGCTGTCGACACGGACGCCTGGGTACCGATTCCAGTACCAAACACCGCCGTAATCGGATCCGTGCTCGACGAGCTTGACGTTGTAGCCTGCGTCGCGGAGGATCTTCAGCTGGTATACACCGCAGAAACCTGCGCCAACAATCAGGGCGTCGAGCTCTTTGATGTGAGTGCCATTGGTGCCGTTGGCGCTGCCGTTGAGGGACAATCTCTGGATATCTTCGATAGAGCCCATGGTAATTCACGACTTGAACTTCCGAAAGCGCTGGTTGAGACAAAGGATGATGCTGATATAGAGTTTATAGCACTTCAGATATGGCCAAAGAACATGTGTCGTGGGAGGAAGCTTGCATGGACAGCAGACTGTTGGACTTCTTGCGTAACTTAAATGAATAGGGTGCAGTTCATCGGGCGTGTATCTTCACAGCGCATCACGCGCGAAAGGGTAATTGTGCACTTCTTGGTCTCGTTCATCAGGCCATGGCTCGACGAATCCTTGTGCTCAGTCTCGAACTAGAACGGTGAGAGGTGGTAACACAGTGCATGCCTCGCTTACTCTGGTACGGGGTCCCTCGGACATAGCACCGCTGTGGAGCTGCCAAGGCCTCTGCGGTACGGCACGCCCGTTGAATGGTTAGGGGCAGTTCGTTAAGCGGAAATGTGGGATGGCAGGAAGTTTAATACCTATAGCACGATTCAACCTAACATCACACTGACATCGCTCTAAAGCACGAGTAGTGCGCTCGTCACTGCTACTTTGCTGTGACACGAAGTTTGGCAGTGCCTGCAGCGGATATTCAGTTATACAGCGACGCGTGGAGGATGCAAGACCCATGCAGTACTACATATATGCATCATGGGAGGTTCGGCCCTTCTAATCATGGGGCCGACCTACCTAGCGCTGCAGGCGGGGAAAGGTGGCGCGGACACTAGGCTATTGGTGCAATACCGTTTTGTAATCAAATTATGCATTTTGAGGGCTTCTGTGACAAATGCTCCAAGACTGGCAGATCTTGGCCGACAGGTTTACTGGAGACCATCCGAGGTCCACTAAGCATCTAATACCAGCCTGTGTAACGATCGAAAGACAGCCATCGGCTGCTGGGTCTATACTTGGGTATTGATGTGCAATGCGGTAGCTACCATCTTCGTGCTCATTCTATTGATGGATGCATGCTTCATACTGATCAGAACTATCATTCATCATACTCATGGATCACGGAAGGCATCACGTGGATGTAGGACAAAATGGAAGCAGTGGTACAAATTTCTCTAACGTGTAAGATGCTCTTCGTCGTGACAACGTGTGATCGTGATTGCTTCTTTATTAGCTGTGAGCGTGGAACATAAGATCACATGCTGAACAGCTCTACCCAGGTAGGCATCGAACAATCATGCCTCTTGTCTTCCAATCGGTTGACATTAAACTTCCAAGGGGGCATAGAGGACATAGAGAGAGTACATAGACATTGATTTGGCGATGTAGGTCGTCGTAGTTCGCGTTCGCGGAAGGGCTTGGCAGAAAAACGCACCAAAAATTCAACTTCCCAACTCCTGGACGACGACGACATGTCCACCAGAGCGCAAAAACAAGGAAGCCCGACGTGGGGGTCGAACCCACAACCTTGAGATAACCAATCGAGTCTGATTAGGACGTGAAAGCTAAGAGTCTCACGCTCTACCGATTGAGCTAGCCGGGCGATGCTATTGTTTGATGGAGGGAATCGAGATTATAGCGAATGGATACTCAGGTAACAATGTCTGAGAGCGGTATTCTGGCTGGGTAAAACCAGGCTGCAAATTGTTGAAGTTTGGGATTGGTGGTCGTGGTAGCAAAGAAAATTTCTTGCGGTCGTGTGGGGCCGGCGGCGGCGAAGGACCGGCGAACATCGTCTTTATAGCCTGGATGAACTGTCAGCCCAGATCGTTAATACTGACGCTCTTTTACTATTCAGAATGACTTGGTGGTATTACAGATGAAAGGTATTATTCATCAAATACACTTCAGCCGGAGTATAGGGGCGCTCGACGCGCATCGGTGCAGCAACGTCGTGGGTCACCACCAACGGCGAGCTTTCAATGTCAGGTATCCCTGCTTCGACGCTTGGTACAAACCAAAAGATATCTTTGCTGGTCCTAGGCTTTGAGATCGCTAAACTGGTTACTGCACTGTAAATAGGGGCTCATGACAATCCAGTCGCACACCCCGCCTGGGTACGCCCGCGGGCCTGGTGAACTCCAGAGCGCTCGTCGATTGGCATGTCAGATCTGGAATAGACACGTGGACACCAGCAACGAAGTCCAGGTTCGAGACATAGATCTGTTCTACGTTTGCTGCGCGTACGAGGTGTATAACATGGAGCTCACCATGCTGCGACGCAGGTAGCAGCCCCGGAGAGGGCTCGGGTGAGAGGGGCTCGAGGTATTGGAGCAATGTAGAGAACAAGACTGCAAGGGTATCGCAATCATCTGATGGATATTTAATGGAAATCTAGAGTTGGTGTTGAGGTTGCCATGTAGTGCTCCTTGTGGACACCTTACACCCATAGCTGCAGCACCCTGATGACGTATCCACTCAAGTACCCACGTGCACAGACCACTACCTCAGCTCGGATCAGACGGCTACACCCAACATAGAGCCTCGTTCTTGTTACAGTCGACGTTCACACAAGCTTTCTGATCGACGTTTAGTGCGAGGCTGGATTTGAGAATTTTGGAGACAGTGCGAGGCTGGGTCCTAGGATTGGTGTATATCTAGTATCGACTCTGGACATATTGAGGCAGCCTAGTTCCCTACTCCAAGCGTACCTCAGATTAGCATCGGTAGTAGCTGGTTTACATGCATGCTCTGATCAAAGATATGTTGTGCATTGAGGACTTTACTGTTGACGGGATAAATTGCTTTCGTTATATCGTTTACTCATACATCGTGAAAAGAAGAAATCGCAATATGCATGCATGCAGCCCACCGCCGTCCCGAAAAAGGTATACTTGCAATCCAACGCCTTGCTGTGACATAAACAGATCCACCCCCCAAACACGCGGGTATCACCTATCTATCAGCCACTCACCGATAGATCATCTCTTCCCTGAGAACGCTCCTCGGCGGACTTGGCGGGTGTGACGCAGGAAGACTCAACCTCTTCGTTTCGACCTTGACCTCGCGCAGATCAATTTCTTGTTCCAGTTCGCCGACATCATGGTATGTTCCCACGTGTTTGACCAGGCTGTCTACTGTCCGGCAGATCGCATCGACGTCTCTGCCCTTACTGCAGATTGTGCATGCGTACTCGCCATCTGGGGTGTGACATTTGATGACGAAGCGCTGAGCAAGACGGAACTCGCGTGTCTCCATGATGTCGGTTTCATAGCCAGTTGTCTTGTCCCAGATGGTGACAGGTGTCCGTTTGCCTATCATCCAGAAGTCTTCGCTGGTAACGTCGAGTCGAACGCCGCATGCGGGACATGCACAGCTGCCTCCGGGGGCAAATGAGGCTGCCAAGGGGTTTCCGGGCATGTATTGTAGATCGAGAGCGTACCGGCAGAAGAGTTGCTCTGGGCCGTCCATGGGCATGATAGCACTAGGTGCGCGTTGTGAAGGGACTAGGGAGCGCGGAGGCGATGCGGGGCGGGGTGGGGGTGGTGCGCCGACTTGCGAGCCTCCTAGTCGTTGTTGAGCTTCTTGTAGGGCGATCATGGAGCCTTCTCTGGCTTGGTTTGAGGCGGCGATGAGTTTGGACATGTCGGCGCGGGTCAGTTGGCGGTCGTTGTATAGGGCATCTTGGAGGACGTTTATGACGGTTTGTTGGAGGGAGATGATTTGCGCTTGTAGTTTGTTCTCGACGATGGCTGTGCGGGGGGTCAGTCTTGTTCCAGTTCTCCAGCTCAGTCGACTTACCATCGCCTTGCGCGAACCTGCTGCCCATCCTGCCATAACCTTGATCATACATCCTCTGAACCATCATACCATCCCTCTCAAAATTGTTTCCTACGTCGTCGCGCCCTCCACCGTTCTTCAGCCGATCGATCTCCTGTTGTCTACCCTCGGCTCTCTTCTGCGCCTCCTCGAACTGCTTCTTCAGATCCTTGATCTCGCCATCTTGCTTCGTGTCGCGCTGTTTCTGTCGGTGCTGTTGGCGCTTGTCTGAGACGCGCTCCCATAGCCCCATAGACGCCGTGAACGTGCCGACAAGCGTAGACGCCAATGTGGCCACGATGAAGGTTTTCTGACCCGCACATGTTAGATTCGCGATCACGAGTAGGCTCTGAGTGGGTATACCTTGAGTTTTTCCTCTTGGATCCATGATGCGTAATTCATTGTCGCGTTGGTGGTGGTGAGCAAGTACGCTCACACTTCGCTTCGGTATCAACCGTGGAAAGGGCCGAGGAGACGGCGTGTTGAGGTTGCACGTTGGAAAGATAACACGTGCGTGCTTGACAGAATATATCCCAACTCTTCTTAACCTCACAGAAGCAACCGGCCTTTCAGAAATCGGCAATGCAACAAAGTAAAGTAGGAAAAGAAAAGCGCGGAGAATAGAGCGCAACCCCCTCCGCATCCCCCATGACGCACTCTGTCCTCCACCCATCCTGCAACACACGCGAGTCGCGCCCCCAAACGGCGCCCGACCTTAGATCAGCCGGGCATGGGAAATAGCCTCACCTGATTGCACGAAATGTCGCGCAAATATCGGAATGGGCATGGGCGCAGTGCTCTGACCGCTGGTTTCACGATGTGTTGCGAGCCGCGCCAGCAAAGTGGATGCGCCATGTGCTGTGATGTCATGCCGCTAGCTGGATTGGCTTTAGCCGACATGCGGGAGATGAAGCCGGCGAGGACCGCAACCTTAATATAAGCATGGCCACGAGAAAACCCGATGAAATCTTGTGAGGTTTCTGAGGAGGTTTCTGAGGAGGCTTCCAAGGTTGCGGTTTCAGATGCTTGAAGCAAACATGGCGGCCAACCTTGGAAGCGACGTATGCTGCAGCTGCTCCAGCGCGTCGCGCTCTCAACAGCTCGTCGTGCGATCTTTTGACAATATTCTCGCCGGCTATGCTTGGATATACTTAGGTACCTGCGCACAATATGACAAGATATCGCCAGGGGTTCGTCCATTCCTGGCTGCATGTCATCACCGACCCCTTTGTAAGCTGACTGCATCCCTTTCCGGAAGCCGAAAGTATGTAGGTACGAGCTACCCGGCGCCTACCGAGGGCATCTTCAGATCCTGTTTTGGTGTTGTGCGGGACGTGGAGCTCTTCAGGTTTGGACGGTCCGATAGATATCTGGATCTGCTTGTCTACAAACACCATGCCAGTCCATGTCCTTGACGTGTAAAAGGCATGACGTGAGCATACGCCCAATGCGGCGCGGTGCCCAGAAAGTGAAACAGCATCAACCTGGACGTACGCTTCACCGACTTCTTTGACAAGGTACTGTACTGCTGAAAGAACATGTAACAAGCGCATTTCCTCCGCGGCGTCCACATTTGCTAACGAACAGAAAGTCTCTTCCGACACAAGAAGTAGTAGAACCCAAAATAAAAAAGGACAAGCAGTCCTCCTCCCAATATGTAAGTCGCAAATAGATACCTGGCTGTATCCCATGCTTTCTGTGCGTCGACCAGCATCCCATTCATGAACGTCACCAAGAGCACAATGCAAACTCCCGGTCCAAGCCACCACAGCATGATCAGGTGAATCCTTCGAAACCACCATCCTCCTCGGCCCCCAAACCGCCATTGTTTGCCATACTGGAAGATGGAGAATGGGCCGGTGAAGCTCTCGGATAATAGACCCATTCCATTTGATCGCATCCAGAAGGCGAAGCGGATGGCTTGCACGATGAAGATTGTGATGGTGCCGAGTAAAATGAAGACGCCGAAGAAGTCGAAGAGTAAATTCGTGTTTAGGTTTCGATCGCCCAATCTGTCGCCTGAGAGTTCGTCTGCTCGGATGGTATGAGCGACTTGTTTGAACGGACTCTGCATGCCTAGAATGCTTGCGGAGAGCGATAGAGGCAGGTAGAATGCCGCCAGAATAGTCAGAATTCGGATTGCCTTGGCCTCACGGATGGCATGTTTCTTCGTGAGGTAATCCAGCTGGCGCTCCAAGGCTGCCAGGGCGCGCTCAGCATTACTGTTGCGTTCTGCGCATAAGGCCTTCAGCTTCAGAAGACGTAGCTTAAGCTCGCTATCTTTGGGCTGTTGGACGACGAAGTCGGATTCTTCGAGGATGTCGCGCACGTAGATGATTGAGGCGACTAGGTTGTGTACGCTCCGCAACACACCTTCGGCATCTTCAATCTCCTTGAAGGCCTCTCTGCTCTTTGCAGACAGCCGGGGTTCGAAAAGACCCAGCGGAACTTGGAGATGTGGGTTCTTCGTAAGTGAGAACTTCACAGCGTCCTTCTCATCCAGCTGCGGGTAAATCAGACTCTCGTAGTAGTCTACAGGTTGCAGATAGATGGATGCAAGGAAGAAGTCGAGGACCAGAAGTTGAGCAAAGACATCCCGAGACCCATTGGCATGAGACGTCAGGCTTGCCCCATTTCGCATCTGCGACGTGACGCGGGGATTTTTGAACATGACTTCACCACCAGTAGCTTTACGCGCTTTACTCGTGATGAACCTTTGGTTTGATTCGACGTCATTCACAATGATCACTATGACCGTCAGCGCGATGAATCAGATATGTAGATCATGCTAACCTATCAAGCGATCCTCGTCACATTGTGCACAGGTGAAGTAGGAGTCCCTCGGGCGGACGTCGCGGTCCAGAGGATGTTGTTGCAAGCTTGCACGGTTGACAAGACGGTACAGGCTGGTGCTGCTACCGGTGAAGGTCTGAGACCATTGAGAAGTTATACTTCCAATGTCATTTACGAGAAGTGGGTCGCTGAGCCAACGGAAGATACGTCGCTCCACAAAATCCTTCGACTCGATGGACGTCGCATAGAGCTCCTCCAGGTGATCGACGAGAGCTCTTCGCGCAGCTTCGGTTGTTTTGGGGCCTTTTGTTTCTCGCAGGCCAGTCTTCTTGAAATCAGAATGAACAGTAACATCCAGGATTCTGGCGGTTCTTGGGGCATGTGGGGGGAGGTTCTTCATATCTTCGGCAATCTTGTCCCTGTAGCTGAACTGCTTGAGGAAAACAGGCTCGGTGCCATCGTAATGCGCATCTATGACTTTGAGAACAGCTTTGGCCGGCCCAGACCCCGCTTCGAGATCTGTTTGACGGCTTGAGATCGGTTGAACAATATGCTCTGGCTGACCGTAGTCGAAAGATGATGCAGTGGACATGATTGAGATATGACACCATGGATTGATGCACAGCTGGCAGTGACGAAGAAGAGCACTGAGGGGAATAAATACAAAGCCCGGCAGCCAGCTGAAGTATGATCATCTATGCATCGAGATCAGCTGCTTCAAGGCTTCACAGTTGATAGTTCGCCCCGGAATTTCCCAGAAGACCGATCGTAGTCGTGTATCGGGCTGTGAGCACGCATAAGTGTCGTGAGCCATTGGTCACATCAACCTTTTTGGGGGCCAGCCTTGTCCCTTGATAGAAATGGCCCCCGCTCATGCGACGAAACAAGTCATAGACCATAGAGCCACGAGGATCATGACGCTTTTGGGGCCAGCCTGATGCTGCACTCCGCAGTAAAAGGCGAAGGAGTTGCAATATAACTGGTGAGGGGGTGTAATCTGATCTGCTGAGGAGAACGCCATCTCGGTAAAACCGCCTAGCCCCCTCGTACTTGAGCAGAGCAGGCTCAGTGTTGCTAGGTCGAGATTGCTGCACTCAGCCTTCGTCTTTCGACAGTTCAAAGCGTCACTATGTAGCGATTGTCTGACTCTGACGGCACTAGCTGCACAGTGATTATGAATATTTGCTTGCAGCAGTCTCGCCCGCTTACTGTGAGCAGAGACCTCAGAAAGATCGCAGGCGCCAACCGATAGTCAGTCTGCGCTAGTAGCTGTCGACTTTGGAGAAGGTAGTCTTCAGCCACTCTGAAATGGTGCTAAACATAGCATCTTTCGCAGCTACTCTAGCCTTCTCCGCTTCAGGATTCTTAGCGGGAAAGCCTTCGAATGCATGTGGCTGACCAAACACTTTGTAGTATTGCACTCCCGGTGCTGTCCAACCCTCCTTATATGGCACCTTTGCCTTGTCGCCCGCAAGCTTGTCAGCCATGACTTCGACCTCGCGGCAGAACATGTCGTGCTCAGCTCCGATGAGCAAAAGCTCCGGTGGAAAGCTGTCCCTCGTAGCGAAATATGTTGGGCTCAAGCGTACATCCTGCATGGGTGGTTTCTGAGCTTCATCCAGGTACAGGTTCATAATATCGTCATAGCTCTTCCCTATGAAATCGTGTACTTCAGGATCTGGCCGAGTTGCCATCTTCGTGTCGCTATCAGAGTCGAAGTCAACGGCTGGATATATTGAAACAACCCCCAAAATCTTGGATAGGAGCCCCGAGTCTTGGGCCGCGCCGAGGGTAAGATTACCTCCCGCTGAACTGCCGCAGAGAACAACTTTTGACTTATCGATAGGCAACTCTGGATCATCGATGATGGCGAGCGACTGAGCGATGACATCCTCGTAGGCAGTGGGGAACTTGTTCTGAGGGGATTTGCTATAGTCTATACTAACTACGATGCAATTGGCATGATCAGCAAGATGTCGCGCCAGGACGTCGTCTGCTGCAGGATAGTTGACGATGAAGCCACCACCGTGAGCTCGGATCACGAGGGGAAGACTCTGTTTGTCTTTGTAGTTTTTTGATATGAAGATGCGGCAGCCATAAAGATTCGGGCGACAAGGGTAGTTCTTGATGTGATCCGGTTGAGTTGTGGGCGCTAGCCAGGGTGAGGACCGGATATAGAGCGAGGTATGAGCGATTGCTCGGATGCAGGCAAACTGAAGGTGCGCAAGCGTCCACATGTCGAATTTTCAACGCTCCTCGGGTGCCAGTCTTCTTGTATCTGATAGGAATCAGTGAAGCTGGCTTGTAGGTGTTTGCTTGCGCCAGATGGGCGAAGGCAAGGTGGGGTCGTCTGGGGGCCTTGTATACATATCTGGCCTAGCTCCTGGATCCAGTCACTAGTCCCAATGCAGCGAAAGCCGCGGAGATAGCAATGATGCCCCTGCGACGGATCAATAATCGAATGATGACAAAAGATCGCGGGGCAGCAACAAACGCTACCCCACTCTCGAGTCTTATGGATGGTGCAGTCGCGTGTGGCCGGCATCGGGCCATGCACGACCTAGCATCATCTTTTGTCCATTTCGAAGTTTCTTTCCGTGCCTGTTGATGCCTTTGCGCCCCTGAGCTTCACCATCTATCGTCAACATGGCCACTCCAAAGATCAGTGGGCGGGGAATCCGCATCGCGATTGATGTATGTCTCATTATCAGACGTGCAACTGTAGCTGACAAGGCAGCGCGGCGGCACCTTCACGGACTGCGTAGGCAATCCCGGTACTGGCAAGATGGAAGACGACATTCTCATCAAGCTCCTCTCCGTCGACCCCTCCAACTACGATGACGCGCCGCTCGAAGGCATCCGTCGCCTCCTCTCCAAGTTCACCGGCACCGAGATTCCCCGTGGGCAGCCGCTCGACACATCCAAGATCGAGAGCATACGCATGGGCACCACCGTCGCCACGAACGCGCTGCTGGAGAGGAAGGGCGAGGATATCGCCATGGTGGTCACAAAGGGCTTCAAGGACTGTCTCGAGATTGGTAATCAGAGCAGGCCGAACATCTTCGCGCTCGACATTCGGAAGCCTGAGGTGCTGTACAAGAAGGTCGTCGAGATCGATGAGCGCGTCACACTGGAAGACTACGCGGAAGATCCGGAGAGAAATCAGACACAGGCGAAGAGTATAGAAGAGGCTGGAGACGACGCAGAACTGGTCAAGGGCTTGTCGGGCGAGACGGTGCGCATACTACAACGACCGCAGGAGGAGGCGATAAGAAAGCAATTGCAGGAGGTTTACGATAGTGGACTGAAGAGCATCGCGGTCTGCTTGATGCATGGATACACATACCCCAACCACGAGGCGTTAGTGGGCAAGATCGCGAGGGACATTGGCTTTGAGCATGTCAGCCTAAGTCATGAGCTCATGCCCATGATCAAACTAGTCCCACGCGCTACCTCGGCCTGCGCAGACGCATACCTCACACCTGCGATACGAAAATACATCGATGGCTTCTCAAAGGGCTTCGAAGGTGGCCTTGGTAGCAAGAGCGTGAAGCGCGAGGAGGGCTCCAAGGGCGCACGCTGCGAGTTCATGCAGTCGGACGGAGGCCTGGTAGACGTCGACATCTTCTCTGGCCTAAAAGCCATCCTATCTGGCCCTGCTGGAGGAGTCGTTGGCTATGCGCTCACATCGTACGACCCGGAAACCAAGATTCCCGTCATCGGCTTCGACATGGGCGGTACCAGTACAGACGTGAGCAGATACGGCGCTGGACGCTACGACCACGTCTTTGAGACTACCACAGCTGGCGTTACCATACAGTCCCCACAGCTCGACATCAACACTGTCGCAGCGGGTGGTGGTTCGCGCCTATTTTGGAAGAATGGACTGTTCGTCGTAGGCCCAGAGTCGGCAAGCGCACACCCAGGGCCAGCATGCTACCGCAAGGGTGGCCCACTAACCATCACAGACGCGAACCTCTTCCTTGGCCGACTATTACCGGACTTCTTTCCCAAGATTTTCGGCAAGAATGAGGACGAAGGCCTCGATGCGCAAGCGAGCGAGAAACTGTTCAAGGAATTGGCCGAGCAGATCAACAAAGAGGTCGCAGGTGGTAATAAGGAGAAGGAGATGTCGCTGGACGATATCGCAAACGGGTTCATCAAGATCGCTAATGAGACCATGACCCGGCCGATTCGAAGTCTGACCGAAGCCCGTGGACACGATACAAGCAAACATAGACTCGCGACATTTGGTGGTGCGGGTGGCCAGCATGCGGTCGCCATTGCCGAAGCACTTGGCATCTCGCAGATTCTGATCCATCGCTACTCATCAGTGCTATCAGCGTACGGTATGGCGCTCGCCGATGTTGTCGATGAGAGGCAGGAACCAGAGTCTACTGTATGGTCGGACGAGAAGGATGTCAGAGAATACTTGCAAAACAAGATGGCAGACCTGAAGAGCAAGTCAACAGCTACACTTAGAGACCAGGGCTTTGATGAAGAGCATGTCCACTTCGAAGAGTATCTTAACCTGAGGTATCGTGGGACAGAGTCAGCACTTATGATCATCAAGCCGACGAAGGAAGAAGCAGAGCAAGAGTATGACGGTGATGAATGGGCTTTTGGTAAGGCTTTCGTCAAACAGCACGATCAGGAGTTCGGCTTTACTTTACCCGATCGCGACATCATTGTCGATGACGTACGAGCGCGCGGCATTGGCAAGACCTTTGAAGGTCTCGAGAAGAGTGTAGATCAGCAACTCAAGGAGATCAAACCAAAGGACCTCTCAGGAGACACTAAGCGCTACGACACCCGCAAAGTGTTCTTCGAGGGTGGCCGGCAAGATACTTCAGTCTACAAGCTCGAAGATCTGGAGGTGGGTGACCGACTGAAGGGTCCCGCGATCATCGCAGATGGTACTCAGACCATTGTCGTGACGCCTGGTGCCACTGCGCTTGTCATCAACACTCATGTGGTCATCAACATTGGTGAGACGGAAGACCAAGATAAACAGGTTGACACAAAAGAGGTCGATCCGATCTTGCTCAGTATCTTTGCCCATCGGTTCATGGCTATTGCTGAGCAGATGGGCCGCGCGTTGCAGAAGACTAGTGTGTCTACGAACGTCAAAGAACGATTGGATTATTCCTGCGCACTGTTCGATGCGGATGGTGGGCTAGTCGCCAATGGTGAGTCAATCGCTGAAGTGGACTGACCCAGCTAATGCCAGTGTAGCTCCCCACCTGCCAGTACATCTTGGAAGTATGTCGACCTGCGTCCGCAAACAGGCCGCTATTTGGAAGGGCAAGCTGAAGAAAGGTGACGTTCTTGTCTCTAATCACCCCATGTTCGGAGGTACACATCTGCCAGATATTACTGTCATCACACCCGCGTTCAGTGGTGACAACATTATCTTCTACGTCGCTTCGCGCGCGCATCACGCCGACATAGGCGGCATACTCCCTGGCTCCATGCCCCCTGCGTCAAAAGAACTCTATCAGGAAGGTGCGGCCATCAAATCCGAGAAGCTGGTGTCGGAAGGACACTTCAACGAGAAGCGCATCACCGAGCTACTCTTTGATGAACCAGGCCAATATCCTGGCTGCTCGGGTACGAGATGTCTCAGTGACAACATCAATGATCTGAAGGCCCAGGTCGCCGCTAACCAGAAGGGTATTAACTTAATCAACACACTGATGTCGGACTATGGCGAGCGGGTCGTCAAGTTCTACATGACAAGCATACAAGCCAATGCGGAGCAGTCCGTTCGCGCGCTGCTGAAGGATGTATACAAGCGATTCGAGGGCCAAGATCTTAGCGCAGAGGACTTTATGGATGATGGTAGTCCAATACGACTCAAGGTCTCTATTGATCCCGAAAAGGGTGAAGCTGTCTTCGACTTCTCTGGTACCGGGCCTGAAGTGTACGGAAACATCAATGCGCCAGAAGCCGTTACCTACTCAGCCATCATCTACTGTCTACGCTGTCTGATCAGCGAGGATATTCCATTGAACCAAGGCTGTCTCAAGCCCATTCACGTTCTCATCCCCAAGAAATCGTTCCTGTCGCCGTCTGACAATGCCGCTGTTGTAGGCGGCAATGTTCTCACAAGTCAGCGCGTGACAGACGTCGTTCTCAAAGCATTTCGTGCTTGTGCTGCAAGTCAAGGAGATTGCAATAATCTTACGTTTGGATTCGGCGGTACAACATACGGAGAAGGCGAAAAGAGCGGCGAACGCAAAGACACGAAGGGTTTTGGATATTACGAAACAATTGCAGGAGGATCTGGTGCAGGCTCGACCTGGAACGGCACCAACGGTGTCCATACGCACATGACCAACACCCGAATTACTGACTCCGAGGTCTTCGAGCGAAGATACCCCGTTCTGCTCCGCGAGTTCTCACTCAGGGAAGATAGTGCAGGTAAGGGGATGCACATCGGTGGTGAGGGCGTAATCCGCGACATCGAGTTCCGCATCCCCGTACAAGTCAGTATTCTCAGCGAACGAAGAGTTTACCATCCATATGGTATGGAAGGAGGGGGGGACGCCGCATGCGGTTTGAATATCTGGGTGAAGAAGGTAGACAAGAAAGCCATTGACCAAAATTCCGATTCCAAGCGTCCAACGGAACCTGTGGAGGATGCGCATGCGCCTACCACTTCCCGTGCGGTTGAAACTCTGCTGAAGAAGGATGCCGATATCAGGAAGGAAGATGTGGAGTACAGATACATCAACATGGGTGCCAAGAATACGGCAGCCATGCGGCCTGGTGAAAGGATCATCATCCACACACCTGGTGGTGGTGGCTGGGGCAAAGAGGGTGAGCAAAGTAGGGTGCAGGGCAAGGTCGACCCCAAAGAAAGTTGGAAGGGTGGAAGCATAGCTGGAAGGCAGAGCACTGCGGAGGCCAGTGCGTAGAAGACACCTTTGTATATCGTGTGACTAGTATAATAAATACATCTCATCTTCTGGTTCGCGCTATTATACGTGACTCATATTGTGCTGATAGCGAAAAGCATACGACCCTCTCTTAGAAACCGTCCTCAAACCACCGCCTCACCGCCGCCTCGCAAACATCTCGCCAATCCTCCCAATCTCCACCTTCACTCCGATGCGCCTTCGCCCACCCCTTCGCAATTCTATCCACCACATCCTTTCTCCCACTCTTCCACCTCGGATAGAACCGCATATTTTCCGCCTCAAACTCCTTCACAGCCTGCTTTGGCACCGGCCACGTCTTTCCGAAAATTTCCCCAATATCTAGTATAACATCACGTGCCGTGATGCCATAAAATGGCCTGGCCGCCATCGGCATGCGTCATAGATGCGCGAGATCTATCAGCCTGTACACCATGCAAATATACATCGCAGTCGCCAGAAAGTACTCCAGTGGATCACGATTTTTGCTCGAGCTGGTGGGATACTTGAAGTCAGCAAAGGTGATAGCGAACGCTGGTGTGTGGATACTTCCGGCAGAAGTCGGCTATGTCAACGAGGTCGTCCCACTTGATGGGGCTGATCCAGCGTTTCCCCAAGATAGGTATGGTATTCTCCAACTTTTTGTAGTGCAGTGAGAAGTTGATCCAAGCCTGCTGCTTTGGTGTGCAACGTGCTATAGTCGGTGCGAGCGACGAGGCATGGTGTATGAGAATATCGTTGTAGGGGACTTCCATGTCGGCTGTGTCGGTGTGAAGCTGGCGGCATACGTGTTTGAGTTGGTTGAACCCGTGGGGTTGCATAGTCGTGGGTGTTGGGAATTGGGCAAGAGTGATAAACGCCTGGAAGGAGCAGTCAGTGCGAATGAGAAGATGATGTTGCGGAGTTCGGCTGGCATACCTAGTAAAGAGAGTCTTGGATGCGGTACATGCGTCTTTTCAGGGCCCTTTGCAGACTGGCTGGTTTTGGCTTTGGCTTTCTTTATCGCGTAATCTTTGGGAATCTCCGGACCATCATACTCAGAGTACTTTCTTCTGCGTGTGTCCTAAACCATCTTCCCAGCAGGTGTATTGAGAAGTAGGACTTTTAGGGGGGGGGGGGGGGGGGGGGGGGGGAGGGTTGTATATAACTGCACTGGAACGAATTGCAACATCAAGATCAATCCAGAATATCGTAGCATTAACATTTACATTACTCTAGTAGGTATGAGAAAGTCTTGGAAACGAAAGTCCTGATGCACATAATCTAGATGCAATCATAGCAAGGCCCTGAATGCCTCACTTACTCTCAACAATCATGCCATCACTCTTCCTAGCATTCGCAAAGTTTTTACTCTCATAGAACGCAATCATATCCTTCCAGCCTTGTTTCCATTCGTCCTTCATCCACCCATGCTCTGCGATCCAGAGCTTCTCATGCACTACCTTCAACTGACCTTCCTCCCACTCGGTGGGGAAGAAACCTCCCCACTGCCTTTCCAACTTCGTCCCGGGATATGCACCCTCAGGACCAAACTGCCAGTTCAGGAACGCTTGCTCGGCCATCAAACAATTGTAATTGTCGGTCTTTACATAGTTCTGAAGCAGCCGAGCGTGCATGCGTGAGGATGGAGTGAAGACCATTGAACCGACATTAATGTTTGGATGTTTAGCATCGAGGTCTTGCGCGACGCCAGCGAAGATGTAAGGCTCGCACACGGGACCATCCTCTAGGAAGTCGTCGAGATGCAGCTTCTCCGGTATGCATTCCTGTATTGGCGCAAGCTCAAACATCTCGTCCATGTTTGACAGCGGAAAAGCATCAGCGTCCAGAAACAGGATGCGCTCAAATTCCGTCTCTTTCCACATGTTGAGCTTGGCAAAGAGGTCTTTCCATCGATCTTGTACGCCGTCGACGTTGCATTCCCAGTGGAGAGGCGAAAGCTCGCGAACTATCGCGCCAGCTCCTTTGAGCAGCGCGCGTTGCTCGTCGGTGACATATTCGGCTACGAAGACGATGAAGGGGTGTCTTTTACTACGTGTCCGGGAGGACCAGAGGAGTCGGTAGATGAGCGAATGGATAGCGAGGAAATACGGATCCTTCAGCGAAGGATTGCGAGTAGCGAGGAAGGTTGCGTATGCATACCCTCTCGAGCCATCGGGATTATAGTTGCGAGGCTTTTGCTTCAAGTACTTTTGGAGCACTGAAGTAGGGAGCTCGAGTTGGAGTTCGTCTTGGAAGTTATATTTCGTTCCAGGTATGTGTTCCGTGCTAAATGATGGCGAGACCCCGGTGAGGGAAGATTCCGGTTGATGACCTGAAGCGGAATGTGCGTTGGCTAAACTGGACGGCCGAATACCGTCTAGTACGCCCTTCTCTCCGATTGCGGATGCATCGCCATGGATGGAAACAGTGAGCCCGTCAGATGGTAAGATCTCGATTCCGTCGATGTGCCCGTCTCCATGCGCATATGAGAAACCATATCGCTGTTGTGCAACAAGGTATACGGTTCCGAGACAAGCAAGTGTCGCTAGGGTAATGTTGTGTCGCCGTCGCATAATGTGTACGGAAGTACAGTTCAGGTTTCGCGACGGACCTTTAGTCAGGTCTAGATGCAACCTTCGTGAAAAGGAGGGGGGAACTTCACATGCGCGTTTGGTCAAACTGCTAGGGCGCCGAGCCGTGTCGTAGTCCAGCCGACAACGGTGTGCATATCGCCTGAATGGAACAGTGACACTGACGACGACCTGTTGATCCTGATCAAAGTCCCAACATGATTGAGAGCAGGGGTCGAGTTAATCACGCACGGTGATGTCGCCAATTTCGGGCGCTGCCGTCAGCATGATCGACAGCGGGCAGGGACCATCAGTCCATGCCGAGCAAGTACCCCATGGGGCGCCGCTTCGGAGCAAACTCCACTTTGGATCACCAATAAACATTTGCACCGACATGATAATGCATCTTACCCGTTTAGCACCTGCAGTAGCGCCGTGACGGGTTGCCCCTGGCGTGTCAACATCACATGAAGCCGAGCCAAAAGTGTCTAAAGGAGTCCATAGTCGGCCAGCGCATTGCGATGACACAAATGAAGAATTGTGGAGGAGGACTGACTCAATTTCTTCTAACGTACAGAGTAACTGCGCTGGTGTTTTGGAGGAGAAACTTGTGGCTGGATGGTGCATCTGTAAAGCCAATTTGCCAACTTGACGCTGGGCTCATCCACTAGTTTCGTGACAACCTCGGCTGCATAAAGCGTAATGGGAAGGATAATAAGCTGCGATAGCCAAAATGCAGGCTCGAGCCCCATAGGTCCCCCCTTGGGAAGCGGGAACTTGTCGACCCATCCTGGAAGACCGTTCTGGTGGAATGGTCTTGAAAGCCCAACCGCGGCATAAATTCGGTCTCCTATGGTCCAGATGACTAGACCATGAACTAGGTACAGCGCGAATGAGATGCGCGCGAGGTACTGGCAAAACCCGGTTTCGAAGAAGCGCTTCAGCCATGGCAGTCGTGGAATCGACGCCACGGCAAGGAATGCAGCCCAGAAGAGGTAGAACCATTTGGCGTCGAAGACAGCTTGAGGCTTGAGATGCGACAGCCAGATCCATCCAGGAGACTTCGAGATGAGTACTGTGCGATCGATATCGGGTGCATCGAATGCTGGTACACCGCCGAGGTAAAGTGCGGCGATGAATAAGTGGAAGAAGATGAGCTCCTTGAACCCAGCCAGCGCACTGAGAAATTGTGGAAGCTGGTCTTGCTCGGTCAGCAGGTCAAGGTCGCAGAGCAACATTCCAGATATGAATAATGCTCCGTAGAAGCCATCTACCACATAAAGGAAGTAGATGGCCAAAGCCACCTGGCACGTGAGGCGAGCATTGCGTGTGCATCGGGAAAGAGCGGAGAGCGCTGTGTAGACAATGATGGATCCTTTGAATTCGATCGGTATTGACCAGGTATGCGGGTGGTATGGCTCCGTAAATTCGTAGATGTTTGTCGAGAAGACGAAGCTGTAGTTCTTGAATGTTCGATACCAGGTGACAACATCGTCTTGAAACGTAGATTCCGTATCGCGCATATCGAGCGCGATTCCACTCCAATGGCGGAACGACATCCACGCAAAGGTGACGACGATAATGGGAAGATATAGTCGAAGCCAGCGGCGGAAGAGAGCGGAGCCGACGGTGTTTGACGCACTTGAGATCTGACCCCCATGAATTTGTTGTAGGCTTTTGAGCGAAAGGACATATCCTGAGATGACGAAAAAGATAGCCACTGCGAAGTGACCACCAGAGAATATGAGTCGAAAGAATGGAAACGCTGCTGAATAGTATTTTCCATCGTAGCCAAATGAGGTTTCGAATGCTTGATTGCCCTTGCCGCCATGAGCCCAGAGTTGATTATGGTGCAGGTACACCAAAAACGCCGCAAAACCCCTCAGGCCGTCCAGCCATGCTGTTGGTCTGGCAGGCTTGCTCTTCGTGATTGAGCGTAAGCTCAAAAACTCAGGACGCACTGCGTTGAGACTCAATTTTGTTGTTCGTACTGGTTTCCATATTGTCGGCGAGAGTTTGACCTCTTCAAGGCAGCCTTTGTCGAGCAAGCCCTGGTGTGTGGCTGGCATAACTGAATCCGAAGCGGTAGCAGAAGTGATGTCGACTGTGGTTTGATTCGAATGCAAAGATCAATATCTAAGAATCCCGCAAACGCTTGTTACAGGAGCGAATGGTGCGGGTGTCGCGCAAGGCTAGAGAGCGCGTAGCTTTCTGACGGGAGCTATGCCTTTAGCTTACCTCAACCGAGGCAGCATGTGTGGTTCTCAACGGTAAGTTTAATAAAGCGATCGTCCAGGTCGAGCCGATCATGCAAGCGGGGAATGACGAACTTGGCATCATACTCCAGAAGGATCCGAGGCTGCACGGCCGTGAACTTCAACAGCCCACGAATCAAGACAGTTTGATAGGATAGACAATACAGTTGGGCCGTTCCTGATGAGAGACGCTCAGTGCGGGGCTTCAGTGGGGATACTACCGTTTGTGTCGACGCCTCCGACCAGCTTGCAAGGATCACGTAGAGAAGCTTTAGCCTAGGCGTCTTGACCCAACATCGCCGCCGCAACGATGCAGGCGGCTCCTTAGCCATGCGATGCATGTGCGCTATTGGAATCCCGTCACGAGGCTGATTCTGCATTCAACAGTTGTACCGATGTACCGAGGAAGAGAGCTGCGCGGGGATTGGTGGGCGCAAGGGCCGAATTGAAAACGACAGGAGGGTCTTGGGAAAGATAGTCATTGAGCTAATCTCTCAAAGACTCAGGATGGCTGGGTGGATATAGTCGCCTGCTTTTTTGTAATAACCACAGCATGCGCACGCGACCCAGGGCACCTCCACCCAAGCTTCACCTCAATATCGCAATGGCTCCCCATTCCCCAATTGCAGCGCACTTTTCGGGCAAGCTCACAAGTCAAGTGCGAAGGGTCCTACCTGCATATCTTGCCCTGCTTTTTATCTTCCTGTTCTTCGCCAACACACACTTCTTTACTACACCCATTCGGGCTGCCAACAATTACAGGCGCGAGCTCAGATACCAACAGCCTCTGCAGCTAAAAAGTGATGTGATTCCGAGGAAGATTTGGCAGACATGGAAGGTTGGCCCTCTAGGCTTCGAGAAGCGCGATTCGGATTCAGCGAAGACCTGGCCAGCAAAGAATCCCAGGTATCGGTACGAGGTTTTGACCGACGATAACGCGAACGATTACCTCGAATTCCACTATGGCGCTCACGGTATCAACAGACCAGATCTTGTCAACCTTTACCGAGAGCTCAACATAACGATCATCAAGGCTGACTTGCTTCGTTATCTCGTCATGTATGCCGAGGGTGGTGTGTATGCCGACATAGACGTGGAATGTCTCCGTCCTATTGATCGGTTCATACCCGAGCGTTACATCGAGGAGGAGGTCGACATGATAATCGGTGTCGAGATTGACGAGCCAACGTTCGCCGAGCACCCCATCCTCGGTGGCAAGTGCAAGTCCTTTTGTCAGTGGACATTCGCCGCCAAGCCCAGACTCCCAGTCATGATGAGGCTCATGGAGAACATACAATCGTGGCTGCATGAGCTGTCGCATCAGAAAGAAGTCGAGATATCGCAGTTACAGCTAGACTTCGACGAGGTCATTAGTGGGACGGGTCCCTCAGCGTTCACGAAGGCCGTACTGGAGCAGATGACTGCACAGAATCAAGGCAAGCCGGTTACCTGGGACCTCTTCCACAATCTCGCTGAGTCGAGGCTCGTCAATGGCATCCTGGTGTTGAATGTGGAAGCTTTCGCAGCCGGCCAAGGTCACTCGGACTCTGGTAACCATGACTCAAGGGGGGCTTTGGTAAAGCATCACTACCATGCTTCGGGATGGCCGACACTTCACCCGCGCCGCAATCACCCCATGTACGGTGAAGTAGAGCAATGTAACTGGAAGCCTGAATGTGTAGCAGAATGGGTAAGTCTGGCAGCGGCCCACTCTATACATGCAACTTAACTGACATCGTATAGGATAAGAACGTTGCTGAATGGGATACGCTGCCTAAAGAAGAGCAGGATAAGCGCATCGCCAGCAAACCGGCACCGCCTGGTGGCATCAAGCCTCACTAGAATTGAGCCTCTTGTATATATATATATGGGCGAAAGGTGTCCAAAACCGAGTACATCGGGGTCTACAGTGCTTCTGCATCGGGTCGGCGCGTGCGGGATGGGGCGGAGGTGTCGGGTGCTGCCCATCGCGTCGTTAGCTCGTGGCAGGGCGGGGAGTCGTATCGAGCCCTGGGAGTCCATGCGTAGCGCCACGCAGTCTCGTAATCAACGGCCGCTATAGCTGCGGGTGCGGTTGGTGGTAGCTGGGAGGCATGGTGATGGAGAAGTAGTGGAGCTCGCGTCTACGGACGATCAAACAGATATTGGGGCGTGACGTCATCGACGCGTCTGCCGACCACACGAATAATGTAATGCCATACGAACACGACTCAACAAGTAATTGCTCCTTGCTACGTCTTGATTCATTCGAACCTCTTTCTCGCCCTTGATCTGGTCTCCGAATATTCGTGTTGTGAGAACTGGGTTGATAGTTAGTCGTCACGCAGGCCATGATTGATGAGACAAACCTCCGCGCCATCCCAAAACCCATGTGAGATGTCTCTTTTCCGATCGCTCATGCTAAATCTTTAAGGTATCATCACTATACGTGGATTGCCCCGGATTTTTGCTGTTACTTGTGCGATGGTATCTGTCTTGCTAACATCATTGAAACCTAATGCATTGTTGATGAGTACCATTCTACGACACATTTGGGATCCGTCCCCATGCCCAACAACTAAGTGTCTGCTCGACGTTCAACATAGAGGCTACGTTCTCAACGGCGCACAGGTACGCCTTTCCAACAGCGGTACCAGCTAGTGGCTTGACCTCAACATTCGCGGCCTCGATGCTAGAATATAGGTCCAGATTTGGGACCCGGGGCATTGAGTAACACTGTCTAGACCGTGCTAACTCGACATTCCAATCAATTCGGACATCTAACATCTCCATCCGGCTCCCACATCGAGAAGATCTTCGATTTGCACACCCAAATGTGTGTCTCGCCAGCGCATTGTTGTACCATGAAGGGACTTGCTTAGGCTGTACCCGATGTTTTCGAGAAAGACGCCGTGAGAGGTGGATGAATCTGAGAGGTCTTCTCCCATTCCGACCGAGCGTGATTTAAGCCCCTCAATGACTGAAATACAGTATGTTTAAGCCTCGAGCATATCTAAAAAAAAAAGAAAAAAAAAAGAAGAAGAAAAAAAAGAAGAAAAAGAACATGAAGTTATTAAATAGGCACCATTCTCGCGCAAACATGGAAAATGGCAAGATCACTGGAGGACAAGATCCGCTTGTCTTCCACTCGAGACTTACAGCTGGATTGCCTTGCTTACATTGCGAACGCAGCACTGAGAGACCTGTTTCATTTATCTTTCCCGCGACTGCCCATGTGGATAGCTGTTCGGGCCACGGTACTATAGACTATACCATTCATTCACAATGCCCATACAATGTGTTAACCGCATCAATGTATTCAACATCGATACTGGCAGCTATCAGGAACATCCAGAGTTCTTTTCTACACTCCCGTGTCACATTGGCACATCTTCCTTGGCAGCGCAGATGTCGCGACAATCTTCGCAAAAATGGGAAATGCACCCGCAAACCGAAACAAATTTGACGAACGTCAGTACGCAGCAAAACCTCGTACCAGTGCTAAAGATAGGACCCCACACCAGTACGTTCAATCACATAGATGAAGAGGATGAGGATGGGAACCATTGCGATGACCGCATCAAGAGAGGTGGCTTGACTCGACCTCACACTGGGTCCTCAGCGGGCGTTGGAGACGAAGACGGTGTTGTGAGATGGTACTTCTGCCTTCATCAGAAGATAAGGTCGAGAAGGAAGGCGCCCGCACGTCAAGCGCGCGCATGATGACGTAAGTCACGTGATGCTCATCTAGCATAGTGTAGACTACATAGATACTAAACCCCCCAAACCCCACAAGTGGACTACTCTGCATCCTACAATCTGAGAATCATGAGAATCATGAGAATAAGTGACGCGAATCTTACCTTTTCTAACGCGAATGTCCTGTCAGGTCCACACATACTGCGCAGGTGAGTTCCAAACTGTGCACGGGCAATGACGTCCCCATCGCGAATGCCCACCCGATCTTGGATGGCTGCCAATCTACCCACTTCCCTTCCCACTCCTCATCTCCTTCTACTTGTTTTCGTCAAATCACGTCAGGAATCCGCCATCATGTTTCGTAGCCGTTCGTAACAGCCATGCGGCGGCGGGGTAACTCAGTTTTAGCTGGGTGCAACCCGCCCGCGTGGTGGCTTAGCGCGAAGATGGGACGCCGCACTGCCGTTCCCTCACTCTCGTGACAGCTTGCGCCGCTAATGCACTTCTCTCTTCCCGCGACTGCGTTGCAATCTATCGATAGCGATTGAGGTTGAACTTTGCTGGACAGTTTGCGACGCCATCCAAATACGAGAAGACGCTATGGACCATGTCACTGCATCCCTCGAACTCCTTCATCGTACGTGTCACCGTCAACAGCCGCTTGAAACCCTCGATGAGAGATCTATCATGTTCCAAGCCTCATGCACTTCACGACATTGTGCAAGAATTGGCTGAACTAAAAAGGTCATGACTCATCGTTTGTCTGCTCTCAAACGAAACAAAAGACAATGGGATTCAAGTTCACGATGCTAATGCTGCTATAGTCATCTGCGCAACTTTGATCTTCATCCGCGACGTCACAAGAGACACAGGCGGCGTTACGAATACGACAAACTTCTTGAACGAGACGCTCGTGTTCTTGGACGTGTTTTCGAATGTCTGCTTCAGCGACTTGACCGGAGTCCTACGCGACAGCCGTGTGCATCATACCCTGACAAGTGATGTAGAGTACTCTCTTTATTCGCTCAACAAGTCGTTAGCCGCGCACCGGGAAGCGTGGAGGTACATCGGCAAGAGTCCTATTCCTGGTGCGGGCCAAAGAAGCATTGAAGATCTGAAGCGTGGTCGCGCCGCGTCACTAGATGTACAGAATGAAAAGAAGAGCTGGAGAGACGAGATGAAAGAACGATCGCAACTCTGGCGAGAGAAGGCCCGGCCGGGACTATACAAGGCCTTATTTGGAAAAGAGGAGATGGTCACGCTTACCCTGAACTGCCTGCAATGGACGCATCGGCTTCGGCAAACTTTGGAAATTGTCTTCCTTGGCACCGGACCTCCGGACACAGGATTCGGTAATTCCAGGCAGGCTGTTATTCTTGGTGTGGCAGAGCAACTGGAACGCCAGCATCGAGCTGGTGCAGAGCCTTCGGGCGATTATAACGCGCTCGTCGGCGCGCTCAGAGAAACGATCAGCACTGGAGAGCCATTGCACGGCCTTGTCAAGACGATATACGATGATGGCGGAGATGAGGTCGACGTTCTTGTTGAGACGCGATCAGACGACGAGACGCCTGCTGAGTACATGTGTCACTTGACGTGGTTACTACAGGCCCCTCATCAGACCGACGTATCCGTCAAGAGCGATGCTCAGGACGGCTACCAGCTGCATACATTGAGCTGTATGGGTTTTATCGATGATCCACTCAACAAACGGAGCTTGATCGTCTACCGCGCGCCGCAAAGCCATCCTTGGGCATCAAACCCACCGTCTTTGTATGACCTGATCTCGAAGGGCCCGACCGCGAGACCATCCATTGGAAGTCGCTTCCTCATCGCAAGAGCGCTGACGAGCACACTGCTCGAGTCGCACGCGTCCGGTTGGGTCCATGGGAATGTACAGTCGCGCAGTATAGCAATGCTGCCAAGATCATTCAACGATCTTGAATTATCTCCCTTCTTCGTTGGCTGGGGTGTCCTGCAACCGCTCGAGGCTACGCACTTCCCGTTAGAGCCGAATCTGTATCGCCATCACGATCGTTTTGGCCGGCCATCTTCTGAGTATTCCAACGAGCATGAGATCTATTCACTGGGTGTAGTTCTGCTAGAGCTTGGGCTTTGGCGGACGATGGCGAAAGTGTTCGCCCGCCGCATAGAAAAGTTTCCCATCTTTGGCATAGTACAGCAACAGGATCTCTTCAACCGTGTACACAATGCGACACTGGATTGGGCCAATAGTACGGAGATCGAGAGAGAGATGGGGAAATCATATGCACAAGTCGTGTTGAAGTGTCTTACTTGGCACTACGAGGATCCAGTCGAAGGCATGATTGAGTTCCGAAAACAGGTCGTCGACGTGTTGACTACCGGATGCGGGCTTTAGTCGATGCATTGCTTATAGACAGCGTGTTTCAGTCTAATTGCGGTAAATACCAATTTCGAGAACAATCAGAGACCAGCGACTAAGGATAAGGAGTGGTCGCGCGAATGAAGCAATGTCGACAGTGGAAAAAGTCCCACGCCAAACATCAAATACAAGCACATACAAACAGCAACGAGTATGTCGATACACAAACCTTCTTGGCGGGAAAAGCTATGTTTCGATCAATATATGTTGGCTCTACTACCTCACATCAGCCGTTGGTTCGGCCCATTCTTTTCGTCATTATATACAATATAACAGTATACGGCAGGTTAAGCTTTCGACTCACTTATCATTTACGATGCTTCGAGGTCCCTCAAGCGGTCTCCGTGCCAAGTGAGCTGCCTGTATCACTTTGCAGGGAAAGTTGTGACCTGCACACGGCCAGCGTCCGTCATTGCAGCCTTCCCAGAACCGCTATGACGTTGTGGAAATTATGTCAACGCACCACGGACCCGTTCAGAAGATGCACGTGAGCGCATATACATAGAAGGTACTGCGTCCATTGCTAAATAGTCCGTCTCTCGATACACTCAAGCACCTTGGCCACCCCCCACCCTTACACCCACTAGCGCTCTCCAAGTCTTGGTTTCACCGGCCGTACCGCGCGACTACCGCTCTCCTCGCATACTGCCCCGCCCTCACATCCTATAATAAGCGCTTAGAAGACTGCGCCGACCCAACGAACTCTGCCCGAATCCCGCAACCCCAAGCCCAAGCTCAGACCATCGCAATGTCCAACTTGAACGAGGAATACAGTCCGGAAGACATGGCTTTGGTCGCGGCCGACTTCCAGAAGATGGAAGACGGACAGCTAAATCATGCTCTTGAAGCGAGTCGAGTTACCGCAGGATGGAGAGGGCCGCGGCGTTCTACGAGTACCAGGGCCGAGGTACAGTCCGAGGACGAGGACGAGGACGAGGAGACTCTTGTCGCGCTTGACGTCAGCAGGGTTGAAGCAGAAGAGGCGGATCGAAGACGTAATGCAGACACAGAGGCGGACGAACAAAGGCTCCTCGAAGCTCAAAGGCAGTCGGAGCGTGAAGCACTGGCCGCCCATCAAGAACGCGAGGCTACTCTTGTTGCGCTTTCCATCAGCCAGGTAGAGGCAGAAGAGGCGGACCGACAACGGCTTCTTGAAGTTAAAAGGCAGTCTGAGCGTGAAGCACTGGCTGCCTGTCAAGAACGCGAGGCTACCCGGAAAGCTGGGCTACAGTCTCTGAAGGATGAACGTGCTCGGGCTCAAGCTGCGCGATTACGTCAAGAGACCTTGGATCAGGCCATCGTCGAGAGCAGGTTGGCAGCCGAGACTGAGCAGCAGCGACAAGAACAACAGTCTGCGCGCCTTCAGGAGACATACGCTCTGAGCGGCTTGAGTGAGGACGAGCAGCTGCAGATGGCGATGAGCCAGAGTCAAAAGGAAGAGCATTCTCGTGAAGTTGCACATGTCGCGCAGCTTCGAGAGACTATGCTGCGCTGGGTGAACAAGAACGGACAGACTCCTGCACCATCGGGCGAACCGTCGGCAACCCAGCACCCAGAAGACCGTCCAGTACTGGGAGCCATAGCGTCCTATCCTCCGGGTCCAGTCACTGAGGTAAATTCTGGCTGTAAGAACTGCATGTGAGATATACACTGACTTCGCACGTCTACCTCTGCAGCAGGAACAAAGGAGCATGGCCGATACTCAGGAGGTCATTAACAATCCGAACGTACTCTATCGGCCTTTAACATCGATCTCGGGGACGTCTGCATCGCGACCAGCAAGTCTTCGATCAGTGGCAGACGCCCAAGCTCGAGATCCTAATCTTGTCACCGCCACGACCTCCGATAGAAGCAGAGCGTCCATCCGATCAGTTTCCTCAGGCCGTTCACCGTCGTACCATACAATAGAGGAGAACCCTGCGCTGAGAGTGGAGTCTTCCGAAGTGCCCCATGATATCCCAAACGAACCGCAAACTATCGAAGATCAGCCCGTGTATCCTGGCGCTTACCCTCCGTCTCGTTCTCAGTCAGGTTCGTCGGTACGTAGTACAGTGGGACATTCAAGGCCGATCGTCGGGACCCCTCTCCTACCAGGTGCCTACCCCCCCTCATACGCGAGCAGTAGAGCACCTCGTAGCGAGGCGGGAACATCATGTGTGACGCCTATGCAAGGAAGTGTTATAGTACCACAACCGCTGGGTAACAGCCTATCAAGCATTACCTCTTCGATAGCATCCAGTCAGGGCCGAAATGCGGGAAGCCATTACTCATGGAGTGCGAATGCGCCCGTGCGAAGCGAACAGTTATCTGGCGCATGGCCGCTATCGTCGCAAGCAAGTCGTGTCCCGAGTCGGCTGAATACGGTATCATCCGGAGGGACATTCTTCACAGCCCAGGAGACGCAGCCACTCCAGCGCCAAACAAGCCCACCGTCTGCTATCTCCGACCTCTGGAATCATCGGGCTCGAGATAGTCATCAGCATGAAGGGCCAGGACCTCGACTATTCACACCGGTTTCGGCGTCTTCACGCCCAAGCGAAACTCCATCTGCCGTTCGACCGCCATCGTCTCGAACATCTCAGGGGAGTGTTGTGCGTAAGCCGGTTGCTCAATCTCAACCCTCTAATTCTGCTACGATTGAGCAGCCAGCGCTAGCAACGGCTGCCAATACTGTAAGGTCGATGGACGTGATCCCGTCGGGCTTGGAACGGGGGCCACCAGCGTGCCACTTTCATGCTCCGGTAAATTTCACCATCTATAACATCACCGAAGAGCCCAAGTCATCCCAGAATCTATTAAAGCAGTTACTCAACAAGAGCACGCATGCTACCAAGGGTATGAAAGTTTTCGAGCAGAAAGGGGCAGAACTCTACCTGAACAGTGTAGCTGAAGCGACAAGCAACCTTTGGAGGAACAAGAGGAATATATTTCCTGTCAGGTCTTGTAAATCGGCTGCAAATGCTGTGGTGAACGAAGCGAGGGAAATTGACCGTTTTCCTGTTTCCCAGACTCATGACGACATGGGCAGTATTGCCAGTCCTTTTCAGGCGAGACAAGAGCTGCAGCTCATGAACCCTGATCCACCAAGCTCAGAATTGGGCACGCCTAAGACGAGAAGGCCGCTACAATCAGAAATGCCCACACGACAGAGTGATGAGCTCGCTACGCCTCGGCCATCTACGTTACAGCGGTCAGTGACGTCACCTCCTCTCACAGCGACAATACAGTCGAGGTCAATGTCGCTGGATCAATCGACTGCATCCCAGATTTCGGACGTGAACGGAAATGCCGTGACTCCGCCTAGCGTCTGTCAATCGAGAGTGAGAAGCTCGATGGACAAGGATAGTTTCCGATGCGCTTCCGAACTGCGCCCCCAGCCGCTGGATATCCGCAAGCAGCCTCCGCCTATGCCACCAAAGCCTCTGGGGCTGACCAGTTCTTCTGCATGTGCAGCGCCATCGCCACTACTACCGCCTCCTCGGAACCGGAATCCGATGACGAGGCGTATAGCTAGCGAACAAAAGGAACAGTCTGGGTGGTTACAGCAACTAGTGCTGTTTCCGATCATGAATCCGACCCAAGAGCCGACGATTGGCTCACCCGATTCCATGACGGTCACAGCACCAACACCTCGGCGGATCAACGTCGATTTGAACCGACGCAGTCAATTTGAGCCAATTGACACGAGCTTGGCGAACGTGCCTCCTGGTGAACGTCACATCAATGAGTTCAACTCGCGATCGATGATGGATATTGGCATGATGAGTCAACTAGGCAATCCTGCAATAATGGATCCATTGCTTGGACAGTACGAGCAGACCTATACCCGCCCACCGCACGTGCAGCAGGAAAGGCTGAACTCGGACGCTAGGGCCAAAAAGAAAGAGAAGGACATCCAGAAGGCTTTACGGAAGCAGTGTTGAAGGTTGAAAAGTCATAGAGGAGTGAAGCTTGGAGTAGAGAAAGAGCCCTCATTCGGCTATATCAGCGTCGTTTCAGCAAGCATCGCAAACAATTGTATATTAATTTTCGTCTCTGGAGCCGTTGCAGTGATGTTATCGCATGGCCGTTCTGTTATGGCAGGACCCAATAGGCTTGGAGGTCTACGGCTGCCCGCTTCGTCGGCTTTTCAACCAGGAACAAACACCTCCGATAACGTTACCCGACATCGCGCGTATGAGTGGTGGGGTAGTGACCCGCCAGGGCAGGGGTGTCGGCCTCTCCAATAATTCCCGATCGATAAGCAAGGGACATGCACGCCGTGGCAATAAAAGTAACTCTGGGTCTGTGAATTCGGTAAAGATAACTATCCAAGGATTAGGCCCAATATTGATCGTTGAACGCGTTTTTGGAGACTCGTCGACACCTGTACGAAGATTGAAATAATGGGTTCCATGGATATTGCAGGTGGTATGAAGACGGTAGTGGACCAAAGTGCATAGCCAAAGAGTTCTGCTAACATTGGGTAGAGTTGGAGTCGTTTAGTGCGGTTTGTCGCAACCGAGGACGGTGCTGAGCACATCGGCGAGCCCATTGATGCTGAGCTAGATGGTACATCGACTCTCTCCTTCAATACCCGCCATTGCTAACACATTGTAGTCGGTGTAGCCCTTGCCTTAGGATCAGAAGTCAAAGCCCACGTTTTCACCGGGTCGTCGGTACTCTCTGTGGATACCCAACCAACGCTAGTGACCTACACGATATCCAAACTACTACCACCACTTTCAAAAGCCGAAGTCGGCACGATTCGCTGCATAGGCCTGAATTACCGGAAACATGCGAAAGAGATGAACTTGGACCTTCCAGACCACCCGACTCTCTTCTTTAAGCCTTCAACATGCCTAGGGGCGCCGAATGCGCCTTTGGTCATTCCACATCAGGCGACAGATGGGCAGGCCGACTACGAAGCCGAGCTCGCAGTTGTCATCGGGAAGCCGGCCAGAAATGTGAGCAAAGAAGATGCAATGGAGTACGTGCTGGGCTACACATGCTCGAATGATGTAACGGCGCGAGTCCACCAGTTCAACGGCGCGCAATGGGGGTTCGGCAAGGGCTTCGATGGCTTCGCGCCACTAGGGCCATGTCTGGTATCCGCGTCTTCGATACCAAACCCAGGCGAAATTGAGCTGAAGACTGTACTCAATGGGGAAACGATGCAATGCTCGTTGGCGAACGATATGATCTTCAGTATACCGGAGATAGTCGCATATTTAAGCCAAGGAACGACGCTGGAGCCAGGCACCGTGATCATGACGGGTACGCCGCATGGCATTGGTGTGAGTAAGGTGCCGAAGGTGTGGCTCAAGCCAGGAGATGATCTAAGGATCGTGATGAGCCATGGTATGGGAAGTCTGGTGACACCAGTAGCGTATGAGGAAGCTTAGAGTATATACCGATATCGAGGCTATATGGCGCATAAGTGGGACAGTAATAACGTCTTTCCGGAGAGCGACGACATATCCCATAACTATGATTGCGCAGTTGGCGGAGACGGCAATATCTACAGAGCGCAATGCGCTATTGGAACCCGAATAGCATCTGCTCTTGTGTGATATTGTCCAGTACACTCTCCCAGTGTTGTAGATCGGTTGGCTCGAACAAGGTGGTGAAAGATGGGTCACCCCATGGAGGAGCATGCCATTGGAAGGGCCCACCTGCACCTATCGCTGGCAGATCAGGCACCGTTACCGAGCTTTCTTCCGTATATGGTGACGTTAGATCGATGGTATTGGCACTGTGGACGGTAGAGGGCGCATCGTCTGCTGTGTTAGGACGTGTGTCACTACGACTAGCACGAAACTGATTCGCTTTCTTGATGCAGAGCTCAATGATTTTGACCTCAGCTAACGCGAACTCATTGAGCCAGATATCAGCTCTTTGCATCTCACAATACGCGGAGAGATCTTCCAGTATCGCGCGACACTTGGGCGAGTGTGGATCTTTAACAGCGATTATGCCAAGTACCAACGCACTGTTGAAGAGGTGGTGTGGACCCAAAGTCCACTTCAGACGGTCTTTCAACGGCTGTTGGAAGTAATCGATGCGCATGGCAAGGTCAGCGCACGCTGATGATATACATGCATCGTGACTATATCTAAAGCGATTCGTGATACTTTGGCGCAGCAAGTACGGTCGATGAAGCGTGACGCGGGCGAAGTGGTACATGGAGTGGAGATGCAAGCGGTTCCAATAAAGGAAGGGGTGCATTTCATCCATAGATGTATCTGAGGTTTTCAGATGATAGTATTCTGGTAACCTGGCCTCCCATTCGATAATCTCATGATCTAGCGAAATGACGGTGTCGTACGAAACGGTGAAGAGGCCAAAGCAACGCTCTTGGATGCTGCCGATGACCTTTGCCAAGTCGTGCGCGAGAAAGTTGTAGACGCTTAGAGTAGGCTCGGACATGGGCAGCTCTGGAATGGCGGATGTGTCCTCGTCCAGTTGGTCGTCCAACCAGACGTTGGTGGCTCTTTTGACGAGACATTGCTGGTCAACTATGGCGAAGGGACGGCCGATAGCAAGCGCAATAGTCTTATCCAAGGTGTAAAGATGGCTCCACAGGCGTCTTCGGGTTTCGGTCTCCTTACGCGAGAGACGCCAACGTTCGCCGTCGATATGCATACCCTGTGCTTGAGCCATACGCATAGCGAAACTGGTCGTAAGCCAAGCCTCCGGTACTCTTCGCAAATGGATCAGATAACGTGTGACCAGAAGACCGGCACGGACAAGATCTGTCGACTCTCCGTAGAATGTTGGCGCAATGACTATAGCGCGTCTTGCTGCCCAGTAGAAGCGTAGTGATGTCTCTTGAAGATCACGTTGCACTTCGCCATTCTTTGGATGGGGGCAGTCGAGGAAGACACCGTACGCAAGCACAATGAACAACAATGCCAGCCACCTGAGATCGATAGATGCATAGTCATCGAAGCCGAATTTACGCTCCCAGAACTCGTCATACTTCAATTTGAAAGACTGCGGATGAATGGCGTCTATGGTCCAGTTCAGCTCGTCAAGGAAGACATGTACGAGGCGATCGACACTGGCTTTGTTGCGTGGCAGCAAACCCAGCAGATCCCAGATCTGCGAGAAAGGGCCTCCAACATCGCGGAAGGATTGCGCTGAGGCAGCAGAATGTCGTATGCCGGAAGATAGATCCGGTGCGGGCTCTTCGATGATTTTTGCGGCAGCTTGAGGTCCGAAATATGACGAGCCGAAGAAGGATGGCGCATCTCGACTGCGGAAGAGATTACCGACTTGTGCGTCTCTGGGTTCAGGTGAGTTTCTAGCACGTATGGAAGTGGTCCGTGTGTCTTCGCAGTGACATTAGCAACGATCTGGGCAACGAGCGTGTCGAAAAGCCTCTCGCAATTTGCTGTGTGAAGCCCGTCGCCTATACGAACGTACCTGCAGGATTCTCTGAGGATACATCATTATCTAGAGGGATACCGGCGACCTGTGAGTTTTGCCGGCGACGAGCTTCAGCCTCGTCGCTGTACGTGCAGCTCGAGGCAACATCGCGTCTGCTGCAGTTGAAGCATGGCAGCTCTCCGTCGCACTGCTTATATCATCAGCTACCTATCCGCTGCATCGAGAATTGCTCGTAGAATGATTCCAGTCCTTTACAACAGAAGCGCTGCGAAGATGCCCGGGTTGGACTGTTGTCATCCATCACGCGTTATCGCGCGCGGCGAAGGCTCGGAGCGACTGCTTACGTCATACGCACCTTCTGCTTGCGCCGATGACACGCGACGCAACTCTTCGCTTGCCGACCTCTCTTCCTCTTCTTCGTCGACGGACCTTGATCGCCTCTCTCCATGTTTCCCTCGTATCGCGACTCCATCATGCTGATGATTCCCGATAACGCTGGACATTTAGCCGATAGCATCTCCATCGGACGCCTGCCAATGTTTTTAGCGCATCCTCCATGCGTATCATGCCCACTTTAGCAGGGCTCGCTATCTCCCCGCGTCGGACAATTCCATAGGCACCGATCGGCAATAATGTCATCCCAGGTCAAGATGAACGGTATAAGGTATATGTCGTGGCAGACGAGTATGTGTTGGACTGCAAGCCCATATCATGAGCTTTCCGTCTCATCTACCCATCGAAAACGACACCACCGGCACCATGTCACATCCGACCCCGGATGACAAGGCCTTTGTTGGCTCAATCCACGAGAAGGATACCCAGATTGGCGCTAGTGAAGAGATACATATCGATCCAGTTGCTGAGAAGAAGGTAGAAGCGATGCACGCAAGACTGGGTATCACAGTGCTGACTTGGATTGACAGCTCATTCGCAAATTAGACCTCATACTATCTCCGATGATGGTCTTGGTATTTCTGGTACGCCATATACAATCTGAAATTCACTGCAACAGGCCTGATAAGCGTGCTCCAGGTGGCCTACCTCGACCGGTCCAACATCGGTACACACACCCTGATCATGACTATCCAGAGTTAATTGCTGATAGCTCTCAGGCAATGCTGCCATTGCAGGCATGAACGAGGATCTGGGACTCACCGGCAACCGTCTCAACGTTGCCGTAACGCTCTTTTACGTGACCTATATCGCCTTCGAAGTTCCAGCCTCTATATTGTTGAAGAAGCTGCGACCATCCCGCCTAATCCCAACGTTCATCATTGGCTGGAGCGCTGTCATTATCGGGGCTGCTTTCATCGAGAACTACGCATCTCTCATCGCTACGCGTCTGCTCCTGGGGGCTTTCGAATCCGGCCTGTTCCCGTGCTTGACGTTGTATCTGAGTATGTACTACAAGCCTCTGGAGCAAGCGCGGAGGGTGTCGTATCTCTTTGTTGCATCTGCACTGAGCGGTGCATTCGGCGGGCTACTGGCGTACGGTCTCACAAATCTCCATGGCGCGAAAGGGCTTGCTGGTTGGCGCTGGCTGTTTTTGGTAGAGGGTCTCATCTCCATCATCGTCGGCGTCGCTACCATCTTCCTATTACCCGACAATTTCGAAACCGCGTGGTGGCTGAACGAAGACGAAAAAGCTCTGCTTCGCGCCCGACACGAGAATGAACGATTGTACCAGGGCAAGTCGATGACAACAGATGCCTTGGACAAGTCGGAAGTAAAGCTTGCTTTCCGCGATCCCAAGGTGTGGCTCAGCTCTGCTTGCCAGTTCTGCGCCAACACCTGCTCCTTCGGCTTCTCGACATTCCTCCCCGTCATCATCCGTGGATTTGGATACTCTAGCATTCGTACTCAGCTCCTCACTGTACCTGTGTACATTTGGGCCTCGGCAGTGTACCTCTTCGTCGCTTTCTGCTCGGACTACTTCAACCGCCGAGCGTTCTTCATGGTCCCTTTGGCTTTGGTTACTTCAATAGGCTATGCCATGATGCTTGGCGTCTCCATGTCTTCGACCGGGGTGCTGTATTTCGCGACCTTTGTCACTGCTACTGGCATCTATTGCGTCGTGGGTTTGAACGTTACCTGGGTGATCAATAGCAATGCGGGATACTTCAAGCGCGCCACCGCCATAGGATTGCAACAAACGATCGGTAACTCGGCAGGTATCATGGCCGGCCAGATCTACCGCATCACAAATGACGATGGTCGTTATGTGATTGGTCACGCCGTCTCTATCACAACCATCACGATCGCGGCATGTGGTTACGCTCTCATGTACTTCACTTTGCGTGGCATCAACAAGAGGAGGGAGGTGATGTCTATCGAGGAACGAATCCATCAGATCGACTCAGGGAAACTCGGCGATCGCCATCCCGACTTCCGGTATACATTGTAGATACATAAGTTCCAAGACAACGGATGCAATTCTCCGCTACTATGCTATGCAGAGGACCCAGGCTTTAAACCCTTGAACGTTTTCGTGATGTTGGTTATCGCGTCTTCGACCGGCAAGCGTTCCATAGAGCTTGCGCCATAGAAGCCATGTACGCCCTTTGTTCTGCTGATCACATATTCCGCATCCTCTGGCTTTGCGATTGGGCCGCCGTGACACAGAATGATGACGTCCTCTTTGATGCTCGTTGCAGTATCGCGGATCTCCTGAATCAGCTTAACGCAGTCATCCAAGCTCTTTCCACTGCTCGCCCCGATACTTCCGCTCGTTGTAAGTCCCATATGAGCGACCAGGATATCTGCGCCTGCGTTCGCCATCTTCTTCGCCTCTTCGACATTGAACACGTACGGTGTCGTTAGGAGATCCATCTCTCGCGCCATCTTCATGACTTCCACTTCGGCATCGTAAGACATCCCCGTCTCTTCGAGATTCTGCCGGAAGATTCCGTCAATCAATCCGACAGTCGGAAAGTTTTGGATACCAGCGAACCCGAGGTCTTTAAGTTGCTTCAAGAAGCGAGACATGTCTCGGAATGGGTCTGTAGCGCATACGCCAGCTAGTACCGGCGTAGATTTGACGATGGGAAGAACTTCGCCAGCCTGAGAGTGTTAGCTGCTGAAAAGGTGCGACTCCCATTCGCAATTGTCATACCATTTCCAACACGACATCATTAGCGTTTCCATATGGCATCAAACCAGCTAACGAACCGCGGCCTGCCATTCGATACCTTCCGCTGTTATATATGATGATGAGGTCGCCGCCACCTGCTTCGATGAATTTTGCGCTGAGTCCGATGCCAGCGCCTGCCCCAACAATGATCTTGCCATTGTCGATCTGCGAGCGGAGGTTTTGTAATATACTTTTCCGGTCGGTTGGTGGTGACATGCTTGTGTACTAGACGTACTTCAGCGCTCAATTGTAGGGGAAATGAGGCGTCTGGTATCTCAAGATATAATCGGAAATCACGATGCTGTAGTGATGATGCTAGGTCGGTCTGTTGAGGTATGCACGATGACGTAATGCAAGGGCGGGGGTGCTTACACGGGTATGAGCATCTAAGACCCACCCGATACTCATACATCAACATTTTGTGTTTTCTATCAGATGACTATACCACCATGTCATCTAACCCCCGAGTCGTGCTTCTCGGTACTTGCGACACAAAGCTGGAGGAGCTTCTTTTCCTCCGCAAAGAAATAGAACAAAACAATGTCGACGTGACGTTGATGGATGTGGGTAGAAAGCGTATAAAACACAACTCCATCAGCATCAGTCAAGACCAACTACTGGAGGATCAGGATGGCGTGGAAGATGTAAGCGAGTTGCCTCGAGGCAAAGTCATCAAGACGATGGCTACCCGCGCTACCAAGGCAATTAAGAAGATGTTTGAAGAAGGAAAGATACACGCTGTCATCAACGCAGGAGGCTCGGGTGGCACATCCCTAGCGGCAGAAGTGATGAGGACCGCACTTCCCATCGGCTTCCCTAAACTTATCGTCTCTACTGTCGCAAGCGGCGACACTGGACCCATCGTTGGAGAAACGGATATAACTTTGATGTACAGTGTGGTGGACGTCGCTGGTCTCAATCAGGTACTCCGAAACGTACTCAGTAATGCTGGAGCCGCCATCGCCGGAATGGCCCGAGCATACGCTTCTCGTCAACAAGATGTCGTTCAAGCTAAAAAGAAGCGTGTCGGTATTACCATGTTCGGTGTCACTACCCCAGCCGTCGACTCAATACGCACACATCTAGAGACGAATTACGATATTGAAACGTATGTTTTCCACGCTACCGGCCACGGCGGAAAGGCAATGGAGCGACTTGTCAGAGAAGGAGGCCTTGATGCAGTGCTTGATCTTACCACTACCGAAATATGCGACCACATCACCGGCGGTGTGATGAGCGCGGGCGAGCATCGTCTCGAGGCTGCCGCAGAAGCCGGAATACCATACATCGTCTCCGTAGGCGCGACAGACATGACGAACTTTGGGCCCATCAACACTGTACCGGAACGATACAAAACCCGCAAACTATACGAGCACAACCCTGTCGTGACTCTGATGAGAACGTCCGTCGACGAGGCGACTCAAGTCGGCAAATTCATTGCGACGAAGTTGAAAACTCATGCGAAGAATCCTGAAGCGATCCAGATATGGTTCCCAAAGGGTGGTATCAGCATGATCGCGGTTCCTGATGGGCCGTTCCAAGATGAAAGGGCGGATGCGGCGCTCTTCGATGCGATAAGAAGAGAACTACAAAACAGCAACATCGAGATAACCGAGGACGAGCGTGCGATTAACGACCAAAACTTCGCGCGCGACATTGCGGAGGCTTTGGTCGCGAAAATGGGTATCAGTCGAAAGGCGAGTTGATGTGATGTCACATGACTTCGCGATTCACAGAAACAGATACGGGAGTGTTCAACTAACTCCATGCGCGTGGTAGCTAGACGGACAAAGTCAAGCATGAAAATTGACATCTACTGGCCTCCGGCCCCACAAGCAAGGCGTACCTATATTTATCGTAGAGCTGTGCTGTTTCCAACGTCCATCGCAAGGCAGCCTTACGCCCGTATATACGTCTCATACTGTACGATGCTTTGCCCCTGAATGGCTATGCGAGATGAGCAACAAGGTTATGTGGGCTCAGGCGTTCTGCGCTAGCTAGCCGACGAACCATGAGTGGTCACATCGCACAGCGGCTGGATGTACAATACTAGCGCTGATCCTGTGCCACTTGACAAACATCGTCAACTGCTTTTTCTGTCCTGTTGCTTTTGGAAGAACTGGCTTTTCTAGAGTCGACTTCTATTTCACAGCGGAAACGCACACCTTTCGGCTTTCATCATGTTCGCACACGCTAGTGTGCTGTCATTCGCTTTATCATGCATCATCAGCACTACTGCCGCGCTAGACTTGGATGTTCAAAACCAGGGTAATGACGATCGTTCCCACTTGCGCAACTGGAAGTTAACATCGATAGACTCCATCAAGAGTGCTGCAAAGACGCTTGCTAACGGTCTTGTTACTTTCTACAATGAGAGCGTGTCCGAATCTGGAATTCCCGGCATTTTCCCTGATCCCTACTTCTGGTGGGAAGGCGGTCTCGTCTTCAACGCGCTGATCGATTATTCCTACCTGACTGGCGATAGCCAGTACGATTCTATCGTTTCCAAAGGCATCCAAGCGCAGCTTGGTGATGATTTTGCCTTCATGCCAGAAAATCAAACCGCACAAATTACAAACGAGGATCAAACCACCTGGGCTCTAGCAGCTGTGACCGCGGCCGAAACTGGTTTCTCACCACCAGAGAACAGATCGTGGGCTGAATACGCCGCCGAGGTATTCGATGTGCAGGTGCTAAGATGGGACGAAGAATCTTGTGGAGGAGGTCTTCGTTATACAATCTTCTCGTTCCAGTCTGGATACGACTACAAATCCAATGCTGCCACCGGCGACTTCTTCCTCCTGGCTGCCCGTCTAGCCAAGCTTACCGGCAACGAAACTTACTCTGAATGGGCGGATAAATCGTATACCTGGGCCAAGGACCGGGGATTGATCAGCGATGATTATGATGTTTACGACGGTACTTCTGCCAGCTTAAATAATTGCGAGGATGCCAATCGCGTGCAGTGGTCGTACATCCACTCGGCATACACAGAGGGCTCTGCTATCATGCAGAACATCGTGAGTATCTCTCATTGTTTAACCCAGTTTCATGCTAATAGCCATCGGCAGACCAACGGCGAACAGAAATGGACTGATGCCGTACAAGGCTTCGTGAACTCTTCCAATATCTTCTTCGAAGACGATATTCTCACCGAGATAGCCTGCGAACACAACGGAAAGTGCACCATCGATATGCGTTCTTTCAAAGGTATCACCGCACGCTCGTATGCTCGTGCAGTCATCGCGGCTCCTTCTCTCGCAGAGCCGCTCACCAAGAAACTCGAAGCCTCCGCCAAAGCCGCCGCCGGTATATGCGAAGAAGTTTCCGAAGACGTCAAGTGTTCGTATTCATGGGATCATGCGGATAGTTTGGAAACTGCTAGTGACGGAAACTTAGGTGAGGTGTTCAGCGCGCTGGCAATAGTGCAGGGCTTGCTGTTCTCCAAGGCCAAGCCGCTCGCTTCGAATGGGACAGGAAATGGAGCTGGAGACACTACAACGCAGAGTGGGGATGCGTCGGGTACATCTGGAGCCGAAGTACCTAAAGAGACGGGTGCGGCGGGGACAATCGCTGCAAGTGTCACGGCTGTCTTGGCCGTTGCTTTTGCTGCGGCACTCAGCTGCTAGATTTATCTCTCCTAGCAATTTCAACATTACAAGATAAACTCCACCCAAGAAGATATCAGGCGTAGGTGTAATATGGCTACATTCATGCGCCTCCAGTAGACGCTTCCCTTTTGTCGTCGCGCATAGCGATGTCAGCACTATTTAGAACACGTCCACGATACCGATGTTGATGCTGAACACTCTCCATTGGTGTATCGTGCCTTCGTCAATCCAATTAACGGTAAGTTGAACATAGCTCCCATCTTTACACTCGAAGACAGCTTCGGATCTTGCCTCAGGGCGTACATTCGGACTTTCCACGTTGATATCTAGTGTGTACGATGACGGGGATGACCCATCCTGGGTCGAGAACTCCAAAGACAACATGTCAAGTGGGCTCTCTTTAGCGAGACGTGTGTAAGTCATTGTTGTTGGGTCCCAATCTTTTGGTTCTCTTGGTACGTGGTCGGGTTTGTTGAAATATCGGACGAGAGACCATCCTGTTACATCGGCGAGGCGCCAACCCAATTTTTCAAAGAAGTTTTTGGAGTTATTGATGACATATGACTCATCGAACGGGCCAAACTGCCGATTCATTCGGACAATAGTGATGTTACTCTCAGTACGTCTGATAGCATCTCTAGTACTCATGAATACCGTCTGCGAGACCTTATAATCGCTCAGACTCAGGGCTGCACCTCTGTACACAGTCCGTATGGGCTGTTGTTCGTCATCACTGCGGACAGGATGTAGGATGATGCCAAGGACGTGAGAGCGCATGGCAACACCTGGCGAGCAGCTAAGAAGCCCAATAAGACAATGTCCATGCTTTGATCTGCCTTCCGGTACTTCCATGTAAACCGTCAGAATTTGCAAGTTGATTCCAGTATTTGTAAGGGAAAAAGATACATCTGAGGAAAGTGATAATGTCAGATCCCTGCAGTTCTCGAACGCTTTTGGTGACCTCGCTAGTAGCTCCTGCGACTCCAGTGGTACTCCCCCTGATGCTCCATCGAGGACGGGCATGATTTCCTGCGAAGAAGAGAGAATTGTCTCGCTATTCAATCCCCAGGCCAAAATTGAGTCATCGCTGTCGCTCCTTTTCATTATCTCTTCTTGCAGGCGTACAAAAGCGCGCTCGCCTTCTCCATACAAGAGTGGCATATTGATGTCAAATATCCCCAGCAGACAGTACGCGACGTCCTCCGGGCGACTTGTAATTCGACTAGATGCCCATGACATCTTTCGTGCTATGCAGAGGGTATCGAGCGATATTGCCTTATCCGACGCCATGTACCCATGCCTTCTGTTTACTAGACCGTAGCGAAGTACTGCTAGATCGATTCTCGTAATATCAAAGATCGTTTGCGAAAGGGTGTGTCTATCTCCAAACTGCATCCAAGATTTGTCGTAGAAGAACACCTTGGTAGGCGCGATCAGCTCTTGTAATGTCCAGCCGCGGGTGAACCATCGGCTTTCTGGGAGATCTCTCTCAAATTCATCGGCCAAAACGTCCTCCAAGAAAGCGTAACAATTGGTGGAATTTGAGTACCAATAGAACATGGAATTGATAGCTTCTGAAAGCTCCGCGCTTGATGTTTTGTCGATACAGCATGTATCTACCCATGCATAAGCCAATCCATCGCGTATCGCTTGGCCGCAGGTGAATTGGATCTTCTGGTATCCAGACTTTGCTGTGGTTGAAGGCTGGCGCAAAGGCAAATCTGAGAATAGGACTTCTTCATGACCCCACGTATGAGATAAGATGGCGTATTTTGGGGTATTGTTGCCAATGAACTCCTCGAGCTCATAAGTTATGCAATTTATAAGGCGCATTCCCGAGGTACCTCCGTGGCATATATGATTTGTATATGGTGGTCATGGAAGAGTCGTGTGGATAGTACAGTTGGAAAGGCATTAGGCTGAGACTTCCCCGCTTTGACGCCCACCACGCTTGCTCAAGACTGAATAACACAATTACATGCTTGCGCATGCAATGACCGATAAAGCGACCGTACGCACATGAATGGGCTTGTAAAGACTTATATATCAATATCGAAGTAGCTGCTCTGCATCGTAGTCTGATTTGGTCTGTTCACATCCATATCCCAATTAGGTATAGCGTCATGGCCTGCTTATGTCATCAAAGTCGAGTCTCAGAGCAACGCTATCATGCGCGAACTCATGGGGTAGCAGAATAGAGAAATCTATACGAGGTACCTGCGAGAGTATGTACTATTGCCAAGAGTAAGCCAAATCGCCTTGATGCGGCTGACATCGGCTGTTCACGAGCTGAAGATGAGAGCCGTATGTGATCGTGTCTGCCGTCGTGGACTTATTGCAAAGCCAGACTTTGGCCATTACCATGATGAGAGAGCTACAGTCACTTTAGGTAGACACGGCCGGAATGATGAAAGCTATTGTAGCCCTCATAGCCACAGTCTTGTGGTGTATAATGCGTCCTTCACCCCGTCCGGACAATAGCGACTTTCATATCGTCGCAACCTACGATAGTCAGTAGCACATTTTACAGTTCTCAGCCAGCATATAAAGTCAGTCTCCTTCTCTGATACTGCTCGTCCATCTCACAATTCCCTCATAACGACATACAAACCCTCAAAACAAACCGACATGTCTACATCCCTCTGCTTTGCGCTAGCCGCAGTCATGTTCTTCGCTCTCCCGGTCGCAATTTCGTTCGGCCTTCTGGATTTCCTCCCAGCCGCGCTGGAAGATGGGGCTGGTCCTCATCTATCCTTTGGGGCGTGGTTCTTCGCTGGCTATTTCGATTCAGACCTGGGTCTGTTCGACGATGCGAGGTGTTGCTTTCGAGCCCACGTGGGTGCAGGTGGTCAGAAAGCTGAGCGCTGAATATCGCGTCATCTTCGCGTCGCGGGGCCAATGGAAGGAGACGCGACGCCAAGACGCTTTGACCAGGAAATTGCCACCCCACCCAATTGCCTCACACCTCGTCGCAAGCTAGATGCGACGTCCACCACATTTATACTCCTGCGCACCTTAGACACATCGTCTAGGTATCATTAGATCCGATTTTTCTCAACAGCCAGAACGGATGCAATATAACCCCCCAACGTGTGGCTGATCGAGTGCGCCTCCATTGGGCAGATACAGGGAGGTTTCAGCATCTTTCTGCAACTCAACTATGTGCATGGGCCATGCAACCTTTAGCTATCCTGGGCGTTGTCACTGCATAGATGCTGGCACTGGACAACACTGCAAGCAGACGATTGGGTTGACATGTTCCCTCTGGTGCAGCAGTTACGGTAATCTTCTAGAACTTTCTTTACTAATGGGTCCAGTCAACATTTTGGAGTTTCTTAGACGTAAGCATGAGTTTTACCTACCCATTCCGCAGCTGTTTGGCAACATACTGCAGGAGACTATGGTTTCCTGACATCTGATTATGGTCTCTTCTCGAAGTCGCCATAGAACCCGTGGCATGAGGACAGATGATTGTCTTTCGCGTGTCCTAGTTGCTGGTCCACCTGCGAGAAAGCGATTCCAGGGAGACGGACAAACCTTTTCAGCTCACTTCCTCATTATATGTCGCTAAATGCCTTTATTGATCAGCACTTCGCAACTTGCACACATTCAACTATCTTCCGCACGAGGGATGTCGCAGCCGCCACTCCTTGCAAAACCAGAACCTACATTTGAAGGTTTACCGGCTGAGCTCTGGACGCAGATTTGCCACTCACGGTCGTCGTACGCAGACGGAGAGAGCTTCATCCTCGACTCCATAAGCCTTTCTAGTCTCCGTCTTACTAGTCGAATCATTCATTTGAAGACCCAAGACGCATTCCTACAGTGTCATCTCGCTTCCTCTAAGTTCAGCCTGATGCCATGGAGTCTGGCGATTCTGAAAGACCTGTCTGAAAACGAGCATCTGTGCACATATGTGGAAGAGCTGGAGTTTGGCCCGGAGGTATTAAACACGAATCTGGATGTGGACCTTCGATATATCAAAGATCCGTGGGAAGAGCCGTCTACGGGATGTCCACACCCTGAGAGTTACATATACATGGATTCTACCCGACCCGTATGGCCCATGGTCAAGCTTCCAGAGCCACTATGGAACGGCCTTACTGGGAGAGATTCTGGATCAGCATTAGTGGTCCGTTGGAATAAAAGAGGTGGCTATAATCGTTGGCTTCAAAAGTACTGAGGCACGCTGAAGGGACTGGTCGAACACCAGAATCGTTTCAGCACAGCGGCCAAATGCATTCGAGATGCCATCAGGAAGCTTACGAACTTGAGGAGTATCAAGATCAATCCTCGTCCGATAGGGACGTATTATGAAGAACGATTCGGCAAGCCCATACAACGCAGTAGGGGTACCATGTCGCTCTATCGCGCAGTCGGAGCACACGACATCGAAGTGACAACCGATTTGACCCCATCCGGTTCGAAAACTCTGTTGGAATTCAGCCTTGATGGCCTTCTCTTCATGGAGTATTACGCCGAGATCATCATGCTGGAGAATATCTCCAACATCCTGAGCACGGTTGACTTGGACAAGCTCACGCTTGACTTGACAATCACTGCGGCGAACCTTCCACCGAACGGCAAGATTTATGACACCGGTCGTCAAAGTTGGAGAGCTATAGCCTCTCGAATACGAAGCCTAACATTCGATTGCGCAATGAACAATATCGATGGTAACCAGGTTCCTGCCTTGCTAACATGGGTATCGGAGATGATGATCTACGCTACTACGGTCGAACACTTCTATGGACACAGCTGTGACTTTGAGTACCGGATGTTGCGGACCATCTTTGCGCAGTCTTCCTGGACCAGTCTCCGAACGCTACATCTCTTCCGATCTCGCAGTCACGGGCGCAATTTGCTTCGGTTGCTTCTTCGTCATCGCTCGACACTGGAAGATGTGAGTTTGTCGCGTGTCACAGTGACAGGTACCAGCATAGCAGCATGGAGAGAAATATTCGTGGCAATGAAAGGCATGCATCAACTTGGGCGTGTCACGGTTGATCAGCTCGAGCTGCAAGGCGATCTCGGTGTTTCTAGCACGGCATTAAATTTGTGCGCCTCTAAGTCAGTCACGTCCGCTTGGTTGAAGGCTAAAGGGCATGAGAACGTCCGCTCTATGTTGGACTTAGCGACGCAACGCATTGTACTGCTCTCGGTTCGGGATATCACGTTTTGGCAAGTACATTTCGAGCTTCCTCCATGAGAAATCCTGTGACACAAACTCGACGAGATTGCGAGCTCAGTCGCTCCTACGGATTCGAGAAGCAAAAAAAGTACATTACCAAGCTGCGATTTGAGGTTACTTGTTCGAAAGCGCTAGCGGCGCACACTGGGCGAACTTTGGTAGGAAAAGAGGGTCCAAATGTAGCCCCATTCATGACCCAGGTAATTGTAGCTCTTCTGGGATCAAGCCATTTATTGTTAGTCAAGTATGTCGCTGAATACGTCTTCTAGTATTATGGCAACACACGATTATCGTCCAAGTGCGTCCAAGTCGAGCAACAAATGCGCATACATGCGGACTTCCAAATGCACAGCATGCAGCACAGGACTACCCTCGGTTCCATGCCATGATGACGTTATTACATCCCTCGGTCCTTCACTCTTACCAACGCAAAATACTAACTCGGCAGAGTAGAGTAAGCACACCAATAAGGTATCAGACAGTATAACACAGGTTTTCGCAATGCACGCGTACGCCACTCCTCCAGTATGCAGGGTTGGTCAAGCTGGTACATATCATTCGGCAATGCAACAGTATCGTACGCTCTACTCGGCGTGGGGTCGCGATTGGCATGGAAATACTCGAGCTTCTACTAGTATCTCTAGGACTAGGTTACAGGTAACGACGCCGCGAACACTGGAAACACATATGGGGCCATCATTCTGAATCACACCCTGCTAAGAGCACCGACGAGTCCACGAAGGTACACACCTATATATAAATCCCCGAAAGATCTTTTTTGTTATCGATCCTGACAGCTTCAACGAAACCATAAGGTGCAACCTCGCACAGGCCTCTTTCAATACAAGTACGATCTAACACTTAACTATCCAACCAGAACCCCAATACTGAATAATGCGTTGCAATTCGTAATTACTTGCCATGTCTTCGAGCGCCTCAATCAACTCCCTCGCACCATCGCCAGCCAACTCTCTCTCGGAACTCTACAGCATCAGCACATCTCTTGTCTCGAATGTTACCGAGACACCCATGGAAGAGGTCCGACGCTTCTTCCTGGGCAAAAGCCATACCGAGATATTACGGTACGGTCTTGTTATGGACATACCTGGCGCACCACCACTAGCGGCACATACCATCGTTGTGACTATGGATTGCGAGAAGCACAAGAAGAGCCCACGGGTCCTGACGGAATATGAGCTCCACATGTTTTCGCGGGAAGAAATGGTACCGGTTCTCGAGAACCCCGGCATACATGGAGAAAACGTACTGCGGAATGTCTACTACTACCACATCCGTATCCGCGAGAACGCACCTCACATCAACCGCAGATTCTGCCGAGGAAACCCCGAGGAGAATTACTTCGGCTCAACATGCTTTCTCACGAAGGAAGAGGCAAAGGATTTCCTGACCGACGAACTCTCTTGGCTCATTGATGAGCACGACCAGGATGGTCCCAGATGCCCAGTAATATTTCTTAGCCACTCGGTCGAGAACGACCTTCAGATGCTGCAACAAGAGCTTAGTATCGACCCCACATTCGCCAGCAACGTTGTCGCTATCATTGATACCCAGAAAATTGCGAATGAGCAGGGTATTCGCGGGCGGGGCAAACAAATCGAACTAGCGGCTTTGATCCAACACTTTGGGGTGCCTAAATACTGCACTGAATGTAAGGTGGCCAGCCCTCTTATTCGGCCAGAATGCAGGGAAAAGGCGGAGAAGATACAAAGAGGGATGAGGAGTTCGTCTTACAGGCGGCCATGATCGCGCCGCTTACACGCGTCTTATAATCCTATACTTACCGACGGGGTGTTGATTGAGACCTGATGGGCTTACGCGCATTAATCTTCCCATCTCTTCAAGATGTTATTTAGTAGTCGCTTCAGTTCAAAGAAGCTATATTAACCGCATTGAAGTGGACAGTATTGGCACCTCGCTATATCTCGAACATCGCCGCATCCACATATCACCCTCCTCACCAACCGCGCGATCGCCCAACCCCCATCCCCATACCATCATCACTCCATCTAGCAGCACCTCCCCTTCTTCCCAGCCCCATTCCAATAAGTCGTTGTCACATATCCTCCTTGATCGTTCCTCTTCTTCTCTTTAGGCCAGCAGCACGCCATGCAGACGAGGATGAAGAAGAGAAGCGCAACTGTGGCTGCGAGGCCGATCATGATAGCTTTGCCATGGACTCCAAAGTAAACGTGTTCGTTGGGATTGGTGGTAGCGGCGCTTTCTGCTGGCGAGGTGGAGGTTGTGATGAGAGAGGTAGCGAGTGTTGTAGTTGCCATGGTGGCGGTCGTTTGGGATGGATTGCTGTGGTCCCTGGTGTTAGTCGTTATGGCTATAGACGGAGAATTATCGGCTACGCACTTGTAGATGTTTTGAAGTGATGCGGCTCGAACCTTTAGCGGTATTGTTGCCAGTCGAACGTTTAGCTGTGTGAGATTCAAGCTGTCAGTACGCATAGAGCTACCACATGCTTTAATTCGTAGGCTCAAAGGCATGTGCGCACGGTATCCTCTCACGACTTCTAACTCGACATGGTCAAAGGTCTCCTCAATAATCTATCTCAACGTACACAACATGCTAAGCTTGCTGATTGGAGCCTACTATTCGCACAAAGTCTTGCAAGGAAGAATGTTCTATCGGAACAATATGCGGCTCTCCTTCAAAGCAAGCCAGTATGCGCCTCTTTGCCTGGCCATAACCACAAAGAGGCCGGTCTTAGTGCTCCTTAATCTCCCAACGAGCTGAGGAAATGCCCGATAGGGCTGAACAGCCGACCCGTCAATACTTACACTAACGGATACCTGCATGGAAATTTGATAGAGACCTTACTCATCATGGAAAGAAACAGGTCTCGAATTCGGGCGTAGTGAAGAGGGGTGAAAAGTCAATATAGCTCGTTGGAATGAGAGTGACACCTAACAATCTTCTTTAGAGTAAGCCGGTTGTCTAAAGGCTTTTCTCGATCTCATATTGCTTATCTTCACATCTCTGTTGTTCTGAGCTATAGCGATCCTGCCTTGTGACAGAATTGTTCCACGATCCAATAAGACGGATGTCACTTCGTACATTGTTACGCGAACATGGGGCTGTAACGGCAACGCATGTTCGTACACCACGCCAGTGAAACGAAGCTTCCCAGAAAGTGCAGTTGTACCGCTGACTGGATCTATCCCTGTTTACAAATATTTTCGAGGTAAGAGGTAAGACAAGAACTCGAATAAAAGCTTATTGCAGACATGAAGCCAAATGACCGGTCGGATTTCGTAGCAGTAGATTTCTCATATAACCTTGCTCTCCATTGCTAATTACCATTGACCGTATAATACCTGTCTTGCGGTTTCGAAGTCACCCTAGGTACCGCGACGTCAAAATGTTGTAGACACCTCAGGTCGATGTCCCCTATGCGTGTCTGAATCGTCGATCTCCACAACACCATCTGGTACATTTCCCTTGCTCCTCGAATCCAGCTGCGGCAGAAGTAGAGGCTCATTGTGTAACTCAGCCGCTCCGCGACCCGCACCGTGAAAGCTATCAGTACCAAGCTCACTCATCGGACTCATGGTACTCGCGCCATGTAGTTCAGCCGAGCGTGTCGAACGCAGAGGTGCATGAGTACCAAGCTCACTCACTGGACTTCTCATTCCCTCGCTGCGGAGATCAGAGCTACTCGGTTTGATTGTGGGGGCGCCGGAAGGCGAGTTTGCATGCCAGCCTTGCATTGTTGAAGTCTGAGAGATGGGTGACGTAGGTGACGGCATGCTTGTCATGGCGTGTGAACTCATCTCAGGGTATCGAGAGTCCATGTTGCTGCCGTGACGATGCGGTTCAGGTCGTTGTGCTGAACTGTAGTATCGCGCGTTTTCGCCGCCGCCACCGTGCGTCTCCGGTGGTCTGAAGTAGCCTGTTTGGGGACGTGGTAATGGCATATCCTCGCTATGTAGTTCGGCTTTCGAGCATTGACGCGCCGGTACACCGGCTCCCATCTCCGAGTATCGACCGAAGCTCGAATCATTTCCCAAGTCTGGTAGTTTGGGCTTTGGACTCGTGTTGCGAGATGGCTCCCATATATCCGCGGGCGAAGCGAGTGAGGATTGGCGTTTGCGACGGCGCATAAAGAGAAATAGGAGGCCGATAATGAGCGCAATACCTACGGTACCGCCAGCTGCTGTGCCAGCGATAGCGGTAGTATCGAGTGTAGGGGCAGCAGCAGTGGCAGTAGATTTAGGTGCGGCGTTCGAGGTTGCAGTGATAGTGACATGTGAGTGAACAGTCACGCCATTCTGTCCCTTTGACGTAGATTGTGCGAGACCAGTGTCGTTCGGCAGTGGCACCGGCCCACCCGAAGTCGTTTCTCTTTTTTCTGTAGAGCTCGGTGGCATTGAAGTCGTTGACGGTGGTGGCTGGGATGATGCTTCTGCCGACTGTTCTGTGTCTGTAGAAACAGCGACCGATACTATTGGTACTCCATTCATGATGCCATCTGTGATGGTAATAGGTGCATCTCCTCCCGATTTTGTTGACGCGCGTGGACTAGTGGTAGATGAAAGTATAGTGACAGTGATTGCCGCAGTACTACTCGGTGTTGTGTCCTTGAGTAAGTCCTCATAGTTGAAATCGTTCTTGACTCTAGGATTGTCGAAGTTCTTGTTCATACGAGTACAAGCTTCCTGGAAGAGATCCACGTATTCTATTTTTACCCGTCAGTATGAACTGAACCTTGGAATAGAGCTGGATAAAAATGTACCTTGCCTGTCAGCCAAGCTGAGACACGCACTGAGGATACAAGGGCCGTATAGTTTAAAGTGCAGAGGCACGATATCAATGTTACAAAAGGTGTGGAGGCTGTCTGCGCAGGCACCATCTAGGACTTCGTCGTAGCCGATGAGACATTGTTTCTATTGATGAATTAGCTTCGTGCGGACCGCGTATGTATTTGCAGAGATGAGCGCTTACAGTGCAGTCTGGGATAGGTACCAAAGGGCTCTCTGGTATACAGTTCCTGTCTTGCTTCTGGGCCACTACCAATCCAAGCAGAATGAACACGACTATCAGCAGCATTTTCATTGCGAAGGGTAGATGTAGCAGAGGAGACGTCGCAAACTTGATAACCAGCCGAACTAGACTCGCGCGTTATAAGAGCAAATGCCCACGCTTGCTCTCTCACCTGACCTTCCCCACTGCGTAATCAGAGCACATCCCCTACCTCACCTCACACAAAACACCAATATAAACAATCTCAACGGTACTTGGCAAACGGCTAGCCACATAAAAGCCGCAAGTAAAATTGTTTCGTACTACCAGTTTGCATGCACCGCCTAGTTCCGTACGACTTAGTCAATGGAGATAAGTCTAAACCAAGCTCGTCACCCAACGGGCATCTGCAGGAACTGCTACCATAAGTCGCAGGGATATAGTCTAAAGCAGTTCACCGGTCGGAAAGGAGACGATAACAATACCAGCAAAAGATGCAATCTCAAAACATGTTCCCCTGGTTACGGTCATAGTCCCCGTTCTTCTCCCACTCATCACGCTGCGCCAGTTCAAATTGTGCTCGCGATTCTCTGTCCTGCCGTATGTCGATAGAGTCATCGCCGTAGCTAGGTCGGCGTGCACTATACTCGCTTGCTGAGTCATCTTGCGTGTTGCGCTGGTCCTGCATGACTTGACTGCCGCGAAGCTGGCTGTTGGGTAACTCGAATTGACCGTCATTGTAGAGCTTATGACCGGGGTACCTTACGAACGCCGACATAGCGCAGTCTTCGTCAGCTGTACCGTACTCATGGATTGGGCTTTTGGGGTTCGTAGGGCTGATGGGGAAGGCGGTCGTACTCCGCGGTGAACCGACGAGTGTCGCGTCGTTGTAGGTAGATGCGGTACCGTGCCTTGATGCTGCGGCGTCGGAGCCTGCACTGCCGGTTCCCTGGAGATCTGAGAAGGGCTGGATTGATGAATGGCCCCTCAAGGTGTTGATCCTGTTGCTAAAGCCGTCAGGGTGTATAGCGTCTAGCATCTGAGCGTTTTCGACGCGGAGCTTCTTAGCCTCCCTCTTCTTCTTCCACCAGAGCCACAGTAATCCGAAAACAATACCGAGGACGAGAAGGACGCCGATGACAATCCCCACAATAGATTGGACGTTGAGCTTGACATCGGCAGGAGCAGGCGCAGGATTCTTGGGGCCACTGGTTGTCGAGTCTGGCGTTGCGGAAGGGAAAGTGACTGGAAGGTAGGGTTCCCATCGTTTCGGTATGTCAATGAGCTCCTTGTCTACCTTCTTGCAGTGGTAGAAGAGACTGTCAAGGAACTCTGCAGCGAAGTCAGTGGTGAGCGACGCGTGATGCAATATGCAACGCAATGCGACTTACCTTCCCTGCCAATGTCGCCATAGCAAGCGTCGAGAACGCACTGCTGATTGAATTCTGTATTGTGTTCGAGCGAGTTGCTGGCCTTGCAGATGCAGTCGAGGTCGCCCATGACACATAACGCTTCACCCTGTGGCTTCGTCGTCATGCATTTCTGTAGGATCTAGTTAATTTTAGTGAGTGCGTTGAAGAGTGAAACTGATGGCGCATACTCCGCAAATTGGTATCTGCCCATCGGCCGGACCCGTCGGAGTTGGCATAACTGTAACTGTCGAGTTGGTGATCGTGGTGGTGAGTCGCGTCTTGGAAGTCTTCGATGACGCCGCAGAAATGGTCGCACTTGTGGCCTCAGTCAGTGTACTCGGTTGAGTAGACGTACTAGGTTGAGAGCTCGTGGTCCTAGTCGACTGCGCGGTGGCAGAGGTGGAGGGTGTATTATATGGAGAGTACGGAGCCCAAGCTGGAGGAAGGCCAATTAACTGCCTACCAGCATCCCTGCAGCCTGTAGAGTACTGCTTGAGAAATACTAGACAATTATGGGTTAGCTCTCTCACTCACTCTTCGTTTCCCTCACCTGAGGCGGGGAGCACGGTACGCACGCCTTCTTCTGTCGTCACCGACGCATTCCCTCAATATGCAATTGGCGGAAAAGTACTGATTGCGACCAAAAAATGGCACTTGAACACACACGCATTGAAAATATGAAAGAGTATCCCCGTGGTGCTTCTCGCAGTAGAGCCATTTGTGAAGGTTGTCCGGATTGTCCGGCTGGTCTGGGTACATGGTCCCTTCTGCCTCTTTCTGGCACTCCTCGGATATCTGAGCTAGTTAGCTGATCTAGAGGAAACAACATTGTAGAATCTCACATACTTCGTATGCAGGCGCTCCATATACAGGCAGGTCCATGGTAGGAGATGCTGGCGTTGGTGTATCGGAAGCAGGAACGGCATCAGGAGCAGGAGGAGTGTATCCGGAGGGGTTGTTGTTGTCCGCCATGTCTCAATTCGGTAGCAGTGAAGTTCTCAAAATGTGGCGAAAGATGTTTGTTGCTTCATAGCTTCCACGACTTCACCGTCCTCGTCAAGCCCCCCAGTATGGTAAGTGAGAGCCGGTCAGGCGGTCAGACGTCAATGACAAAGCCTTTTTCAGAAGCTCATCTGTGTATCCGTAGCGGTGATGTTGAGCAGCCTCTGCGAAGTAAGTCCTGAAAATCGTGCGGTTATAGTTGAGAAAGCGAAGATTGAGGGTGAGTGTACATCGGGGCTTGCGTGCCAGCAATCAAGTGCATTTCGCTCGACTCTCAGAGTGTGCATTGGCGCATTGCGGTGAATGATGCCACCTCGAACCCAACTTGCATGGTGAGCAAACGCGGCGCTCGTTCAAGTCGCCGCGCTCGGCGTGCTGGCAAACAGTCCCCGACCGTAAGTATCTGTACAATCAGCCAATAACCATAGTCGTAGTTGTTTGAAATAAGAACAAGTCCGAACGGAGTTCTGAGAAAGAAATCGTGGAATTAGGTAAGTTGATAGCTGGCTGCAGTCCCCGATATGCCTCCAAATCGATAATCAGTCATATCCAGAAAGACCCCAGTGTAAACAAAAGAAACCTCGGTCTATAGTGTGCAAGCGGAATCCTCGTCTTCTCGATCCATCTCCGGTGATCCAAGGATCAAATTGCTCCATCTGGTATAGCACCTCTTGCGCATTCCACCTCCCTCACTGCACCATCCAACTCTGCTTATATCCGACATTACGTCTAGAACAAGCAGTCCAAGCAACAACAGCACGCCAAACCCGCGCACAATCCAGCAAACAGACCGCCACCACCGCCATCAGCCCTCCTGTCGTCTTGGTAGTAACCTCCTGGGGGCGGCGGGCCCTGTTGGTACTGCATCTGCTGGCCGTTGTATCCTCCTTGGGGAGGTCCGTATTGTCCTTGAGGAGGACCGTACTGGCCCTGTGGCGGTCCGTAGGGGCCAGGCTGGCCTTGTTGGTAGGGGTTCGGGCTACCGCCGTAGTAGTCGGGCTGGCCGCCGCCTTGGTTGTAGTAGGAGGGTTGCATGCCGCCAGGGGCTGGGCCGGCATCTTGATGCGCTGGTGGGGGGTAGGCGGGCGGTGCGCCTTGGTCCTGAGGGAATGTTAGCACGTGGCTGTAATTGCGACTGGATTGGATAGGAGATGGAATGGTTGCGCGCATTGCGACAGGAGACGCTGACGGGCGGGAGGGAGACGTACATATGGTTTAGACATGTTGATGGTTTGTGAGGTTTACAGAGAGTGTGGTGTAAGTGTGATGGGCTCCTCGGAAGGCAAAAAAGACTGTTACGTCGTTTACTGGGCGGTAAGGCTGGGTAATCTCTCCCAGCTGTCGATCGAACTTTGTTGGGGGTTTGCGCCAGGTGTGAATGGCGATCCTCCAGGAAAGGTGTGAAGAAGGAAAGAATGAAGGGTAAGTAGGGAAGGCAAGGTTTACTGGAGTAAAAGGAAGGAGCGACAACTTGGTCAGAAGTACAGGTAGATGCGGAGTTGATCACACACCAGATGTCGCGGCGTACGAAAGAGGGTGGCTGAGCAAACGTGGCGGACCAGTTAAGCCTCATTCGGAATAGTCTCCATTCGATAGTCCACCGCGAGCGCGTATCGCTATACTCCCAAGGCTTGTGGTACCGTGTTATCCGTGGTCATGCATATAGTCGGCATTGCAACTATTACAGTATTTCGTAGCACTACGAGGTCTGGTACACATTGTAGGTGCCTTGATTGCAAGTGCATGCGACAATTTGCCCAGTTAGTAATCATTGCAAAACAGCGGGTACATCCAGGGGACATGTCAGAAAGTCACAAATGTCACGCGTAAGAGGATGCGAATGTGTAAGAAGAAGAGCGCAGCCAACGCGGGCCGCCAGAAACAAGTAATTCTCTCTCCTCCTCGTTGGGGCCATGCCACCAACCCTAACGCCTCGTCCAGCAGATCCAGACTATAATACAATGCTCTACGTTCCAACCCACATCCCCTTCCCGTCGTCTCAATGGTATCATATCCACCACCCATATCCCAGTTAGACAGCTCAGGATCCTTCTATGCCTGCACGTCTAGGCCCTCATTCGCCGGTGCCTGTTGCATTTCCTCGTCCTTGCCCGGAATAATCAACTCCTCTTTTTGTTCGTCGTCAACAAACTTCCTTTCGCTAACGTGTTCACCCTCCTTAGGGGCGACCCACTTATTTGTAGTGATCTTCTTCTGACCAGGTTCATGCTTATACAAACAGCGGGCGTTAAGACACGGGTTGAATTTGCACATGATGGCACTGTGTCCAAACTTGCAGCCCTCGACAGTGCAGTCGGCGCCGTTGTGGCAAGGCTTTGCTGTGGGGTGCTTGTAGGGGCACGACGAGGGATCGCGGCAGTTAGGCCAGAAGGCGCACTCCTGCTCTGATTGGAACTTCTGTCGCTGCGCAGGCGATGGGTGCTTGCCAACACACTTCTTGTTCTTGCATGCCGCACCGAAGTCGCACGTATCGTTCATGTCGACCGGAGTTCCGGGTATCGCAGCGGGCGACTGGTGAACAAAGTGGCAGTCGGGGTTGCTGCATCGCAAATTGAACTTGCACATAGTGGACGAAGGATCTGGGCGGCCGGAAGGCACTTCGACGTCCATGCCGCTGCCGTTCTCTCCAGCTGGACCATCTGCCATCGTTTCGTCCTCGCCCTCCTTCTTGGTGAATGTCTTAGCATTCGGGTTCATGCCTCTGCCGCCTTGGTGCGACCGGTCTATACGTTGATGTAATGGCTTCTTAGATCCGCGGTTATTGCCGTTGAAGTTGGGGTTGACGAAGCCGGTTGGTTGACCACCGGAGAAAATCTGCTGCATCATCTGCGCCTGTTGCTCGTACATTTGCATGAGAGCCATTTGCTGTTGCGGGTTCAGGCCGATACCAGGCATGCCATTCTGACCGCCCATCCCGGGCATAGGCATTCCCGGCATACCGCCCATACCCATACCGCTCATGTTGTTCTGGCCCATGTTCATGTTGGCGTTGCCCATGCCGCGGCCGTTTGCCATTGCCTCGATTCCGCGACCGATGTTCTGGCCCCGTGGACCCTTTGGCGGGTCGCGCGCGTGCGCGTTCACACGACCAACTCCACCGCCGGCGCCACGTACGCGATGTAATACCGAGTCGCTGTTACGGTCCATGTTCTTGTTGAGTTGGTTAAGCATCCGCCCGCCTCGCGCTGGACGTGCTGCTTGGGCACCGCTGCCGTTGCGCATAGCCTTGGGACCTGTGGGACTGTTCACGGTTAGAATCTGCTGGTTGTAATATGAACAATGCGAGCGCAGAGGAGCCACCGCATGCTGCGACGTCGCCTTGCTCGGGCATACGCGTGGGTGCGCGGTCTCCTTGCACTCTCTTCTCGCTTGTGAGGCTGCCCTAAAGGGGCGGGAAAGAAGAGGGTTCACATACATATTGCCTTGTCCTTCTGACGCGCCTTCCATGTCTGTATCTTGCGCAGCTGCCGAGTTGTCGTTTGAAGTGCTGTCCATCTGGTTCTCGATTGACTGTGTGACCTGCGCGTTGCCGCCGCTCGACTGCTTGAGGTGCTCGATCTGCTCGAATAACCACTGCGCAAACTGCTGTGTCTCTGTGTTCTCCGGACCCAGGTCGAGCAGGTCATTTGAGAGTTCTGATGCGACCTGCGCTTCATTCTTGTCGTTGGCCAGCATAAGGAGGATGTACTCGAACAGCGTCGTGTCTTCGCCGCCCGTCGTCCACCCAAACTCGGCGAGCTTGGGCTGGACCACCTGCTGCAGCTGCATCGCCAGCGGCGACTCGCTTGAGAAATCGACAGCCATGGTGAAGGCAGGCGTTGGTTGATGGGCTTGTCGCGTGAATTCGATGTTGGCGGTGGGCGGAAAACAAAGGGAGCGACGAGGAACGCGACTTCCTTGACGTGTGACGTAAGGCTATCACGGGTACGTGGTGCGACGGTCGTAAGAGGTGTGTCGTCAGTCGTGAAGATGGGTGCGCGTCAAGTGCAGTGGGTTGGAGCGTGGGTGTGTGGAGAAGGAAGTAATTGTCTCGGAGCGCCTGCTCAAGTTCTGCGCAATCAAAGCTCGGCACTTGCCGCTCCCACTAGCGCCTCGCGTTGCGTCTTGTTCCATCGCCCGCCTTCTTCGCCACCCGATTATACATCAGGATGCGCTCTATGGAGTTGTTCTAACAGCACCCAGAGACATTGTATGCTGGATCAAGGTAACCTGTGGCTGCTTTACGGTGCAGATTGTTCAAAATTTGGGCTGCGCGGTCGTCATGTTACTAGTAGCCGCGTTCTTATCTCAATGGAAGGTTTCACAGTCAAATATAACCGGATATCAGCAGTATGTCGCGCTTCTAGACGACTAAAATGTTGCATAACCTCTGCCGATGGTTGGAATAGAATCGGGCGGAGCCGACACTAACAACAGCCTCTCCTTGCACCTTCGATACTGGCTGATACCTGTCTCATAATAGTCGTAACCCAGATAACGGTCGTTGTTCTCGAAAGAAATCAAAAGATGTTATCGTTCACTGAAACACTTCCATCAAACTGTCACAGCATCTAAAACGCTTATTATGAGATTCATGATTCTGCGTACCAAGATCACACATGCGACTGCTCAAACTTGAGGCGTGCCTCTTCCATGCGCTCATCCTCCTCCATACGAAGCCTCTGTTGCTCGCGTAGTTCATCTGTAATAAGAACACCGGAGCCTGTCGTTCGGCGTTCTGGGAGCTGTTCCTCACTCTCATGCCCAGTCCTCGATATGCTAATGTCCCCTGATGTCTTCTCACTGTGCTTGTCACGATTCCGAGAACCGAGCATATTCCTCAAGCCATGACTCTTCGGCGCATTTCCACTGGACCGATTAGGCGATTGTCGAACGTAGCCCTGTGTGTCGTAGGAGACGCTGTTTGTTCGTCGGAAGCGGCTCTTTGGAACCGCGGATGCGAGACCTGGACAGCAACCGATAATGATAGCTGGCATTATGTGAGCCCAGCACGGGATTTTGAGGTGCGTTGGACTTACCTGTCGAACATTCGATGATGGTCCACATGGTCAGCCACTTTGGATCAGGTGAGCGAGGCCTTCCATCTTGACCAACCTGCACAATGCGGATAGTCGAGAACAGTATACACACAAGGCCGGATGCGAATAATAGACCGCAACCGATCTTCTTTGGTTTTTCCATCTGCAGGTTCCAGATAAGTCTGATGGGTAGGAACATGACTGCCACTTGTCAGTACTGATAACACTTAACGGTTTACGAGTATCGAACACACCCATCATGTTGGTCACAGTGTCTACCGCGTATGCGTAATAGAGGTTCGCAGTTTGCCGGCGTGTCTCACTAGGCGACGAACACAGGACCCCCTCGCCAAAGAAGCTCTTTGTGTCGTTGCAGGCTAGACCAGGGCCTGTAATGATACACGTTGCCCATGTCTGTGCCCAGTCAGTCGTGCTCGTTCGAGGCTGTTCCGCGTCAGGACAGAGTGACGTGAAATGTTACTTACCACAATGCAGAAGATCAATGTGAACCACCAGATCCAAAGGTACTTCTTGGGCATTCCAGACAATAGCTTCTTGTATAGCGCCAATAGTGAGAACTTAACAAACCAAAGACAAGTCCAATACTCCATTCCGCTTTGCCACATGACTTTTGCGGCAAATATAATGTCTTCCATCATAGTTGGCCATGGTGCAATGCGACCAGCTTGGAGAGCCTGGAGTTTGAAGAAAATTGGCGTGATAACGATGTAGAGAATGGTGAAAGCAAGATAGGCTGCGAACGCAATGTAAAGTAAAATGTCCTGCACTTCGATGGGTTTGCGCCGCCAGACCTGAACACCGATCCGTGCGATGAAGACCGTCGACGTCATCGCCAGCATAGCGTAGTCTGTCCGGAGTAAATCATGCTGCGAGATCCAGTCAGCGCCAGTGGACATGGTGGTGAGGCTGTGGGTTCACAGTTGTCGTTCAAAGTCGTGCAAAGTATGATAGCATTCAGTAGGATTCGTTCCTCGAAGCGGCTGTTTGTCGCGACAAGATCGTGCCGTTGGAACTGTCAAGATGGAATGAACCTGGAATTTTGATCCACGAAGCCCGATACTCTGGATTAAAACACTTCGCAGCTGGAATTTGCCAAGGATCACTCAAAATACAGTGCGCGTAGGGGTATAAGAGCCCGTAAGACGCATATGCAAATTGATTTACATGGGGGCCATCGCGTGTCGGAGCGTGGGTAAGGGTTAGACGGCGACTGGATTGCCCCGGTCCTCAGTTCCCGGTTCCTGGAATCTGGTATCCCAATCGTTTCCTCTTACGCGACGTCGCGCACTCTTGTCAAGAAATCTGAAATTAGTAGTGATGGCCTTGTTCAAGTGTCGATGGGGCACGTTTGGTGTTCCGTGATGGACAAAGGTCAGCAAGCCCCCAAAACGCCTCCTGGCTAAATAACCCTTAGCTTGGGGGGTGCAGTTCTCCGCTCGCGCTATTCCACGTCGTTTGTTGCTCGTATTTGCGCTACAGCGTCCGAAGCTGCACGGTGCCTGACCTCGGTGCCAGAACGGACCTAGCGGACAGCATGCTTTTTCTGTCACTTTACCGACATGTGCCTGGAGATTACCACCTGGCAGCATGGACGGAGAGCAGGCTTCGGCGAGGCAAGCCTCACTGAGACTAGCATATCAGATATTGGCTCACAGACTTTACCGTGGTGCGAACCTAAACGGTGAGATTCTGGATAGCCGTAGAAGTGGCTGCTCCTGGAAATCTGCTCAGTAGTAAGGCGGGTGAAAGCAGTCAGCTATCTCCCGTCCGATAGGTGCGGGTGCAAAAAGGTGTCTTGCGGTTGGCGGATGCCCGGATGGTAGTGTACAGCTGGCGTGGTGGCGTTCATGCCGCATTGAACCGTCCCGTGGCAAAGACGAAAGAGCGGCACGGCTGGCTCCTGCCTCATCCACTCCCAACACCAACCCGCGAACGCTTGCTTGGCAAGTGAATTCTTATGTCTTACTACAGACGCTGCAAAGTGGAGCCACGAATCGCTGCAAGATTGATGCACAGCAACCCAGCCCATCGGAAGCGATGCATCTACCCGCAGAGGCCTCGGAGAAGAAACAACAAAGATGTCTTCCATGCCTCCACCGATGTTGCGCTACGTCGAAATTGCCATGCAGCCACATAAGCTCCCAGATGAGAACCGCTATCAGCTACCATGCTATACTTTTGCCACGGCGCGCCTCGCGTCAATAGACTAGTCCCTACCCCACAAACTTCGACATTACTGTCCACTAAGAATTTGACCGAACTGTCCGTTCCGCGTCGCTAGGGCGCTATAGGCCCCGTCGGACAAGTACTGGCAACACGTCCGTAGTAGTGTCGTTCGCGGCCTGGAACGAATATGGTAAACCTACTCCGGAGTACATTAAGTGCAGTGGCTCCCTGCAACTCAGTCGCTGGCCCACTCTCTCGGTACCAGCTATTTACCATCGTCCGGCATCTTCCGCAGTCCGGCGAACAGGGAGCATGAAGTTTACAACAGCTGCTTCGACAAGCGCCTTTGTAGCCTGTGTGCTGGCAAGCGGTTTCGAGCCTGACGACTTCAATGTCACCAAAGCCTTGGTAGACAACGGGTTCGATGTTACTAGTATCCCTGGTCTGGCAGATCTAGCGGAGCGATCTTCCTCCAGTGCTTGTTCGCTAGCTGTATGTTGATATAATTTTTGCATTTTGCTCAAGATTGATACTGATAAGACGTATAGTGCGCAGCCCTAAGGCTTTCCTTTGGTAACGGTACTGTGCTGTCGGAAGGAAGCGCAGGATACGACAGTTTCACCAGCGATTATTGGGCAGCTCAGCAAGCCGTTGTGAACCCGTTTTGTGTGTTCAAGCCTAGTATTGCCTCGCAAGTCTCAACTGTTGTGCTCTTGTCCCGACTTACGCAATGTCCTTTCGCTGTGAAAGGAGGTGGACACGCTGCCTTTGCTGGTGGATCTAGCATTGAGGGAGGCATTACCATTGCCCTGGAGAAATTCACCGAGAAGACCCTATCTGCAGACAAGAAGATCGCCTCTGTTGGCTCAGGAAATCGCTGGGCGGACGTGTATCCATGGATTGAGCAGTATGGCCTTGAAGTCATTGGTGGTCGCGTAAGTTGCTTTCCTTTCCTGTTTCTCTATATCTCCCTACTGCCATGGCTCTTCTAACCGTACGCAGATCTCATCCGTCGGTGTGTCTGGATTGACTCTAGGAGGAGGCATCTCTCATTACGCGAACGCCTATGGATGGGCCTGCGATAACATCGAGTCTTTCGAAGTGGTGACAGCCTCGGGCATTATTGTGGACGCGAGTGCCACCGAATTACCAGACCTTTATTGGGCTCTTCGCGGTGGTGGCAACAACTTTGGTATTGTTACCAAGTTCAACATGCGAACTTTTGTTCAAGGTGAAATGTGGGGTGGGCAGCGCGCCCATACTGAGGATCAGTGGGACAAAGTGTACCAAGCATATTACAACTATGCTGTCAACGCAGAGAAGGATACAAAACAGGCTCAGATCGTCTCTTTTGCGCTCCAGGCTGGTATGAAGATTGCGGCCGAGGATCTAGAGTACTCCCAGCCTACGCCATGGCCAGCAGTTTTTGACGACTGGAAAGCCATCCCAGCGATCATCGACCAAACCGCCATTGCGAACATGTCAACCTTGGCCAACCAACTTGGTGCCGGGGCACCCGATGGCGTCCAAGAGACCTATTGGGACCGCACTTTCAAGGTGGATCAGGGTATCTTCAAGGCGTTCATCGACATCTTCTTCGACATGGTGCCGGCGATTCAGGACGCTGCGGGCATTTTGCCCGTTCTCTCGTTCCAGGCAATCACCGTCCCTGCCATGAGAAATATGCAACAGAACGGCGGCAACGCGCTCGGTCTCGACCCCAGCGATGGCCCGATCTTCATCTGTAACCTGGCTATCCTCTGGACAGACGTCGCGGATAATGCCCGGATCATGTCTTTCAGTAACAGTCTGTACGAGCGGCTTGTCGAGGAAGCGGCGAAGAAGGATCTCAATCACAACTACATCTATATGAACTACGCGTCGCCGTATCAAGATGTCATCGCTAGCTATGGCGCTGCCAACAAGCAAAAGTTGAAAAGCATCTCTGGCGAGTACGACCCAACTGGAGTCTTCCAGGTGCTCCAGCCAGGATACTTCAAGCTCGAGGGAGCACCTTACGGCGCATTTCCTGCGTAATCACAATGTAGACAATCAACGATAGATGTACCACCAGTATAATACGTAATTAATTGATCGTCAGTCGAGCACTCGCAGCCCTTCCTCCGTCACTCTCGTGAGCTCTTTCCTTATCAGTTGAATTGAGGTGGATTTTGGCACCGACCATCTCGAAGGGGTAGGTCCAACCAAAACAATGCAACAGTATGCGCACCATGGATGTCAGTGTTCCGCCGATTAGCGCAAATCGCAAGGGTCAGGTGTCGAGTGAATGTCGAAGCTTCAGGTACTTGACATCTGCGTGAGAACGCCAAGGCGCGCTAGTCCAAGCGTTTGCTGTAGCTGCCTCCAGTACTTTCCTGCCGACTTGCAACCTTCCATCATCAACCACACCCGTTATTGTCACCCTCGACTTGTCACAGCTGCAAGTTTGAACCGTTCACCTCCATACACGATACTCAACTAGACGACAAACATGTCTCGCGGCGGCGGCACCACGCTCTACGTCACCGGCTTCGGCCACGGCACACGCGCTCGCGACCTTGCCTACGAGTTCGAACGGTATGTCTTCCAACGCCTCGCCCCAGCCCGATCGCAATCGCATCGTCGTCTCCTATCGTAGCCCACGATTCTGCATCCTCTGTACACTCCACGCGCCACGGCTGTCGCGACCGCTGTTGCGCGGCGCAGCTTCCTCCTTGCCTACAACACCCGTGCGCGTCGACGACGATCTGCACCTTCCGTCCTTCTTCCACACGTTCCTTCCAAACAACCGATCTGACAATCCTCAAGCTATGGCCGACTTGTCCGTTGCGACATCCCAGCGCCCCGTTCGGCTTCTTCTAGACTGTGAGTTGGCCCTCCCCAGCAGCAAACGACCCAGGCTCTAACAGGCCAGCAGCTTCGCCTTCGTCGAATACGAGTCTCGCCGCGACGCCGACGACGCGTACCACGAGATGCACAACAAGCGCATTGGCCGCGATGACTTGTTGAAGATCGAGGTATGTCCGAACCGTATAATGACATGGGTCTGTCTAACCAGCTAAAGTGGGCCCGTACGCCTCCTTCGGCATCATGGCGGTTTGACTCCGGTCGTGACCGTCCCCGTGGTGAGCGCTCTGAGCGTGGCGGCGACCGTGGCGACCGCTCCGACCGTGGTGGTGACCGTGCAGACCGAGGTGTTCGCTCTCCTCGCCGTCGCAGCACCTCTCCTCGTCGCGAGCGCGGAGCTTCTCCTCGCAAGGATGATCGCCGCGAGCGTGACTACGACCGCCGTGACCGGGACCGATCAAGGAGCCCCATTGACGGCGACCGTGAGATGAAGGATGTCCGTGATCGCGAGGACGACCGTGGCGACCGTGACCGTGGTGATCGCGATGAGAGGCGTGAGCGTGAGCGCGAGGCTGACCCGGTCGGCGAAGTCCGCAAGAGTGAGGCAACCGACCCCTTCTACGACGAACTACTCTGATCACAAATATAGTCGACTCTCCTCCCCCTCCCGCTCACGAAGACCTGGACGTGGCTGAGTAGAGCCGAGTCGCGTTGCATCTAGCACGCAGCATCCGGTCTACTGCCACTGTCTACCCAAGGCTAGTATTGACACGAGTGCTCAAATTGGTTCAAGCACGGTGTTTTGTTGCGTGGAAAATGGTTTCTGGGATTTTGTTACTTTCATAAGTGGAGGCTAGATTTACTTCTATGTCCTGCCACGACATTAATGCATTCAGCAGTCGAAAAGCTCGATTCGGATCTTCTTTGCGAACGGTTACGGCGACTACCATTCGATTCGGACTTCTCGCCTTGTTTCGGTCGATCGGTCGATATCGATGCGGTTCGAGTTCCTTGCCTGTACACTATTCGGTCGGTCCGTAGCACCTCGAAGTCTTCCAACCTCACATTCCCCCCTTCGAACCCCGTTCCGATATCACGTTCACGCTACTCCCCCGACGCCCCCATCCCGATGCGAAATATCCGATATTCGAGGTTTGTATACTTTGCGCCTAGTAGATAGACTTGTTCTGCTGTGACTGTGACATCATATGTATACAGTAGCTTGTGAAATACATCTTTTTGAACACTGCATTCCTCAGCATGTCGCCCGTTACCAAGCTGTGTACCTGATGTCATGGCTGCTCTCTTGTGTGAGCTACATTGCTCGCACATGGCATGGCACTTACGTAGGGCTGAATCAATGACGGCAGCAGCCATCGATTGCGGAGAGGATGCGGCCCAAGCTCGGACATTTTCCCGCAGGAACATCAATTGAACTTCCCAATGCAACTTGTTGGTCGTCGTCGCAACGCCCCTCCAATCGATCTTGCGACCAATTGAACCGGCAATGCGGCTCCAGAATGTCTCGCAGAAGACGTTGAAGACCGTTGCCGCGCGCCCCGCGCTTGCATCCTACACGCCATCCCCATTGCATCCGCATCGGCCACTTCTCGCATCATCACGACGTCTGCTCCTGCGCTCCACAGCACAATGCGCCGTTCGCTACCAGTCCTCGTACCCTGAGCGGATAGCCATTCTCGGCGGTGGTATAGCGGGGTTGACAAGCGCCCACTTCATTGCTAAGGAGTTCCCACAGAGTAAAGTGGTGGTGTTTGAGGCGGGGAAGGACAAGGGTGGCTGGATCAAGAGTCGCAGAGTCGACGTTGTGGATGCAGAGGGAAAGAAGGGGAATGTACTGTTCGAATTGGGCCCGAGGACGTTGAGGAACGCAACTGTCACTGCGGGACTGGTAAGTCGAACATATCCACACCGTAGTGGCACTGCTAATGGAGTGTGTGTAGATACAAGAACTCGGTCTCGTTGACGACATCACATATACGAGGCGCAGCGAACCCGGCGCAAAGAACCGCTTCATCTACTATCCTGACCAACTCAACCGCCTTCCCTCCGCACAACCCTCCTTCGCAGACTTCTTTGCATTATGGCGGACTGGCATACTGAGGGGCGTATTGGGTGCGATCACAGAACCTATGAAGCCAAAGCGGCCGGATTCCCTGTCGGATGAGACAATTGGCTCGTGGCTCGCACGAAGGGTGGATAAGAGGATAGCGGACAATCTTGTCTCAGCGGTATTCCACGGCATATATGCCGGTGATATCAACCAGTTGAGCGCTAAGACGTTGATGAGCACGGCGTGGGAATTGGAGGCGCGATTCGGCAATGCTATTGGAGGCTGGTTCCGCATGCAAAATGAAGACCCACGACCGCAGCCGGTTACACTCGTCCACCCACATGATCGGGAAGTAGCGAAAGCTATGAACGAGGAGATTGATCTGGACCTCGAATTTGCGAAGAACCTGAAGGATTCCGCTATGTTTACATTCAGAAACGGATTGCAGCAGATGGTTCGGGCATTAGTGGATGCCGTGGAGGCAAAAGGTAACATTGAGATCAGAACAGAGTCGCCGATTCAGAGCTTCAAGCCCCTCAACGAGAACGGGAAGTTGGGTGTTGAGGTCATCTCTGGGGTACGTTCATCGTCTTCAGTTGGAGCCGCAAGTACTGACAGTATACAGACTCAAGGTTCAACATCAACGGAATCATTCGATCTCGCCATCTCCACCCTCAAGAACGACGAGATTACACCCTTTGTCACAGTCATGACAGTGAACCTCTACTTCCCTAACCCCAACCTTCTCCCCGTTGAGGGTTTCGGCTATCTCATCCCACAATCCATTCCCTTCGAGCAAAACCCTGAGCGCGCTCTCGGCGTAATCTTCGACTCCTCTGCCGTCAAAGGTCAAGACACAGCCAGCGGCACAAAACTCACAGTCATGATGGGCGGTCACTGGTGGGACGGCTGGACAGATTTCCCCACAGAGGAAGAAGGTCTAGAAATGGCGAAGAGCGTTCTCAGGAGACACATTGGCATCACAGAAGAACCCACCGCTCACATCGCAAACCTCTCCCGCGACTGCATTCCTCAATACACACTCGGCTACGATGATCGCCTCAAGCAATTCGCGCAAGGCATGTCCAGCGAGTTCAAGGGCCGTTTACGCGTTGTAGGCGCGCAGTTCAATGGCGTTAGCGTAAATGATATCATCGCTGCGGCATGGCAAGTGTCGAGGAGTATGAGAGGAGAGGGATGGAAAGGACGCAGCTGTGGTTTGGATAGGATTATGGATGAGAGGGAGTGGGTGGTTGTGCCTGCTAGCGAAATGGCATATGTTAAGAAAGAGATTCGTGTTGGAGACTCTGGCATGGGTCGCAGAGGTGACGGTGGGGTGTAAAACTCTTGGAAGAGCGATGGCATGTACATAGGGTCGCCGAAGAGTGCGACCAAAGGGCAAAAGCATAGAAATGTATAACATTGACCCGCTAACCGGACCGGCCTGGTCCTCGCATGCTTCGGTGGTGATGCGCCTTGAAAGTATGGCGCTGATATCTTCTACGAAACTGGACCCCGCTCCTGCAAGATTGTGGCGTGGTTGAATTCCCAGGCTTTTCGTGAACCGTCCAATCTCCAGGCTTGTGAAGCAATAACCTCCAACCTAGATTCAGGACCGTACACTTGTCTACACGCTTTCGACACATCGTGCTGTTGCCCGGGCTCCACAGGCGTCATGCCTCGTTGTGAACCATGCAGCAAGTTCGACAACTTCGCAGAGGTGCCGCCGGCGCCGCAACTCGATCGAAACTGGTCATCAAGAGCAGAGATGATTGCCTCAGCGCGTGCCGGGTGTGATCTCTGTACGCTTTGTTGGCAGTATGCCGCTTGGGTAACATTAGACGAGTATCTGGACGAACCAATGCGGATTTATCGGTGCTACGATAAACATTCTCCTGAAACTGGACCTATAGAAATCTAACTCAGGGCGGGCGAGGTAAATTACATAAGAATGTGCGACTTCGAATCCCCAGCCAACCAAATTCCTCCTCTGGTAGATGAAGCCGCGATACCACAAGCCCAACGACTTCTCGCGAAATGCCTATCATCTCATGGCGACTGTAGCAGGATATACTACGGTGATCTGGGCAGAAGTGGCGAGGGTACTTGCGAAGATGCTACTGTCCGATCCAACATACGGCAATCTCTACCACGGCGGCTATTAGATCTCTCTCGAGACCCCATTGTCCTCGTGGTCGATGTAGATGATTGGATCATCGACGGAACTACATCACTAGCTGAGCTCTCACAATACTGCACATTGAGCTATCGTTGGGGAGCCACAGCTCATAGTTGCATTGTGAGAGCGCCTTTCGCACGTCAAATTAATGTAGACATGGAAGGCATGCCACAAACTTTCAGAGACGGCAAACACATAACGCGGGGGCTCGGGATCCGATTTCTGTGGATGGACGCACTATGTATTGTCCAGCCTGGTGCCTGCGGCGATGACATGGACTGGAACACGGAGGGTCCTCGCATGGGTAATACATATCATAACGCTATATGCACGATCGCCGCCACTTGCGCCGATAGTGCAGAGGATGGGTTCCTTTCAAAAATGGACAGTGAGCGAATTCGCGCTGCTCCGTGTGCAGTTATTCAGCACAGTAGCAGCGGGGAAACACGTGTTCGCATGTTGAAGCAAGTTGGCGTCCAGTTCAGACAGGTAGTCACATGTTCGGCTCTGGACAAGTGCGGGTGGGTTACTCAGGAGCGACATCTCTCACGACGCATACTTCACTTTACGTTGCAAGGTCGTCAATAAGCAAGAACCCGCAGCAAGACAATTGGATGCACTTCGTTGCAGACTACTCCACCACTGGGTTCACAGACCCAGAAGATCGATTAGTCGCCCTGTCGTCACTGGAAAGACTCGTACATCGTAAACTTGATGGTCACGATGTGTACTGCGCAGGCTTACGGAGGAGTAGCTTGCTAAAAGATCTGCTGTGGTACAAATACTACTCACCAAGCGTGGAATCGCCCAATCGGGTGAATATAGCCCCTACTTGGAGCTGGGCTTCATTGCATGGAATAGTATGGACAGGGGGCTGGGTTTTGACCAAAGACGTGTTGGTTCAAGTGCTGGACGTACATTTGACACTCGCGCGACGCAGTAACCCCTATGGCAACATCCAATCAGGATGGATTAAACTGCTTGCTCAGGTCGTTACTATTCTTATTGAAACAGAAAACGTGCGAGAAAAAGAATTGCCTCCCCTCGATTCCGAATATGAGGGAAGCAAATGGTACAAAAGAACGGTTTAATTGGGACGAGTGGCAAGGGAGCTCAACAGAAGAGAAGAAGTACAGCATCATCGCTTTCGAAATTGGCCCCGATCAAGAACATACCGCGCTCATTGTTGAGCAAGTATACACAACGGACATCCAGGCTACAACGGACGGTCATGTTCCTCCGTACCGCAGGATTGGTCTGTTGCAAGATCAGCGCGTCATGTATAGTGTTCGCCCTGTGTATACCGACAAGCCAAGATACGACTACGGAAAACCCAAGCAGGACATGCAAACGATATTTCTAGTGTAGGGTCAGAATAAGAGTCTTT